CAGGGTCCGACGAAGCAAGTGGTGCTGTTGCGACGAGAAGCAAGAGCACGCACCGCTTCGGCAGTGAAGTGGAAGGGGAAGCTTGACTCCAACGGAACGAGCGAGCATGCCGAGCCATTCACGATTGTGGACCAGGGACATTTAGCCGACGCTGGCTGGCAACTAAGCGAGGAGGCTGAGTCCCGCGTGGGGGAGCCAAGGAGCGTCGAGCAGTCGCATGTCGACGGTGTCGGGTTTGTGTTGCTTTGCTGCATTTTGAACAGATTTGGCAGCTGAACGCCGCTCATTCATGAAGGGTCGCAGTGCCGTGACCATTTGCACGCGTTTCTGCGACAGTAAATTACGCTTGCTTGCCTGTCTGTCTCGAAGCCCTTTCTTCGGCAGAGCCGCGCAGCTCACCAACAGTATGACAACTCGAGCCGCAGCAGCTTGCCCATTGCCTTGGTGTTCCATTCTTTTTGCGCAATGCTTCGAAGGTAGGGCTCCAGAAAGCGGCTCAGTTATCGCCACGCAAAATGGTGGAGCGAGTCAAAAGTCACAAAACGCGATGCAACCTGCGTCGGAAGAGGCTCATCCGAACCGGGGAGCTCTGATCATGCGCCGCCATCTCAGCCTCACCAGCATCCCCGAGCATGCCGATTCGCACCGAGACATCACCGTTGATCTCCGCGGATGTTTGCACCACGTGCGACTGAGCCTAAGCCCCCGCACGCACGAGCATACGCAGCTGAACGGCCAAACACCACAAAAGTGTATTGGAAACATTCCATTAAATAGAATCGACGTCGAGGCGGGGTGGCACACAGCAGGGATGGGAAGCACAGTGTCCGAACGAGAATAGAATACAGTTGGGTCGGTCGACAGGGGAGCTCTTCAGTAGGGGTAGCCCATGCTGGGCAGCTGCGGCGGGCGGTCGCCGGCGCGAGCGGTGCCGAGCTGATGGTGGATGGCCGAGTACGGATCGGCAGCATAGCCGCCGGGCACGCCGGCTGAGCCGTACGCGTTGTAGTCGTACGAAGGACGGCTGTAGGCCGGCGTTGTCGCACGTCCATCCGCAAACGGATCCGCGGTATATGCCGGGCTCATGCCATACCGCGCCTCGATGTCAGCAAGCGGGTTGCTACCACGGCGGTCGTACGAGGCCATGTTGGGCTGTCCACCTCCATACGCTGCGCCCGCGACACCGTACCTGCCGTCGCCGCCGTCGCCGTACCTGGCGGTCTTGGCTTCGTCGAAAGCATCCTCGTCGTCAAGATCGTTGATGGGCTCGAATGCCGAGTCCTCGTTCGGGTGCACAAACGGCGGGATGCGTGGGCCGTTTTTGCGCTCGAGCTTCCACTGGCGCAGGAAGAGCAGCAGCGACAGGAACCACGTCACCCACAGGAACCAGCAAAAGGCGGCTTCGGCGCGCTTGGTGCGACACCATCCGCCGAGCTGGTCGACAAAGTCGGCGCGGTCCTTGCCGCCCGCGTGCGGGTCGTTCTTGGGATCCTTGCATCCCGCCGAGGTGTAGGCCGAGATGGTCTGCGTGACCGCGAGGATGAGCAGCAGGAAGCCAAAGATGCCGTTGCACACCATGCCGACGCGCGCCTCGGAGAGCGCACGCGTAAAGCCCTTCATGGTCTTGTAGCCCGAGCGCTCGTAGATGATGGGCACGATCAGGAAGACGAGCGATGCGAGCAGACTTGCGCTTGTGAGGAAGAGGATGAGACCTGTGAGGCCCGATGGGCTTCCGATCCATTTCGACTGGAACGTCGCCATGTACACGGCGATGAGCAGCGTGACCAGGCCGAAGAACACCTGGAGCGCACGCAGGATCATGTTGACTCGAGCCACGCGGTCATCCTGGGCGAGTACGATGGGTGGCCCGCCTGCGCCCGTGTTGCCGATACCTTGAGCGTAGGGCCCTGCTGGATCCTGCGCATCGCCGCTGCCGGTGTCTAGCTTCCCCCACACCTTTTTGAGCGACATGAAGTCGGGCATCGTGCCGCACTCGAGCAAAGGCGAAGTTGTACTCTGCGTCTGATGGATACTGTCCTAGCTGAGGGTCGCCGACGGTAAGGAATCTGGAGACGCGAGACCAACGCTAGCGGTGAAGATAGCAGCGTGGGTAGCGCGTGTATATCCGTCGTTATCCGTGCTGTGTGTTGTGCGTATTTGTGTGGAAATTTCGTTAGAGGTCGTTCAGAGCAAAGACGGGGAGAGCGTGCGATAGGAGGAGCGTGATGATGGCAGTGATGGCAGTGCTGACCGTGGCAGCCGACCGGAATGAAGATGCGGGCACTGCCACCAACAGTGGAAACGGGCCGGTGGGCGGCTGCAGCCTTCTGCATGGGTCCTCCTCCACTGGCTGCACAGAGGCAGTGTCGGTGTGGGTGTGGCTGCAGCAGCGCAGCATCGCAGCTTGGCGCGAGCTGAAATTTAGAGACGCGGAAAAGGGGCCGAGCGAGACCCCTAGATGTTGATTGCAGGCGCTGCTCCTCCGCCCGCCCCTCCTCCGCATCCACGCTCTCTCACCCCTGAGTCGCGCGCCAAGAGGGAGACCAACACCAAAAAAGGCTCGCCGATTTTCAGGAAATGTACATCTCTCCGATTTGACACCTCGGCATAAATTCGAGCGCCCATCCTTGCCCGACTTCCGGCTGCAAAAGTTGTCTGACCTCATACGAAGGCCCTGTCCGGCTTCGCATTCCGCTTCCCCCGTCCTCTACGCTTGCACCGGTCACAGCACTTCGACCATGCATCCGGTGAGCACACAATCAACTTCCAGAACGAGCGCTGTCCCGTGCCTGACAACTGACGATCTTCTCTGCGCCTCTGGCTGCGACCGTTGCTTCCACAGCATCTCGTGGGCGATAGCAAGCTGCAGCGTAAGTAGACTCCTCGAACGACTTCACCCGAGCTTATGCATAGGATCTGACGAATGAACGGATCCATGATGTTGCCTGCTGCAGACTGCGCCCACCTCATTCAAGCGCTCAACGAGTGCCACGCCAAAGGTGTGTGGCACAAGATCACCGGCGGCTGCAACGGCATCAAGCACGACCTCAACATGTGTCTGCGACAAGAAGTAAGTCGACGCCAACACCTTTGCTAAGCCCGCTGGAACATCGCACTGACATCTGCAACGTGTGCGTGGGGATGCCAGCGCGTCGAACGTACGGCGAACCACATCCGCGAGTCGAGGGAGAACCGCAAGAAGACCGAGCAAATATGGAAGCAGATCGACGACGAGTCCTAGCTTGCACCAACGCACCTTGCACCAACGCAACCCAACACCCATCGCAAACTTGTACAACACCATCACCCATCGTGTAATACCATCCTCGAAGCGGCTTCCTCGTCGCAGCGAGACCAGAGATACTATTTCGAACAAGATATAAGCGCAAGCGATTCAAACACATAGAAACCCAAAACAGACTAAACAGATGAGGAGGAGATAGAGCAAGGCGCAAAAGGTAGGATCAGCGGATGGGGCCACCATTGGCAGGGTCCTGTGACGCCGAGTTGGGCGTGTTGGATGCGTCGTCGAGCGCGAAAGCCTTGAGGTCATCGATGGACACCATGTCGAGCGCGCGCTGATGCGTAGCCTGGAGCTTGATCTTGGGTACACCGTCTTTGGCGAGTTCGCCGCGCTTGTATGCATCCAGACTCTGCTTCCATCGCGATACGCAGAGACACCACGAGCAGCCCTCGGACAGCATCGGACGCAGATCGTTGCCCTTGCTCGCCGAATAGTCCAGCCACTTTTGCGACACCACCGCTGCCACCGTGTGCGACCCACCATCAGCAGGACCCGTATTGCAGTACTACCACACAAGAATCAAAGGCAAGGGGTCAGCATGATGCTCATCGTCATCGCTTCAATGTGAAACTTACGCCGTCGCGGTAGAATCCCGTGATGGGGTTGGTACCACACTGTGCCAGCGGCCGCCCAAAGACGTTGAGAGGACGGTCCATCTTGAACGGGTTGTCCACCGACTCGAATCTTCCTCCGCCCGAGGCGTAGCTTGCGTTGCGCGAGGACGACGTCGTGCCGTTGTTTTCAGTGCGCGCGTTAAGCACCGATGCCTTGTGATGGGATAGGCGTTGTGCTGAACACGCCGGAATCAGAGTGCGCGAGCCAGTTCCGCCCGCAGCGAGCAGAAGAGCAAACGAGGCAAAAGCAAGGGCAGCACGTCGGGTTGCTCGAGGCGTCCAGACTGTCGGCAACATGAGCTCGCGCTATGTAGCGTTGAATGAAGTGAGATACAGCAGGAGGCTCGATGGTTGTAGTCCATCAAGGTGCGAAGCTTGCTCGGAAGCGACACATCACCGGCAGCCCGGAAGGTCCTCATTGCAGCCGTCGTTTGCGTAATATGTGGAGGCAATCTCACTCCTCATTTGCGGTTGCACACATCAACCCAGTATGTATGCCATTGCGGCTTCATTTCACATCGTAAGGCAAGATGGCCGAGTGGTTAAGGCGCAACGTTCAGGATTCTCTGAGATTTCAAACCGTTGTCTTCGGGCGTGGGTTCGAATCCCACTCTTGTCAACAAACGCAATTTCTTTTTGCCCTTTTTTGGCTAGATTTTTTGACCATCTGCACTCTTGCTGACGAGCAAGTCATATTCAACCTTCAACACACAGAGAATCAAACGTGGATCTGCTCGAAGACATTCATCATTGAAGTGTGGTGCACGGTGATGGTCTGATATGTTTAAGAGCGGGGTCACGCCCACGCGCCTGCGCCTCCCCAGGCGTCGGCGCCTGCACCAAACGAGTCGGACTGGCTTGCCTTGCCACCTGTCTCACCCACTGCCGCCGCTGGTGAAGCAAACGGCATTGCCGCTTTCTGCTTCTTGCTGTTGGCACCTGCATCCTCTGGCCCGGCCTTGCGCTTCTTGCTGTCCTTCTTGCGCACATCAACGATAGCCGCGACGCTGGTGTTGACGGGTGCAGCTGGTGTGTCGTCCTTGCCACTGCTTGCCTGCTTCTTCTTGCGCTTGCTGGGCACATCAGCGGGGGTCGAGTCGTCGAACGAGCCCAGCACAGTGCGACCTTGCGTCTTGGACGGCGCCGCTTTGACGTCCTCGAGCACGCCCTCGGCCACCTCGGTGCGACCAGTGGCAATCTTGGCGCGCTTCTTGCTCAGCTCGTAGATCGGTGCCAGCCGCGCCTTTTCCGCCTCGACATCGACCGTCTCGAAGAATCCACCGCGAGCCTCCTTCTTGTCCTTCTTGTCGGTGGTGGCAGCAATAGAGGCGGATGCTGAATCGGTCTTCTTAACCTTCTTGCCCGCACGCGTGCCGCGCTTATGCTTTGGCTTGGACTCCACTTCCTCACCAGCATCCGCTGCTCCGGATCCAGACTTGTCGGATCGCTTGGCAGAGATGTCCTTGCCGGACTTCGCCTTGCCGAGCTTCGTCTTTTCCTCGGGTTTGGTTCGCTCGTTGGACTTCATCTTGGACGCTTTGGCGGGCTCGACAGCAGGTTTGCCGCGGCGCAGAGCTCGCATTTCAGCGGCCATCTGCGCCGCCTCATCGTCGTCTGACTCGCCATCAGACTCTGAGGGCTTCCTTCTTGGCTCAGAGGGCTTGCCACGGCGCAGGGCGCGCATCTCGGCCGCCATCCGCGCAGCCTCGTCGTCATCGTCGTCCGAACCATCGTCGTCCTGCCTTTGCGCTGCTTTTGTCTGCTTCTTGGGTGCCTTTTCGCGCTTTTCCTTGCGCTTGCCCTCCTTCTTCTGGCGCCCGTCATCGCCTCGATCGGCAGACTTGACGTCATTTGGGGCATCATCGATATCGGCAGGGCGTGCTCTCGGCTGTAGCCTCTCGTTGTCAAGGACACGCAGAGTAGGATGCACGTGCGTGATACGCTCCTTGTAGTCGTCCAGCTGCGAAACGCCATTGCCCTTGAGCAGCAGCTGCGTCAAGCCCTTCCTGCGCAGCCTTGGCTGCTGTTCCTTCTCTTCGTCGGCCTCTGCGAGTGTCGATAGCGACTCCCAGGTGTCCAAGCCGCAGTCCTTGAGCTCCAACAGCTCGAGCCCTGGCGCTGTCTTGCCGTCAGCACCCTTGCCCCAGTTGCGTACGTGGCTCGGCAACGCCTTGAGCTCCACATTGTCGTTGAGACGGACTTCGCGCAGCGCCAGACACAGCGAAAAGTCGGGAAGGCTCTCGCTGCCTCGTAGCTTGTTGTGACCCAGCGAGAGCTTCTTGAGCGCGGGCAGAGATGCCGGGAGCGAGGCGGGCAGAGACGTGAGCTGGTTGTGCGAGAGGATGAGCGAGTTGAGCTCCGGCAGGTGGGGGAACGACTTGGGCAGGGCGGAGATGGCATTGTTGTTGAGTACGAGTGCCTTTAGGTTGTGCAACGGCGAGATGGAGACTGGGATGGCGTTGAGAGCGCAGTGCGAGAGGTTGAGCACACACAGCTCTTCGAGCGCCTCGAGGCCGATGCATGCTTCCGAGGTGAGATGAGGGTTCGAAGAGAGATTGAGCCAGGTGAGGTTGTCACCGAAAGCGCGCTCTTTACCCTTGCTTTGTGAGGCTTCGAGCTTTGCCTTGCTGCGAAACACGGCCTTGGCAAGCCAGGCGAGCGTGGAAAGGCCGTCTGCGGATGCTTCCGAGGGCTCGATCGAGGAGAGGTCGAGGCGTTGCAGGTAGCGGAACTGCGAGAGCGTGTCAACTAGAGCGACCAGAGGCGGGAGCTGGTGGCCTGAAAGCGAAAGCGCCGTCTTGGAGCGGACGTCAGCCTCCTCTTCTTCGTCCTCTTCTGAATCCTCTTCCTCGTCGTCGTCGTCATCGTTTGATTGCTGCTCCTGCATTGGCTTAGAATCAGGCGAACGAGCGCTGGACAGCCTTGGAGGCTTGCCATTGCGCGAGCCTTGAGAAGCCCCCCCTGCATCCGGCCGTGACTGGCTACCGCGAGGAGCGCTCAAACTGCTGTGAGAGGCTGTCTTTCCCTGAGCACGCTTCTTGTGAAACGCCGAGCTGGTCGAAGAAGTCGAGTGCTGGCCGGAGCTCGAAGCTGCCGCTGCGCGATTGCGCTCGGACTTGATAGGGCCTCTTGGCGCTGGTGCTGTTTGCGCCATGCTGATCGTGAGTGTGCGTTGCAGCCGAATGGTGGGAAGAAGGTAGGAGCACACCTGAACTTTTTTTGGTTTTCGGTGTGGAGTTTTTCGAGTTCCTTTTTTCTTTGCTTTTTTTTTGGGGGGACGAGTGGCAGACTGCTATGCTCTCCCTGAAAAGCAGACAAAAATCGCCTCTCAAAAACCAGAAAAAGAAATCCGGGATTCGGCCTACGGAGCGGAGGCTGCCCGGAGACTGCTCGGCTAAACGCAGCGGCGCGCCCAAACCAACACCACTCGACTCGACCAACACCTGCCCCACCCTCCCTTCCACCCACGAACAGGCCCAGGAAGGATCCGACTACTCAGCATAGATCCATGTCGCGCTCAATTTGAGGATAGACTACCCCACAGCTCTTCACCTCGCACCAACACACACGAGCCGTGCCATGTCGGCCGACCCCGTGGGTGCTGCCATCGCGCTCGCTGGGGTTCCCGATGAGCCTGCCTCGCTCCACTCGAGCGCGCTGCGTCCCTCCATAGACTCGAGTGCAGGCAATGCATCGAAAGCAAAGGCTAGCTCCGACAGCATCCCACTCCCAGAGGAAGATCAGGACGAAGACGACTTTGTGGTGTTCGAGGACCGCAACACCCTCCCTGCCCCTCACCTCGCACGAGGCGAGCCGGACGACGTCGCAGCCTCGCAAGACGACTTGCGGCGCCCTTCAGAAGAAGATCAAGCAGGCTCAAACTTCAAAGCGCTCGCCAGAGCGAGCGTTGAAAGCTTATCGTTTGGATACCGCGATCACCTGCTGCCGCTCAGTCTTAGTGGAGGTGCAGACGACACTTTTGCTAGCGACTATGGAGACGTGGAATCATCGGTCTCTGCGGCTGGTGCCTCGGGACCGGGCAGAAGGAATGCTTCGCGGTCGCGGTCGAGACGGCATACGCGCAACTATTCGCGCGACCGGGTGGCCGAGCGCAGAGTGACGCTCATCGACGGCATTGCGCTCACCATTGGCGTTCAGATCGGCTCGGGCATCTTCTCATCTCCAGGCGTCGTCACGCTCAACACTGGCAGCATCGGCGCATCGATCGTCATCTGGCTGCTCTCGGGTCTGCTCGCATGGAGCGGAGCCTCTTCGTTTGCCGAGCTCGGTGCGTCGATCCCACTCAATGGCGGCTCGCAGGCGTACCTCAACTACTCGTTTGGCCCGCTCTCGGCGTTCCTGTACACGTGGTCGGCGCTGACGGCGCTCAAGCCCGGTGCGGGTGCGATCATCGCCACGATCTTTGGCGAGTATGTGGCGCGCATCCTCTTCCACGCCACGGGCAAGGCGACCGACCACCCGCACGAGACTGGGCTCGACGGCATCCCCGGCTGGTCGATCAAGCTGCTTGCGATAGCGATCGCAGCGTTGATCACGGCGGCGCACGCATTCTCCAACAAGCTCGGCACGCGCACGCAGATCGCCACCACCGTCGTCAAGCTGCTTGCGCTCACGGCAGTGCCCATCTTGGCGATCGTGCAGGCGGCGCGGGGAAAGACATCGCCCAGCTCGCAGCAGGCGTTTTCGAGCCTGGCCAACCTGTTCGAGGGCAGTGCTACGTCGCCATCGTCGTATGCCTTGGCGCTGTACAGCGGGCTGTGGGCGTTTGATGGGTGGGACCAGTCGTGCTTTGTGGCGGGAGAGATGAAGCGCGTCGAAAAGGATCTTCCGCGCGTGATTCACATCAGCCTGGCGACGGTGATCTTGATCTTCCTGTCGGCGGTGGTGTCGTACTTTGTGGTGCTGCCGGCGGAGCTGGTGAAGCGCACCAATACGGTGGCGCTCGACTTTGGCAGTGCGATCTTTGGCACGGTGGGCGGGATTGTGTTTGCGTTCCTCGTGGCGTTTTCGTGCTTCGGGGCGCTCAATGGGCAAATCTACACCACGGCTCGGCTCATCATGGCCGCTTCGCGCGAGGGATACCTACCGGAGAAGTTGGGCGAGGTTAATCGACGCACGGGCACGCCCGTAGCAGCATTGGCGCTGCAGCTCGTGCTGATTGCGGCATTTGTGCTGTTCGGAAGTGGGTTTGCATCGCTCGTCAACTTTTACGGCGTCTGCAGCTGGGCATTCTACCTGGCGTCGGTATTGGGTCTGTTGGTGCTCAGGATCAAAGAGCCCAACTTGGTGCGACCGTACAAGACGTTTTTGGGAACGCCGATTCTGTTTGCAGCGGTCGCACTATTTTTGCTGCTCATGCCGATAGGGAGTGCTCCGCTAGAGGGTCTGGCTGCACTGCTGTTCATTGCGGCAGGCGTGCCGGTCTATTACCTCACACAGGCCAGTGCAGGTTGGACCACCAGCAATCCGATCCTGGCCAAGCTCAGGGCGAGAATGGGTGGCAACCGCGCCGGAGATGTGTACGACGGAAGGGGTCAGCATGTGCCGCTAGCCACCTCGGATGGAAACGACGTGAATGACGACGAGGAACACATAGAAATGCTGCCCTCGTCGCCCGAACCCAAGCGCGACTCACTTTGATACACACCCGCACACACGCGCATGCACACACCAATGTCACTTTTCCGCTGCACCACCTCGGGCAGAAATGCAAGTTTGCGATTCGGCATCTGGGCCTCACATGCGAGAATCACTTGCGGCCCTTCTTCTTGCCCTTTGCTGTGGCGGGTTTCTTCTTCTGGGCCGCTGCGTACCTGTCGAGAGTCTGCCACTTTACGTTTTCCCACGCATCGTGCATTGCGGTCTCATCTCCTGCCGCACCCAACTCGGCCCACAGCCTCGCGAGCTGGGCGCGCAGCTGCTGTGCGATGAGCTTGCATTCGGACGCGGGCTTGTTGCCAAACTCCTTCTCCGTCGCCGGACCCTCGGCGAGGTACGCCTGGAATTCGTCCCTCCACACCGCGGGGGCGTACTTGCGCAGAGCAAGGTCGGCCTCGATGACCTTCTTTGCCGGAGCGGTGAGCGAGTCGTACAGCTGCGCCACCAACGCCCGGTACGGGGCCGAGAGAAAGTAGAGCGCATGCAGCCGTTCGTGCGGCAGCGTCGAGTGCGCCTGCGACGCCACGCACGCAATCACATAGCTCACCGCAGCCTCGCCATCGTCACTGCGCGCACTGGCACCTTCGTACGGCGAAATGGCACGCAGCGACACCAGCAGCTCCAGCAGCTGCACCTCCTCCGCAGAACAGTGCGGCCGCCACCACTGCGCCTCCGCCTCGGTGTCGGAGCCCACGGCGTCGTGCATGGCGTCCAGCCAGTCCTGCACGCCCTGGCGCAGCGGAAAGTTGAAGCCCTGGTAGTTGCGGCAGATGCGCTCGTCTGCCGCCTCTTGCAGCGAAAGGTAGCGCTTGCCGTTGGTGTCCGACTCGTAGAATGCCTCGATGCGCGCGAGCGCCGCGTGCTGCAGCGCCGCCGTGGGGAAGAAGAGCGTCAGCACTGGCGCATCGACAATGTGCCCGAACACCGCCTCCTCCTTCTCGGCGGCCACCTCGGCCGGCTGAGAAGCAGGCGCGAGCGTGGAGCCAGCCGAGCTCGAGTGTGTCGACTGGCCCGAGATGGCAAAGCCGGCTGCGGCGAGTGCGCTCGACAGCGCAGCGGGCGTCGACGAGCGCGGCTCCTGACCCGTCGGCGCAGAAGACGCGTGCAGCGTCATGTTGGACAGGTCGCGCGTGGTTTCAGTCACGTCCTGGGCGACAGGTCGTTGTTGAGACTCGTTGCGGACTTCGGGGCTGGCTTGCGCGGGCTGCGACGCAGGCGAGGCAGTAGGCGCGGCCGACGAGGCGCTGTAGTCCGCGCCCGCATCGGTGCGCGCAGAAACGCCCAGACCCAGACCAGCCAGCTCCTCGAGGAGCGCATTGCGTCTGCGTGCCAGTGCGAGTTCGGCCTCGAGCTTGCGGATCTTTTGCTCGAGCTCCTCGTAGCTCGGCTTGCCCGCCGGCTGGGAGGGCGCGGCGGGTGCTGGCACGGGTGCTGCGGACGAGGCGGGAGTGGGCGAAGGGACACGTTCGGGCGATGGGCTCAGCACCATCTCGTTGGGACGCAGCTTCTGCTGACCGTCCTTCTTGCTGGTTCTACCGCGGTCGGGCGTGGAGACCGAGTTGGCGGGGCCGACGCCGTTGGGCCCGCGCACGAGCTCGACGGGCGCATTGGCGATGCGGTTGTGCGAGACGAGGAGCGAGGCCGGGTCGGTGTGGTCCGAGGCGCGGATGTCGTCCCAGATCTTCTTCTTGTCGAAGGCCTTGAGGCCTGCGCTGAAGTCGAACTCGTCCGAGAGCGAGGCGTTGGGGATGGCGGGGCTGCTGCCGCGCGAGACAGATGCAAGCGGCGCCGCCTTCTTCTTGGCGGATCTGGGTGTCTGTGTTCCGGCAGCAGCATTCTGAGGTCGAGGCGAGCGGGAGGGTGTAGAGGTGCGCGAGCCGACGGGATCGGCGGTCTTGGGTGCGAGGAGGTGGGGCTGGTCGGACTGAGTGGAAGCAGCGGCGGCATCCTGGTTGGATTTGCGCTTGGCTGCTGCAGGAGTGGCGGGCTTTTCGCTGGCGGCCTCGACTGGTTTCGCAGCAGCTAGACTGGCAATGTCTGTCCTTTCGAGTACGGCGTGGGAGCCATCGAGTTTCTGAACGGTGAGCGTGTTGGCGGCCTGGTCGATCGAAAGGATTTTGGCGTATAGATGCAGATGCGGCTGCGAGTGCAACGTGAGCTTGACGTTGAGGCCGATGAATGGCGACGACATGACGAAGGGTCTATGCGAGTGCCGAAGCTGTGCCGGCGCGGTGGAGGATGTGCGGCGAGGATGTGGTGAGGGGAAGAGGAAGAGGAAAGCGATGTTGCAGGTTCGAGTCGTGCGATGCAGCAAAAGCGTGAATTGAGCCGAGCCTCTCCCGTCCATGGAAAGCGAAATTTCAGGAATGTTAGGCCGAGAATGTGATTAAATAAAATGAATTTCCGGCTCGTGTGGAGAAAATGCGCCCAAAAAGTGGCGACGCACAAGCCAAAAAACGTCACTTTTCGGGAGAGCATCTGCTGCTGCCTCAGCATGAAGCTGCCTGAGGTCATCGTCTGTTGCCGACGCCATTGTACAGCCTTATCTCCCCCCTCGCTCCTCCATCACGACGTCGTCGACGACACATGCTCGGACGCTGCACTCTTTGTCTAGCAAGAGCGCCGACACTTGGGACCGCGCTTCTCCGCCGTGCATCGCCATCACTCGCTGCTCTTGCCCCACCACACCGAGCCTTGTCCACTTCACCTCGACTGCGATCGTCCAGGATCCTATCCTTCAATACATCCTCCACCATGTCGTCGCAGGATGCCAAGGTGCTCAAGACAGCGGCGCTGCAAGACTCGGACGCCAAATGGGTGGGCCTGCGCTCGATCGAGTGGGTTGATCCGACGGGCAAACAGCGCAAGTGGGAGTCGGCCGACCGCAAGACCCGCAAGGGTGACGTCGATGCTGTGGCGATCATGACGATCATCCATCGTCCATCGTCGGAGCCGCACATCCTGCTCATCTCGCAGTACCGCCCACCCGTGGGGCAGAGCTGCATCGAGATGCCTGCCGGCCTCATCGACGCGGGCGAAGAGGGCGACGAGGGCACCAACCGCGCCGCACTCCGAGAGCTCGAGGAGGAAACCGGCTACGGCACCGACAAGCAGGGAGGCAAGGTCAAGATCGAGGAAACGACACCCACCATGTTCAACGATCCCGGCCTCACCGGCGCCAACATGAAGATGGTGGTGGTGAATATCGAGTTGAGCGACAACGCGGACGAGCCCGTCGCCAAGCCCGAGGAGGGCGAGTTTATCGAAAAGTACCTCGTCCCCGTCAAGGGCCTCTACCAGAGCCTCAAGGACTTCCAGACGAAAGGATTCGCAGTCGACGCACGCCTCGCCCACCTCGCCATCGGCCTCGAAGTCGGCTCGGGCAAGATGGGCCGTCTATAGAGCTCGTGTCCACCACGAAACAAGGAATGCATCGCTAAACGACATCTAGACTGCGCAAAAGTGTTGTTAGAAGTACATGAGAGTGAGTCAGAGTGATGGTGCAAAGAAACGATCCGTATTAGTTGAGCAGGGACGGCGCCATCATTGCGGTGCGCACTGCATGCCTGGACCCTGGCCGCCCATTTCGTCGTAGTCCTCCCATCCGTCGTCGTCCATGTGGCCCTGTCCAGGGATGCGCGCGCGGTTGCTGCCAAACTGCTCGATCTTGGCGGGGCTTGGCTCGACCGTGTCCTCTACGGTGTCTTGGGTGGCTTCCAGATCGGGCCTTGCTGGCGGCAGAGCGTTGCGCAGCGCGTCGCGGATGGCCGGGTCGGCAGCGAGCTGTGCGTCGGTGGGGAAGTCGACCTCCCAGCGAATGTACAGGTCGCCCTTGGTCTGGCTGCGGTCGCGGTACTGCGGCATACCCTCTCCTCGCACGACGTCGACATGACCGGGCCGCGTGATGCCGGTGCGTGCGACCTTGATGTGGCGGCCGTCGAGATGGGTGAGCACGGTGCGATCGAATCCGAGCAGCGCCTCGACGAGCGTCAGCCGCACCGTAGTGAGCAGGTCGAGCCCCTTGACTTCAAACGCATCGTCCTTCTGCATCTTGAGCTCGATCAGGATGTCGCCCGGCTTGACGCCCGGCTCCTGGTCCGCAGCCTCCTTGAAGACGATGCGCTGGCCGTCGACCATGCCGCGTTCGATGTCCACATCGAGCTTGGCCTTGGCCTTGGTCGTCTTTTCGCCCTTGCACTTTTTGCACCGGTCCTTGTCGCGCACCTTCTTGCCCTCGCCGTGGCAGTCGGCACACTCGACGTACGACTGCGCAATCATGCCGTTGCCCATGCTGCGCTGCTGCAGCACCGATCCCTTACCCGAGCATTTGACGCACTCCTTTTCCGACAGGCCAGGCTTGGCACCCGACCCCTCGCACTGGGTGCAGATGACGTTCTTGGTGAGGTTGAAGTGGGCCGTCTTGCCCTTGTACAGGTCGGCGAGCGTGACCGAATACTCGATCACCGCATCCTCGCCCTTTGTTCGGCGTGGACGTCGACCGCGCGGCATGCCACCCATACCGCCCATACCGCCCATGCCACCCATGCCCATGCCGCCGCCGAACATGCTCGCAAGGAAGTCGTCCATGTCGGGAGGCATACCGCCGGCACCACCTGGCCCGCCTGGCCCATCGTCGCCGTATCGGTCGTATGCGGCGCGCGAGTCGGGATCCGAGAGCGTTTCGTATGCATGGTTGATCTCGGCGAACTTTTCCGAGGCTACGGCATGGTCGATTTCCGGATTCTTGTCCGGGTGGTTGGCGAGCGACTGTTTGCGGTACGCCTTCTTGATGTCGGCGGACGAGGCGTCGGGCGCCACGCCCAGGATGTCGTACAGATGTGTGGACTCGACCATGCTTGCGAGATGCGCTGCCGGGACGGTTGGGTCAGAGAAGGAGGAAGAAGTCGACTGAGCAGAACCTGATGGCAGCCTCGCCAATCCCGGCTTCCGAACCAAAATCGCAGCTGAAATATTTTGACTCACCGAGGCAGGCAAGGCAGGCAAGGCTGGGCAGCTCGGCGTCAGCGTGCAGGGAAGATTGAGGGGTGTCGTGTGTGGTGGAAAAAAAAGTCCGTATTTCAATGTGGAGGCGTGGCTGCCAAAAATATGAGGTGCTGCTGGAGATGCTGGTGCTGCTTCTGGCTCGACTCAGCCATGTCTTTGCGCTGCGGCTGGGTCAAGTTGAAGGGTTGCCGTCAGGGTACAGCACCGACCAGAGCTTGCTGTTGGTGCCGAGCGAGTAGCCCAGCGTGCGTTGCTTCATATCCACACCCAGGCGCAGCAGATCCATCACGTCGTCCAGCAGGTGCGCCTGTCCCACCACCGCGCCCGGATGCGACGTAAAACTCGCTGCCAAAATATGGACGTGCAGGTGGTAGTAGCTGGGATGGTAGTGCAAGAAGCAGCGCACGTTGCCATCCGGCTTGCCCTCTTGCACACCCGCCAGGCCGTACCTTTCAAACGCCACCCTGCTCGCCTGATCCTTGATGTTCTGCAGCATCCCGATGTGGTCCTTGGTCAAGTCTCGCAGACTCGTCAGCTCGCGGTTGTGCACGATGGCCTGGATGTACAAGCTCGATGTTGTCTTTTGGTCCCACTTGAGATCCGGTACGATGATGAAGCCGCTTTCTGTATCGGGGTGCTCGAACAGGATCGAGTCGGCCTCCTTCTTGTGTTCGAGGATGTTGTACACCCACTGGATGCGCGATGGCGGGAACGAGGCGATCCACGGCTGCACCTTGCGCGCATACATCTCGGGCGTCTCGTACACCATCACCCTGCGCTGCGCCGAGTACTTGTCGATGTGCGTCTGCGTCGCCGGTCGGATGAGCGTCATCTTGACATCAGCGTCGCCCGGGTCAGAAGCGGATCGTTGGAGCCATGCCAGCAGCCACGTGTAGACGTCGTTCTGTCCCAGATTGCTCACAGCCGCAAAAACGGCGTCCCGCTCCGTTCCGTCGAGTACCGCAGCTTCGGCATCGAGCTTCGGCGCCTTGATCGTGCGCTCTCCGTCGGATGTGGGTGCTCTGTTCGGATCCTCTAACTGACGGTAGAATTGCTCGGAAAAGTGCGTCTTTTCGAGGATGAGCACCGCCTGGTCTATGCTGGCCGAGCCGTCGTTTGCTGTGGAAGCGAACTCGCCGAGCAGGTTGGCGGACTTGTGCTTGGGGTCCTGGTCGAGGATGCGAACCAGCTTGAAGCCGTCCAGCACACCGCTGCTAGTGCTAGAGGAAGCGGATACCATGCTGTAAAGAGTGTCTATTAGGTCGTCTTGCGAATGGTCGAAAGTCAAGGCGAGCAAGTCGTGCGCATTTCAGGGTCCACTCCTCAAAGCTAGGTTGGCGCAAGAAGAAGCCGGCGTTCGAATTCCGATTCCCGTGCTTTTGCGCGCTCGGATTTCTTCGACAGGCCTCCACTTTCGTAAGCCTTTGTTGCTGCTCATCATCGTCCGAATCATCCCTCTTTGTCTTCGGGCAAAAGTCGCAGCATCATGGGTTCATCATCATCCAAGCCAGCGCGCAAGCTCGGGTCGGAAGTTGCTTCCACCGTGTCGCGCTCTGTTCCATCGGCGGCCAAGGCCAAGCCCAATCCCGCCCCCGCCGCTTCCGCACGTGTGCCACCGACTGAGTATGCCGCTTCGACCGCACAGCAGAGCTCGCAGTATGCGCCATCGGCAGCCACACGCCGCGAGCAGGAGACACAGCGACAGCAGAGCCAGGCGAGCGAGACCAAGTCGGCCGACATCATGCGCGACGCCTACGACCCGCAGTTCCTCCACAACCTCTCGCGTCTCGGCCAGGTCCAGGTACCCAAGAACGCCACCAACTATCAGCCTGTAAGTTCTTCCCCCACCTTCTTGAGCCCACTTTTGATCTCAGAACTCACGTTTGGTTTGATGTGGATAGAATGATCAAATGCTTCGGATCTTGGAGGCGCGTGAGCGGGCGAATTTGGACAACGTCCAATCCGACGTGTTTGCCTCTTCTTCGGCGCCTGCCAAGACGAGTGGACCCGCACGCGTCCCGGCGCACACGATTACTATGCTACTCGACGATCGAAAGCACTGCGAGACACGTGCGGATCTGGAGAAGCTCGCGGTGGAGTACGACCTGCCGCTCGCAACCATCGAGAAGCTGGCGCGATATTACAACTCGCCCACCATGGGTGAGGAGGTGCGCGACGAAAGCGACAACGCCCAAGACCAGGCTAATCGTCAGGACGAACGCGCTCCCCCCAAGGTCAAGGGCGTATGGGTCGAACCCAAGCTGCAGCCACAGATCGAGGCCTAAATGAAATGCTCTTGCTTGAATTGGGCAGATGGGGTGTCTAGGGCGAAACGCGAGCGGGGCCACGAGCGATCACGGTGAAGTCTAGGCCGGGTGTAGTGACGATGAACTCGAGTGGGGTGTTGGTGAGATGCAGTGGTAGAGCCAACGGCTGGGCAAGGCAGAATTCGGAGGCGGTGGCTTCGCGCGTCGACGTGCCGAGCCAGCATCGAGTGTCGGGCTGACCGACGGCCTGGATCCACACATTGCACAGCTGCGACTCGTTGGCTCGGCTTGTTGCCCACACGAGCGTAGCAGGCTGCAGTCTTGCCGTCTGGTCTCCTGTTGACTCGAAATCGCGCATAGCCGGGTGGATTTGAAGCTCGCCAATCGGCTGCTTGGGTACGTCGCGCGTGAGCTGCACTGCTCCCACGCGCACCGTCGATGTGCCCGCCTGCAGCGATAGCCCGAGACTCAGCGCTACGGGTGCGGCATCGTCGGCGCGGATGCGGACTGGAACAGAGACAGCGTGCCAGCCGTGTTCAAGCTTAGTCCGCTCCACGTTGCGCTGCACCACCTCTGCAGATCCCGAACCCAGCGTGCTGACAACAGGAGAGACCTGGTCAGCCGCAGACGACTGACCATCGACAACAATTGTACACCGCCATTCGGTCCACTGGTTCGCGCTGCACTCCACCACCGCAGAGCACAGTGGCACCTCGGTCGTGGTCCGCACTGTATCGTACGCGGGCGTCATGGCTACAACCAACGACGTCGTTCCAGTCCATGCGCGCTCCTGATCAAACGTCCACGTCAAGTCTCGCAGCCCGAGCCCGGTTGCTTCCTGCTTGTGTTGATGCCACGTCGCGAACAGCAGGTCGGGCTTGGGCATGCACACGCCCATGTCGGTGAATCCAGCGGGCCACTCGTGCACCACCTCGCCGCGGTCAAACCAGCGCGTGCCCGAGCCGAAGCCAAAGTCGGTATAGAAGCCGTGTGCACTTGCACGGCGCTCCAGTCGAGCGCTCTCGAGATTGGTACCACCAAAGTACAGCTGTACGGGCTTGACTTCGTGCTCAGCGAGGGTGATTCGGTGGGCTGTCGGCGTGAGCGGACGCGGAATGCCGATCCAAAAGGCAAGATCAATGTGCCACCAGTCGGACCATTTGCGCTTCATCGACTGCTGCGCGGGCGGCAGCGTTTGGCCTGAATCTTGGTCTTCCCACGTCCATCCCGGTGCGAACAGCGCCACGCTGAGCTGCAGTGCTGATTCCTCGGAGCGATGCGGACCGATCATGTCGAGCGATCGCCACGCCTTGGTGCCGCCCCAGCAGTTGCGGCCAAACACGTCGATGCCGACATACACATCGGTACGTGCGCGCTCTACGCTATCTGCCATCGCCGCCGACAGGAGCAGCTGCGGATGGTACCCGCCATCTTCGGGGCCCGTGAGCGTGAATCCGCGCAGCTGCAGCGCCTGCGGACTCTCGTCATTCGGATCGACGAGCTGACCTGGTGGAAGCGGCTGTGGCGGTCGTGCCCAGGTGTAGTTGGTGAAGAAGGTGTGGGCGGACTGGAAGAAGTCGATGTTGTACTCGTTCAGCGCGTCTTGCCAAGCGAGCTGTCCGTGCGGATAGACGACCGAGTCGTACCACATGACTTCCCATTCGTCGGCCCGCTTTCCCGCCTGCGTGAATCGTCGCGTGCCTTCCTCACGCAGGAAGTGGACCCATGCTCGTAGCCGCTCTGAGTTCTTGTGCAACTCGCCCACCCTCGCCTGCTGCCCGACCCACGCAGGCCAGGGTTCGCCCGAGCAGCTGAAGCCCAGATCGAGCGCCACCTCGATGTTGACCAGGTAGCCCGAGAAGCCGCGCTCGAGCGCGAGCTCAATGAGCTCCACTGCGTATTGCTGCGAAAAGCTCGGTGGGCCTCGCAGCGGCATCGCTTTGCGCTCGGGACCTCGCAGAAGCCGAGCTAGGTCAGGCGCGCTCTCGGCCCACTCAAAGATGAGCGTACCCAGCGCCTTGGTGCCTGTGCGTCGGCATGCGTGGAGCCAGCCGACGGGCGGAATGCTGACGCGCTTGTGCGAAAAGTAGATGAACGTGTCGACGAGATGTAGGTGCTCGAGCGAGTAGCCTTGCTGGTGGGGATCCTCGTTGTAGCCTCCCTGAAAGTCATGGCATACGACCAGCTTTGGCTTTGGCTTCGGCTTTAGCCTGTCGGTGGCAGTGGAGGTAGGATGCGTGGGAGGGCGGACGTGATTCCTGCATGGCTCCAAGTGATCATGAAGTACTTCAGGGTGGCGCATCTGATACCAGAGGTGCAATTCGTCGAGGTTCTCCAAGTAGTCAGGCTGCGGCAGCGCCTCTGCGTCGAGATGCTGGCGCAAAGACGACGACGGTGACTGGAGGTCAAGGTCGAGGTCGAGCTCATCTTCGGCGAGTGCTCTGGATGACGAGGACGACGAGCTTCCTCCTCTTGGTGCGAGATGGCGTGCGGACGGCATCTGCAGACGCTTTGCCTGAGGTGAATACAAGGTGCTGGTAGGAGCGGTAGTTGCACGGACACTGCGAAGATTGAGCGCAGTTCAGGGTCCAACACGAGCCCGCTTCGGCGATTTGAATGGGGCCAAGGTGGAGGCGCCAAATTTCGTCCTGTTAGACCTGTGGGTGGGCGCCCTTAGCCGACGATGCTCGACTCGACCTCGCAGATTCGGCAGCTGCGATGGCCGATAGCAACAGGCACACCTGCTCAGCTCGGATACTCGGAACGACACGACCAATGTCATGTTCAGAGCTTGGGCGTCCATTCCACTGCAGCGTAAGTCGCACCAACTTGGCCATCGGACTCATCGACCGTTGCCGTTACCCCACATCAATCGACTCCATCTTGCGAACCAAGCCGGCTTTCTTCGCAGCCCTGTACCTGTGCAATCACACCGGCGATCCATCATGACAGCTCCTATCCCACTCATCGTCGACACAGATCCGGGCGTCGACGATGTGCTCGCGATCCTGCTGGCGCTCGCTTCTCCGGACGAGGTGTCGGTCAAGGCGCTAACGCTCACATTTGGCAACACCACGCTCGACCATGCTAACGCCAACGTGCTGCGCACCGGAGCCATCTTGCACCGACACCTTGCTGATCCCTCAACGCCGGACGCGGTCAAGGCGCGCTACCGCAGCTTCCACGCCGATGCCGAACCTATCGTGGTGGCTTCGGGTTCCACACAGCCGCTGGAGTGCAAGATGTTCACTGCCTCCTACTTTCACGGCCGCGACGGCCTCTCTGGCGTCCACTGGCTTCCGAACGACCCTTTCCCAGTGCCAGAAAAGGCACCCGCACCCCTCACGCCAACAGACAAGCACGCGACCGATGTCATCCTGGATGTGATTCGTGCTCATCCTCCGCACACGGTACGCATTGCAGCGCTTGGTCCGCTCACCAACCTCGCTGCTGCTTTCCGCAAAGATCCCAACACCTTCGCCAAGGTGGGCGCAATCACAGTGATGGGCGGAGCCTTTGACGTCCCGGGCAACACTTCGCCCGTCGCAGAATTCAACTGGTATGCGGACCCGTACTCGGTGCGAGTGCTGATCGACGAAGCACCGCGACATCCTGCGCTTGGTGGTAAGCGCCTGCCAATCCAAGTCCTCGGTCTCGACATCACCTCCCACCACACCGTGCCGTATTCGCGGTTAGTCAAGGCGACCTACGAGACGCCCAGCGACGTGCCCGAAGGCGCCAGTCATCTCGAGCGGTTCGTCGGCACCTTCCTCACCCATCCAAGGGCTTTCACCAACAATATGGTGGCGCCAGAAGAGTTTCACCCGGACCAGCACGATCTCTTCCAGGCTCACGATCCGCTTGCTGTCGCCCATGCGATCTTCTGTCCGATGCCCGGCGCCGACTCTGCGGCGCAGACGGATCACGGATGGACGCATTCCGAGCGTCGCTTCCAGATCGAGACCTCGGGCGAGCTCACGCGCGGCTTCTGTGTGGTGGACCGAAGATTCGTTGGCGCAAACAGCCGCAGGAAAGCGGGACACAACCGTGCGGAGGATGCGGATGACGGCGTCAACGGGCTTCACGTCATCGAGAACCCCGACATCCCCGTGCACAAGTCGGCCCAACCGGACAAGCCGGCGATGAGCGACGAACCACAGGTAGGGTTGGTCGACGAAGTTACGGGGACGCCAGGCACACAATGGTTTGCGCAGATGTTCCTCGAGCGGATCGGACTGTAAGCCTTATCGATACGAGCCAATCAAAGCTGCAATGGAAAGCTGCAATGGACGAGGCGCTCATCGATACGGCAGAGTGAGCAATGCTATGAGCACAGAGCTGTTGTTGCGGTAACCCGATGAGGATCGGGATGGAATCGGCCGATGTTCGTTGTACGACTTTTCACGCCTCGGGTATGCTGGCATTGCAGCCTCGCCGATGCGTCAGAACGCGTCCGGCTCGGGAGAGAGCCTGAAAAAGCCGGTAAGCGGCCGTCACCCCAGCATCACGATGTTGCCGCCTCGCACACGTACAAAGAAGACCATGCGAAGCGCATTGAGCATCTCAGCATCGCTGCACGAGTGTTACCCTTTTAATCTTCAATCAGAAGTGAAAAGCTGTTGTGAAGTCGCCCTTGCAGTTTTGGTGCGAGCGAGGGAGGCATCGGCCACGACGCTTTTTCAGCCGGGCGCGTTTGAGCGAGCTCGGGTTGCGGGGCTGGGGTGCGAGGCTGTCAATTCACGAGGCAGGCAGGCAGGCAGGCATGCACGTCTATCCGGTTATGGCCTCTGCGGCGGACCGCCTGAAGTGTTGCCGAGGAGCTTCAGATGCATTGTTGCTCCCCACACTCTGCGCATCAGACGATTCCTACATTCTCCGAGCCGGGTCCCCAGCGCTACCTCGAAAGCCATTCACCTCGCGAAACCATCCTCCTGCGTACCACATCCCTCAGCGACTTTTCTTCGTACAGCCGGTCTTTACTCGATCTCCGTCCACCATCTCGAAACCTAGACAGCAGCCATGTCCGACGACTCTTTCATCCATGCTTGCGCCGGTGGTGTTGGTGGCATGGTCGCCATGACCGCCACCTACCCGCTCGTCGGCATCTCGACGCGTGCGGCCGTCGAGTCTTCCAAGAACCCCGAGGAGCCCATGGTCAAGGCGGCCCTCAAGATCCTCCAGCAGGAGGGCGTCTCCGGCCTGTATGCGGGCCTCAGCTCCAGTCTCATCGGCATCGGTGTCACCAACTTGTATGTCCTCTGCCCTCCGCTTTGTCTATACAAAGCGCATTGATTGCTGATCCTTCCTGACCTCGATCATCGAATGCAATAGCGTCTACTACTTTTTCTTCGAAAAGTGCCGAGAGAGCATCCTCAAGTCCAAGGCCAAGGTCGCCGCGGCTGCCGCTACGTCTGCCACGGCTACAATCGTCAACGGCGGTGCCCTGACCACCTTTGAGTCCATCCTTGCTGGTCTCATTGCAGGCACCGCCACCACCGTGTCGACGAACCCGATCTGGATCGTCAACACGCGCCAGACGGTTCGTGTCGGCTCGGCGGATCCCAGGGCGGACCCCAAGGCGGCGGCGGCGGCGGTGAAGCGTCTGGGCTTCCTGCAGACCATGCAGAAGATCGTGCGCGAGGAGGGCCCGCTGGCGCTCTGGAAGGGTCTCGGCCCGGCGTTGGTGCTCGTCATCAACCCCGTGCTCCAGTACACCGCCTTTGAGCAGCTCAAGAACTGGGTGGTCAAGTCGCGCCTCGCGCGCGCCAACGGCGGCAAGGTCTCGCTGTCCGACTGGGACTTTTTCTGGCTCGGCGCCCTCTCCAAGCTCTTTGCCACCGGTCTCACCTACCCGCAGATCGTGATCAAGAGCAGGCAGCACGCCGGCGCCAGCAAGGGCGCAAGCACCAACATCTGGACCGCCATGACCGAGATCGTCCAGCGCGAGGGCATCGCCGGCCTCTACCGAGGCATCGCATCCAAGCTCCTCCAGTCCGTCCTCACCGCCGCCATTCTCTTTGCCAGCAAGGAGCGCGTGTTCAACATCACCAAGGCCGTAAGTCGTGTGCCCGGTACCACTTCGCGCTGAAACCATGCTGACCTTCGATTCTCTTGCTTTTCTCGACACAGCTCATTGCGCCTGTCGCCGCGGCCGCCCCGGTCAAGAACTAGACACTCCACTCTTCGGCCATACTCCCCTGACGCTGCGCATCCGTCTCCCTGCGAACCGTCGCCTCCAACCGCCTTGTGTTTCTAGCCCCCAAAGAAAGAAAAGGAGCCTGTTTTCCGACCACTTTCAGAGAGCGGTCTGCGTACGGTGCTGAAAGAATTAGCGTGGATTTGGAAGCGACGGGAGCCCGACTAAGAACCTCGATAGGTGGTGTACGAAAACGGCGAGAGGAGGAGGGGGATGTGATAGTGCGGATCGGGCGATTCTGTGAGCTGGAAGAAGATCTGTGTGCGGTGCAGTCGAAAGCGAATTCGTATCGTGAGTTTGTGCGGGCTATCACTCTGCAATCAGAGGCAAGACTTACCTCGACGTGGGGGTAGAAGGTGGCGCGGCTCGCCTTTTCAAAGTACTCGCCCGTGTAGAAGATCATCTTGTACACGCCCTTGGGTACGAGGACATCTTTGGCGTTGTGGCCTGTGAGGAGGTCGGGGCAGCGTCCGTCCGAGTTGGTTTCGCCCGTGGCCAGGATGTGGAACTGCGAGTTGAGCGGCGAGAGCGCCTCGAGCTGCACGCGCACGCCCGCAGCGGGCTTTCCCAGCGTCGAGTCGAGCACGTGGCACGTGATGGGAGATTTCGACATGCTGTACGGCGATCTTGTCGAGTGTAGTCGCTCAAGAAGATGGTGGTCAAGATAGTGGAATGTTGCACAGACCACGGCGTCAAAAGACCCTGCGGAATCCCGCTCGAATTCGCGCTCCCCGCTTCGGACTTGGCCGAGCCACTCCAGAATTTCACTCACACGACCATTGCACAAGCATCTTGGCTCACGACCGCCAACACGCTTGAAGCAGCAAGGCAGATCGATTGCTTAGTCGAACATGATACGCAGCCCCATCTGCTGCACAAACATCGCAACGATGCCGAGGCTGATGCATGCCGGCAGAAGGTCCAGTCGCACCACCGAAAAGATCCAGAGTGTGCCCAGCGGTGCCACTCGCTGAATCACCACATCGTACGACGACTGTGCGTTCGAGCCACGACAGAAGAGAATGCAATAGAGTCAGCGACATGCTTCAATGCGCGTGGGTGCCGCGAGGAGGCGCTCGACGTACCTTGTTGACAATGTAGATCAGAGAGCAGCCGCACGCCGAGCAGATGCCAAACAGCAGCACCTGTATCAACGCCTGTCGCTGCGACGTGAGGTCTGCATGTATCCACAGCGGTAGACGAGAAGAGTACGAGGTCAGCACAGGCCGTGACAGTTGTGGTGAGCTCAACGACCGATGAGAAGGACTTACTGAAGTGGATGAAGAAGCCGAGGACTAGTGAGTCGGCAAGGCCAGGATTGAACGTGAATGTGTGAGTATATCGTATCCGATCGGCTGAACAGTCTGGGAAGTGCGGACTCACCTGGAAGCGCTCGGATCAAGCGCACTGCCTCGTCTGCGAGCCCAACGGTATCTCCGTACTGCTGGCGCACCAGCACGTCGAGCAGCGTATACATGAAGCCGAAGGGCATGGTCCAGATGATCAGATCCAGGATGCTCTCGACCTGCGGGCTCATCTCTGTCGCTTCTTGCTCCTGCATCAATCGATCCGCGTTGTCGTCTCCGTCCAGCTCATGGTCCGAAGCCACGCCGTAGTCGTCCTCGGAATCGTCTGGTTCATCCTGCTCCGATCCGTTACGAGCTCGTCCGACTCCAGCGCCGGCTTCTCCATGCTTGAGCGTGTCGAGCTGGGCTTGAGCTTCGTCCATGCTGACAAAGTCCTTGGGCAGGCCCAGCTTCTCGATGATGCCGGACTTGAATAGAATCTCTTCCTGCTGTGCCTGCGTCAGTCCTGCTGTTTTGGACGAAGAGGAAGATGTGGCGGCAGGAGCGCGTACATCTTCGCTGTCCGATCCGTCCTCGATCTCGGTAAGGCGTGCCATGGTGTGGATGTGGACCGTGCTTTCGTGGTGGCTGCGAGGGTGTTGGTTGTCGCGATGCAAGAAGAAGGTGTTGCTTGCCGGCGACAAATCCGACTCGCGGAATTTCTCCACTCGGACCCTGAATCGACTTCGAAGAAGCTCGGACCCACCTTCCCTGCCAACACCATGCTCAGCTGCCTCCAACCGCAAAACTGTCGGCGAGCAATCTAGTCACGATCATGCTCTCATCTCACATCTCACAAGCCTGTTGAGGAAGGAACAGTATCATTTGCGTCATTACCAAAGGCCGGATCGTGAAAAGATGCATGCAGGGTCGCAGTCGTAGCAGTTCGCAGTCGTAGCAGTCATGGTCGAAACACTTGGAGAAGATGAGATGGGTGAGCCGCACTGGCAGCCGAGGGGCGGGATGAGGCCACAGGCTTAAGCAACGCAAGTGCAGTAGCTTCCATCGCCGCCAGGAGCGCCACCAGGTCCGCGGGGGCCACCATTGCCGCCATTGCCTCCAGCGCCGCCATTTCCACCGTGGCCTCCCTGACCTCCCTGACCGCCATTGCCACCATGACCGCCGTTGCCACCCTGACCGCCCTGGCCTCCCTGGCCTCCGCTAGACCCGGGGCCATTGTAAGGCCCATGGCCACCATGGTGACCGTATCCGCCGTACGGAGGGTAGCCGCCGGAACCGCCATTACCACCCTGACCGCCATTACCGCCGTTTCCGCCAGGGCCGCCATTGCCACCGTTGCCGCCAGGACCACCTGGGCCACCCAAACCGCCCTGGTTACCCTTGGGATGGTTGCCTTTGGGCTTGTCGTCATCGCAGTCATCGTCACCCGACGAGCCAGGACCGGCAGGACCGCCGGGACCGCCGGGGCCACCAGGACCACCAGGACCACCAGGACCGCCAGGACCTCCATTACCGCCAGGAGGAGGAGGAGCCGAGCCATGCTGAGGCTGGTAAGGCGGGTAGCCGTACGGGGGATACCCATACGGAGGGTAGCCGTAGCCGGGGTGGTGTCCGTATCCGGGGAAGGGGTAGGCTGGGTATCCGCCGCCTCCGACGCCGACGCCGGCGTTGCCACCGATGCCGACACCGACGTGGTCGTGCTTGTAGAATCCAGGGCCGCCGAAGCCAAGGTCAGCATCGGCGTTAGCCTGAACTCCCACTCCAACTCCAGCTCCGCCTCCACCTCCGATAGGGACGGCGCTGAAGCTCAGCCGCGTCCTGCTGGACTTGAGGAGCGTCGTGGTCGCGCTTAGCGAGCGATGCGGCTTCGACGGAAGCGCCGGATGCCTTGACGGGCGAAGCGGCAGCAGGCCTGGCTACAAGCATACCGCTCATGGCAAGCATGACACCAGCAAACAGCGCGGCAGAAATACGCGCCATCGTGATCGAGAGTAGATGATTAGAGAGAAGAGTGTAAGAGCCTTATTGTGTGGTGGATGAGAGATAGAATGTGAGAGAGTATGGTTGATGACGCTGATTGACGGCTCGGACAGGCTCTTACTTATACCTTCAGTCGCGGAGCCCATTGCTATCAAGGAGTCGAGGCATCGCTTCTCCAAGACGAGTCGCTCCATGCCGCTTTCCCCATGGGGCGATCCGGAGAACACTCCGTTCTGCCGTTGAGTGCCCAACGAGCTCATCTCACATCGAGGCTCAACCTCGACTTGATCTCGCGGCCCTCCTCGCAGCACAGCAAACTCTTCGTATGAGACACGAACCGAGCTCGGTCCAACCTTGCCATGCCACAAGGGAGCATTCATTTTCTGCACTCCGCCTTGATCTCGTAATGGCCATGAGCGCAACACCTTGTCCTTATCACCTACGTGCAGCTGGCTGATGCCTCCTTTGAGGTCCGGGATCGGACGCGGCTCGACGGCAAATGAAACCGCCACCCTTTTCAGGCACAATGCACGGATCCTCGCTCGTGATTCCGCCCCTCCGCACGGACGCACTCTCTTCATCTCATACATGCCATCGGGTCGACACGCTTCAGCGGCTTGACCGCATCATTTTGCACGCGGTTAATATCCACTACAAGTGGCGCGAGCAAGCGCCTCGTCGGCGCGCAAAAAACCCATTTGCCGCTACGACGCGTATCGATGTTGCCCCAGTCCACTTTGCACGACCGAGACATGCCGAGGCCAAGGGCTTGAACACACCTCTTCCTTCATTCCGAGGCCGCCTAGCTAGGAACATGCGCATGGCAAGTCCCTCCGAAAGAAGCGTCCGCCTCCTATTTTTGACTGCCGCAACTACACAGCCACAAGATAATTCACAGACCGAGGTGTGAAGAAACGAAAATGTGGATTGAAGAGGGAAGACACAAGATCGGCAGCTCTGCAACCTGACAGCGCAGAGCTGCACTTGGCGAGAAGCCAGCTCCAAGCTCTCGACACCATCGCATGATGTCGAGGCTGGACAGAGAGGGAGCGATGGACAAAAAAAGGAGTGAAAAAAGTAAGACGGAGACACGAGACGAAGAAGACGGAACGATAGCATCGAGCATCGAGCCAGACTGGTCGCCAGAATCGAAGCCGAGCCGAAAGACGAAGGCAGACATACGTCGAACGCTGCTGCCTTCAAAGGCCGACGGTTGCGGTAGCCGTGCGCACGCAATGACCAGTGCGCGATCGCCTACTCAGCCTTGGCATCAGCGAGGCCCTTGCCTTCACCGATCGAAGACTCGTCGACGTTCCAGCGGTGGTTGTATCCACCTCGACCACGGCCGTGGCCTCGGTTGCCCCAGCCATCACCCCAACCATCACCCCAGCCGTTGCCCCAACCGTTACCCCAACCGTTACCCCAGCCGTCGTTCCAGCCACGACCACGTCCGCCGTCCCAGCCACGACCGCGTCCATCCCAGCCATCCGAGCCGCCGCCGTGACCTCGGTGGTCGACGTTGTCGAGATCGCGCTTGAAGCCTCGGTTGCCGCCGTTCCACCAGCGCGGGCGGCATCGGCGGAAGTAGGGGTCCCAGTACCAGCCCCAACCGCACCATCCACCTCCGCCACCCCAAGGCCATTCGGGGCCATACTGCTGAGTGTCGCGCTTGCTGTAGTCCTCGACAGCGTCGGTGGCTTCGACCTCGGCGACATCGCGCTTCACCTCCTCGTCGCCTTCCTCGACATCGCGCTTGGATTCGCGACCGCGACCACGGCCACGACCACGGCCGCGCCTGCGGCAGGAGTGGTAGTAGTCGTCCCAGTCGTAGCCGTCACTGCAGCGACGTCGACCTCCCTGCTCGACGTCGCGCTTGAGGGAGTCGTCGCCTCCATCCTGAGCGACATCGCGCTTCTCCTCGCTGTTGCGGCCGCGCCTGCGGCAGTAGTGGTAGTTATCGTCCCAGTACCAGCCGTCGTCGCAGTGGTGGTAGCCGCCGCCACCCTGCTCGACGTCTCGCTTGAGGGAGTCGTCGCCTCCATCCTGAGCGACATCGCGCTTCTCCTCGCTGTTGCGGCCGCGCCTGCGGCAGTAGTGGTAGTCATCGTCCCAGTACCAGCCGTCGTCGCAGTGGTGGTAGCCGCCGCCACCCTGCTCGACATCACGGGCAAGAACGGGAAGGCCAAGGGGGGACTCCTGCGCCGCAACATCGCGGACCGGAAGGCTGGCAGCCGAAGCACCAGGCGAGGCAACGCCCATAAAGGCGAGGGTCGTGGCGACCAGAAGGACAGAAGAGATGCGAGTCATTGCGAAGAAGGGCGGAGTAGCCGGAGCTGGCGGTTCAAGGTTCGAAGTGATCAAAAAGTGGGAGTCGAGTCGAATGTGAAATGGAAGGAGTTGTGAGGGGAAGTATTTTGAAGTTTCGCTACGTGGGACCTGATGCGCGAGAGAGGATGGTGCGAGGGATGTTGGGTCGACCTGGATTGGGTCGCCTTATATCCTCTTTCGATCCCTTCAAACGAGCATGGCGAAGGCTGTATGGATCCGCCTGAGGATCTCAGGTGGTCTGCTGTAGCAACAGTAGACAGGAGAAGACCCTCAAAGCGTCGGCACGTCGACGAGGCTCTCGTCGCGGCTTCGATGTCCTGAGTGTGCTCCTGCTCGGCGGGGTCTTCCAGAATGCAGAAACGGACAGCATGGCAGTGATGAATACGACGAAGCTCTGACCGATCCAGCGCTCGCAGTTTGCTCATCTCGCGAGGATCGGCTCGCCAGGAACAAGCTGGATGCGAAGCCGAGCAGACGGTCAAATGTCCTTGGCTAAGCAGGAAGAAACTCCTGAAACCTCCGCTATTGGAAGACCGCCGGTGGCTTGGCAAGAGCCGCGTTGGGGCTGAGTCAACTGCGATCGCGAACGCCTCTACCGTAGATTTACTGTCGATACATGTGATGTTTGGCGGAGTGCCGAGCACCGGGCCGGTTGCGTGGCTGTCCGCTCTACCGCTCCAACATGCCGAGAAGGAGCGACCACGTGGGTCGAGGCGCCACATTGTCAGCTGTGACTTCGTGAGTTCCCGACCGAGTGGAAAGACGATGTGCAGGACGATGCCGGGGGAATTGATCGGCCTCGCCTCGAGGCTGGTTGCGAGAGACTTGGCTTGCCAGTTGATCCGATTGATCAGCACCAAGGTCTTCCGTCGCCTACTGGCTAGACGTCACTCTCCCACTCCGCCATCCGCACTCCATACCTGCGTGCTCGCTGCTTGTCTGTGCCTGTCTAGCCAACCTACAAGATTCCGCCTCGTCCGCGACAACACGTTCGTGATCATGTGGTGGTCAGCTGACCCGTCCATCTGGTCATCGAACAATCTCGTCGCCAGGTAAGCCATGGCTAGCGGATGAGTAGACCTTCAGGCTCTTCCGGCTTCTCGGGCTGAGCGAGAGTAATGCCGCTGGTTTCACGGTCTTCTACCAGCTCGATGCCGCCATGGCTAGGCCTCGAACTCGGTGACTTTTCTTCGCAAGCCAACGTCAACATTCCGTGCGAAAGCAGGGCGCCACAAGCCCGCTCGCACTCGCTCCTCATGGTGACGATCGCAAGTCCAAGTGAGCCGTTGCTGAGTCAAGTGACTACTTGCTGGCGAGAACGCCATGGATGTGCCTTAAGAGGAGGGATTGGGTGACTGTTGGCGACGCGCGAGTGGCCAAGTGTGCGGAAGCTGACTGCACGGCAAGGGTGAGAAGCTGGATCCTCTTTTCTGGCCGAGGTGTCACGTTGACTGTTCATAATTACAATGCGTCCGCGATAAAACATGAGCAGCTTCTTAGCGCAGTAGGTAGCGCGTTGGGCTCATACGTTGTATGACATCTGCCTTTCCACTCCCTGAGTGGTGACACCCAAAGGTCGTCGGATCGAAACCGACAGAAGCTACTTTTTTTGCACTTCTTCTCTCTGGCTTTTCGTGCTGTCTCACCGAATTTTGGAGAGGAATCTGGCCGATGAGCAAGGTGGAGGAGAACCGCGCGGTGAGCATGTGGCTGGCTGATTGATGCTTTTCCGATCCTGGCAGGTGAGACGTCGGTGAGAGTGCCGAGGTCCGGAGAAGGCCTTTTCTTTCCGCATGGGCCATCCAGCTGCGGCTAGCTGCAGGCACGTCCGGTGAGGTGGCTTGCTGAGTCTTGTCCGCATCGTGACTCGCTTCTTCCATCCTGCTTCCGAAGCCACCACCCACTACCACCTCGGTGACATCCACCGCTGCTGCTTGCTAGACCGCCTGCAAGCTCTGACCCCGGAAGGCTCGCTCGCTTTTCGGCACATACTCCGTGTGCACCTCTCGTCTCGGCCAAGATGCAGTCGGCCATCCAGTCAGTCACGCACAACCTGCCGGTCTTCATCCAGAAGCCTGCCATCGCACTCATCGGCCAAGAGTGCTACACGACGCTCGTCTACAATGTCGACCTGAGCTCGAGCCACTGCGTCAAGTATGCCATCTCCAAGGCGCTCGGCCTGGGCATCGTGGTGTTTGGTAGCATCATGAAGGTGCCGCAGATCCTCAACATTGTCAACGGACGCAGCGCACGCGGCATCTCGCTGTCCATGTATACGCTCGAGGTGATGGCCTATACGATCTCGCTCGCCTATGCGGTGCGCTCGCGTCTGCCCTTCTCGACGTACGGCGAAAATCTGAGCCTGACGCTGCAGAACATGGTGATCACGCTGCTCGTCATCGCCTACACTGCCGACGCACGCACCGGTCGGGTCGACCCGTCTGCACACTCGACCAAGATCACCGTGGCTGCAGTACTGATGGCGATTGGCTCTCTGGCCCTCGCCACGCCCAGCGTCATCTCGTCGTCGACGCTGACGTTCCTGCAGGCGTGCACGATCCCGATCTCGCTCGCATCCAAGGTGCCCCAGATGGCGGAGCTGTACAAGGATAAGAGCCGCGGCCAGCTCAGCAGCATCGTCGTGTTTGCTCAACTGCTCGGCACCATCGCGCGCGTATTCACGACCATGACCGAGACCGACGACAAGCTGCTGCTGTACGGATTTGGACTGGCCACGCTGTTCAATGCGGTGATCGCGGCGCAGGTGGTCTACTATTGGAATGGAGACAAGGCCTTGGCCGAGCAGAAGAAACGCGATGGAGAGAAGCTCGGCCTGCATCCCGCTTCGTCCAGCGTCGCACCTTCATACGAGCCCTTCACCGTCAGCACTCACGGGCCGGCGAAGAACCGCGGCCGCAAGCTGGACTAGATGTGTTTCCCCTGATGATGTGCAGCTCTGTCTTCAATATACAAAAGCGGGAACCATATGAGAGGACCGCACACCTCAACGCGCTGAGCGGGCTCTGTCGTCTGAAGCGTCGACAGCAACATCGTCTTTGCTCGAACGAAGTGCGTGTGTTGGTCTCTGAGCGGGCGCTGGGCGCGTGTTTGGAATTTGGGGCGAAGTAACACCGGCTGAGATTTTTGGGGGGCCGAGTGTTATTTTGAGGCGGCAAACTCCACATCGTTGCCGAGCTTTCGAGGGGCGGTGTGCCATGATGCTCATCAGCCGGGCTCGTATCGATCGGCCCACCCGTCACACCACCACTCCTCTTCCCACCCTCTTGACCCTATCGGCTCTCTTCCGACGACCGCACAGCAAGGTCGCTGCAGCTAAACGCCAGAGATGCTCTCGTTCTGGCCGATGTCGGGCGCGTCGAGCAGCTCGACGGCTCCACCCATCACACCCACGCCAAATCGCAGGCACGAGCCCGAAACGTCGATAGATCGACCTAGACCAGCAGAGTACACCGCCCCCGAAGACTCAAAACCTCCAGGAAGCGAGCGCAGAATCACTGTGCTGTCCGTGGTGGAGCAGTCGACCGGAGTGCTGGGCACGGTGCTTTCGAACCCGGTCGGAGCAGCGGTTGCTGGTATCTCGACCACCTCACTGGCTGCCTTGCTGTGGTGGCGCTACTTTCGCCGCATCCCAACCGCCGAATACGTCACTCCCGCCGTGCTCAAGTACCGCAAAGTACTCGTCGGCCGCGTCGTAACAGTCGGCGATGCCGACGGCTTCCGATTCCACCACACCCCAGGCCCACCCTTTCTGCGCGACTGGCTGAACCCCTGGCCGCCACGCGTGCGCAGCAAGAACGCCAAGCCAGGCACGCGCACTCGTCTCGTGCGCGAGACCATTTCCGTGCGTATCGCCGGTGTCGATGCTCCTGAAAGCGCTCACTTCGGCAAACCCGCCCAACCCTACTCGAAAGAGGCTAAGGACTTCCTCACGTCCATGGTGCAGTCACCGTCGTCGCCCGACAACCTCACCGCACCCAAAAAGTCGTTCTTTAGCTCCGCAAGCTCATCAGCACCCGCTCACCCCAGCAACGACGTTTCGACAAAGGTCGTCTGGCTCTACCCATCGCATATCGACCAGTACAAGCGGCTCGTCGCGACGCCGTATGTATGGGAGCCACCGTACGTGCTGGGCAAGACCAACGTCTCGCTCGCCATGGTCAAGCAGGGACTGGCTACGGTGTACCGCTCTGCAGGAGCCGACTACGGCCAGGCCACGTGGTGGGCACGCTTCTGGCGCAAGTCAACCACCGGCCTCACCGCGCTAGAACGCGCAGAAACCAAAGCAAAGTATGTCGTCGTTGCGCCCACCTTGTCGATGAGCTAGATCGCTGACTTTGATGCACTTTGTCACAGACGCCAAAAGACCGGCATGTGGAGCCTGGGCAAGAAGTTTGAGAGCCCCGAAGACTACAAGAAGCGCATCAAGGGCGAAACCTAGCCCCGCCTCCTACGATTCAGCCACGACTTTACGACCTCGACACCGAGCCTCGATGCGCTCGAATGATACCCCTCGGCCTTGTTTTTCAGCCTAATCATGAAAACTGCTTCTGACGATTCGCTATGTCTAGGCCCAGTGGAGCGTCTTGCCCTCGATGCTGCTCTGGCGGATAAGGCGAATGAGCTTGACGGCATTCAGAGTGCGCTCAACGCCCACGAGCGAGACGCTGCTGACCGCCTCGGCCACGCTAGCACCCTGCGCCTCGGCGTGCTGCGCGGCGTTGATCGTAGCAGCAATGTAGGCGAACAGGTCGATGTATCTGCCGGGAAGCGTGGGGATCGTGGCGACGGACAGCGTGGGCTGCTTGGGTGCCGCGCCGCCCGAACCGGGTGCGGGCAGCGACAGATCCTCGTCCGACCTCACCATGGTGGTGAGGCGGCCGAGACGCACGGTGTCCGGGTCCTGCTCCGAGTAGACGCCAAACTCGTCGGGGTGGCTCGAAGGCGTCCAGCCCGCCTTGAGCTGGTTCTCCTGAGGATCTGTGCCGCGCTTCTCGTATGCGCCACGCGTGCCCTCGACGCGGAATCGCGGCTGCTCCGCATCCACGTGCGACGACAGACACGTCGCGCCCAGGCTCACGCGGAGCCCGCCGATCTTGGAGCCGGACGCAGGCGACGAAGGCGGCAGCGGAGCAGTCGAGGGGTAGTTGAGGATGGCCAGCCAGTCGTCATCCACCGCCGCAGGGCCCTGGTTACGCTGGTTGCGCACGAAGCCCGTGACGCTCTCGGGCGGGCCAAAAAGGAAGAGCGCCTGGTCGATCAGGTGCGAGCCGAGGTCCCACAGCATGCCACCGCCCTGCGTGTCCGGGTCGACCTCCTCCCTCCAGCCTCCCTTGGCGTAGGGGCGGAAACGGTCGAAGCGCGACTCGAAGTACGTGGGCACTCCCAGCGCCGACGGCTCGGTACCCTTGTCGGAAAGCAAGCTCTGGATGGTGAGGAAGTCGCCGTCGAAGCGTCGGTTCTGGTACACGGCACACAGCTTGCCCGTCTTGTTCTGCAGGTCGATGAGCGTCTGCACGTCCTTCTCGTTGGTCGCCACGGGCTTTTCGACGAGCACGTTGAAGCCCGCCTCGAGCGCGCGCTTGGCAAAGGGGAAGTGGGTGTCGTTGGTGGTGGTCACGATGATCAGGCCGTTCTTGGGCAGCGTGGTGAGCACCGAGTCGAAGTCCGGGATGATGGTCACGCCCGGGAAGAGCTTGGCGGCATCGGGGGACGACGAGTTGGCAGCGGTGCGCGGACGCTGCTGGATCGAGTGCAGCGTGAAGAGCTGCGGAAGCGCCTGGACGAACGGCAGGTGGAACGTGCGTGCCGAGTTGCCGAAGCCCACGACACACACGGGGATCGGAGTAGTTGCGGTGGTGGAAGACATGATCGCGAGCGGCAGAGTGGGTGATGGGTGGTGGTGCGGTGGAAGGTTGGAAGAAATTTAGCTTTTGTATGTTCGTCGACGGCAACGCACAGACCGATCGGTGCTCAGCTTGTGCGCTGCTCCACATGCGATGCTGAAATTCTCCTTCCAACCTCGTCCATTGATGCTGCGCACTCAGCATCTGTTACTGCCCACTTCTTTCAACTCGGCGTTCGGGTTGCCTTGGCTCCGTGGGGAGCCTCGAGGCTGAGCATGTCGTTGAGGGCTTCCGGTTGGTTGGTCGGCGTCGTTTGCCGAAACGACCGACTTCGCGGCAATGCAATACCAGCGCCACGGACAAACTCTGCACCCCACGCCCAGCTCTTCCGTCCGTCTTCCGAAGTTCAGAATTTGCCCACGCTGATCGCAGCCCCAGCTCGCTATATCGAGAGGCCGTCGCCAATCGCCGCTGAACGAGTCATCGTCTTTGCTCGAGGATCCGCTCAGCTTTACTCACTGGACAGACCATCGTCAGTGCCGACCAGGTGCCCGGGAAGACATGGCAAACGTGCTTGCAAGTGCGGATACGAAGGGGGGAACAACGGCAAAAAGAAAGAAAAACAACTGCAGCACCTAGGATTCCCGCGTGGTCCCCCACCGCAGTACTGACTAGGCGATACCTTGCTTAACTTCGCAGATCGGACGGGATGCGGTGCTTTCAAGGTTCTATGGCCGCAGATGTCAGTCGATGAGCTGATATACAATATGTACAAGGATTTCCTGAGGCAAAGAACAGCCTTCTTTGATTGGGTATGGCAAGCTATGTTCCAGATGGGTTTGGAAGGGCGGTATCTGACATTCATGCACGCAATGGCGGCGACTCCGGATCATTGCCCCATTCCTGCGGCGAGCTTTGCAGGCCGAAGGTCCATTCTCCACCAGCGAGGATATCGTCCCAGTTGAGCTTGGGCTTTGCGACTGCGCGGCCGTTGACGGTGAGGTTGGCAACGTAGACGTGGTCATCGTCGGATCCCACCGCATGGATGCGCAGCTTGGTGCCGTTTCCTGCATCATTCGCCACGCGAGGCGGAATGTCGATCTCCATGTGCTCGAAGAACGGTGAAGACACGACGTACTCTCCCGACACAGGATTGACGGGGTAGAGGCCCATGGCGCTCCAGATGTACCACGCGCTCTGCTGACCGCAGTCTTCGTTGCCCGCATACCCATCCGGCTGATCGCTAAATGCCTCGTGCGAGATTTCGCGCACGAGCCGCTGCGTTTTATGCGCCTCGCCCAGCAGCGAGTAGAGGTAAGGAATGTGATGCGAAGGCTCGTTGGATTGATCGTTGTGGCCCTCGCCAAAGTGCCGGTCCAGCAACGCAGTCAGCTTGGTGCGACCACCAACGAGCTCCGCAAGCCCTGGCACGTCCTGGACGACGTCGAACGAGTAGTCGAAGCTGTTACCCTCGGTAAAGCCGTCCTGCCGACCGCGCGGATCCGGCAGCGGCTGCACGAGGAACGTGCCGTTCTTCAGACGCGCTGCCATGAGCCCCTGTTCGTGGTCAAAGACATGGCGGTAGTTGCGGCTGCGATTGTGAAAGAAGCTCGCATCGGATTGCTTTCCGAGTACTTCGGCGAGGACTGCGATGGCATGGTCGTCGTAAGCGTAATCGAGCGTACGACTCGTCGACTCGGACCATCCATCCAAAGGCACGTAACCCGAGTGATTGTAAAAGCTCAACCCAGCGCGTACCTCGAGCGGCGTATACTCCTCGCGGTCTTCGTAGCGCAGTTCGTCTTCTCGCTCGGGAGGTACGGTGGCGTCCTTGTAGACCGCCTGCCACGCTTCGTCCAGGTCGAAGCCACGTACGCCCTTGACCACGGCTTCTGCGAGCAGCGAGTCTGCATGTGTGGCGATCATAATGTTGGTCTCTGCAAGCGTCGACCACATTGGCAGGAAGCCCGACTGGCGGTAGATGTCGAGCAGCGACCGCACCAAGTCGACGACGCGCTCGGGCTCGAACAGGATGAGCAGATTCCACTGCGCACGGTAGATGTCCCAGATGGACCACGACTGGTAGCGCTGCGCGCCAGCATCGACACGGTGCACGCTGTCTGTATAGCCAGAATAGTAGTGGTAGCTGTGCTCGTGCTCGTGCCCGAACCGAAGCAGCGGAGTCGCTTCGCTACGGTTCGTCGGCTTGTGCGTGTCAGGGATGGGTTCTGCGTGTTCTGCGGGGTACTGGGACGCATGAAAGATGCCCGTGTAGAGAATGCGCTTCTGCTCCTCTGTACCGCCCTGCACCTTGATGCGGTCTGTCTTGCTCTTCCACGCGTCGATGAGCTCGTCCACGACGTCTTCGAGCGCCGTGGCGTCCGGCATCTCGACGTCCAGGTTGTATCGAGCCTGCTCCTCGGAGATGAGGCTGAGGCCGACGCGCACGCGGATCTTGGTGGTGTCGGTGGGGAAGCGAACATAGGCGTAGACGCCGAGCTCGTGCCAGCGCGCTCGCTCGCCAGGATGCAGAGTGATGCCCGTAGAGTTGGAGTGCGCGGTCCCTGCACCGTCAGCTGGAAAGCCGCGGATCCATTCGTCGGACGAAGCGCCGCTGCGTTGGTGTTCGAAGCGATACACAAAGTAGCCGCGGAAGTCCGGTGCTTCGTGTGGGCCGAGGCGGTAGTCCATCCTCTCGGTGTTGTAGCCCGACACCTCGCCTTTGTGCACGTCGATCCGAACAGCCCCGCGCCACTGCTCGCGCGAGGCTTGGATGCCGATGTAGGGACCCCACTCCGAGTCGTTGACGCTGAGAGTTGCCGAGATGCTGTCATGGTCGGTGTGAGTTCCTGCAGGGCCGCTGTTTAGTGCTGCAGGGTAGGTGTACTGCACCATGGCGGCCCGACTCTTGCCTGACATCTCTGCAAAGATGCCATTCTCCGCCAGCGACGAATTGGACATGGTAACGGCATACTTGAACGGCGACACGAATTCCTGCGACCGTTTGTACGAATGGCCGCGTTCGTGCTTGCCGAGTTTGACCTCGCCATTGCCGGCGAAGAGGGTGGCGAAGCCGTAATCGCCCATCCAGATGGCGGGTTGTCGGCTGGCGAGGAAGCCGATGTTGGCCGTGTCGTTGTCGTGGTACGCGCAGCCCGAGACGAGATTCTCGCGCGTCATAGGCACGGTTCGAACGCCGGCAAAGGGCAGTGCGACCGAGGGCACCATGCCGCCGTATTCTGACGGGTCGGGACCGTTGGTGCCGATGCGCGGATCGACCCATTGCAGGGTGTCCAGGCGGTTTCTGTACCGTGCCCCCTCGACTTTTGACACCGAGTCGACTGTTGCATCGCAGAAAGGATAGCATGGTGGAGGGACAAAGTCGTGCGCCGAGGATGTGGTGGCCGTGATGCTGTCGTCCGCTGCGAAGGGTGTTTGGTGCGCCCGAACGGATGCCAAGGTGGCCGACACGGCAGCGCCTAGAGCGAGAAACCGTAGCGCGGGAGCACTCGCCCTGGTGAGGACGCGCATCGTGCTCAGTGCCGCCGTGTGTGCTTACGATTGGATGCAGATGGTGTCAAGCTGGAAGGAGGGTGCAGAGGTTGTGGAGGTTGCGGTCCGTGCCTCTTCGGCGGATTTCAGGGTCCAAAGCACGGTGTTCTCCTCCACTTTGCAAAGCCGCCAGATCCTATTCTTTTGGCGTTCGTCATGAAAAGTTCTCCTTCTTTTGTGACTCCGATACCGTACTACCTTGGTCGCATGGTGCAGAGAAACGTGTAGAGCAGGCTTAGATAGACGACCATGCCGACAGCCACAACGGCTGCAACCAACGGCGTAAGGCATGCCGAAGCTGACGAACGCTCACCTCTCTTATCCACCCCGAACGAAAATGGAGTAGGAGGAGCAGAGCCATCGCAGTGGACAAGATGGACGAGCATTTTCAAGGAACACGCCTGGACGCCATTACCGCACTTTGACTCGAGCGATGCGCTGCCCACTTCGTACGTGGTGCCTCTTCTGCTGCAGTGCGTCATCACGGGACTGGCGGACGCCTCGACGTTCTCGCTGACGGGGACGTGGGTGGGCTTTATGACGGGCAACATGGTGCAGATGGTGATCAATGCATTCGACTTTTGGCTACCCTCGTCGTCCAACGCCAGCAGCGATCAGGATCGCGTTCGCACCAAGCTCATGTACAATCTGAGTGCGATCGGCGGCTTTATGCTGGGCTGTCAGGTCACCGCGCTGATCCTCAAGCGCTTCAGCAGCGAGCGTTCGAAGCGCATGGCGCTGGTCGCCTTTTCGCTGTACCGATCCGTCATGACGTTTGGGCTGGTCATGTTTGGTGCGCACCATTCGACGCTGCAGCTGCAGGGTCCATTGGGATGGCTGGTGCATTCCATCCTCGCAGCGAGCATGGGGTGCCAGTCGACGTACTCGACCAGCCTCGCCACGCCCTTTTCCAACACGGTAGTGTTCACAGCCACGCTGACGGCCGTGTCGTCGGATCTGCATCTGCACAATCTGCGACTCGAGAAGGCCAACCGCTTCAAGCTGCTCAGCATCGTCGGTCTGCTCTCGGGCGGCGCACTGTCGCAGGCGGTGCTCAAGCTCGCCACCAAGGCGTCGAGGCGCAGCAAACACGAGGCGGTACAGCACGCCCTCATGCTGCTCTCGGCCATGGAGCTGCTGCTCGGCCTAAGCTGGTTCCTGTGCGGCATTGCGGCCAGCTCAAAGCAATACGCTCGTAGAAGAGCTGCACGCCTGTCTTCCAGTTGACCTTCACATTAGACCAACACTGCTTAGACCATGTGGTTGGACTAGTGTGCGCCTGACACCAACCGAGTGCCTGAGACGGACGAGGCTAGAAGACATCGGTGCAGAAGGATCACCCATCCACGCCGAGCCGCAGTATTGCTGAGCGGTGGCATTCATCCGGCGATCCTGTGAGATTTCCGAAGGCGGTCTGGGGTAGAAAGGAGATCACCGAGAACGGCACCATTGCTCTCACAGAAAGACCGGCCAATGCCGAGTCTGATGGTGCTGAAGTGCCTGCCGACCCCGCATTGGTCCCCACCATACACTCATGCTCATCAGCTTTTGATGAGACCACCGAGCTAGCCGAGCTCGCATCGGCGGCCGACTCGCGTATTGCTTCCACCATGTCGCTTTCCTCCATTGACCCACAAGGCAAAGCAGCCCCTGACGCCGTTGCGCAGCACCGTCGACTGGACCAGCGTATTTCGGCAGACCCTGTTTCGGTAATCTCGCACCGATGCGCTCAAGCTCTGTGTGATCAGCGTTTTGGCACCGGCAATCCCCATGCAGCCTGGATGGAGCCCCACAAAACATGCACGATGGCGCCCCAGCTGATCACACAGCGGCTGCATCGGCACAGAGCCTTCCATCCACGCGTGCTCCAGCCTCGAACGCATCGTGCACGGCCGCGCATCCGGCGGCCGTTGCGGCCATCCTTGGTCTTGCAGGCGCCGGGTGGATGTATAAAGACTCCGATGACAGCGGCGCCTTGTTGGCCCTCCCCAAACTCCGCATTGTTCTCCCCCGCATATTCCTGCAGCAACGGCCCGTCGCTCCTGCTTCCCTCCACTTGGCCATCCAGCCTCACTGCCCCACTCGTTGCTTTGCGACATCCATCTCGCGATCGCTCGTCAGTATAGCCAGGATGACGTTCAAGGCTGCCCTGCTTCCACTGGCGCTTCAGCTGCTAGCTTCGAGCGCAGCACTTGCCAGCCCCATGCCTGCAAGGGCAGCAGCGGTCGACTGCACCGAGCCCGCCAACAACGCAGCTTCAGCAAGTGGCGCCACCACATCCTCCTCCGCCGCGGCTCCACAGCAGACTCCTGGCTTTGTCAACAACGGCACCATCGGCAGCTACGCCTGCCTGTACAGCTCGCAGTCTGAAAGCGACCAACTTGTCCTCGGCGCAGCGTCGACAGTGCCGGGCACCCAGTGTCCAGACGCCCTGCCTCCTGTGTATCCGAACAACCACATTGAGCTGCGCGCTCCGGACGATTCGATCCGCGCCACCTTCCAGCCGTACGGCTCGGGCGTCACGGAACTCTGGGTCAAGGACCGTTGGGGTGGCTGGCGAGACGTGGTGCTCGGCTACGACAATACCACCAACTGGGCCACCGATCCCATCCACCCCAACTTTGGGCCCATCGTCGGCAGGTACGCCAACCGCATCAAGAACGGTACCTTTGAGCTCAACGGCGAGACGTACAACATTCCCAAGAACGAGAACAACCTCGACTCGCTTCACGGCGGCAAGATCGGCTACGACCGCAGCGCGTATACGATCAAGAGTCTCAGCTCCAACGAGGTGGTGCTTGAGCATGTTGATCCCGATGGATTCCAGGGCTTCCCGGGCCAGGTCAAGACGCTCACGCGCTACACGCTCGGAGAGAATGCGACGTGGCACATTGAGCTGAATGCGACGGCGAACAAGCAGACGCCTATCCTGCTCTCGTCGCACGTCTACTGGAACCTGGCGGCGTTCAACGAGTCGGCGTCGATCCTGGATCATGTGCTACACATGCCGTATGCGGACAAGTACGTCGAGACCGACACGATCCTCATCCCCACCGGCCCGCTGCCGCCTGTGCAGGATACGCCGTACGACTTCCGCGAGCCTACTGCGTTCACCAAGAACTTCAACGACACGCTCGGCGTGTGCGGATACGAGTGCAAGGGCTGGGACTCGTGCTTCATCATGTCCGACCCGCCCGGATACAACACAGCCAAACCCGTGGTGGAGATGTACAGCCCCAAGTCCGGCATCAAGCTCTCGGTGGCTACGAACCAGGCGGCCGTGCAGGTGTACACGTGCCCCGGTGTCAATAGCCCCACCAAGGGCAGCATCCCGCGCAAGCAGGTGCACGGCGGCAAGGTGGGCGAGAACATCGGAGAGGTGATCTACGATAACTCTGAATGCGTCGTCCTCGAGATGGAGGACTATATCGATGCCATCAACCAGCCCGAGTGGGGACGAAACCAGATCTACGGCCCCGACCGTCCGTACCACTGGAAGTCCACTTACACCTTCTCCACCGTCGACGAGAACGGCAACGCCATGTAGAATCCAATAACAGTGATGTGTCTGCATTCTCAGACTGAGTGTGATTAGAGCTTGCCCTTGTCGGCTGCGAGCTGACGGCCAGAGACCAGGATGCACGGCCCGCCGTAGATGACACGCTCCTGGATCGACGCCGGTTGCGCTTGCACCCACTTGACCAGCTCGGCGTCCTCTGCACCTGGCTGTTGTGTCGATCACGAACGAAGAAAAGCCTGATCAGCTTTGTTGGATGCATCGAGAGGGAGAGACGATGAGGACTTACCTGGAGCCAGAACGTGGAGACGCCCTGGTCCTGCAGACCGTTCTGGACGACGGCGAGGCTGATCTTAGGCGGCGTGACGACCGAGATGGCGATCTTGTCCGCCGACGTACCTGCGGCGTCGAGGAAGCGCGCCACGTCAGGTTGCGACGCAAGGCCCTCGATCTCGGCCTCCTTCGGGTGGATGGGCGTCACATCGAGCTCGTGCGCCTGGTACCACTTGAGCACCTTGTTGCCAAACTTGGTGGCATCCTTGCTCGCGCCCACAACGGCGAACTTGGATGCATCGAAGAAGCGGTTGAGCGCGGACTGGACGTGTGTGTTGGCCATCTTGTGCTTGTCTCCTCAATTGCAGATGGTAGTGGGAGTGAAGGAGCAAGAAGTCGCAGTGCAGACCAAGCAGGCACCATTCTCGGCAATCCATTTCGAGCGCTGACACCATTTGGGCTGGCGCGTGCGTGCGACGAGAGCGCATCGGGGCCCCGATTGGTCGCGGCGGGGCACGGACATGGAGCGCAACACCGCAAAGAAGCTCGGAAGAAGGCCAAATCGCGGAGTGGCACCGGTGGATTTGTCGGCTTTCCAAAGGTCCCTGTGACTCTCTCTCCCTCTCAAAGTCACAACTCTATCTGCGCCTCCTCTCCAAGAGTCACGAAGCGCAGCACTCTTCTCCACCCTTCCCCTCCAACCACCACATCCACGCTCTCTCGAAAGACTCGCTAACGCTAGACAAGATGGCCTCCTTCCTTACCCGTGGCAAAAAGATCGTAGCGTAAGTAGGCACGCGACACGGACGCCGTGGTGGGTGTTCTGCATGCTGATGAACATTCCTCATTTGCGTCGTGTGACAGGATCGGCCGCAACTATGCCGCACACGCCAAGGAGCTCAACAACGCCGTGCCTACCGAGCCGTTTTTCTTCCTCAAGCCCACCACGTCGTACATCGCCAACAACGGCACGGTCGAGATCCCCAAGGGCATTGTTGCGCACTACGAGGTGGAGCTGGGCGTGGTGATTGGCTCTGCACGCGTGCGCGACGTGAGTGCGGCCGAGGCGATGCAGCACGTTGCGGGCTACACGCTGTCGATCGACATGACGGCGCGCAACCTGCAGGACAAGGTCAAGTCCAAGGGACTGCCGTGGTCGTCGGCCAAGGGCTTCGACACCTTCACGCCCACTTCGGGCTTCATCGACAAGTCGCGCGTGCGCGATCCGAGCCAGCTCAAGCTGTGGCTCAAGGTGAACGACGAGCTCAGGCAGAACGGTCCGACGCGCGACATGATCTTTGGCATCCCCGAGCTGATCGAGCACGTGTCGAGCATCATGACGCTCGAGGAGGGCGATCTCTTGCTCACCGGCACGCCGCAGGGCGTGGGCGAGGTCAAGCACGGCGACACCATGTACTGCGGCCTCGAGGACCAGTCGGGCAACCTGCTGGAGCAGCTCAAGATCGACGTGGCCAACCGCGTCGGCGGCTACGAGTTCAAGCTTTAGATCACCGCAATGCCAATGTCTCAATCAAAAAACGGCTGCAAATTTTCCATTAAGTTTGGCTGGCATGTGTGTTCTGAAGGCGGGAGAGGGGGGGGGGGATTAGTTGTTCTTCTTGTTGCTGCCGTCTTTGAGGATGACGGCTCGCTTCAGAGCGCGCTTGTGGTTGTTGAGGGTGAAGAAAGCGATCCAGGCGGGGATGCCGAGAGCGGTGGTGGTGAGGGCCCAACGGAGGGTGACGAGGCGGCTGGCGCCCTTCCAGTAGCACACGAGGGCCATCAGGGCGCCCTCGAGCACGTGGGTGCGTACGATACCCGCGATGAACTTGTCCATCTTTGCGGGTCCGCCGAGCGTGTTGTTGCGCAGGTTGTTCCACTGTGCCAGCCTCGACTCGGGCACGAGCGACTGGACGATACCGTGCGAAGCGAGCGTATCGGAGCGCAGGGCGAGGTACGCCACCACGATGAGGGCCAGACCATTCAGTGCGAGCTTTGGTGCGCGGTACACGATGTCCGGCTGTACGATGCGATGGAAAAGCATTCAGCGTGCGTTTCTATCAAGTGGTGGGGTCAAAGGAAGAACGTACCTTGCGGGTGGTGATTACCCGTTCCGAGATGGCCGAGAGGTCGACGAGACGCTGACGGACCTCGGAGTAGCTGGCGATGTGTGGGTAGAAGGGGATGCTGACCGTGCGGTTGCCCGGCTTGCCCTTGCCCGGAGCAGCACCCTTCTGGGTGGTGTAGACGATTTCGAGATGCTTCTTGTCGATGGCGGTCATCAGCACCTGGTTCGGCGTGAGAGGCTTCAGAAGATCGCCGTAGTGCGTCGCGAGATATGCCAGGGAATCCTACCCGTCAAAAATCAGCGAAGAGCAGCGAGGGGAGATGGATGCAGGCGTCAGCGGTGTGAACCCAAGCTCAGCACAGGGGTGGGAGCAAGCGCTCACCTTGTGGTCATTGTTCATGTGCGAGATGATGCCGTCTGCCTTGGCAGCAACATCGTCGGAAGCAGCAGCGGAGGCCATCCTGTGTGATCAGTCGCGAAGAGGACAAGGTGGTGATGGTAGTGGAGCGGCAAGCAAGCGGATGCCACCGGATGGAGTTGGCAAGGTGACCACCGCCGCCTTCCGGTTCGGCTGGGGCTCGGGCGGAGACCTCAGCTTTGCGAGCTGCCCAAAAAAAGGTTGCGCTTTCGGCTGGAGAGAGACTTGTGTGTCATGCAGCTGCCAAAGTGCGGGGTTCTCGACAAGACGGGCCCGAGCGGCTGGGCTGGGTCGGTCCAGTCCGTTTTCACGGCTCAGATTCGAGCCGGAATTGAGGCAGCTGCGCAAGTTATATTTGCGGCCAGCGCCAACTCGACATTCGAGATCGCTATCTCCCGATGCCAGGCAAATCGAGTTGAGATCTCGTTGCCGATGCGACGCGCGTGAGGGAATCGTGTGAGAGTGGGCCTGGCCTGGGTTGCCGCGGGTTTCGGAATCTGAGTCGCCGGAAGGTGCAGGAGGCGTGCATGAGCCCTTCGCCTTCGCTGTGCGGCGTGCCAGCGCCTGAGCCTCGATGCCTGCTCCACATCGTGAAATCAGCTGAGATTTTGTCGATCTGCGTTGGGTGCACATTGAAAATCACTCCGTCATAGGCGTTGCTCCCCAGAAATGCACTGGCAGCAGATCTACAGTACGCATGCACCTGCTGCCCAGCTACTGTATCTCCGCTCACCAGGGTTCTCGTGGCCAGCGTCGGTGTGTCACACGGAAAGGTATCCAGCTCGTGTGCTTTTTGCTTGGTTTTCGAACGGCTTCCATACGAAACTTCCGACCGGTGTACCGTGAGCCGTCCGCCCTCTTTGCTGTCGACGTGTTGGCAATTGTTCGAAAGCGTTGCCCGAAATATGCCCCTTCGGCTCTCGCGTAAGTTAATGCGCAGCAGCGGCCTCAGCCTCGTCAATTCCGAGCCAGCCGCTACGCTCCTCCTCACCCGCTTTGGTCCCGCAGTGGCCACCTTCCGCCTTGCACCTTTACCTGCGCAGCTCGGCACGGCTCGATCTTTCTACCATCCCACATCCATCACCCTTCCCTCTCTCGCAGCATTCACGCTCACATCCACCGCAAACATGGTTTCGTTCTACGAGCTCAAGGCTAAGAAGCCCAGTCAGGACGACTACAACTTCGACCAGCTCAAGGGCAAGGTCGTGCTCGTCGTCAACACCGCCTCCAAGTGCGGCTACACGCCCCAGTTCGCAGAGCTCGAGGAGCTCAACAAGAAGTACGCCGACCAGGGCCTCCAGATCCTCGGCTTCCCCTGCAACCAGTTTGCCGGCCAGGACCCCGAGAACGATGACAAGATCGGCGAGTTCTGCCAGCGCGTAAGTATACATGCCACGACGACCATGCCTCTTGGCAGACGAGGCCCTTTCTGACATTGCTTCACGTTGTACCATGCACACACACACAGAACTACGGCGTCACCTTCCCCATGATGGCCAAGTCGGACGTCAACGGCAGCAACACCAACGAGGTGTTCCAGTTCCTCAAGAAGGAAAAGTCGGGCATCCTCGGCACCGAGATGATCAAGTGGAACTTCACCAAGTTCCTCGTGGACAAGAACGGCAAGGTCATCGAGCGCTACGGCTCCAACACCAAGCCATCCGCCATCGCTCCCACCATCGAGAAGCTGCTGGCCCAGTAATCGCAGCTTCCGCGCATCCACCTCGCACTCATCACAGTTTTGTTTGATACCTCACGCAATCCCAACCCAGACTTGCTAATCCAGCGACATCTCGTATGACACCGCACCGACACAGTCCAGCAGCCCTCGGCAAATTTGGTAGAGATGGAGTTCTAGGTATTGCAAGCTCGATACAAGACGACATGATTGTTATAGTGGGACAGGGAGGCAGGAGGAAGCAGGAATCTGACGGCAAAAGGCAAGCAGCTACTGTTTGCCCGAGTAGACGCTCTCGGTGTGCATGACGGCGACGATCTCGCGCATGCTCTCCTGGCTCGCCACCTGGACGGTCTGGATGGTAGTCTTGTTTGCAAATGCCGTGGTGGCGTGCAGGGCGAGTGCGACGATCCACAGACCGCAGATGCCCCACAGCGTGGCAGCCTGGCTAATGTCGAGCTCGAGCAGCGCCGTGCCGTTCTTGGTAAACTCGGTGGTGCTCGTTACGATTGACGATCCTGCCATGTACGATGCAATGGCCGAGCAGATGGCCTCGATGAAGCTCACGATCTGGAAGAACTGGTCGCTGCCAAAGATCAGGTTGAATGCCTGAGACGGGTTGAGGCCCATGGCTGCGACCGTGACTGCTGTGGATGGAGGCTTGGACTTGCCGGAATCGACGCTGCGGATCGAGGCGAGAGACGAGACGGCTACGGTCATGGAGAGCTTGTGTGCGGATGCGGTGGCTGCGAGACCGGTAAGCATGTTGAGCACGCCGCGTACGTACGTGGCATTGTCCACCGAGATCTTGGCAAAGCGCACGAGGATGAGCAGAACAATCACGCCAATCAGCGCAATGATGCCCTGCACATGCGATACGAACAGCGACGCGCTGCTGGGCGTGCCCGACGTGTCATCCTGTACACCAGGCGTTGTCGATGGCGGCGCAGTCGTATCGTCCATGATCATGGCGACACTCCTTCGGCCCGCAGTAGCAGCCACCTCGTCAAGCGTCTTACCCTTCTTCCCTCGTGCTCTGCGCCTGGTCGAAGCTGGTTCGACCACACTGGCGGCATGCAGCTCATCGTCGTCGCCCGAGCTCCCGACTCCGGCAGCGTACGATGCCTGCGACGCAGCGGCTGCAGCCACAGCAAGACTGTACTTGCCGCGGCGAGAGGCACCGAGCGATCGCCCGCGCGACGGGATCTTGCCGCTCTCGATGCGCGTGTACTTGCCATTGGCATCGCTGAACTTGGCCGGCTTGGAAGGCGACAATGTGAAGCTCGGCATGGCTGTCGGAAAAGGCTGCTGACGTTCGATGGCGAGAGAGAGTGTAGCGGTATTGCTCTGGAGAATACGAGTAGGATACGAAAACGACCGTGGTTCAAAGGAATGTGTGTAAGAGAGTGACAAGGGAGCTGGTGGGGAAGAGGCAAGCTGGTTCAGGTGGCAGCAAGGTTCATTAGCAGCCGGGTAGATCTTTGGCAGCACGGTGACTAGGGACAAGGTTTTGCCGGCACCACCGCATGGAAGCAGCGATGAGGCCGCTCAGACGCTGGCTTCCAGTCGCGGCTTGCGTTGGATAGTCTCGCATCCATGCAGGATGCTGCCGCTCACGGCTGCACGTATGACGGCTAGCGGCTACGCTGCCCTGAGCGTGGAGCGGAAAGCTGTTGACGAGTGCAAGCGAGCTGCACATCAGCATGAACTGGGATTTGGACCTGCCTGAAACGGAAAGGTCATCGCACGCGCGCACTGCGGACTCTGCTAGAGAATGGCCCAACACCGTCTTACGTCCAATCCTTGACAGCAACTGCGGAGAGGAAGGCTGTTCAACACGCCCCTGTCTTGTGCCTGAGAGAATCCCACGCGGAGCTCTAAAATTCGCCGGCATCCAGCAGCTCGCGTTCCTGCTCCAAACGACGAGGATCTTCACACAACATTCGCGCTGCCGCCATCCGAGGCTTTTTTGCACCCGATTTTACAGACCCAAATATTATTGACTTTTTCACATTGTCAAAACGAGTCTCTATCTGAGCGGTGTAGAACGGCGATCAAGCCTCGACCCAGTCGGCGGGGAGGGCGCACATGGCAATGGCGCGCTCCTCGTAGGCGCCCGTTACGTAGAGCATCTTCTTGTGAATGTCGATGGCCAGTCCGGTGGGGACGGTGGGGAGAAAGCCGCGCTTGACAAGCTCGTCTTCGGAGCGCGCCTCGATCTCGGCCTTGGTCTCGGCAGGGCTCTTGAACACGTTGAAGGTGTGGAACTCCTTGCGGAGCCAGACGCCCTTTTGCTTCTTGAGCGCGAGCTTGTCCGTCTGCCACGGATGCGCGACCACGCTGCCAAAGTGGCGGAAGACCCATGTGGTCTGGTCGATCCTCGCTGCGGGTCGGGGCGGGCGGTCGGAGCTCGACAGCGACTGGCTCGCGCCAGCAGCAAGAGGCAGCCCGAGTCGACGGCGTCGTTCGTTGCGCTGCGCCGCGATCCACCTCTCGACCGAGCGCGTGTTCGGGTTGCCCGCCGTCCAGGTTCGACCGTGCGGGTCGACGACGAGCGCGCGCACGGGCGTCTCGTGATCCATGGAGAAAAAGTTGACAAACGATGGCGTGTAGGTCTTGAACAGCTGAAGGATATTGTTCACCTTGCCCTCGGCGGTGGTCTCGGTGAGATGAACGCGGTGTTCGCGGATGCCGCCGGCGACGCCGCGCACCCAGTGCTGCTCCCACTCCTGCACCCTAGCCGCATCCGAGGTGAGCGAGGGCACGAAGAGCGCCGTCGCTGAAGAGTTGGAGCCCGTCTTCTTTCCGCCACCGTCCCACGCCTGGATGAGCGGCGGGAAGCCTTGCCAGAGATCGGGATCGCCACCGTCCATGCGCACGGTGAGCGTCTTGTTGATCGACGAGTGGTGCAGGAAGATCTTGCGCGACACTGTGTCGGCCGCGAGCGAGAATTGCGAGAACAGCGTCGATGCGATGGGCTGCCACATTGCCGAAAAGACGGATGAGCGCTCTCCAGCCGCAGCGGAGGCGGGCTGGGCACTACGGTCGGGCAGCGAGGTGATGAAGAAGCTCGGAATGCGGATGTGCTTGGATGCGATGCTGGCAGGATCCTCGTCTTGGAAGCCAGCCAGATTCTCCGGATCGTCTTTGACATACGTCGGTTCAGGGTAGTGGCGATCCATACGCTGCGAGTACTGCTCCTCGAACACGGTGATGCGAAAGGGGTCGACGTTGAAGTGCGTGTCCCAATCGAGCTGCATTCCGCTCAGTTCGTCTCCTTGCACACGCTTGATCCATCGCAGCGTCGTGTGGTCCTTGCCACCGACCTTGTCGAGGTCGTGTACAAAAATATCCACCACGCCCGGACGGTCGGCGTACGGCTTGTTGGCCACAAGCACGAGGTTGGCCGGTGGCTCCGGCCTGGGCTCCTCGCCCTCGTCGGCCTCCTCGGCGAAGTACGGGTGCGAAGGGGTGACAGCAATGCCGAGCGGATGGAAGGTGGACTGGAGATCAGCCGGGGCCTGAATGGGATACTCTGGCGGTGGAGAAGAGATGAAAAGCTTGCGCGGGAGATTGCGCCTGTTCGTATCCCAAGCCCAGATACCTGGTGTCCCTTGCTCCGAGGCCAGGCGATCGCTTCCGTCCTCGTAGATGCCCGCGCGCGCATCCCACGTGAGTCGAGTCGGGTCGCAACTCAGGTAGGCCACGCCGGTGCGACGATCAAGCACGATGTCTTCGCAGAACGACGGCTCGACCGGACCTGCGGGCTCGTTGGGCAGTCTTGTTGAAATTGGCTGACAATGCTCGAGGTTGAGCCGGTAGTTGTCCGAGCCGAGACTGCTGGAATCGAGTGCGTCGCCGTGGAGCTTGAGGTGGTTCTTGTAGGGGAAGTACGAAGTGACGGAGAGCAGGCCAGCAGCCACCGACGACACAATGAGCGGCACAAGCATGTTGGCTGTCCGAGCTCGCTGTGCTGGTAGGCCCCGTCGTTTGACCTCTGCGGCTTTGGAGGATGGAGGTGGGAAGCGAAGGTTCGAGGCGGTGGCCACGCTCTTTTCCAGAAGCGAGAATGTGTGGGGACCCTCGTGCCTGACTGGCGGACCGTCCAATCGCTGTGCGGCCTTGGCTATCTGTGGCGAACAGGGAGGGGGAGTGGTGAGCGGACCCCAGGGCATGCAGCTCAACTTGCCGTCGGCAAGAGCCACGGCCAAAGCTCTAAATCCCGACTCTTCGGAAGACCCTCGACCGTGCGCAAAAAGCGGCACCTCCAATGCCGTTTTGCAGAACCTGAGGGATGTGAGATCGCGGCTTCGCTTGAGCAACGAGAGAGATTCCGATAAGATAGCTAGCCGGAGAGCAGCAGACGGCGGAGAAATTGTCGGCCAATAACGAGCTGGAAAAATCTCGGTCTTCGAGTGAGAAGCAGAGGCTCGCGGATGGGAAGTTCTCCCGAACGACATCATCCTCTCCTTCTTCTTCACCATCGCATTCACCTCACCATCCAGTCAACTCGACATGACTGCGCCGATTGATCAAAGCGCTCTCGAAACGCTGCTCGACTCTTCGCGCATCGGCATCCTCGACGGAGGACTGGCCACCTATCTCGAAGATGGACTCAACTTTGACCTCTCCAAAGGACCGCTTTGGAGCGCACGTCTGCTCGACGAGAAAGAGGAAGACGTGAGCGACGGCAAGGGTCAAAAGGGAATCTACGATGCGCATCTCCACTACCTGCAGGCGGGAGCGGGAATCATCGGCACTTCGACTTATCAGGCGTCGCTGGAATCGTTTGAGCGCGCCCAGTACGACAAGGAGTCGGCATCGCGCATCATGTCAAAAGCAGTCGATCTGGCGTGCGAAGCCGTCAACACTTACAACAGCGGCAGCCATTCTGTCCGTCCCTTGATCAGTCTCAGCCTTGGGCCCTACGGTGCCATGCTGAGCAACGGCGCGGAATATACTGGCGACTACCGACGCACGTTCCTCGCGGAATCGGATCCGCAGCGCGAGCAACAACCGTTGATCGAAGAAATGGCAGCATTCCACCAGCGAAGGATCGAGGCATTCGTGGCGCAGCCTAGCTGGAAGGATGTTGGTGTACTGGCGGTGGAGACGGTGCCACGAGCAGACGAGGCACTCGCCTTCCGCATCGCGCTCGAAAACGTCGTCAAGAGCCACGCCCAACGAGGCATCGCGCTCGAGAAGAAGCCCGTCTATATCAGTTTAGCCTTCCCGGACGATCGCCGCCTGCCCTGGCCGCCTCTGAACACCGGAAGCAACAATGACGAGACGGACGGTGACGTTGATATGGATGAAGACGACGACGAGGATGCTGCGGACCAAGACGGCGCGGTGCAGGAGGAGATGGACTGGCTCGTGCAGATTGTCAGCGACACTGTCGTACAGGGTCAAGCGTCTCAGTGGCCGATCTCGGGCATCGGCATCAATTGCACCAAGCCATACCTGCTTCCAAGGCTGGTGGAGCGCATGTCAGCATCGCTCGCGACGCTCAACCGTCCGGCGAGCGAAGGCGGATGCGATCTGGAGCGCAAGAGGAGCTCCTTGGGCATGCAGAAGCCGCTGCTGTTCCTGTACCCCGACGGTGGACTGGTCTACGACCCAGTACGAAAAGTCTGGCTCACGCCCTCCACTGCAGGGCCGTACGGAGGCGACAATTCGGCCGCGTCGTGGGCTGCCAACCTGATGAAGCTCGCCAAGCGCATCACCTCGGGCGGCGATGCAAGCTTCCCGGACGTGTGGAGCGGCGTCTTTGTCGGCGGCTGCTGCAAGAGCGGAACCGACGAGATCCGGGCGCTCTGCCAGTGCAGATCGCTCTGAAGCATCACGGCAATTCCATCGGCTGCCCCGCTCTAGATCTTGTGTTCGGATCATGCCCGATGTCCGATTGACTTTCAGGCCGACTGCCGGTGAGAGAGAGTGGTGGAAGCTGCAATGCGGGGAAGCTGCTGTTGAGAAGGAATGAGGCCCGAGGACCCAGGTTCCGGCTAATGGAGATGTTGAAGGGGAATACGACGTAGCCCGGTTGACAGACCGACGGTCGGAGTGTCACGAATATGACGAGCTCCCTCGAGGGCGGCTTGCGGCACGGGAGACGCGAGGAAACGAGGCTGCGGTGCGGAGTCGGCGGACCCTTGCGTCGCTCGCTTAGGCGCGTCGTAGATCCAACCCGCAAAAAAGGCTGTTTCTCCAGCAAACACGCGCAGTAGTGTTGTTTGAGGCGGGCGCGCGCGTGGCGTGAAACACGGCGAGGGGATGGCGGAACGCTCCCGGCATGCTCGGTCGTGCTGCCGGTCATCTTACGTCGCTGAAGAGCGCCAGTGCGAGTGCGGATGCCGCTGCCCAGGGACCGTCGACACCTTGCAGCCCTGCCGTGTCGCACCCCTTTGACTCCCTGCCCTCGACACACGCTTCTCGTCGATCTGCAGCACCGCAAACACATGCAATCACACGTTGCATAAAAACGCACCTTCCATACCCGTCCCTGCATCGTTTTTCTTTTTCAGGGTCGCCATACCCGTAGATCGCTGTCAACCCAGCATCAGCAGTCGAGTTCTCGAGGTCTCGACGGGGCGGCTACAACCGCGATACAGTAAACAGCGAGTTGAGCTGACTCGTCGATGGCAGAGTTCGGGTCCAGGAATCTTTCGGCCCTGGAAGGGCGAGACGAGGGGCTGAGGCGCAGAGGCGTGCGACGCGTCAATTTCAACTCCGCGACAGATCTGCAAGTCCCGCTCCCGCTGTCGCGCTTCCCACTGCGCACCGCCCTGCCTCATTGTGGTTGCGCTGCAGCAGGCAATCATCGAAACCTCGATTGCTCCCAGACTCACAGCCGTGGTGCGAAACAATGAAAGCCAAGCTCGTTGTATGACGATTTGACCCGCTCGCACCGCCTTCCGACGCCAAAAAAGAGAGACAAAGCGCCGCCCAACATCGGAGCCCAAGCACCGCGAATCTTGGCACCGCTCCTTGGCAGGCGCCCCTGACCTCAACTTCGTCCTCCTGAGCTGCTCTCTTCCTGAGCCCTGCCGTGACGTGCTTGCCATCAGCGGGATCGAAGCTCCGGGATTCCGGGTGGCCCTTTCCGCTTTTCGCCTTCCGCTTTCCGCAGGTCCCAGTCCACTCCCACCTGAAGGGAAGGTTGGTGGGCGCGCAAGTCTCGTTACCAGTGACTGTGGCAACAATCTGCAGAGGCGACTCGCCCTCGAGGCGTGGGATCGACCGCGAAAGCGGCTGGCCGCCGAGGCGTGGGGTCGACCGCAGAAGATACGGTATGATACGCATGTTGTGGGAAAGCTCCATTGTGGCGGTCACACCGGCTCTTGATTCCCACCATTGTGAGGTGGGCTTCAAGCGAGGCCCCACTAAAGCGCCGCACGAGGGGACTGGACTCTTTGCACGCCCATTGTTCAAATATGTGAAAGGAAAAGGACTGCGCGGTACATACCCAGCAATGCTTCTTCTGTAGAATATACGACACTCGTCCCGCCGGTCCTGCTTTCTGGGCCTCGCTTGTGCTTGCAGGTACGCCAAGATCCGTGCCCAGCACCCGAAAGACGTCGCACTTCCGCTTCTCATCTCATCCGAGCACGCACTCCCACTCCCCGGCTCATTTGTTTAGAACACGCCCACCCGACCTCGTGCTCGAGCCCCCCTTGACCCCACCTACTCATCCCATCCGATTGGTTGTCATGCGAGATCCCGCTGCCTCAAGCCACCTGGGTCGCCGCCCTGCGATGGCGGGATCCTGTGGGCGTTCCGATGCCCGCATCCCTTGGCTGAGATTTGCCCCCCCTCCCCCCACCGAAGCTGCTCCCCTGTCCCTAGCAACAATCTCAGATATAAGTGGCCTGCCATCGCCCAGCGGACGTCTTGCTAGCCCCATCCCTTCCTACCCCTTCATCGTCGCCTCCATCCTCGACTCCTCCCTTCGTATAACGCCCCGATTACGATCTCCGCCATGCGTTTCTCCTCCATCCTCGCGGTCGGCGCCGCCCTGGGCGCCGGCCTTATGGCCCCCGCCAGTGCCTCGCCTACTGTCATGAGCACGATCCCCAACCACATTTCGGAAAATGTGCGACGCGAGCTTGCCGCCCTGCCTGCGGAAGACTACACGATCTACGAGCGCGACGTGGGACCCTCGTCGTCGCTGGCCAAGCGAGGAGCTCAGATCTCGGGCATTCAGACTCGATGCACCACCAAGAGCTGCCTCTCCATTACGTTCGACGACGGACCGTACCAGTGGGAGCGCAAGGTCGTCGACACGCTCGGCAACGCCGGTGGCCAGAAGGGCACGTTCTTCGTCAACGGTAACAACTTCCGCTGCATCTATGAAGACGCCCAGGTGCAGAACCTTCGTTACACCTACGAGCGAGGCCACCAGATCTGCTCGCACACTTGGGGCCACCCGGACATCAGCAAGCTCAACAACGCCCAGCTCGACCAACAGGTCCAGCTCGTCGAGGACGCGCTGTGGAAGATTCTCGGTGTCGTGCCGGCTTGCTTCCGCGCACCATATGGTAACATCCGACCCGACCAGGTCAAGTACCTCAACGACCGATGGGGCCTAGTGGTGGTGGGCTGGAACATGGACACTGGCGATGCGAATGGAGATGGTGTCGAAGCCGGTCTCAACCTGTATAGGAACCTTAAGGCTCCCAAGCATGCGATCGTCCTGAACCATGAGACGGTTGCCGGCACGGTCGACACCGTGATCCCTCAGGCTGTCAACATCGTGCGTCAGAACGGCTACAAGGGCAGCCAGACCGTCGCCAGCACGCTCGGCTTCAACCCTTACAAGGTGGTCGGACGTTACGGCACTCGGGACAGCTCGTGGACGTGCAACGGCAAGCCCCAGCCCGGGGCCGCCAACTAAGTCGTCCCGACTGGCTCTCCCGCTCCCCTTTCGTTCCGGCGTCCGGGCCCCTGGCTTTCCGTCAAGACGGGCCGGGTCGCTTTTTGCCTTCTTGTCCTCTCGGCTTGAGCTTCGCATTGCTCGCCTCTTCGCTTTCTTCATATCTTTCACGTCATTTCCTCATGCTGCACCATAGACGACGTAAAGACGCTTTTCAAATGACGCCTTCCACTTGTGATTGAGACGTACATCTGCGCGCTGCCTGTTGCAGTCTTCGGGAAGAGTACAGTTCGCAGGCCTGTCTTGTTGGGGACGACCACTGGAACTGGCGCTGTGCGTACTCAGCGAACGTAGTGCCCGTAGTTGAGGTACATGGTGGTGAGACTCGAAGCTGGCGTAAGCATACAGATGAGTAGCCAGAAGTCGTCAGTATCGCTTCATGATGGACATGTCCCTGCGAAGGCGAGGCGAGGGCACTTACAAGCGACAATCAGCGGGCTGATGATTCCGGGACTGAGCTTGGCGGTCTTGTAGACGAACGTCTCGGAGACAAAGTGGACGAGGGCGATGACGAAGGACCACATGCAGAGCTCGTAGGCACTAGTTGAAGTTTGGCAGCGAGCAACGCAGCAGAAAGGTCAGCAGAGGGGTCTGGGGATACGGCAGGGGTAGAGGCGGCGAAAAAGCAACTTACACCTTGTCATGGATGTTGTAAGCTGCATAGGTTCGGATGATGGCGGCGGTGATGTTCCAGATACCAAAGAGGCGGCCCGATAGCGGCGTGACTGAGCGGAGATGAAGTGCAGAAGCGCCGTCGAGCGACGGAGAGGTAAGAGGTCAGCAGAGGCAAAATGTCGACGTGACCACGGAGAGGACAACGTGAATCATCGTGAAGACTTGTGGACTTACCTAGTGCTCCTGCGTTGGAGTAGACCTTGAAGCCAGCCGTATGCTTGAGGAAGTTGCTGGCGCCGTAAGCGTACGCCGTGGCAGCGACGAGAAGCAGCCATCGCGGGAGAAGGCCCTCGGGGATCCCTGCCGAGTTGGATTCGAATGTCAATTACTGGACCAAACGGCAGTTGTGATGTAAAGACCTGCAGTGCTGTGCTATGCTACACTTACATTCGCTGATGGTCGACATCTTGGTGTTGTGTTCGAGCTGTGTGTGTAGTCGTGTCGGTAGCGCGAGAAGAAGAGGGTCTACGTCGGAACAAGACGAACGCACGCGGTGACACTCGACAGCACACTCTGACACGCTGCTGAGCTCGGAACGCGGGATTGGATTTTGACAGTTGCGGGGCCAACAAAGCCACTCAGATGCGGCTCAGTCGGAGTGGGCAAGGCGCGTCAGGGTCCAGGCAACAAACAAGCTTCGGATGATCCGCCTTTCCTTCTCACCTCCGCTATCGTCACAAAGTCGAGGGCAACCCTTTCTTTCGTCACATGACTTCACCCTCACAGCTTCGAGCACCCGTCAGAATGCTCATCCAACAAGCGCAGAGGGTGACTTGAATTCCGATCCGCATTCCGATCCGCACTCTGCTGCGCATATAGTCAAGTCCCGCATTGCCCAATCCTCACCCTCAACGCGCGACACACCCATCCTTCACCCCACTCATGCAAGTTAGTCTCACCAACTTTCGCCGGTGAGCCTCTCGTCATCATGTTGACGAGCGTGACGATGGCCGAGGTCATCGACCCGGAGACTGCAGTCCTCCACATACCCAAGATGATCCGGCAGGATGAATACGGCTACCGCACCAGCGTCGAGGCCAAGGATGTTGTTCCGCTCAGCCACATTCCCCTCAACGAGCCGTTTCATATATCCAGACCAGGCACAACAGCATCCTCATTCGTTCTCAAGCGGTTTGCGGAGGGCTACTACATCTGCTCTTGCCCCGCTTGGAAGTTCAGCACGGAGCGAGACAAGATGCGCAAGACTTGCCAGCACCTCAAGGATGTGCTCGGAGAAGCATACGAGACAGAGCGCATCTCTCTCGCTCAGGAGGCCAAGAGCACCATCTGGGAGATCAACAAGTTCCGCAGAACCACCTCGCAGGGACATCACACTCGCCACATGCATGCCAAAGGTGTGCTCGACGACCACTTTCGTCAGCTCTCGCAGAGCCAACCCGAGCCATCCACATCCAAGTTGGAGAATGGCAAAGATCCCCCAGTCCCAGATCAAGCAGGTAGCGAAGCAGGTCCCAGTAAGCCTTCGGGCTCAACCTTGAAGCGTCGCGAAAAACCGGCCAACGATAGCGAGACCGAGACCGAGACAGAGGATGAGGCTCTCCCCGAAACCCAGCGGACACGTACAGGTCCGCCTCTGCCACCGCCAACGGTCCCGAAGCCTCCGACAGCTACTGCTTCGCTCAGCAGGTCTCGGCCTGTTGATGAAGACGAAGACGAGGATCGGGAAGCATTCGACCCTGACAGCATACATGCGTCGCCCTCAAAGCGGGCCCGGCGCGGCAGAGCTTCGGCGCGTGATGATACCGACAACAAGGTAGGCTGGCGGTCCTCAACTCTCATTTTCATCCTTTCTTTGCTTTCGAGCTGACCCAGCTGAGCCTTTCTGTGCCAATTATAGATCTCTCTGCTTTTAGCGAAACCTTGGCTGTTGGAAGCCGACCCGTCCAAGCCTCGATCCAAAGCCATGGATCCCAACAACTGGTGGGTTAGCGAGAAGCTCGACGGGGTGAGAGCTTTCTGGGACGGACAGAGGCTATACTCTCGTCAGAAGATCGAGTGGAACGCACCAACATGGTGGAAAGAGCGTAAGTCGCGGTTGAGCAGGGCCTGTCATCGACAAGACACGAAAGATCTGACCGCTTGTTCCTGTTCTTTGCTCAGGCCTGCCGAAGGACATCACTCTCGACGGCGAGCTGTGGATGGCGAGGGGCATGTTCTCTCAGACGTCGCAAATTTGCCGTACAACTGTAAGATTGGGCCGCTTGCGAACCTTTTCCCACTTTCTCCAACGCGATTCGATGGAACGCCAGTGGCTGCGCGAACAGCTCGGCGGCCGACTCGCAAGCCAAGATCGCCTGCTTGCCGAGAAGTCTGCAGTGACATATCAGGCGCTCGGCCGAAGAGAGACCGGCGCACCAGACAGTGCGGTCCCATCGTCGTCTGCTTGGAAGACACTCAAGGCTTCCGTCCTCAAAGCTAGCGCACGCACGAGCAAACGAGCATTGCGACGCAAGCTCAAGCGTAGTCCAATTGGGCGCGCCTCTCTGTCGCGCTCCTTGTTGCTAGCCTTGCTCGGTCGGTCGGCCGGCCCTTCGAGCAGGTCTAAGCCGGCGAGTGGTCCCAAGCTCGCTTGTCGACGTCCTGTGACTGTAAAGCGATGTACCCGGTGCGGCAAGATTCTGCAGCGACGACGAACAAAGCCAGTACCTGCCCAAGAGCCGGCATCGAATGACCCGCCGCGTCGAGAATCTGTCGTCGAGGTGCACAGGACGAATGCTGATCAGCTTCCATCCGATATTCTTCTGATGCCCACATCGACTTCCAATTCCGCTCTCGACGCCGGACCAATCAACACCACTCCATCTTCGTCTCGTCGGCCGCATCCCTATGCGATGCTCGGTTCCTTGCGGTCGACTCACACCTATACGCATGTGTGTCGGCGCAAATCGAAGAGCTCGAGCGAATGGAATCGGATCAAGTTTATGGTACGTGGTGGTCGATCTTTGCGCCGGCCTGTCTCTCTCGTTGTTGCTGACGTCGTTGTTGCTGACGTCGTTGTTGCTGGTACGTGCTCGTGCAGATCTTCGACTCGCCATCGATGGGCTCGAGGCCGGTCGAGGAGCGATGGGCCGAGCTCGAAAAGCGATTCGGATCAACCGATGGTCTCGATATCGATGCCATCCACGGATCGTCGATCAAGCTGGTCCAGCACGTCAAATGCGAGGGACGCGACCACCTGATCGAACTAATGGAGACGGTCGAGTCGAAAGGCGGAGAAGGGTAAGTGGCAGGTACACCTGGTAGCATGACGAGAGCACGCCTAACGCTAGCCGACCCTTTTACTGTTATCAACAGGCTGATGCTCCGACAGCCGGGCTCCAAGTACGAAGGCCGCAGAGGCAACACACTGTTCAAGCTCAAGTCGTGGTACGATGCCGAGGCCGAGGTAATCGGCTACGCGAACGGCACCGGCAGGCACGAAGGACGCACCGGATCGCTCGTCGCGCGCATGGAGTGCGGCACCGTCTTCCGTGTCGGTACAGGTCTTTCGGACGCCCAACGAGACAATCCGCCACCGATTGGGAGCATCATCAACTACCGCTTCTTTGAGCTTAGCGAAGACGGCTATCCGCGATTCCCAGCCTTCCGCGGCATCGCTTGGGATAAGACCCGGCCTAAAGATGCGGTGCTTCGACCGCGAGCAGGCGCTCCCGAAGACGCTGATGAATAATCACTCGACTGAATGTAGCATCGTTAGCGACCGTTGCTCCTCCTTATGTGTCTTCGTATGTGCATGGTGAGGAGCAGCAAAAGCGGCGGTGGGCCACTGCGCCAAATTTGGACCTTCATGTGGAGCAGGTTGCGCACGGCTGCAGGATGACTGCATGCAACTATGCAGGGCCCACGGTTGGCTGCCTCGCTGCGGTGCGGTTGGATATTCCCCTGCATTCGCCCCTCAGTCGGGCACGAGAGCCGAGAAAGGGCAGGAAAAGGCCGTCATCCGGCGGCCAACGGTGCTGATCCCGGACGTTGTCACAAGGCCGGTGTCATGCAAATCCTCTTCTTCACTTCTACCACATACCCAGGCCGCACGCACCACCTCGCCTTGCTTACGACGCCCCTTTTCTCGCCGCCTTCGTTCCCGCATGGCTCGATATCGCTAAGGTGGAGCAGCCATGACGATCACCACCGCCGGCACTGCCGTCAACCTGGCGCCCACGGTCACAAAGACCTTCTTCAAGCACTACTACAAGAAGGCCAAACGCTCACTCAAGGGTCGCTCTGGCAAAGCCGGCAATGGCTCGTCCACGCACAATCGGCACGACGCCCTGGACGAGTTCATGTTCGACGAGGCCTTCCACATCGTCAAGGCCTTCATCGAGATCGGCACCAGCGACACCGTCGAGGCGATCCAGGACTTCACCGACGCACCTGCCCCGCCCATTCCCTGGGCCACCACGCTGCCTGTGATGATCCCAATGGAAAGCTGCGACAAGGCCGCCAAGCTCATCATCGACCACCTCGGGCCCGAGGACCTTCAGAAGCTGGTGGGAGGCGAAAAGTGGTGGCAGCTCCGCTCGACGCCAGGCGTGCAGGGCGAGTGGATCGCCATGTCCAACGACTGGAAAAAGATGAAATCTATGGAGAAGAAGGCTCAGAACGCCGCTGCACAGGCCGAGAGCAACAAGGCGGACGCTGCCAGTGGCGAACCGAAAGCATCCGCCAAGCAGCACAAGCGTCGCAGGAACAAACGCCACGAGCGCGCGCTTTCCGAGATTCGTGCCATGCGAGCAAAGACCGAGTCTGCGCTCAAGCGCCATTCGCAGTCGTTCAAGCGCCCATCGCAAGACCGCAAACGCAGTCAAAGTCGGCCTCCCGTGCCGGGTGCCCCAGCTCCGCCCGCCGATGATGCAGCATCAGCAGCCTCGAGCGACGCCGAGAATGCACAGCCCGCCGACGATGCAACTGACGCAGCATCCGAAGCCGACACCGACCACGGCGAGACAGAGTCCGAAGAGCTCGACCGCCTGCAGCGAGTCATGCTCTACTTCCACGGCGGCGGCTACTACTTTGGCTCGCTTGCGACGCATCGGTACCAGATCGTGCGCTATGCGCGCAAGTTTGGCGGCAAGTGCTTTGCGCCCATCTACCGCAAGGCGCCGCAATACCCGTGGCCGTGCGCGCTGCAGGACGCGGTGGCCTCCTACCTCTACCTCATCGATCCGCCCAAGGGGGCAAAGCACCGCCCCGTCGACCCCAAAAAGATCGTTGTGGCCGGCGACAGCGCAGGCGGAGGCTTGAGTCTGGCTCTGCTGACAGTGATTCGCGACATGGGCTTGCCTGCGCCCGCCGGTGCGGTGCTCATCTCGCCCTGGTGCGATCTCACGCACTCGTTCCCGTCGATTCTGCAAAACACGGCGACCGACATCATCCCACCATACGGCTTCATTCACAAGCCCTCGACGCTCTGGCCTATCAACGCTACGAAGCCGGAGAACGAGGACAAGGGAAAGCAACGAGAGAGCTCCGATGAGCCGCAGAGAAAAGTGCCCGTCGGTGTCCAAGACGCAGATTCGCCCAAGAGCGACGCTGAGGAGGACACGGAGCCGGCTGCGCGAAAGAGTCACGATGCTGGCAACTTGCGTCCATCGCAAGCTTCAGCAAAGCCGGATCAGGGACAGACATCGGGCAGCAGCCGAAAGGAGAATGGCGGCGTTCCACATGCTCCAGATCTGCTCTGGTCGCAGCCGATCAAGATCAAGACCGCCGATGCGGCCAAGCAGGACATCGAGTTACGCGAGCAGATCCAGCTGTACGCGACCAACGACCAGCTCACGCATCCGCTGTGCTCTGCAGTCCTCAGCGGCTCGCTCGGCGGCCTTCCTCCGCTGTACATCCTTGCTGGCGATGCCGAGGTGCTTCGAGACGAGATTGTCTACCTCGCGCACCGCGCAGCACATCCGCAGCGCTACCCGCTGCGCGAGGACCTGCTCGACCATTCGCAGCGCAACCGCGAGAACGCGGCCAAGTACGACTCGCAGCCCACCAAAGTGCATCTGCAGATTTACGACCAGATGTGCCACGTGCTCACCGCGTTTGCGTTTACGTCGCAGTCGCGCTTTGCGTACCGTGCGGTGGCGTCGTTTGTCAAGCACGTCACCGGCGCGCCCACCAGCATCAAGAATCCCTTCCCCGAGGTGCCCGAGGGCGCGCATGGACGGGGGATGGACGACGAGTGGCACGAAGACGGCGCCGAGAGTGACGATGATGAGATCGACGACAACGTGGGCGGCGAGGTGGTCTCACCTCCGCTCGCATCGTCGTTGAAGAGCTCGCAGCCATCACTAATGGTGTCTGAGCGCGAAGGAGCGAGCGTGGGCGAGTTGGCGACCATAAGCCTTGATGACGGCGTCAAGGGCGCCTCGCATCTGCGATCAGAGCCGGATCACATCTCCCCAGCCGAGGCGGGGCAAGGAGAGCTTGTTAGCAAAGCTGTGGAGAGCGGAGGACATGCCGATGCTGTAACGGACAAGACCCGACACCGCTCCGTGTCGAAGGTGGTCAGCGACGCGCTGCACGGCCATCCGAGCGGGAGTCAGGCGACGTCGCGCAGCGGCTCCGGTTCGTCACCCACCGCCACGCGGGCCCGACGCGGCACGGGCGATGTGGCCAACGAATACACGGGGCAGGTTCCGCTTCTGCGGCCGTCGTTCCAGTCATTCATGATCCGCGAGCGCGTCGATGTGCGCGGCTACCTGCGCCAGCTCGAACCCGAGTCCGATCTTCCTGCGCTCCAGCTGCGTCCTGACGAGATCGGATGTATCAAAGAGGGCCCCGTTGCGCGTTATCTGGACGGGCAGACGCAGTGGGCGAAGCGATACACCAAGACCGCACGCAAAGTCGAAAAGCACCGTGCGCGCAACGAGAAGCTCGCCACGACGATGCTCGAAGAAGCCGCTGCACAGGGGCTGATGGACCGCGACGCGCTGCGTAAGCTTCATGGTCAGCTGGTTCGCAAAGCCAGTAGTGGCGCCACCGAGCCCGGTGCAGTGTCGGCACCATCTTCGACTTCGCGCGGGCTGGGGCTGAGTGCCGGCGACGTTGCGACGGGAGCCGACCGGTGCCGGGAAAAATGGAGCTGGCTGGTCGATTTTGGACCGATGGATCTGGTCGACGAAACGCCGCCGCCTGCAGCAGTGGCAGGAAGGAGGGATACCAACGATGCGCTGTTGCTGCTGCGCAAGTCGCTCCAGATCCGCGCGCGCGCCTACGGCGTCCAGCGCAAATCACGCTTCTGGGGAGCAGAAGACCGTCCCGTCCGTGCCCACCTGCGCGCCACCACCGAGGAACACCAACCCGGATCAGCCGCTAGCGGAGACCACTCCTCCACTCACCACCACAGAGGCCTGCGCGTCTGGAACCTGCTCATGGTCAAAAAGCCGCCGTCGGTCGCCTCGAGCAAGAAGCCAGGCAAGCCCTAGTCCGCGTAGGCGATCATTGCCGCGCAGCGAATCGACACGTTTCATGAAGGACCAGGCGCGAAAAGGCTGGGACGTGATTGAGTTGCAGATGTGAATAAAGATAGCGAAAGGATATACATGTGGTTGAAGGTGTCGAAGGTTGGTGCATTGCTCGAGGACTCCAGGAGAGATGCGTGTTGCCATTCCTCGTGGCAGAGGGGTCAGATAAGGTGAAGAGAGTTTCGACGTGAGGCAGGATATCACTTCTTGGCCGGCGAGGTGCCAGCGCCGCCGAGCTTTCTGGTGACCTTGGTGGGCGCGGCTCCGCTAGACTCGACTGCAGCCTCTTCCTCTGCAATGTCGCTGACTCTGCTTCCAGCAGGCTTGGACGTTCCCGGTACTCGTGTGGAAGCATCCGGCTGGGGCTGCGAGGAGGACGGGGCAGCTGCAGCGGCGGCGCGAGCATTTCGCTCCGCCTCTGCGCGGTACACGGCAGCTTCCTCCTCGGGCGAGAGTGGCAGAGCAATACGGCCCTCCTGTCGCGCCTTGATGCGCCTCCATGCAACGCCTGCCACAAGGGCCACAGCCTGGAGCGAGATGCTGAGAATGATGGCGGCGGTGAGGGGAGCCGGTCGCGGCTCTCCATCATCGCGGCCGCCAATGAGGCTAAAGTGCTTGTGCCACAGCAGGCCGATGTTGAGGTAGATACCGGCGGCGGTCCAGGTGAGGTCGGCGGTGGCAAAGATCCAGAGAGCAGAGAAGACGCCGAGGCCAGCTACGATGCCAAAGGCGGGCCAGAGACCCTGGACGAGCGCGTCGTGGCCACCGGAGCCAAAGTCGTAGCCGAGCGCCATGAAGAGCTGCTGCCACAGGTCGTACTGGAGCGTGATCACGAGGAACATCTTGATGGGCACGTGGATGAAGAGCCAGTCGAGCGGATGCTTGGCCGAGGGTGGGTAGCGGACGGCGAGGACGAGCGCGTTGAAGAGAAGCAAGAGTGCGATGACGCCGAGGGTGGCCGTGCCAAGGATGAAGGTGGGGGGGCGGTCGAGGATCCAAAAGACAGCCCAGAGCACCATGAGGTAGTTGGAGAGCGCGAGGCGCGTTCCGACGCCGTGGACGAGCGCCTTCTTGGTCTCTGGCGTTCGGCTGAGCAGGAGGAAGACGGAGAATCCGATGAGGAGGACGTAGAGGATGGCCCAGTAGAAGAGCACAAACGAGTCCTGCACCGAGAGATAGGTGGGATGACGGCGCGAGACCTGCTGCAAGTTGGGCTTGATGAGCTTGGAGCCGCAGAGGATCATGACGCCCATCTGGAGGAGCACCGAGAGGGGCGTGAGGATCTGCATCCGGGTGAGCGACTTTGTCTCGTTGGCATCCATGGTGGAGGAGAGCTGGTGGTAGCGACGGGAGAGCCCTGAAGCGGCGATGGTGGGGTTGGATGGCACCTCGCTGTCTGCGCGAGCCTGGTCAGCGTGCTCGGGATCTTCGGGACGGAAGATGTAGTCGGGTTGAGGCTGCTGCGGCTGGCTTGAGGTGTTTGCGTTACTAGGCATGTTCCTGCCGAGGCGAGCGACACGAGGTGGGCGACAGCACGAGCGAGCGAGGCAAAGCACCTAGGTATACACAGCGTTCTTGATGGTGATGACGATAACGGTAGCGAACACGGCGTCAGAGTATGCCTACAGAGAGGGACGCCCGTGCGGCCAAGCGATCTAATTTTGGCCAAAGCGAGAGGGAGAGGGAGAGTGGAGGAGGAGCGATGGCTCGGCATCGCAGCTGCAGCTCTGCAGCCCTGCATTCCGACGCGCCCATCCGACGCCGTTCGCCGCTCGATGACGCTGACAGAATCGCCGTCCTCTGAGCGTACATTTTTTCATGCCAAGCCCTGCCCATCTGCCGATTTACACAGCGCCGCACAGCGAGATTCTGCATCGGCGATGACCCGCTCTTCCTCCACATCCTCGTGAGCGCTAGACGCAGCGTGGAGGTGGAGGAGCGGGAGCGCGCATAACTGCTCTAGCGCCGTTCCTGGGTTCGCTTCTCCATGGACGCCGATGCAAGAAGCGGTGGCCACTCCGCACTCTGCGTTGCATCGGACTTAGCAGCTGTCACTCGCTGCGAAGATGGGCGAAGATGGGCCGTGCAGAGTTCCGACGGCACGGCGATGCGTCTGAGAACATGCGCCTTCACCCACCTGTTGCACAGCGAACGTGGCCGTTTCACGAAGAATCTTCTCACGCCGCACTGGAGGCGTCCTTACAGCTCCAGCGCCCGAGCGATATGTGATGCTGCTGGATCTAGGGTGACCGGAGGTGAGTCGGTTTGAAGTGCATTTAAACTTCGTGACGCTCCCTTGCCTCGCACTACCATCTTCCACACCTTCACCTCAACAACACTTCCCCTCTCACACGTACACAAAATGGGTCTCTTTGATATGGAAAAGCCGATCTCGAAGCTGGACCGCCACCGCGTCCTTGCGCCCAAGGCCGGTGTGCGTGTCTCGCCTCTCTGCCTCGGTGCGATGTCGCTCGGCGACAAGTGGAAGGACACGATGTCCGGCGGTCTGGACAAGCAGGGCAGCTTCGAGCTGCTCGACGCCTTCTACAAGCTCGGCGGCAACTTCATCGACACGGCCAATCTCTACACGGACGGTCAGAGCGAAGAGTTCATCGGCGAGTGGATGGAGGCACGAAAGAACCGCGACGAGATGGTCATCGCCACCAAGGCCACCTCCCCCTACCGCAACCGCGAGCTCGGCACCCACATCGGCACCAACTTCGTCGGCAACTCGGCCAAGTCCATCGCCGTCTCCACCAACGACAGTCTCAAGAAGCTGCGCACCGACTACATCGACATCATGTACATCCACTGGTGGGACTGGTCCACCAGCATCGAGGAGATGATGCAGGCGCTCAACAAGCTCGTCCAGTCCGGCAAGGTGCTCTACCTCGGCGCCAGCGACATGCCCGCATGGGTCGTCGCCGCCGCCAACACGTATGCGCGCGCACACAACCTCGCCCAATTCGTCGTCTACCAGGGCCGCTGGAATGCCGCCGAGCGCGACTTTGAGCGCGAGATCATCCCCATGGCACGCGAGTTTGGCATGGCCCTCGCTCCATGGGGCGCGCTCGGCGCAGGTCGATTCAAGACGCCCGAGCAGGTCGCCGAGCGCGAGAAGACGCAGGGCCCGCTGCGTGGCGGCGGAGGTCAGCTCACCGAGAACGAAAAGAAGATCTCGGCGGCGCTCCATCAGATTGGCCAGGAGCTTGGCGGCATCAGCATCACTGGCGTCGCTCTCGCCTACGTCTGCTCCAAGTACCCCTACGTCTTCCCCATCGTCGGCGGCACCAAGGTTTCGCACCTCGAGGACAACGTCAAGGCCATCGGCATCGTTCTCACCGATGAGCAGATCAAGAAGATCGAAGACACTATCCCCTTCAACCACGGCTTCCCCCTCTCCATGATCCAGGAGGACCCGCACCTCACGGGCGAGACCAAGTTTGGTCTTCTCGGCCACGGCGGCCATCTCGACTGGGTCAAGCACCCCAAGGCGCCCGCCTTCTAGTAGTCTATCCTCTTTTCAGCACTTCGAAATTTATGATTGCGCAGAAGTGATCTTTGTGACAGCCATGTTTATGCCATGAGTGTGCAAGCGGAAGAGCAAGGTGAAGGGTGGTGGTCACGAGGTGGTCAGCGTTCGTTGTGTATTCCAAAGAGCGGCCTCCGAGCATCCGTGGTTCGGCCTTCGCCGAGCGCTCTTTTTTGACTGGGCCGCCCCGCGGCATTTGCAAGTCGCGCGACAGCTGGCCTTGTGCGACCTGAATCTGGTTTGAGAATCCTCCTTGTGTTCGACCACCCTGCCACCCTCTCACCATAGACCCTATAGAGCAAGATGTCGACGCCGCTGGACATGGACGCCTACCGACAGTCTGTCGAATCGCTCAAGGCGCAAGAGGCGGCGCTGCGCTACGATCATGATGCGCTCTTGCACATGACCGAGGACGAAGCGCGGGCCAACGCCATCTTTACTCGCCTGCGCGACGCCGAGGTGCAGGCACGTTGGGAGAAGGAGGGCGATCTGGACAACTTTGCAGGCATGGACTTCTACGGCGCACGACAGAACGGACTTGGCCAACATGAGCCCACGCTGGTTTGGGATGCCATCCACCGCATGCCCAAGGGCGCGTTACTGCATTGCCACTTTGACGGCACCGTCGACACGCGCTTCCTGCTCGAGCACGCGCGCAACACGCCCAACATGGCAATGAAGGCGGACCGGCCTTTGTCGAGCCCGGAGGCGCTGTGGAAGGCCACCGTCGAGTTTCTCGTACTGCCGTCCACGCAGGAGCGCGCGGCGACGAGCATCTACTCGAACGAGTACGTGGCTGGCACGTGGGTCAGCTTCCACACTGCCCGCGAAACCTTCCCGTATCCGCATCCGTACCTCTCGGAGCAGTACGACCAGGAGTCCAAGCTGCCCAACTATCTCTTTCCGTCCTCGGGCAGCGCGTCGGCGTCCAAGCCCAATGGACACGCGGCGGAAAGCGCTACGTTCGACAGCGGGCTGTCGTTCGACGCGTTTGCCCATGCGCTAATGACGCTCACGCCGCACTCGGCAGCACCTGCGATCGTCAACAGCAAGCAGGCGTGGGCCAAGTTCCAATCGACGTTCGGCGTGATTGCAGGCCTGATCGGATACGAACCCACACTCAAGGCGTATACCAAGGAGCTTCTGCGTTCGCACGCGCGCGACGGCATCTCGTACACCGAGACGCGCATCAACTTCCTCACCGAGTTCATGGTGCGTGCAGACGGCACGCCCAATCTCAACCACGAAGAGTGGGTGCGCATCTTCATCGAGGCCGTCAACGAGGTCAAGGCCGAAACCACCGACGGCAGCTTTGTCGACGCCAAGATCATCTACACGACGGTGCGGTTCGTCGACAACGAAAAGCTGCGGTGGTACCTCGAAGACTGTCTGACGCTCAAGAAGAAGTTTCCCGAGTGGATCGTTGGCTTTGATCTGGTTGGACACGAGGATCCGCTGCTTCCGCTCGAGGTGTACATCCCGGAATTGCTTCGTTTCCAGCAGAGGTGCAAGGAGGAAGGTGTCGAGATTCCATTCGTCTTTCACGCAGGAGAGACGCTCGAGGACGGTGGAGATGCCGACTTGAACCTGTACGACGCTGTTGTGCTGGGTACGAAGCGCATCGGACACGGCGTCAGTTTGGCGCGACACCCGTTGCTGACAGACATGGTCAAGGAGCGCGACATCTGCGTCGAAATCTGCCCCATCTCCAACCAGATCCTCGGCTACACGGCGAGCATGAGCTCGCACCCGAGCTTACTCGCGCTGCTCCATCGTAACGTTGCCGTGGCTCTGTCGTCGGACGATCCCAGCATCTTTGAAAACTTTGGCCTCTCGTACGACTTTTACCAGCTCGCCATCAGCTCCAAATCGACATCGCTCATCTCGCTCGCAGTGCTTGCCCGTCGATCGCTCAAGTATTCGCTGGTGGACGAAAAGACGAAAGCTACAATGCTCGCCGACTTTGAAAAGAGGTGGAATGCCTTCCTCGCCTGGTTCCTTCTCGAGCACGGCCACGTCTTGCAGAACTGAACCTTCTCATCCCAGATACTGCTCGATCTACTTGTCATACCGGAACTGTCGTAGTTAATGCATATATTTGGTATACAGACGCTGCTGGTTGGGACCAACCCGGTGTGAAAGAGATCTCTGAAAGCAGGTTGAAACCCGATCGTGCTGCAAAACGGAACGCACGCCTCAAGGGGCGCGGATGGTGGCTTTGGAAAGCAGATACTCGTACGGAGCGGCGCAGGCGTCGACGGCGCCCTGGAGGTGCTCTGCGATCTTGGGCTTGGGCTTGTCGGCCTTGGCAGCGTCTGCGGGCGCCTCCTTCTTGAAGCCGGTCGAGTTCTCGGCGGCGTTGTGGTATCCGCCCCACTTTGCCCATTCGTCGACGGGGCCCGAGTCCCAGCTGAGCATCTCTGGCGAGAAGGGGATGCCCATGGCTTGGCAGTAGGTCTTGATGGCGTGATCGGGGTGTGCGAGCAGCGTTGATGCGTCGAGGAGAGGAGGAGGCTGGGGCTGCTCGACGGCCAGCTCGTCGCCCTTTTCAGTGTTGAAGGTGGAGTCCGGGTTGGAGATCCAGTCGTAGAGGATCTTGAGCTCAATGTAGCCGGCGTCGGCCTGATCCCAGAACTCCCAGCCGGACGCGCCCTCCTGGACGCACTTCCAGTAGCTCGGGATCGACTTTTCGGGTGTGCGGATGAGGAACGAGTGTCGGAAGCGCTTCAGAATCGCAGTGGGAACGGTGGTCGGGTTCTCAATAACCGGTGCGTTGACGTCGAAGGGTTTCGACGAAGCAGAGCCGTCGGCAGGTGCGGGGAAGACCTTCGAGTCGGGATGAAGCTGGTGGAGCAAATCGGCGGGGAAGAGGCATTGGCCCATGTCCTTGAGGAAGACGTACTTGGGCGGCCATGCCTTGTTTTTGGCGAGGTCCTCCTTGGTCGGGTTGAGCACCTTTTCGAGCACTTCGGTGACGGTAAGGTCGTAGTTGCCCGACTCCTTTGCCTTTTCTTCCGAGAAGCGGCGGCAAGGGCGGTTCTTGCCGAGGTAGAAGGGATCACCGATGGGCTCGTGGAAGACGACGGTGTCTGGGCGCTGCATAAGCGAGCGCTCGAATGCGGTGGAGCACGAGCGCGGATGCACCCAGATGACGATGGGAAGCGGCTGTTCGGAAGACGACATGGTTTCGGGAGCTGTGGGACGAAGCCAACAAGATGGTGGGAAGGAAGGAGGAGCAACGGCGAGCCGACCTGTCACGAGGCCGTCTTCAAGGCATGAACCAAGCGCACCGAGCGACTTCGACAACAGCCGCGATTGCGAGCTGCACTGGCGGAAAATTCACGAAGATCCCGGGATCGCATGGGCCGTGGCCATCCGGTGTTGGAAGAAGCGAGGTGTGGAAGAGGGCACATGGTCCGTGTCCCTGCTTCGACAGTTGCCAGGCGAGCGCATTCGATGCAGAGCCACATGCGCCAAGGTGCCGGGACTGCAATCGTGCCCGTGCGCGTCCTAGACCCTCACCCCATCAGGACCCTGGGGCCGAACGCCCGAGCAACGAAACAGTGTTTCGGGCGCGCCTTGCCTCTTCCGCCAGACGATGCTACTGCGTCCAATTGCGAGTCGCTCCATCCGAAGAGTTTCTCAACGTCTGCGAGGTGTGTGATTGCGTGCAGAGGCGGCTGCGATTGGGTCCAAGGGGCAGCGGCAGAGGCGGGCGGCAGGCGGCAAAACGGGCGGGCCATCTCGCCATTCTACCGCGATCTCGTGCCATCGTGGAGCGACATCCGGGCTGTGCACATGCAAGATGACTGCTCCTCGCCTCACCTTGCATTGCTCGGAAGTCCCGATGTAAAACCATCGGGTCAACATCACATCGGCCTGATTTCGCATTTGTGTCCGAGAGTCTATGGGCGATTCTGCTTTTTCAACACCCGCCCCGCTGTGTGCGTTGCTGGCACTCGGATCTTGCCAGATGAGGCGGTGCTGGGGCCCAACAAAGATTCGAGGGTGCTCGTGTGGATTTGCGCGGCAGCATCCGTCATCATGCGAGCCTCTCAGAATATCACCGCGTGGGCGTCCAGGCTGCCTGGCTGGCTCTCGGGATGCCGCTCAGAGCGTGATGGTTCTGTTTGTTGCAACACAGATCCATGGCAGGATCTTCTCGAAAAGTACGACGTGCCCCTGTCTCCCAGTTCAAGCTGCTACTCGCGCCGGCGCGGGTTTTTTGGTCGGCTCCCCGTGACGATAGGAGGTGCCAAGCGTCTCTCGGCTCTTCGAAAGGAGCCCTGGCCCGTGTCGCATTTTGGGCGCTTCCCTTCGATGTGCAGATGTTCAACTGCTTTCTGGAAGAGGAGATTAGCTTGACGCCGACGCAGCCACGTTCTGGAGCCGCTTTCAGAGGACCCCTGCATGGCGAGCGCGCGGCGAGAGCGCTGGGGCAGGGCGGCGAAAGTTTGGATGCGGCTTTGACGTTTGCAGCCCCGCTCGAGCGCTTGCATGCAGCCCCGTCCAGGCGCAGCGCCCTCTCCACAGCCTCTCAGAACGACAATGACCGAGCGACTGCAGCCACGCTTCCCAGATTCGAACTGGGCCGTGGAAGTCCTGCGTCGGCAATGCCTGCACCTGTTGGCCGTGTCGCGCCCTCATCGCTCAGGACGAGCTGCACGAGGCGGTGAAGCTGGCGCTGAAAAAGCTGCACGGACACCGCAACTTAGACTTCCCCACGCTGGCTTGCCTTGACGCAGCGAGACAGTGAGAGAGGTGAGGAGCCAATTTCAATTTCTTGCGCTCTCGGCGCACCTAAGCGAAGTGTTGGAGCTGCAGCGCCCGCACTCATCAGAGCGCTTTCCCAGCGCGTTGCTTCTCCCGTGGCCGCATCTCCATCCTTCCCCTTTCCGGCCCCAGTGAGGCTTCTTGGTCACCATCTACCACCTCCTCATCGTCGCCATCTCCCTCACATCACGCACTTCGGTCGCTCTGCGCGAACAAAGCTGGTCTTGGTCGCTACAACGGCTGTGCAGTGCTTCCGCGCCACCACCTGGGATTTCCGTGGGCGACCGCCCTCCGCGACATTTCATTTCAGCGCTTCTCGGCGTTCACTTCCGGTCGCCTCTGCATCCGAACGGCAGCCTCCTTCCGCTCAAGCATTGAACTTCATCCGATCCGAGATCGCAGTGCGCCATTGTTGCCGATTCCGACTCTTGCGCTTCCTTTCCGATCGTCATCATCAGGCGGAGCAGGCTCCGTCGCAATCTTGGTTGTCAAGTGATCTTTTCCTTCCGTACCATCATCCCCCTTTCTCAACGACTCGCATAGCAAGACACCACTCACGCTGCCAAGACAGGTAGCCTGGATCTTGACTTTCGGCTTTCCAGAGCCTGTGCGCTGCATCTGTCAATCATGTCGTCCGTCGTAGCCACCGTCACCTCGACGGCTGCAGCCGGTCCCACATCCTCTCTGGACGCGGCCGATGCTGCCAAGGCCTCCGCATCGTCTGCCGTGCATTCGCTCTCCAAGGCAATCGCTTCCGCATCTGCTGCACTCACTTCAGAGAGCGCCATCGCATCAGGCAACGAAGCCAATCCACCGGCGTTCAAGTACGTTGGTCTGGCCCTCGCTGTAGGATCAGGCGTACTCATCGGTTCCTCCTTCGTCTTCAAGAAGAAGGGCTTACTCGCCGCCCAGAAGAAGTACGAGACCGCAGCCGGCGAGGGTCACGCCTACCTCAAATCCGCCATGTGGTGGACCGGCATGATCGTCATGGTGTTTGGCGAAGTCTTCAACTTTGTGGCATACGCATTCGCAGACGCCGTGCTAGTTACGCCGCTCGGTGCACTCTCGGTCGTCATCTGCGCCGTGCTCTCGTCGATCTTCCTCAAGGAGAAACTCACGCTCTTCGGCAAGGTGGGCTGCTTCCTCTGCATCGTCGGCTCGGTCATCATTGCGCTCAACGCACCCACCTCGCATGTCGGCGGCAAGATCACCGAATTTCAGAAGCTCTTCCTCGCTCCCGGCTTCCTCACCTGGGCCGGCGTATGCATTGTCGCGTCGTTGGTGCTCATCTTTGTCTTTGCGCCCAAGTACGGCAAGAAGAACATGATGATCTACATCACCGTCTGCAGTCTCATCGGCGGTCTCAGCGTCAGCGTCACCTCGGGTCTCGGTTCGGCCATCCTGCTCTCCATCCGCGGCCAGAACCAGTTCAAGCACTGGTTCATCTACTTTTTGCTCGGCTTCGTCGTCATCACGCTGCTCATCGAGATCAACTACCTCAACAAGGCGCTCGAACTCTTCAACACCGCCACCGTGACGCCCACCTACTACGTCATCTTCACCGGCGCCACCCTCATCACCTCGATCATCTTGCAGCAGGGTCTCAATGCATCCGCCATCGACATCGTCACCCTTGTCATGGGCTTCCTCGTCATCTGCGCCGGTATCGTGCTTCTGCAGCTCAGCAAAATCGACCCAGACGAGCTTCAGGACAAGCCAGGCCTGGATCGCGACACCACGCTGCTCATCCGCGCCAGCCACTCGGTCATTTCGCACGGTGGAGAGAAGGCCGAGTCGTCAGCTTACGAGGATCCGGGTGTAGACACGGTTCGCGGCGGCATGGGTATCGTAGGCTCCATGATCCGCGCACGCAGCTCGCGCCGTCTCAGCTCGGCGAGCTCGTGGGGCCGCCAGCACCACAGCGCTGCAGACGAGTACACTCTGCGCAGCCGCAACAACCTTCCGCTCACCACGCACGGTGCCGGCGATATCGAGAGGTACCAGCTGCAGGATGCACCGCTCTCGCCGAGAGGGATGACTCGCGACAGCTCGATGCTTTCGGTGCCCAACACACCCTCGCGTCGCGAAACGACCATCCAATTCACGCCGGATGCCGACTCTCCTCACGGTCACCATGCGGGCGAAGGCTCGGCGCGCGACGCGCGCTACCGCACCGCGCCGGCCATCTCGCAGTTTGGCGCGATCAACACGCTCCACTCGATCAAGGAGGGATCGAACGGCAGTGGACGTAGCGGCGAGGCCTCGGGCTCGGGAAGCTCGGCGCAGCAGCGCTCACAGATGTACGTGGACCCGTATGCTCCGCGTGCGCATTCGCCCTTGTCACCCACCATGCCGCGCTCCGACGGCGCGCCGGACATCCGCAACATGTGGGACCAGCCCGATTTAGGCTACACTTCGTCGCCTGCCGCCTCTCCCGAGACGGAGGAGGACGGCTACTCGATCCGGGCCGTGGCCTCGTCCGTTGGTGCCGACCAGCACAGTGGTAGCGGTCGCAGCAAGACCAAAGAGTACCCCAAGATCAAGCCGCGCTCCGCCTCCAAGTCCATGGGCAAGGGAAGCAGCGATGACGACGAGGCTGAGGAACTGCTCAGCCCGCGTTTGGGCTACAGATGAGTTGCACCATCTTTAGGATGTATAGACTATGCTTTGCTGTTACAATGGACACTTTTCCCGTGCCTCGACCAGCCGTGACAGTACATCGACCGGGCGCTGCGTAAAGCTGCTACATTGGGCTCGATCAGATCCGATTTGAGTGGCTCTGGCGGCCAAGTCCGTGGTTCGGAAGTCGGCTTCCTGCGCTGCCCAAAAAAGGTCGCATGTGGAGCGTGGAAGAAAGCGGGAATGACACAGCAGTGCAGCGGTTTCATTTTGGGCGACAGTCGACTCTCTGCGCCAGACGATCACCACGGCGTGCCGAGTTGGGAGGACCCTGGACAACCGGACTGCAGCTTTGACTCGGGTCGCGGATTACATGACCAGCCGAAGTTCCGACCGCACTCAGCCACGCACCGAGCATCTTGGCATCTTGCTCCACCTTCATCCACCTCTCCCATTCCCACCACATCTCTTTGTGTTTTGTCCGTCTCGCGATGCTCCGTCCTTAGTCGGCTCGGCTAGAAACTCTCAGCACGACTCGTCATGGCAGCAGCAGCGTCTCCTTCGGCGCTGCCAAGCAGCGGCCCCTCGTCGTCCAATGTTGCTAGGGAAGCAGCCGCAACAGCAAAAGCAGGCAAGATCCCGCCGTACGCAACACTGGCATTTGGCGCCGTATCGGGTTTTGCTTCGTGCGTCTTGCTGCAGCCATTTGACCTGCTCAAGACGCGGCTTCAGCAGTTGGACCACCACACTGCATCCGGAGGCGCAGCGTCCGAATCGATGGCCTCGCTCAAGTACCAGTCGCGCACGCAGCGGCTCATCGGCATCACCAAGAACATCGTCCAGTCGCAGGGATATCAGGGTCTTTGGCGCGGTACGACGCCGACGGTCATTCGAAATGTGCCCGGTGTGGCGTTGTACTTTTACTCGGTGTCGCACTTGCGCCACGTCGCGAGCCAACGGCAGATCCCGTTCATCTCGGTCGTGGCGACAACAGGCGACTCGGCTGCGGGATCGTCTACGCTCGCCAAGCTTTCGACTACGGGCAACCTGCTGACGGGAGCAGTGGCGCGTGTGGCGGTGGGATTCATGCTCTCGCCAGTGACGGTGGTCAAGGCGCGGTTTGAGAGCAGCAACTTTTCGGCGGCTACCGAGCGCACGCTCCTGTCGTCCATGCGCGAGATCCGCGCCCAGTCGGGCTTTGCCGGATTCTTCCAGGGCTTCACTGCGACGGCGCTGCGCGACGCACCCTACGCCGGACTCTACCTCGCGCTGTACGAGGCGTGCAAGACGAACCTCTCGGCGCTTTCGAAGGGTGTCGATGGCGGATTGGGCACAGGCAATTGGATGGTGGTCAGTGGCAGCGGCCTGCTGGCCGGAACGCTGGCGACATTCTTGACACATCCGTTTGATATCATCAAGACACGCATGCAGACAACACCGCCAGAAGCACTGCACCAGATCGCGCTCACCCACAATCCACTGCCGGTCACATCGGCCGCAACAGCCACGCTTCGGACGCCGTCGGTGTGGGGGATGACCAAGCATCTCTGGGCGACATCCGGACCAAAGGCGCTGCTAGATGGGTTGGGACTGCGCTGCGCGAGAAAGGCAGCGAGCTCGGCTATTGGGTGGAGCATCTTTGAGGGTGGACGCTCGTGGTACACGGATCGCCAGCTGCGCATAGCAGCCGCCACCCACACAACAAGGACGCTAGATCACAAACAGGTATAAAACTCACTTTATCCGACTCGGATTGTACACTAGCCGCAGAATCAATCCTGGGATCGTTGCGCGATGCACAGACAGGATGCGCACATTGAATTTGGTTTTGTCATTGCAGCAGCATACATTCACAACTCGCGGCATCTTTTCAGGGAGTAAAGACGAGGGAGAATCCCTTGCCCTTGGCAGCCTCTGCGACCTTGACACTGACGATACCGGCCTCCTGGTCGACGTCGGCCGTGACGTCGGAAGCTGCATCGCCCTCGACGGCCACGTTGAGGCTCGGGTAGAGACGCTGGTTGTCGAACTTGAGCTTCAGGCTGTCCTCGCCCGTGGCGTGATACCAGATGGTCCACCTCTTCTCTCCCGAGGTGGCTTCGGTTCCGTCGCCGTCCTCGTACTCGGAGTAGACGAGGATGGTGTTGGAGGAGGACTTGTCGCCCTTGTCCTGCGCTGCATCGTAGGGCAGGTGGCCGTTGGTGTAGTAGACGTCGCGCACGCGGCCCACGCACATGGGCGTCTCGGTGGCGACCATCGAGACGACCGAGGTGGGCAGCGAGCCGTTGAGGTGGATCTTGACGACATACTCGAGCTTGGTGTCGCTGCCCTGCTGGATGAGGTCCCAGGCCGACACCTCGAGCGTGGCGCGCGTGCGCGACTTGGAGTACGAGCCCGCCTCGTCGACGTACTGATCGGCAGCGACCGAGGTCTGGATGACAGTGATGCGGTCGCCAGAGTCGCTCACCTTGTTGCGCTGCACTCCCACAATGTCGCGCGCCCAGACAAAGTACGAGGGCGACTTGAGGTACGTGTAGAAGAGGTAGGTCTGCGAGTCGTAACGCTCCAGCTGGGTAGCGGCGTCAAAGCGGGGATCCCACTTCTTGCGCATGCCGGGCTGCTGGATCACGGCGAGCACCTGCGACGGTGTGGCATTCTCGACCAGCGTGACGCCCTTGACGATGGGCACGTCGTATGCATTCTCCGGGTTGGTCTTCTTGAACAGCTTGACGTCCTCGCGCTCGCCCGCGTCCTCCCACTCGGACTCCTTGGCCGGGTCGTTGTGCTCCTCAAACTGTGCCTGCGCCTTTTGGAGCGCCTCCTCGTACTCGGCGGGGATGGGCAGGTAGCTATCCTGGCGCTGAGGAGAGGGAAGATCGAGCGTCATCTTGTGTATATGCGGTGGCGACGGGGGTATAGCTTGTCTATTGCTGGTTCGAGGGTGGATGGCAAAGACGGCGGTCGTGGTGGCAGGTTGGCAAGAAGTAGAGAATGACCGCTTGCCTGAAATAGTCGAGCTCGAGCAGATCAGGCTGAGGACGCTCAGGGTCTCTTCGACGGCGTCCGGGGGTGGCAACGGCAGCCAACTGAGCCTTTCAGGGCGGTGATCTTCGCATGTGGGGACTCTCCAACCGCCCGGCGTGCGGAGCTGCATGCGAGACCAAAAATGCGCCTCCACACCACACAGACCACCCAGAGCCAAAAGATGAATTGACGCAGCGGTGCTTTTCAGCAGCGTTGCCCAAAAAGCGGGGGAACGCGTTGCTTGCTTGCTTGCCTGTGAAAGCGAATCGGTCGTCCCCAACGTCTTCCCGCCATGAGGAACGGCAATGCTGCGGCCGGACCTCCGGCCCTCTGTCTCCACCAGAAATGCCCGAACAATGGCAGAATGGCTGCACACCGTTTCTATCTTGACTCCACGCTGCGAGCCATCAGGAACCGTCGGGTTTGAGGGCGTGCCACGCATGCCGTTCTTTCTCAGCTGTACCCTCCATCGTCACATACAGTCGATCACCTGAAAGTCTCTGGTGGTTGCTATTTCGACGAGGCTGGAAAGTTGGCTTTCCAACTCCAACTCTGCTGTTGATCTTGACTGCGATCCTCGCCCATCTGTGCACGTTGTGGCACTGGCGGATCGATGGGAACACCTTGACCATCCAAGGCGGTGAGCGTCTCTCCGGACTGGTAAAACTCGCACTTCCACACGGCGACGTTCTTCTTGACCTCTTCGAGCAGCCACTCTGCGACCACAAAGGCTTCCTTGCGATGCGCCGAGCTGACCGCGATCAAGATGCTGCACTCGCCCACACGCACTTCGCCCAACCGGTGTGCGACATAGCACTTGCTGATGCGGTCCTCGCTCGCGTCTTGCGTCGTCTGGGGTGCTGCATTGGCTGACCTTGCCACAGGGGCGTCTGCGAATGGCGCCGATGTGTGTGCTTGATCCAGCAGGTCCCGCAGCGTGCGCAGAGCAAGCGACGAGTATGCCTCGTACTCCAGCTTGCTCACCTTTTTTCCTGCAACGCTCCATATCAGAGGTCAGCTAGGTTCAATCAAGTAAGAGTCAGGATCAACGCACCTTGAAACGAGTTGCGCGTTGTTCCGCTGAAAAGGACCGTTGCTCCAGCTCCGTCGTCGGAGACGAAGCTCGTTGCGTGCTTTTCGTCTAGCTCGTCGTACGTGAGAAGCGCAACATCGCCTTGTCGCCCCCTCACGCTGCCTGCCACCGATGACGGCGGATACTTTGAGTCCGCATCCTGAGCAAGCAGCTCTGGCTCCGACATCGTTGCGTAAAGGTTGAGGAGGGACGTGAGTCAGATGGAGCCAGTCGAAATCCGGCGCTTTGTCGGGGATTCCGGCGACCTGCCCGGCCAAAATTTGTTGTGACTTCTCAACGTCAGGGTCCAGCCCCCAAGTCACACTTCTTCCGCACTTCACCGTACACTCGCGCATCTCAGCTCAGTTCGCACGCCTGTTCATCACATAAGCGCTGTGATTCTTTGGAATCTGTGGATCAATCAGCGACTTGTTATCGGCCCATCGCCGACCCCATGCTTGCTTTTGCTTTTGACAACGCCGATGTGCGCTTAGTAGTAGCACTGGACGAAGTTGTTGCCCGAGGCGCCGGTGTGGGTGATCTGCGGATGAGGAGCGATAGCACAATTGGAGCGTCAGTCAACAGAGTCCAGGACGCATCGCTGAACAGAGTCGGTACAAGAAAGACACTTACAGCGCCGCAGAAGGTGCCGTCGTTGCTGTCGTAGACGACACGGTCAGCACCGGGCGAGCCGCCTGTGTAGCCAGTCGACGAGGTCTTCAGGGGATACCTAGGGTGTGTCAAGCAAGATCACGGTCAAAGGTCAGTGACAATCCAGCCTACATAATCCGCACCGAGGGGACGGCAACTTACTCCTTGTAGGGACCGTTACAGTAGTCGGAGAAGTCGAAACCTGATCATATGCAAGCGGTTCAAGTCGATCTGTCATCAGCAGTCCGAATGAGCGTAAACGTTGGCTTTCGTGCAGCACTCACCCTCGTAGTTGTTGTAGGTGTGGGGGTAGCCAGAGCTGCTGTACTTGCCGCTGAGACCGTTGTTGATGGCGCGGTTGACCTGCGTCGAGGTGTACGAGACACCGCCGCAGTTGACCGAGACGCCGCCCTGGCGGGGCTCAATGGGGGCAGCGAGCGCCACGGCGGGAACGAGAGCGAGGAGAGCGAGCGAGAACTTCATTGTGGAGGGCAAGCAAGGGGAAGAGACCGAGCAAACGAGGGACCTGAAGAGCGGAGAGAGGAGTGAGTTTGATGTGCTGAGACTGGGGTGCCTTTCCAGGGTCGTAAGGAGGCCTTATGTACCTTTCGAGGCACGCAAGCAATCGCAGTGAGACATGGATGCGAGTCGATCTTCGCTGCGGTGCGAGATGGTCAAGGTTTCAAGCGGCAGATGAAGCTGCAGATGCTTAGCCGGCAAGCGCTGGCCAGGCAACCCCGCCACGCTTGGCCAACTCCTTCCTGTTCCAGCGTGACTTGTGCTTGGGCACAAGTCAGCTCAAGGCAATACGCGAGGAACACGGCTGTCAAGGTTACAACGCTAGGCTCGGGCACGTTACCAGGAACTCCCCACGTCGAGCCTCTTGGCGCCAGCTCGGCTGGCAACTGTTATCGCACGTTCGCTTCCGCCCTCACCCTTTCTTCGCACCCACCTCTTCCGTTCGATCCCTTGCTCCCGCTTCCGGCTTCCCACCTCGCCGTCCTCGCTCTCGGAGATTGGACGTCACTCGATCTCGTCTTCTTCTCCAACCGCTCTCCACCGAGCCCTGTCGGCGAGCCACGTTCCGGCGATTAGCCTCGAGGCGGAGCGCAAATCTATTGCGCCTACGATGCGCACGTTATCTTGATCACAGGGTCTTGCTGGATCCTGCCAGCTAGCCGAGGGCAGGCGGCTTGGCCCGAGTCGCAGGGGTGGGTGACAGGCGCACCACGCATGGACGAGCGTGACCTTTGGTGGCAAGCCGACGGCTAGCGCGCGGAGATGGCCGACCAATCATGATCTTGCAATCGTACCCCGTGAAGCCAGCTTGCATGAGAACAGCATCAAGCTTGCTATCCACAGGCCGCTCATGCGTCCATATCCACGTTTAGCTCGACCAACACGGAGCAACGCCAAACGTGCGCCAAAGCGAGCACGGCTTGAAGGCTTCCGAACAGCCGAGGTGCACTAGCTCGCTTTTTTCTTCGCGTTGGATTCCCGCTACATGCACGCAACTCGGACCCTCGGCATCCATGGGCGTAACTTGGAGCCGCTCAGCACGGACGCCAGCTCGCATCAACTCAATGCTAACGTTACGGAACGTCGGGGGCGTGAAGCTGAGCTACGGCAAAGCAGATCAACGGCTCCATGGCTGCGAATTCGTTATGGCTTTGGAGGTTCTACCCGCACGTTCTATTTTCGGGAAGTCGCGGCGGTGTTAAGTCTTCCATCTTGACTTGCTCCCGCAAGCGCTGCGCGACAGCATGTTCATACAGTAGACTGCCATCCTTACGTTCCTCACAAGCGCTCAATCGATCCTCTTCAATCAGAAAACGACGATGACATGATCATGTTGCATTCCTAATGCAAGCTAAGGGCTCTATGCTTGGTAGGTGGAGTAGCCGTTGGTGACGGGCCCGTTGTTGGGGTACGGGCGCGCCTCGGTCATGGGAGTCTGGTAAAGACTGCCGCGCTCCGAGCCAGGGAGGGTGGAAGGGGCGTTGGTGGGGCTGTAGTTGGAGGGCTGGTTCACCGCAGGCGCGGGCTGGACGCTGTGGCCACTCTGATACTGCTGCGCAGCCTGGCTTGGGTAGTAGGTGTCGTTTTCCCTCACGCCGTCGATCGCGTACGGCGCGGTGGGGCGGTCGTCCACACCCTGCTCCTTGGCGAGCTGCTTGTTCTCGACCATAGTGCCGTCGGCGTTGAGGCCTTTCTGGGCGCGCCTGTGGGCGGGCCAGAGGTCCACAAGGTATGTGAGGAAGAAGATGTCGAGAAGAAAGGCGATTGCCCACTCGCAAACGGCAGCGGCCGAGACGATGCGGTCGCACCTGTTGTCGCCCGGGTTAGCGTTGCCCCTGCAAATGCCGTAGCAGATGATGAAAGCAATCGCGCCCGCGATGGCAAGCGAAAGGATGATCGCCTTGATGATCGCGATGACCTTGAGCGTAGCCAGGCGGTCGTGGTCGTGCGAGAGCGAGAACACCTGGAGCACCTGGAACAGCACCGAGAGCGCCACAAACACGACAAAGATGAGCGTCATGCTCCAGTGGACTGTGCTGTGGTTGAACGCGTCGAAGATGCTGAGCAGCACCAGAGCCGCCGAACCAATGATGGCGCAGATGACCGAGCAGATATCCAGGATCGTCTGCTTCTTGCGAACTGAGCCGGGAATGCGACGCAGGTGTCGCAGGTGACGCTCCGCAAACGTCGTCAGGATGTAGAAGGCGGCAGTGAGTGCGCAGAAGATGATGAAGAACGTCTTGTGCGTCGCACCCACGTCCGAGATGAAGACAACCGACGCTTCTTCCACCTCGTACTCGGCGAAGTTATCGCGCGACCATAGTGCGAGCAGGCCGACGATGGCCGTAGTCCACGACGCGAACGTCAGGATGGGCAGCAGGTAGTAGATGCCGTGAATGCCGATCTTCATGGCTACAGCTTTGCCCAAGAGTCAAGGACGGAGGAGGAGAGGTGAGCAACTAGGGCGGATTCGGGGATGGATGGATAGGTGACGGCCAGAAGAATGAAGTGTATCGCGTTTGCTTCTTATACAGGGTTTGTCAAGTGCCCTGCCGCTCTGCCCATGAGCGCTTGGGATAGCCAGGAAGGTTGGTCATCTCTGCTTTGCGTACTGGCGACAGGGCTGGGGTGCAGCAAGGCGGCTCGATGACGGAGGCCCAGGCGGCACTCTGTGAGCATGCCATCGACAGGATAGGCATCCGCACGCGGGTGCAGCGACGCCAGTTTGACAGGTGGGGACCCACCCGTTGCCAAGCGTTGGCCGGCCTCTGTTGCCATGTAGCCCGGCTCGAGTGACGACAACGCACGGCGGGACAAAATGACGTCAAATGCCGCATCTGAAAATGTTCCTAATTTACGCTTCCGCTCCTCGGCCATAGTTTTTTTGGCACTGATTTGCAGCTCCGATCCGGGCACATCGCGCATCCAAGCAACAGCTCCTATGCCCATCAGCTTGCCATCGCCTCGCTCCGGCAATCCAAGGGTCCAGTCCACCGTCATTTGACATTGTCACATCGACGTTCTCGCAGATCGGCGCTTGCCATCGGCTCGCTACCGATTCTTCCAGGGTCCTGTCTCGGCCAGTCTCGGCCAGTCCCTGCATCCCCAACCGCACGCACACTACAGAAGAACTGAAGAATAACAAAGAGATGCTTGCAAAGAGGTACATGATGCATTATGGATGACGAGAAAGACGGACATGCTGATTAGACGCGAGCTAGCAGGCAGGGCGCCCAGAGCTTTGTGGAGATGCGAAAGGCATCAGGCGAGGGGACGCATGGGCTTGCCCGCCTCCTTCCACGCAGCGAGCACCACGTCGCGCAGCCTGCAGAAGGCCTCCTCGACGTCCTTCTCTTCGATGATGCTGAAGCTCGTGCGGACGTAGCATGTCTTGCTGCCATCCGGGATGAAGGCAACACCGGGTACGGCCAGAACACCCGCCGCCTTGGCCTTGTCCGAGATCAGAGCAAAGCTGTCGCCTTCGGGCTCCTCGGGTCCAGAAGACGGCAGGTTGAGCTTGAGCCACAAGAACATGCCCGCCACAGGCGTGACCCACTGCGCCACACCCGACTCGCCCAGCACCTGGCGCGCCTTTGCCTCAAAGTTGTCGCGGCGCTTGGCGTAATAGCGCGCAACGCTGTCCACGTGGCGCAAGAAGCCAGGAATGCCCCAGTGGTTGAGCAGCTTGTAGGCAATCACGCCGGGCACACCCGATGGCTGCAGGTTCGACATGGCCGTGTTGGCATCCACAGCATCCAGGATCTCCGTAGGTCCCGTGGCGAAGCCAAGTCGAAGGCCGGCGGCCAGAATCTTGGAGAAGCTCTCGAAGCGCACGACACGGCCGGTGCCCCATCGCTCACGGTGCTCCTCCTCAAGACCCCAATAGCTCTTGCCTCGCTTCCTCGTGACTGCATCCTCGTCCAGTCCACCAAAGTGGAGGTAGTAGTACGGGTCGTCCTCCAGAATGAGGAAGTCGTGCTGGCGGGCCAGCGCGAGGATCTGGCGCTTGCGATCGTCCGAGGCGGTGGTGCCGGCGGGATTGGCACCCGTGGGGGTGGTGTAGAGACACTTGGGACGAGGCAGACCGGCAGTCTCGGGGTTCGAGTCCCAGTTGTCGAGGATCTCGGCTAGCCTGCTCGACATCATGCCCTGGTCGTCGCTAACCACAGGGACGATCTTGGCCTTGAGCATGACGAGCGAGGGAAGGATGCCGGTATACACGGGCGACTCGACGAGGATGACGTCGCCTGGGTTGAGCAGCGCGTCGAAGGTCTTGTTGAGCAAGTCTTGCGAGCCATTGCCCGTGGTCACTCGCCACGGCGATCTGCCTGCGACGCCGTCGAGCTTGGAGCCAGGAATGACGACCTCTCGTTGGTGCATGTGCACCTGGAGCTGCGTAATCCACTGCACCAGCTTGGGGATACCGGCGGTGGCACCGTACTGAAGTGCAGTGACCAGGTCGTCGCCGTCAATGGTGAGCTGGGTAGGGCCGGACTCTGCCTCGGGCTTGATGTTGACGCTAAGGCTCTCGAAGGGGAAGGTCTCGGGGTTAGGCTTGCCAGCCAGCAGCGAAAGCATGCCCGGGATGGCCTCGGCAGGGAAGAGAGCACGGATCGCCGACGCCGGGCGTTCGTGCGAGGCCCGGCTCAGGAAGCGGGCCGGGTCGACGCGGCTGGCTTTAGGCACCGTCTCGGAGCCTGGGTTGAGGTCGCCGACCTTGTCCCCGAAATGGGGGTTGGCGTTGGCATTGACGACCTGGGCGGTTGGCGACATTGGTATGGAGTGGACTGTGAGGGCTGGCTGAAGTAGTCTATGTTGCGTGGCCGAATGCGAGAAGTGATGGACGATCTATTGCAAGCTTGCGAGCGCGAGCACTTTTTATCTGTTTTGGATCTGTACGGAAGAGCGTCCGCAAGGCCAGCAGACGACGGTGCTGACGCCTGTTTGGGGGTGTCTCGGGGCTGCGTGCGCCGACCTCTGATTCCGGGCTGCAATGATGGTGCGGTGGGAGCGCAGCGGTGGTGCTGGATCAGCCGAAAGTATTGGACGAGACGAGATGAAGATGTCCAGTTGCCGGTGGGAAGTGTGTGATGTCGTGCTGGGACGGATGCGTGTATGTGAACGTGAGCAAGGAAGAGATACACTGATGAAGGGATGCGTGGAGGTGATGGTGAGGTAGGAAGGCAAGGAGGATCGGGTGGGACGGCCAAGCCTTGAGCTGATTGTGCGCACCGCTCCTCATCAAGAGCGGAGCGCAGCTCAGAGCGGTTTGATAGCCGGAGTGACTCCGACCAAAGCAGTCGAGCGGCGCAGATTGGTCGACTTGAGCCGATAACCGTCAAAGCCAGCAGACGGCGTGAATTCGGCTCTTCTATCCGGCACAACTGACTTCCAGCCAAAAAGAGTGCGCAGTCGCGAGAAAAACTTTCGGCGCTTTTCCGGTGCTCTGCTTCTGAGCCGAGTTTGACGCGTGGCGTCGCGGATAAGCAAAAGCTTATCCTGCCTTTGGCCAAAAAAAAATGCGCCGCGAAAATGTCCGAGCGTGACTCGCTGGCGGGCTCTTTCACGAAAGTCATGCTGCGTCGCAATGGATCCGTTGGAAGCAAATGGTATTCAGTCGCAAGCGGCATGTTGCGAAGGAAGCAAGCCAAGCAAACTCCGCGCCGTCCTTGCGCAGCGCAAATACCGTTACGAAGAAGCTCAAGCTGCATGCAGCAGCCGCGCAAACACTGTACAGTACAGTACCGGTAGGGTGTCCTCGGCTAAACGCGCTTATTCCTCGCAGCGCATGCGATACAATGCTTTCTTTGCGGTATTATCACGACGCTGCGCTCGCTACACAATGCGCAACCCCAGCATTGGAAACTTGGCGGTGGGAGCATGATGAAGGAAAGGCGCAGACAAAGTGGCAACCATCGCCCACCCCTCGACCCAGACAATAAGCTCGTGTAGGCATAAGCTCGTGTAGGCATTTTTCATGTCATATCGGTTGACGTACGAATGCAAGATGGGTTGTCCACGGCGATTGCCACGAAGCTCGTCTCATATCCACATGTCAGCCCTACTGTACGTCGGGACAAGAATGCGCCGCTGAAACATGCAGCTGTCACGCGTCTGGTTGTTTGCCGCCCCGCTCCAACGCGTGGTTGGCGTGGGATCGGTGTCAAGACTCTCCGAATGACCCACCGCCATGACGTGCTTGTACCTACACGGTCCCGCTACGATCGTCGGCAAGCCTTACAAGCTTGCAACGCTGCATGCCAAGGGAGCTGCGCCGATCGAGCTTGACGTGGGAACAGGGAGTGCGCTAGGATGTAGGCAAGCGCAGGACCGACGAGCCCCAGCTCCTCCACATGCGCTCGACAGCGCGATGCTCGCCCGACTCGAGATCGCGGATGTCCTGGAGGAATTGCCGTTGCAAGCGGCGCGCTGCCGCTTTCTTCCCACGCGATAGCGACATGAGCAGTGGACCCGAGGCAGAACGCAGCGTCGACAGATCCAGCAACAGCAAACCCTGCGTGAGGTCGTCTCGACCCTCGTCCTTGCGATCGGCCAGTGGGCCACCCGCAGCTCGGCGATCGCCCGATGCATCCCGCGACGGCGATGACAAGAGTCGGTCGACGCGACGCATGGCTTCCCATGCGCGCATCTGGTAGCCGCGTCCCGACGTCTCGGACCTCTGCACGCTGAGGTTAAAGACCTTGTTGCGCAGATAGCTCTGACCGACGTAGAGGATTCCCAGGGCGGGTGCGATGCCCACGGCTCCGAAAAGCAGCTGCTGGCTCTTGAGCAGCTTGTCGATCCCCGTCATGGCGACTTCGATATCCACCTTGGCCTTCTGCACCTGGATCAGCAGCGATCGGATCAGCGACCCGCTCACCATCGACTTGACTGGGCTCTTCATCTCGGCCTCGTACACCTTGAGCACCTGCGTCAGGTCGCCCTCTCGAACTCGCGACGCAATCGCTTGCAGCTCGGCGCCCGACGTGCCGTACTTGTCCTTGGTAAAGTCGGTCACCATCCTCTCGAGCGACTGCAGGTCCGATGCGAGCGACTCGCGCGACACGATCACGCTGCCCTCGTTGCCATGTCGGATGGTGTCGAGCAGGCCCACGCACGGCTCCCACACCCAGCCGATCAGGAAGCTCCGCACCGTCTCTTTCGTCTCCTTGAGCTTGGCCTCGATGCCGTTCCAGTTGTTGGAGAGGTAGCGTGCGAGAAGCACCAGTCCCACCGGATACAGCACCAGCTTCGGCCAACGCTGCACCAACGCCGAAGGCTGGCCAAACACTTCGGGCGACAAGACCATCTGCACCCGATCCTGCTGCTTGTCGAATCCTTCCTTCAGCAGCAGTCGGAGCGTGCTCAGCGTTGCCTCGGGCGTAAGGCTGGCGTCCATGTCGATATTGACGTCCTTGCTGCCGGTCGGTTCGCTGTTCGAGAAGGTTTCGACCAGGACTTTGAGCTTGGCGTTCAGATGTCCCAGTACGATCTGCTCGGCCGGAGCACTGTCCGAGGAAGTCGCATTCAGCTGCTGGGCTTGATCCGCCAGAGCCTCGTGCTGTAGAGCCAGTCGGCCGAGCTTCGCGGCGAGGAGGTTGCGTTCGTTGACCAGGCCTCGACGCTTGCATTTGGCTTCGTGTCGAGCCAGGTAGGTCGGTGTCAGAGTGAGCATGGTCGAGCGCAGCGCCTTCACACGCTGCTTCTTGATCTTTTCCGCCCCAGCTTCGAGCTGACCTCCCGTCGCGCTGTTTGCGCTCAGCTGCGTTCGCAGCGTGGCCACCTTGCGCTGCTGGCTTTCGTGCTCCTCGCGCACGCTTTCGAGCGTGATGCTCTTCTCCAAGCGGAAGGTATAGGGGAAGAGCATCGAGGTGACCAGATTCGGGGTGTCAAGCACGCTGCGCAACGCAGCTCGAACAGTTCCCTTGTCGAGACTTTTCGCCTTGTGAGAAAGGTCAGAGCCGCGAGTATCGGCGCTTGTGGAATCGATTGTGCTCTTGAGCGTATGGGTCGCTGTCCCCGCAGCAAGCTCTAGAACTTCCTTGGTCACGTTGAAGAAACGAACAGGAAGGGTCTGGATCAAGTACGAGACCGTCTTGCGCATCGACTCCTCAATGTCGGTCCAGTACCACGTCTCGTCCTCCAGTTTGCTTGCATCTTGCAGAAGAGTGTCGAGAGCGGCTGCATACGTCGCCACTACCAGACGAGACAGCGCAGCAATTTTGAGCTCCTCTACATGAGGGACTCCACTGACGCCCTGCTCCTCGGCGAAGCTGTCGAGCTTGTCGAGAAGGCTGATCAGCGTCTTTCGCGATGGCAATGTGGACGAAGCATCCGAGGGTCGAATGGATGACAGGATTTCTTGGATCGGTTTCTTGTGGTCTTCGCCCGATGCTTGCTTCGACCCTGCATCTGAGGAGGCGACCTTGACGCCGGCGTCTTCGGCTTTCTCTGCTGGCGTGTTTGTAGCCGACAGTAAAGAGTCGTAGATCTCAAGCTCGGTGCCGAGCCGACCGTAGACGTCGGATGAGTAGGTCATAATTGCTCCGTCGACGAGAGCGCGGATCTATCTGCGAGCGAGTTTGTTTAGCGATCAAGTAGCTGCACAAGAGACGGCTTGACGGTGCTTGTAGGAGGAGAGGATGGAACGGAGGATGGAGGTGGAAGCACACCCCACTCCGGACGCGCGGTCGGGCCACCAAATTCACAACTTGCTCGTGTTCCCGTGTGGAGGGGAACAAAACAAAAACTAAAAACGAGCGACGTTTCGCTTCGCCTTCGCGACTGTGGCTGGCGGAACCATGCGAGCTCAGTATCGCACGCAGCACTCAACATGCAAGCAAAGTGAGAAGCAACACTCCAGCTTGGCGGAGATGGTTCACGAAATGGCGGTCACTTTCGATTCTACAGCATGAACACAATACTATCCGTGCGAGGGCGAGAGGGTTTCGCCTGGGATTAGAGCTCCTCCTTGCGAGCTTCGAAGTCCTTCTTCTGCCTCTCGGCCTGGGCAGCGATGCGCTCGTTGACGAATGCAAGAAGCACATTCTTCTTCTTGGTGAGCTCGTCCACCTTCCTGCCCGCAAGCTGGCTGGTGCCCTCGGCGTGCTTCTTGAGGATGCTGCTGAGACGCTTGGTCTCCTTCTCAATGTAGCCGGCGCTCTGGTTGGCCTTGTCGAGCACGCGGAGGTAGTAGTCGGCAGCCTCGCTCTTCTTCTTGTCGACCTTGGAGCTGGCCTTCATGGTGTTGACGTAGTCGATGAACTCCGAGTAGATGGTGCTCTTCTTGTCCGCAGGCGACGTGTACCAGCGAGCAGCAAAGCCGTCGAGCGTAGGCATCCTGCCGGCGAGCTCCGACAGCAGACCGCCCTTGGTGCGCCAGGTCTGGCACTTTTCGTTGAGGAATTTGAGGAAATCTTCCTCGCCTCGACCGCCGTTGTACGGCATGGGGTTGCTCTTGTCGCCCTTGGGGAAGAACATGAGCGTCGGGTACGAAGAGACGCCGTATCGCTGCGCGATGGCCTTGTTCGACTCTTCGTCGGCATCCATCTGGGCGACCACACAGTCGTCGTCACCGGAAAAGTCCTGAGCCACCTGCTGGTAGATGGGGTTGAGGTTCTTGCAGTGTCCGCACCAGGGGGCGTAGAACTCGACGAGCACATCCTTGTTCTCGTCCATGACGATCTTGTCAAAGTTGCGGTTGGTCAGCTGCTCGGCAGCAGGCGGCGGGGGCGGCTTGACGGTGCTCTTCTTGCCGCTCTTCTCAGTGACCAGCTTGGCGATGCTGTCCAGATCGCGGCCCGAGTTGAACTCCTCGGCCTCGGTCGAGCCGGCAGGATACCACTTGAGCGTGGGGAATCCACGGATGCCCGCCTTCTGGCCGAGCTCCTTGTTCTTGTCCGCGTCCACCTTGGCGATCAGGACCGTCTCCTTCTGGTGCGCAAAGGCATCGGCGACCTTTTCGTAGATGGGAGCGAGGCTCTTGCAGTGTCCACACCAAGGGGCGTAGTACTTGACGAGCACGCCCTGCGACTTGCCAATGTGCTGGTTGAAGTCCTTGGTGGCGGTGAGGTCGAGCACGTTGCCGGCGAGCGCTGTGGCGACCAGCACCAGCAGGGCCAGAGTGAGGGAAAGGAGCCTCATGTTGCTTGCTTTGGGGGTGGGTTGAAGAGGGGCCAAGGTCGGTTGCTTGGCACAGTGATGGTGGCGAAGGGTGGAGTGTGCGCACCGCAGGAAGAATTGAATCCAACACAGCCGCGACCGCCTCTCACGAGCCCCGAGCGCCGGACTTATGGAGCGCGCGCTCTGCTCGCCGGCCGGAAGAGCTGAGTCGCCGCCGATCTGACGTGGCAAGAGACGTCGATTCGGAAGAAAGCTCAGATTTCAGCCACCAAGCGGCCTAACATTTTCTACCTGCGCGGATCGGTTTTCCCTTCTGGCTTGAACCTCTTCCTCAGCCTCTCATGCTCACTGCACTTGCTGGACTCGACGGGTGTCTCATTGAAAGAATGAAAGAATGGGCTGCTGTCTAGAGAGCGCGCAAGTATTTCCGCAGAGCCTGTGGTGGCTCGATGCCGAGTTCGCCGCGCTGCTTGGCGACCAGTGCATCGAAGCTGAGGATCGGGGCCAGGTCGGCAACGTATCGATCGCCCTTGCGGCAGTAGTCTGAGACGGCTGGCGGAGGCTTGACTCTGCCCTCCACCTCATCGTCGACAAAGCCAGCAGCGGAACCAGGCCGAGACTTGACCTCATCTTCGTCCTCTTCGTCATCCTCGTCTCCGTCGTCGCCCTGATACATGGAGCTGCCAAACGACGAGGGCGGGGTCTGCACAGGAATCAGCTCGTCCGGATCACCCTCCTCGTCCCAGTTGACCTTGTTCGGTCCGGGCCCGGCAAGGATCGGGATGGCACCCGTATGGCTGCCTTCGCCGAGCTCGTCATCCGCGGATGGGTCCGACAGAGGCAGTGGCTCTTCGAGCGTCTCGCGCGCCCAGGCCATGCCGAAGCTGGCGAAGAGTGTGGAGGTGGTGCAGCTGCGCAGGTCGCGGGCGTGCGTCGACTGGATCGACTTTTGGTCTGGATCTTCGGGCCCCATTCGGTTGGTGCAGATACGCTGGGTGAGCGACTCGACGAGCATGCGGTCAAAGTGGCCGTCGTCGTAGGCCTTGCGATACTTCTGCAGCCCCTTCCTGAACGCTGGCTTGTCGCCTTGCGCTCCTGCAAAGAATTCGGCGCTGGGGGTGGAGCGATGCACAGCAGACGCGTCGGTGAGGAGCGAGTACGTAGCCACCGAGTCGATCACTGCGTCGACCAGCTGGTCCTGCTCTCCCGACGTAACGTATGCATCCCGAGTGTGCTGCGCAACGCCAGTTAGGATGCGCTCAATTACGCTCTGCACCATGAATCGGACGGGGTCATTGAGCGCCAGCGCCGCCAGCGCCTCGTCAAGCTTGGGGTACATTGTGTCGCCGATGGGGGTAGCTGTGGCAGAGGTCATGGCAGAGCCACCACCTCGAGCAGAGAGCGCGCCCCAGCTGGCACCGCTTCGACCAAGTCCGGTGCGGGAGGCAGACGGCGTGGCAGCGCCCGATCGAAGAGCAGGCGTGCGATTGCCCGAGGAGGCCATGCGCAGAGTCTCGGTCTTGATGGCGTTGGCGATGAACGTGATGCGTTGGGGTCCGTAGGGAAGCGCAGGATCCAGGATACGCCTCTGGATGCTTGCCGTGTAGTCGTTGCCGACGAGCGCTGCAAGCAGAGGGAGCATGGAGGGCGGAATGCCGAGCGCAGCAGCGAGCTTCACGGAGGAGTACGATGTGAAGCGAATTCCGCTCAACACGCCATCCGCTGCCGTCTGCGGAGGGCGATTCAGCGTCTGCAGCTGAGCCTGCGCCGGCACGGCCACCTTTGCACCTCTTCGACCCTTGGCCTTGCCACCTTTTCCGACCTGTGCGAAGCCATCGTCTTCAAAGGCTTCGCCGGCGGCTGCGTGGACAGCTCCATGGTCCTTGTCCTGTTGCGTAGCTGGTGGCTGGACGAGGTAAGCAAGAGAGTCGATGGGCACGTAGCCTCGACATTGGGATCCTCGCGCACAGAGCACGAAAAAGTCCGAGTCGTTGCTGACGGCCCAGCCGCTCATCCTGTCGGCGAGCTCGGCCACTGCGCTGTCGGCCTCGATCTGCTCGACGACGATCTGCACTTTGCACTGACGGAGCGCATCGAGCGTGCAGTCGTAGAGTAGGGGCGGGAAGACGCCCATTGAGACCTGAAAGCCTGGCTTGGATCGAGACGAAGAGCGCATGAACGCCGAGTTGTTGGAAGCCGTCTCTCCGAGTCGCGACAAAACGGTGGGGATCTTGAGGGGCAGATACGGTCCGTCGAAGACAAAAATGGGCTCCAGCGAGGCTTGGCGGAGGGCATTGACGAAATGACGGACGTACAGGTTGTAGCCGACATAGTCGCCACCACGAAGAGACTCGACAAAGTGGTCAAGGTACGCCCGGTAGATCCAGGCCCAGCCATCGATGATCAAAGGGCCTGTAGTAGTCGAAGCGGCCGACGACGAGCTCGCTGCATCGCCAGCGCTTTTGGTCGGGATGGTCACCTCCTCCGACACGACATGCTGGATCTGCTTGACAAACGATGTCAAGCCCTTGACGCCCATGTTGAACTGTAGTGATGCCGCACAGTGATGCACGTCGGCAGGATATCGATGGAGGTCAGAGGAAGAAGAGTGCGGAGGAACTCTGCTTGGCGACGGTTGAGAGCGGCTTGCAAATCCAATTTTGCAGCGCAGACCTCCACAAGCGGTCGGCGCGATTTTTCATTCTGTTAGACCTCCATCATCTGCGGTATCGACAAAGGCGAAAATCGACACTGTCGTTACAACATGGACCAGCATCAAATCTGGAAAGTTTGAGCGGCACCAGACATGCCGGCTGGCTTGCATGAAGCGCAGCCTGCTCAAGTTGATGTTTGTGAGCTGACATTGTCATTGGGCGGCAATCGCGGCAGGATTGGCGTGGGCAATCAGCGGCGACGAGTTGGACGCGCGTCGAAAACCGTCGGCATGCTCGGAGCACAGACGAGCCGACCAAACCCTTGGCCATGTGCGACCAGAACCGCCGGTCCCCCCCACCGTACTTGCTGGCACTCTGGCCCTGTCCTTGCTGCTGCCTGTGTTTTCGTTTTTGCCAGCATCGCCTCCTAGCATTCTTGACGAAACGCTAGAGGCCTCGCTTGGATCGATCAGCCCAGCGCGGGGCGCCAGCGTCACTGCTACAATAGCGCCCCGCCCTAAGATCGGAGCTCGGATCGCCGGCTGGCTCGGCGGCCGAATTTGCTTGGCATTTTTCGCGTTTGGCCCGCGACCGCGCTCTTGTGCCGCTGCCGAGGCAAGTTCCAAAATGGCAACCGACGTTGCTGCAGCGTGCAGAGTGTGTCATGCGTGGCTGCTCCACTCTGCATGGCAGCTGCGCCGTGCCCAAAGCACTTCATCCTCTCGTTCTCCTTCGGAACGGCACGTATGCCGCGCACCACATGCTCGCTACACCAGTGGCTGAGATTTGCCGGCACACCGGTTGGCTCTTTGACGACGGACCGAAGTAAAGCCAGCAGCCCCTGTCGTCAAGCCATCTCTCTCTTGCGACACTTGCCTTTCGACTCCATCACTGCCATTGTCGCCATCGCTGGCTCTCAGCGCTAACTCCATCCACGCAAGTGCTGCAACACCACATCCATGGCAGAGGCACGAAAGGCTGTTGAAGACCTCATCCGGCTCTCGAGCCGCGTCGTGCGCATCCTCGGCCAGAATCCCGGGCCCTACACGCTCGCCGGCACAAACACGTACCTCATCTCGACGCCGCCCGTCGCGCACGCAAAGCTCGAGTCAAGACCCTCGATCCTCGTCGACACGGGCGAGGGCACCGAAGCATACCTACCATTGCTCGAGCGCGCGCTCAAAGGGTCCGTCGACGGCGTGCCTTCCAAGGATGCCGCTCGTACAAATCAGGATGCCATGGAAGAGGACGACGACGACGAGGATGAGCTCACCGCCTGGATCTCGGACATCGTCTTGACACACAAGCACCACGACCACGTTGGCGGTCTGCCTTCCATCCTCTCGCTCCTTTCGAAACTTCGCGCCGAAGCAACCGTGACGCTCCCGGCACCGCGTATACACAAGCTGCCAGATCCGGAGTCCGATCCGGAGCTCGTCAAGATGCTGCACGGCCTGCCCAAGGGCTCCTTCATTCCCTGCTCGGATTCCGGCGATGCAGCCTCGCCGCTTTGGCCGCTCCAAGAGGGCTCCGTCATTCAAGTGGCTGGTGCCAGCGACCAGTCGTCTCTGCGCGTCTTGCATACGCCCGGGCACACTGCCGACCATATCTGCTTGGTGCTCAACGAGGAGAAGACGCTGCTCACGGGCGACCACGTGCTCGGCCAGGGCACCACCGTATTCGAGGATCTCACCGCCTACATGTCGAGCTTGCGCAAGTGCTCTCGTGCGCTCGAGGAGCTCGGACCCTCTTTGCCCACCAACGAAGGGACGAGCACGGCTGCAACGGAGAACCGTCTTTACCCAGCGCACGGTCCTGTCGTCGAGGAAGGCCGCAAGATGCTCAAGCAGTACCTGGATCACCGTCTTGAGCGCGAGGCACAGGTGGTCGAGTTGCTAAAGGCATCGCCCGACGGTAACTCCATCACAACCTCTTCTGTCACGGTAGGTGGGATAGAGTACCAGCTGGGTGCGCCATGGAAGATCCGACAGATGGTGCTCAAGCTTTACTCGAACTATCCGGAGAATCTGTTCCCCGCCGCTGCGCGCGGGCTCTATCTGCACCTGCGCACGCTCTCTTCGCCGGACCCCGAGCAAGGCAAGGCTTCGCGCGTGCGGTGTCTGCAGACCACCTCGTTCGCTCGCAGGGCGTCGGCAGAAGCAGCAGCCGACGTAGGCAATTGCCCGCCCTTGCCCCAGTCCGACCACGAGTGGATCGAGGCCATGGAGCTCGAGTGGGCCCTCATCGCGCCTCAGCAGGCGTCATCCAATCACCAACACTTGTAACGCACGAATATACCACTTGTCAATGCTACTGTGCCATCAATTGTTCTTGCCATGTGTTGTTGCGGCCGTGGGTGTGGCGGAAGGAAGAGGTCGGGGCGGAGGTTGAATCGATCAGCTGCCCATGGCGTGTTAATGTGTGGGTGCACGCTCCCAAGGCTTGGCGTGCATCGTCCGGCACGGCACACTGCATTTTTCCAGATTGGTTACGTCGTTCCGCTGGCAGGCAAGGGTCCACAGGTCGGGAATCGGAGAGGCACCTCCAACGCGGTGCCACGTTTCACTGACAGTTGCTGCCAACATCTTTGCCGTGCTATCGAATCGTTCTCGAGCTCGACGCAACGTACGGCCGCGTTGGAGGAGTGCAAGATGGTGTCGAGGTTCTTCCAGCTCGTGCTGCTGGCCGGAATGATCCTGCTGATTCCGTCGTTCCTCTACCTCTCACACCCAGCACAACCAGTGCTCATCGACCCGCAGACAGGCTTGGCCTACTCGTCCGACTCGATCCTTCAATCCGGAAAGGGCGATACAAATCCACTCGCACAAGTGTCGCAGGGGAATGGCGCGGAACAGGCTCATCTGTGGAATGGCTGGAACTGGCACGATGCAACCGCCAACGTAGGGAGCGGGGTGCACAAGGTCGAAGATCAGGTCAAGGGATTCATCGACCACTGGAAACCGACCGCGTCATCTTCTACCACCAAGCAGGACAGCACAAGCGCCGGTCAGGATGCAAAATCCAAACCAGCGGTATCCCCTGCCACAGGTGCGGGTAAGGACACGGAGCGTGTCGAGGGAGTGATCATGCCCAAGATGGGTAACGCCACAGCCAAGGCAGCGCTGGGCAGATCGACATGGCACTTCCTGCACACCATGACACTACGTTTTCCCGACCAGCCAACCAAGCAAGAATCCGAGACACTGCGCACGTTCTTTCTCAACTTTGCCCAGCTGTATCCGTGCGGAGAGTGCGCACACCATTTCCAACAGCTGCTCAAGGAACTTCCGCCCCAGGTGGGCTCGCGCAAATCCGCAAGTCTCTGGCTCTGCGCACTCCACAACGAAGTCAACAAGAGCCTGGGCAAGGACGAGTTCCCATGCGATCAGCTCGACAGCACCTACGACTGCGGATGTGGTGACGATCCAAACGCAGCAAAGAACGCAACTTCAACAGCTCCACCACAGCCTGCAACAACTCAAAATGTCACCCCGTTTTCGTAGTCAATCGATTGACTTCGACTCCCCGCCGACCGCATGGACACGGAGTCTCTCGCACTGCAATGATACCACCCCTAGCCGAAAGAGTCGGAATGTGTGTGACCTCTCGAAATCGTCCCACAGAGACTGTGTGTGAGCTCCGTCTGACAAAGGGCTTCGTTGGAGGATCTGCGCCATTCTGCATCAGACTCTGCGTCAAGGGTTACCCTCTGGACAGCGCACTCAAGTTTATGTGTCACACAGCTGAGTCTTTTCCTATGTGAATCTGAAGGCCTCCAGTCAGAACGTCACACGGTAAAATGTCGTTCGATGTTTTGCATTGCCGCGAGCGTGCGGAGCGGATACCAGACCCGCTCCTCACAGCTCGACTGCTTCCCGCACCGAACAGCTTGGAGTCCGCAACTTCCGAGGAGCGCAGCGACTTCCAAAGCAGTGAAGAAGATGAGGAAACTGAAGTACAGTGACAGGGGTGACAGGTTGGGATGGAACACAAAAGTCAGAGCTTGCAAAAAAGCCATTGGCCCCGACCTCGAATCGTCAAGATCGAGGGGAGACCGATTGGCCCGCGCATTCCAGCGGGGTGCGACCAGCACACCCCCGCTGCGAAGCTAAAGCAACGGGAACAGAGCAGAGAGCGTTCGGTGGTGTCTCCGAGCATCTACCTGCGGACGGGAACGAGACCACGACGCTGATTCTTGCCCGTCGCCTGCTCGACCGAGGCGAGGTACGACTTGCCGGTCTGGCTGAGACTCTGGCCAGCCTGGTTGGGAGTGAGGTCGCCGTACGGGCCGTTGTTGGCATCCGAGACCGAGTATGCAGCCACACGAGCGTCGCTCTCGAAAAGATCCACCATCTGCTTGAGCATAGAGTCGACCTTGTTCTGGTCGCAGTATTTGGGCGACGGTCCTTGGTACTGTTGAGAAGAAAGGCGCACGAGTCAGTCAAAGCGTCCGAAAGCAGTAAGATGGCCGAAAGATACAAACATTGATACAAGCGAACTCCGTCACCCAAAGCAACTTTCCGTACTGGGCGAAGTGATCGAGGACGCCCTTGACGCCGTCCATGTTGTCCTGGAAGATGTGAACGGCGATGATGTCGGGCTGGGTCTTGACGGCCTTGAGAAAAGGTGCGAGCCAAGTCTCGTCCTTCTGCATGGCCATGCTGGGCGAGATGAGCTTGGCGCCGGCGCGGGCGTGAGGGGCGATCCACTGCTCCCAAGCGGCGGCGGCATCAGCGACGGGGATCACACCGGACGAGCCGCTGCCGGAGAAGTCGGGCTCGTTGAAGCCCATGACGAAGGGGGCGGAGCCAGGCTTGAGCTTCTTAAAGGCGTCGAAGCGAGCCCAGTCGTCGTCGTGGTCGACACGGCCCAGACCCCAGAGCATGGGTACGGCGAGGATGTCGCCGCGGTTCGGGTTGTCCGGGTTGGGGGTCCAGTCGTAGTACCATCCGAGGGACTTGGCGGTCCACTTGAGCGAGTTGCCGCCAGCGACACCCGCCTTGCCGAGAGGAGGAGAGAGTCCGGAGATCGTGCCGGACGAGGATGAAGAGGACGAAGAGGATGAGGACGACGAAGAAGAGGACGAGCCCGAGCTAGAATCCGACGATGAAGAGGAGCCGGAGCTCGAGCTCGAGCTGGAGCCAGAGGAGCCGGATCCCGAGTCGGAGCTGGAGCCAGACGAAGCGGAGGAGCCCGACGACGAGCTGGACGACGAGCCGGAGGGGGAGGTAGCCTCGGACTGGGAGCCAGACTGGGCACCACTGGCGACAGAGGACGAAGAGTGGTGGTTGGCCTTGTGATGTTTGTGGTGGTGCTTCTGGTGCTTGACGCGGCACTGCTTCTTGGCGTCGACGGACTCGACGTTGCTCAAGAAGAGAGCGAGCACCAGAACGGCGAGGAGGATGAGCTTGTGGTTGAGAACGAGCATGTTGGATGACGCGAGAGGAGGGGGGCTTTGGTCAAGAGGGTGAGCAGAGAGATGGTGGAGTGGTGATGCTACAGTAGTTGGTGGGAACGATGCTGAACGATGGTGATGTCTGTCAAAGACTTTGAACTACCGAGAAGCCAAGGGGAGAGAAAGCTGAACGAGGAGAAGCGGGTCGATGCTATCAAAGCAATCGAGAAGGGAGACGCTAGCAAGGGGGAGAGGAGAGTGGTCGGGAAAGGATGGAGGGAGGGAGAAGGAAGGGGCAGAACTCAAGGTTTGAAGTACTGAAGGTCAGGGAGCGAAAGATTGCACTCGGCGTCGCCTTCGGAAGGCTCGGTGAGTCCGCAGATGCTCTCCAGGCAAAGTGCTTCAAGCTCTTGCTCCCGTCCGCAGAGCAAGGTTACAGTCTCGGCAGCTTACTCTGTATGAGCCTGTTCTCACGCAGAACATCTGTCGCATCTGTGATCACACCTTTGACACACGCTCGCTGTCGCATGCAGCGATCACACGCCCTCTTTCCCTCTCTGATCGTGCAAAGGGTGAGGGGATCATCTGCGGCTCAACGCGCTGGCAACGTCTAGCCAGTAGCGCCCTGCAACGGACCGGCAGAACGGCAACACTGCAGCGCTTCAGGAACTTGGGAAGCGGTGTTCTCGTCTCGGTTGTCGAGATCATGCAGCTCAACAGGCTTAGCTGCAGTTCTTGCAGCGAACATGGGACAACCGCATCAAGACGGCGTCGGAAGTGCCGGCTGCTGTCTTCCCTGCGCATCACCTCATCACCCCAACGGCGGTTGATCCGAACAAAGTCGCGGGAGGCGTCCTTGCATCGGAACTGCTCAATCACATCGCTCTCTCTGTCTGCGCTGCTGTACAAAGGAGCTTCAATCGCCCGGACGGAGGAGCCGAGGATCTGCACCTCTCGGCCTGCGAAATTGCTCCTGCCTCGCTGGCAAGTCGCGCCGAGAGAACAAAGCTTTGAGTCGGCTGCCAACGCGCTCGTTTTTCAAGCTCCGACGCCGACGGCTCCAACATGAAATGCGCACTTTCGATCCAACTGAGCACTTTGCACAGCGACTTTGCACTCAAGGGGGGTTGCCATGGCCGGCGGTGAACCCGGCCAGACCAGCTGACACAGCTCGCTGCCGCCACAGTCGAGCAAGCGGTGTGGCGAAGAGGGTTTGATCGACAGTGTCTCAGTAAGCCACGTCGATCCTGGTTTCGCTGTCAGCAGTGCGCGGGTCTTCTGTCTTCGATGCGGGCCGGTAACCCTACCCTTACGGTGTCGTCGCTGCGCAGTCCGCGCATTCGAGGCTTGCAACCCCCAAAATTCCACCTGAGCTGCAGCTCTGTCTTCGGATACAACGCCGTGTGTTCCTGCGCCGGCCGCGCCATTTCTTGGCTTGCAGTGCTCACGCCCCAATCACACCCTGCAAAGTCACGATCCTCTCGTACGTCTCTTGAATAATGCTTTCATTCGCTGGTTTCGGAATCGGGCTACATCGGCCGTGATGAACGGACATGCTCTCACGCGATGACCTCACTTGCGGAAGGCCTCGCATACGACCCAGTTATCGTAGATCTGGCCTTTTTCGAGCACCTCTTCGCGTCCACCCATGTCTGCGAGGCCGTCGTGCAGGAAGCCGCAGTGCGGTCCGCCGAACTCGATGGCAGTAAAGCTGCGCTTGAAGTTGCCGCTGTCGGGCTGGCCGCCCTTGCGGTGAGCCTGCTTCATCACGCCGCCCGACTGGGCCGGATCAGCGGGGTGCTCGGGCTGGCCTTCGGCAGTGTACATCTGCACGCCGACCTGGTTCGAGTAGAAGAGCACGGAGCGGCCGGCAGACTCGGACGTGACGCGCATGCGCTTGGTCGCCTCGGTCGCAATCTTGCTGATCTCGTCCGCCTGAGGAACCGAAGCGTCGGGTCCCCACAGGTAAAAGTCGTCGTAGCCGTTCGCGGGCATGCCATCCGAGATGCGCTTGCCGTCTTTCCTGTCCCAGTGGTGCGAGCCGGGATTGGAGAAGGTCTCGGGCTCTCCGGTCGTGACATTCATCTTGCCCGTGGCGAGCATCGCTGGGTCGATGTCGAGATGGTACAGCGGCTTGCCCGGTGGTGGGTACATCTGGATGATCTGTTCGGTCACCGTGCCGTTCTCGGCCTTGCACGCCTGCTCGTTCGAGGCCGACATGTTGAAGCCCCAGTGGTGCGTCATGTTGAAAGGCGTGGCTTCCACGGAGCCGTCGGATGCGAGGGCGGCACGGTAGCGAATCAACAGCTTACCTGCCGACTTGCCCATCACGCTGTCCGAGCCCGAGCCCGGGACGAGCGCAATCAGCGTCTCGACACGCAGCTTCCCTGGGAACCCAGAGTCGCCGTCGGGCGACTCGATCGCAAAGATCAGGCTGCTCTGCTTGCCCGTCGGGTTGCTCGTCGAAGCATAGCCTGCATCGCAGAAGAACTTGCTCTCCTTGGTGTCCAGAGGCTGCCAGTAGCACCTGTCAAACGGACCGTGCTGCACGATGCTGTCGACCTGGTTCTCCTTTTCGCCCTCGGCTCCGCCGTGAAGCACAACACCAGGTCCTCTGTACTCCTCGAGCTGGAGGTGGCCCGAATGGCCGCTGGCCGAAGTGTAGTCGATCTTGCCCACGGGAAGACGGTTGGCAAAACGACCGATGATCGGGTTCAGGAACGCTCGGCCTCGAGTTTGATGGTCGCGCGGGTGTTCGGGACCGCCGATGAAGTCCTCGCCCTCCTCGGTGCCGATCGTGTGAATCGTGAGGCCGTATGGCAGCACGGTCGCCACCAGCTCTGCGCCTTCGGCGCCGAAGACGATGGGCTCAAAAGGATCCAGGGCCATATTTGCTGTGGATAGACTTGATGCGGTGGTGTTGTTCTGGGTATAGGGAAGAGTCAGGCGTGGTGGAAGAGAAGGCTCGGGGTTATAAGAGAGCGGGATGCCCGGTGGGGTGAAGCGTGCGCACGGTCGTCGGTGACTTTGCCGCCGCGCCAATTGCCTCCACACCGATCGGCCTTTCCCCACTGCTCGCGGCTTTCTTCCAAACCGCAAATATGCAGTGGCGCGACCGGTAATCTCGAACGAGATCCCCGGTGTCAGCCCCTACGCGAGTAGACTCGGCACCGGTCAACCCCGAGCACGCCCGGCCATCTCATGCTCGGCAACGTCCTCCGCAGGGTCCGCCTTCCCTCCCCGCATCAGGCCTGCCGCCTTTGCTCAACTCTTGTTTTGAAAGAAGTTATTGAGATAGATGCGGGGAAGCCGAACAGGCTGCCTCGGATCGAGGCACCCCGCACTGCTTTCTCGCCCCGCATGGGAGACTTCAGAGATTCAGAAGTGAGAGTCCCAGTCACAATGAATTTCAGCACAAAGAAGTGATTACTGCTGGAACAGGCCGTCGAGCTCCTCCAGCTCTCCCACAGCATAGACACTCTCGACGCCGAGGTCAAAATTGAAAGTTGCGCCCCTCTTGCTGCCTCGCAGGGCTGAGTCGAGGTTGTCGTCCGCGCGAAGGTCGCCATCCACCGCCCAGTCGTCTTCTTCCTGTTCGGACTCGCGCGAGTTTCGGGAGAGCGCAGAGGGAGCTGCGTCCTTGCTCGGCGGTTTAGACGCCGACGGTGGCACGGGCACGTCGAGCACCGACGAGATGCCGACGGTGCGGATCTTCTCGCGCATCATCGACACCTGCGAGTTGGACACCTGGCCCGTGTTGGTGAGCACAAAGTCGTTGAACGGAATCTGTCAGGCCGACCGAGGTGAACAGTTTGCGTGAAAGGCAACGAGTCAGCGTTGAGAGCTAGAGGACGGAGACGCGAGGCGCTACTTACGATCACTGTCTGCCAGTTGGAACCTTTGCTCTCGTCGAGGTACAGGCGGTGTTGGAAAAGGTCGCTCGTGACGGGTCCGTCGGTCTGGATGTTGACAAAGAACTTGGGGCCCGGCAGCTCCTTCCTGCCAAGGCCGAGCGCATGAACCGCACGGCTGGTAGCGGGTCCCGAAGGCCCGCTCGCGTGGAGTGCCGCACGCAGGCCGCTACCCGCACCGGCGTCTGCATGCTCGCTCTTGTCAGCGCCGGCGATTGGCTTCTTGGCGAGCCTGTTCCTGACGCGGAGGGCGAGGTAGGGGTGCACCGTCGTGTCCCAGCACTGGTTGCCAAAGAGTGTGGGGCGGTTGCGGTTGCGGAAGCCCGCATATCCACTCTTCTCAATCTTGCCACCACGAGGCACCTGCGATGAGAGCGTGCCGTAGAAGCGTCCTCGCGACGACTCGTCCAATCCCAGCCGACACTGCGACAGACCACCGATGTCCGAATCCGAGCCGGTCGCAAAGTTCGACAGGTGCGCCGGCTGCGTCATGGCGTAGATGAGCAGTGCTCCTTGATTCTTGGACGTTGGAGAGATCTCCATGCGCATCACTGCGATACGATTGGGAGGACAGGGTCAGCAAGACATGGCGTAAAAGACGATCCAACGACCGCGTATGGAAACGATGGCGGGCTTTAGACATACTCTTTGCGGTCTCATCTCGAGCGACTTCAACAGAGCGCTGAAGCGCCTGACCAAAAGCCTTGAGCAGCGACATTGCCAACAGCTTGATCGAACTGCCTTGCCGCCTTGGACCGAGGTTCGATGGTGTTGGATGGAGACACAGACAGGCGAGCTAGGCTTCACCTCGAGACGGAGTTGTGGAGGCGTGCTCGTCTTTTTGACTCAGCAGGTCATCCGGTCACGTCCGAGTTCCGAGGCTCATTTTTATTTTACAGCCAGAAAGAAGCCGTCTCAGGTTCAGGGTCCATCATCTTCCGCAACTCAAATCCGCGGGGGCACAGTGGTGAAAAGCAGTGACTTTTGGAGAGCTATGCTACATGGGAATCTTTGTGGTCCAGGTTGGAATGAAGCTCCACGCTGTTGCCTTGACGATGCACGGTGCTGGAAGACGCCGGAGCGAGGAGGTGTTGGCGCCTAGGGTAAGCCCCCTTGCTGCGCTTGATCACCGTCAGACCCATGAGGTAGGACAGAGCCGCCACCACAACAGCGGCGAGCGCAAGGCTGACCAACGCACCGATAACACCTGCCACGACAGGAGAGACCTCGTGCTTGCCCGTAGTCGAAGTGACGTCCGAGTACCTTCCGCCGCTTCCGGTTCCGTTGAGAGCGTTGAGTGCCGCGCAGCCGCGTGCCGTGGTCTCGCCGCAGAGGTTGCACCATTCCGCCAAGGTATCGAGCTTGACCGGGTCGTAGTGCTGCAGGAATGTCTCAACAGGCAAGCTCGCCGAGTCGAGCACGTTGTGGGCATCCAAGCTGCCGTTCGGACCGTTGCGGAAGTAGATCTGCATGGTGTTGTCCTGATGAATCTCAAACACCATGGCCGAGGCGTAGTCGACCAGCTTGCCCTGCAGGTCGAGCATCTGGAATAGGCTGAAGAGCGAAAAGAAGGGCTTGTACGATGCGGCCAGCACGGACACCTTGAGTGGGTCCGAGGCATTGGCTACGCGACGGATCGAATCGGTGAGTGGATTGAGGATGCCTCGACCGGCGATGCTTCCGATCGACATGGGATCGGGGCTGCTGAAGAGCCCGGCCTCGTGGTAATTGGCCCAAAACAAGGCTTGTTGTGCAATGTCGTCGGTGATCATCGGAGCCAAGGTGGCATTGTGGATTCTCTCGACGTTGAGGAAGTCAAAGACATTCCAGGCGTTGACGAGCGTCTTGGGACGATTGCCGATGAGCGAAGCAGGTAGCGAGTCGTAGAAGTGCTGTGCAAGTTCACTCTTGCTCTTGAAATCGGCGCTGCTGTAGAAGGTGCTGGTCCAGTCGTCGAACTTGTCGCAGTCGGTCCAAGGCTCCATGACGAACGACTGGTCTGGTTCGATGGTCTCTACGGGGATGAGTTGGGCGCGGTTGTCCCAAGCGACAGTCGTGCCGTTGGCCAGCACCAGGGTCTCATTGAAAGGAGGGAAGAGCCCCTGCATGAAAGCATTAGCGCTCTCGACGATCACGCCACCTTCGCCTCCGGCATCTGCCTGCACCGAGATTTGCACATTCTCGGCGACGTTGGTGTTGACGCCCTGGATGACAAGCGGAGAGGCTGTGTCGAGGTAGCGAGTGCGAAGCTGTGCGCCGCTGTTGAGCTCCTGCAGGTAGCCGAGCACGGTGAGGTTGGTCTTGGAGGCGCTGTAGGTGGAGGGCGACTGGTAGAATCCCTGCCTGTCACCGTGTCGAATGAGCACAACGACGCCGGTCACCGGAGACGACATTGTTCGTGCAGTAGGATACGCTTCTCCGGATCGGTTCTCGGCTTCGGCTGAACAGGGAAGGGGATGAGGTTGATGTGGTTAGAGGTTAAACGTATTTGTCTATTGTCGGCTGGTCATGTCGCAGCCCTTTGAGGCCCCGAGCAACCTTGTGAGAGGCTACAGCCGCAGCCGAGGCGGGAGGAGGCCATCTCGGAGATGAGCGAGACTGGATAAGCGCCCTGTGCAGCCGCGGACGGACCAGCGGCTTGAGTTGGAAAAGAAGCTTCGTTGCCGCTCCCTTATCGGCAGCCTCAGCGTTCGGCCATTGGTCCGGCTTGTAGCCGAACGGTGGCTGGTTCCGCAAGGTCATGTGTCAAAATCTACGCTCCTCTGCTGGGCTCCTAGACTGCCAAAGCTGCAAGAACACTCACAGCTGCCGGCAGTTGTCAAGCCACGCTGCAGATGATTTTCTCGATGGACCTCTGTTCGTGGCGGCCTAACAAACTTGAATTTGGAAATCTGGTGTTGCTTTGGAAGGACGACCGGTCGACGTGGAACGCGGGACCTTTTTTTGATGGACGCGCGTGGCCGCGCCGGTGCGGAGGCGACTGCATGTCACACACAAGCACTGCTGAGTTGTCCTCTGGTCTCTAACATCTTCCTCCATCGCATCATACTTGCAGATCCGGCTCGCAAGTGTCGAAGGACAGAGACACAATATGGGAGCCGCAAAGGGGACGAAGAAGTCGCTGGCAAATGGAGCCGGCGACGATGTCAAGCTGCGCCAGAGACCCACAGCAGCCATGGCCAACGGCACGCCCTCATCTGAAGCAGTCGAGACCTCCGACCTGCTTGCGACACGGCACGCCTCGATCGCAGAGGCAGACATCGAGACCAAAGATGCAAAGCAAGGAGGCGAAGAGGAGGCTTCCGGCTTCATGGACCTCTCGCCGCGCGACCAGCGTGCCATGATCCTCCTCGTCGTGCTTTACCTGCTTCAGGGTGTTCCCGTCGGTCTTGCATTCGGCACCATGCCGTTCCTCCTCAAGACCAAGCTCAGCTACGGCGACATTGGCTTCTTCATGCTCTGCACGTATCCGTACTCGCTCAAGCTCTTCTGGAGTCCCATCGTCGACTCGACGTTTGTCAACGAGCTTCAGCTTCCGTTGATCGGCAAGCTCTCGCTCGGTCGCCGCAAGAGCTGGATCGTGCCCATCCAGACCATCGTCGGCGTCATGTTTTGGTACCTCTCGCGCAACGTCGACCAGCTGCTCCTCGCCGACCTGCCCAACGTCAAGCTCATCACGCTCATCTTCTTCGTGCTCATCCTCTTTGCCGCCACGCAGGACATTGCGGTCGACGGCTGGGCGCTCACGCTGCTCTCGCAGGAGAATCTCTCGTACGCCAGCACGGCCCAGACTGTTGGTCTCAACTCGGGCTACTTCCTCAGCTTCACCGTCTTCCTTGCGTTCAACTCGGTCGAGTTCAGCAACAAGTACTTCCGATCGGCGCCGCTCGACTATCCGCTCTTGTCGCTGTCGGCCTACATGCGTTTCTGGGCAGTCGGCTTCATCGTGGTGACCTCATGGCTGCTCTTCTTCCAGAAAGAAGACGAAGAGGCGGACAATGCGCCCGACATGGACGTCAAGAAGGTCTACTCGATCATGTGGCGCATCTGCCAGCTCAAGCACGTCCAGACGTTCATCCTCATCCACTTTGTCGCCAAGATCGGTTTCCAGGCAAACGAGGCAGTCACAGGACTCAAGCTCGTCGAAAAGGGATTCGGCAAGGAGGACCTCGCGTTGGCGGTGCTCATCGACTTTCCCTTCCAGCTCATCTTTGGCTACCTCGCCGCGAGGTGGAGCAAGGGCGACAAGGCGTTGCAGCCTTGGGTGGTGGCATTCTTCTTCCGCCTCGGATTCGCCGTGTTGTCCATGGCGATCGTCCACGGCATGCCATCGGCACCCATTGGTGCGGGCTACTTCTTCGTGGTCATCGCTAGCACTGTGGCTGGCAGCTTTGCGTCCACGGTGCAGTTTGTCGGCATCTCGGCCTTCCACACGCAGATCGCAGACCCGCTCATCGGCGGCACATACATGACGCTGCTCAATACCGTGTCCAATCTCGGCGGCACGTGGCCGCGATACTTTGTACTCAAGGCGGTGGATCTATTCACCGTTTCGAGCTGCCAGCCGCCGTCGAGCGCGTTGCTTCTCAAGGACGCCGAGATCGCCAAGCTGTGGGCGACGGCGTCCAAGGGCATCGGTGGAAACGAATGCACCTCGGACCTGGGCAAGGCGGCATGCTCAGCGGCGGGAGGAGAGTGCTACATCGAACGCGACGGATACTATTGGACCTCGACGCTGTGCGTCGTCGTCGGCACAGCGCTGCTGGTCACATTCATCATTCCGGCGTGTCGCAAGTTGCAGGCGCTACCGCCCTCGGCCTGGCGCGTCAACTTGCAGTCGCATCCCAAGTCGCAGTGATCGCGTGCACACTAAGTTATAAGAGGGAATCAATAGAAAAAGCATTGAGTTTTATTTCCATCGACTTGTATGTGCATTGCGCCCGTGACCGAGTCTACAACTGGCAACAAGTGCCGAGGCTAGAAGGGCGAAGCTTGGCGTGATTGGTTGGCAGCCGAGCGGAAAGCATCAACCTGCTGCGGGGCGGGGCAGTTGGATGCATTCCTGGTATCCATTGCTTCGGGCAGCCATTTCTCCATGTTCTTGATGCGCTTGCTCGACATGGGGTGTGTGGACAGAACCGCTTGTGCGCTGCCTAAGATTCCCTTCCCCTCGTCGCCCTCGGACTCGGTCATGCGTGTCCAGAGTTTGCTCGCCTCGCGCGGGTCGAAACACGCGCGGCTCATGATGCGCAGGCCGAGGTAGTCGGCCTCGGATTCGGCCGTGCGCGAGTTCGGCAGCTCCATCAGCAACGTCAGCGCCGTCCTGCTCAGCCCGATATCCAGGCCGAGCGCATCGAGCAACAGCGAGGCAATTCCAAGCACCTTGTAGCCCGACACCTTCTCTGCCGAGTGTCGCGCGACTTGGTGTGCCACCTCGTGTCCCAGCACCGTAGCGAGGCCGTCGGCGTTTTGACAGATGGGCAGGATACCCGTGAACACAAAGATTTTGCCGCCAGGAAGCACGAATGCGTTCTTCTGCTTGGGATCGTCGATCACGTAGACTTCCCACTGGGTGGCGGGTTTGGCTGCGGGCGCCTCGGACTTCCCACCGAACCAGGAAGGAGAGTCGGAACCAGACTGTCCGTAGCTGATGCCACCCTCTTGGCCGTGCGAATGGTGCGTAAGGTTCGGATCGCCCTTTGTGTGCATCGGCTGATTGCTGCTGTCCACCGCTTTGTCCAGAGCCGCCACGATGCGACTTGCTACCGCACGAACGTGTTTCGAGCACGGATGCGACGCGGGGAGCACGCGATCGCGATACTCTGTGAGGATCTGCTGTAACGATTGCTTCCCCATCTCGTGCTCCTGTTCCGGGCTGACGTCGATGAACCTCCACCTGCCGGTCTCAGGAACCTGCTCGAGATGCGTCACGTAGTAGACACCGCCACCGCCGAGCGCGATCAGAACGAGCACAGGCGGCCGCGAAAGGCGCCATCCTTTGCGACCTCCTCCACCGCCGCCGCCACCGCCCCCACCAAAGCGCTGGTATTGCACAGGCTGTTGTTGCGAGCGAGACTGGCCCTGGGCGCCTTGTCCAATGCGGCGAAACAGCTGTTCTTCGAGCTGGCGTCGCAGCTGATCGCCAGACAGCTGTTCTCGGCCCACCGACGGGGATGAGGACATGTTCCGCTGCCAGATGGATGAGAGAGGCTGTTTGCCATCGTTGAAGCGTCCATATGTTGCTGCCCTGGCGAACGAGCTGTGAATGAGCCTGGAAGACGTGGCGGCTCGCATGGGTCCGAGAGCGGTGACAGGATGGATGGGAGCGCCGTCCCGAGCGGCCAAGGAGCGCAGCCCTTGTTTCGTTGCGGAAAAAGAAGCCATGCGTAAAGTGGAATGAGTGTCTATGGTAGAAGGGGTGTTCTGATGGATGTGGATGGGAGGATGGAACGTACGTGCGCAATGACGGCAAAGTCACCCGCGGAGGACCCTTTGTTCCGAGCAGCTTCGTTCCGCTTGGAGCTGGAAATATTTCCGACGCTCAACCTCCACATGCGCTTCGAGCTTGCTCCACTCGGCCTTTGCATGGCCGCATCAGTCAGCGCCTCTTCCTAGATTGGGGGCATATATAGCCACCTCGACTCAAGCTTCGTTGCGCTCATCCACCACATCACATCGGCCACCCTCTTCCATAAAAAAAGACAGACATGGTGACTGCACTTGTATCTGGAGGCAACCGCGGCCTTGGCTACGGCATCGTGCGCCGGCTCGCCAACGAGTTCCCGGCCTCTTCGCTCTACACGTCGCCGTCGGACAAGCTTACGATCTACCTGGGCTCTCGCGACGTCAGCAAGGGCGAAGAGGCGCGCAAGTCACTCTACGCCGAGCTGGCCAAGGACGTGCTCGAGCGCGTCTCGATCGAGGTGCGACAGCTCGACACGTCGTCGCACGACTCGGTGACCAAGCTCGCCTCGGAGCTTCAGCCGGGCATCGACATCCTGGTCAACAACGCTGGCATCGCAATGGACGGCTTTGATGCCAATGTTGCAAAGCAGACGGTCGCCACCAACTACTACGCCGTCAAGGATGTAATTGACCACATCCCCGTGAAGGATGGCGGCAGGATTGTGACGATCGCTTCGTCGACGGGCGTACTACGTGGATTTGGAGACGAGGTGCGCGATCGATTTCGCAACGCCAAGACGGTCGAGGATGTGGACAGGCTCATGGAGGAGTTCCAGCAAGTCGTAGCCGACGGCACGTGGAAGGAGAAGGGCTGGAAGGGAGCAGCGTACGCCACGAGCAAGAGCGGCGTGATCGCATACATCCGTGCACTGGCCGAAGTGTACAAGCAGCAAGGAAAGCGTGTCGACGTCTTCTCCTGCTGTCCAGGCTGTAAGTATCACCTTTCCCCATCTCGGCTAGCGACCTGCTCCATTGTTCTGACCGGAATTCGCATATTTCTTTCTTCGCCGACGCAGATGTCAACACCGACATGACCAAAGGTAAGGGCCACAAGACGCTGGATCAGGGTGCCGAGACGCCCGTGCTGCTCTCCCTGCACAAGACCGACGCCAAGCCAGGCGAGTTCTGGTTCGAGAAAAAGGCGTATGACTGGGAGCTTAAGCAAAGCAGCTAAGGCCCTATAGAATCAAACAACACGATGCTCGGATGTTGTTGGAATTGCAGAGAGCACTGATCATCATTGGTCGAAGCCGCTCAGGTCGCCGTGCGCAACGAATGGCAGTGTGGCGGCGAGTTGGGTGTGCGATTGTTGCAGGTGTCGGGGCAGATCGGGCCGTTGGAGTTGCGACCTGAGCTTGTGGGCGTACTGGACGAGGTCGTCTCGGTCGCCGTCGTCGCTGGAATCAGCTGGTGAGGGTGCCTCCTGATTGGGCGCAGATTCTGCGAGGCTGCCGACGATGCCTTTCGGGAGGTTCTTGGGTGGACGGAACCCGAGACACACGAGGAAGTGCTCTACACTGCCGAGGCGCGAGCTTCTTGGCTTGGCGATGTCGACCTGATCAAAGAAGGTGCGGAGTTGCTGCGCGAGCAATGCGCCTGATGTCGCTGGGCGTGCTCCCTTGAGGTCCATGTTGCCGAGCGATGCGCCGAGACCAGCCTGAGGATGCTGCGTGAAGATCTTGGCGACAAAGGTGCCGCCCTCTTCGAGGATACGGAATGTGATCTGGGTAGCCGCGAGGAGGAGCTGGGACTGCAGGTATTCGTCGAGGTCGTGCAGGCCGGTGACGTCGGGAGCGCCGTCGCAGACGATGAGTTGAGCGCGAGCCTTGCCCTTGCCCTTCAGATCGGTGCCGGTAGCGTTGGGACCGTCTGAGAGCGCACGACTCACAGCATCGGCGGTGGCAGGTGTAGTGATGTCGCCGATAATTTGTGTGACACCCGGCAAGGGGGCCATGGCCTGAAGGTCGACCGCAACGAGGTGCGAATCGGGCACCGAGGCAAGGCGTCGGGAGAGCACTTGTGACCACGAGCCGGGAGCAGCACACAGGTCAACGACTCGTGTAGGCGTTGGAAAGCGCCGCGCAGAGGATGCGGATCCATTCGCGCTTGGGACTGAGTCGGAAGTCGAGGTAGTCGGGTCGGTCGCATCGAGCGCATATTCGTCCGCACCACCGAGGAAGCCGTACTGCTCGTTGAGATGCAGAAGCTTGTAGGCCGATCGCGCTCGGTAGCCCTCCGATTTGCCCTGGCGATAGTAGATGTCGCGCTTGTCTTTGGTAGATTTGCCCATCTTTGCGGATTGAGTAAAGCAAGGCCGATGCAGTGATGGTGTGAGCAGAGAAAAAGTTGACCTTGCGGGCGCGTGGAAGAACTCGAAGTCCGGAACCCGGGACCGCCTCCACTCGGCTGCTCTGCTGCAAAGGGAAATTTGTCGAAGGCGACTCTGGAAATTTTGCTTCCACTCGACTTGGCCACCTTGACCCATCATCCGCGACGTTCGCACCTAGCCCACGGCGTGCAGTACAGACAGCATGGCGCCACCAAAGCTTTCCAAGAAGCAGCTTATCAAGCACCGCACATCCGCCACGCCCTCGAATGGCAAGAAGACCGGCGGCTTCCAAGTTAGGCCCAAGCATCTTCCGGACGGCGCCTACCTGGGCAAGCACAAGCGCATCAAGGCCGAGCTCATCCACAAAGCCAAGGTGAAGAAGGAGTACTACAAGCAGCTGAAGCAAGACAAGGCGCAGTCCGGTAGCAGCGGCACCAACGCAAATGCAGCACCACTAGGCCAGCGTGGCAGTGCAGCCGGAAGTGCCGAGCTCGAGTCGGCTCTTCCGTTCAGCTTGCCCAAAGACCAGGGCCGGTTTGCTCCTGAAAACGGCGATGACGAAGCGCAGCAATCGGATCTGGCACTGTTCGGAGCCAAGCAGGACTTGAGGCCGAAGAGGGCGCCAAAGGGCAAGGGCAAGAAGCCTCTGCCGCATCCGCTGCCCAAGCCAGCCGCGCGTAGGGACGAAGAGGAGAGGGTGAGAGACACGCGCACCAAGGAGGAGAAGGAGCAGGAGCGGCTCAAGCAGAACAAGCTCTGGAACAAGCCGAGCGGCAGCCGCACCGGACAGGCGAGGGGCCAGCCCAACCTGAGCGCAAGGATGGACGTCATGCTCGACAAGATTCGCAAGTCCACTTCTTAGAATCCTGCCGCCCCGTTGGCAAAGCACTGCACTCATTAGATACCCCATGGGCCGATGTCCACTTCAATTCATGCTCTTTTCCCGGTGCACCCATGACTTGTGTCTATGTCTCTCTTCCATTTCAGCGGCATCGGATCCTGGTGCAAGTCGCGCCTAGCGCAGAGCCCACCTGTGAGAAACGAAGAACCGGAGTGTCAGCTGTCCTGCTTCTCGCCGCGAATGCAGAGGGTATACAGAAAAAACTCACATTTTGACGACAAAGAGCTCGGCGGGCATGCCCACCTGCACTTCGCACTTGACGATTTCGAGGCCAGCCTCGGTGAAGACGCGCTCGTACGCCTTGGTGGAGCGCGTGATGCTGTGGTCCTCGTCGTCGTACCATACGCGTTCCGTGCCATCGGCTTCTTCCGTGCAGACGTTTTCCTTGATCCCGATGATGCCGCCTTCTTTGAGTGCTGCCTTGGAACGTTGGAGAAAGGCTATCAAGTCCTTGTCCGAAAGATGCTGCAAACACCACTGAGCCCAGACCAAGTCGTACGTCACTGGCTCATCTTGCGAACCGGCCACGCCGCCTTTCTGCTCCGCTGTCGTTTCCGACGCATCCTTCGATGATGCTGCTTCGTCGTCGATCGATACGGTAGGAGGGATGATGTCGCCATCTACAGGCGCGGCAGAGGAGTAAGGTTTGCTGGGGTCGATGTCTTGGAGGGTGGCGCAGTGGAAGTGAACCGCCTTGCGCGCCTGGAACGGCGAGCTGCTTGGCGGCGTCTTGATGGGCGCCCATGACGCAGACTGCTTCTTTGCCTCGAGAAGGAACTTGGCGACGGGCTCGACCATGTGCACCTCGTCGAAGATGGGCAGCAGGCTGTGTTCGGTCACTCTGCCGACGCCGGCGCCGCAATCGAGCGCACGTGTGCAGGCGCGGCCCTTGCCACCACGCTCTGCAATACGGTCCTTCTTCCACTGGAAGGAGGACACGTTGGACGAGGCAGGTGCGCAGAAGGAGAGGTATGGGAGAAGGCCAAGAAGGAACGAGCGCGAGCCCAGCGATTCGACGCGAGAGACATGGCCAAAGCCGCCCAGCACGCCGTCGACGCTCGCTTCGACGCCTTCCCAGTATTGTACGCCGCGCTTGACGTCCGGGTTCGGGTGAACGATTCGGATCGCCGACATTGTTGCAGAGCAAGGCGAATCAAGACGATGGCTCGCGAAGAAGTGGCCGAGATGGAGAGGGAAGAAGGATGCGAGCAGGATGATCAAGAGCACTTCAGGGTCCTGCCCTCGAAAAAGCGCTCATTTCGGTTCCGCCACGAAGGTTCGTCGCAAGAAAAAGAACTGATGCAAAAAAGGAACACAAAAAGAAGCACAAAAAAGGGACGGAAAATTGATCAGCTGAGCCGGCGACTCGGAGCAGCTCCGGCCGACGATAAAGCTCAGCCCCCACGCGCGAATTCAGAAACAGCCCGGGCTTCCGTGCAGGGTTCGCTGCAGCTGCTCAACAAGAGCCGTGAGTGGCGTGTTGTGAGCTCTAAGCGCCGCTCTGCTTCCCCGCGTGCTGCTCAGCGCAAATCAAATTGGGCTCTGCTGAGACCCTGGCCGGGCACGCTTAGACACGCTACTGTACAGCACCTGAGCCCAGTTCGCCTTGTCCCTTGAGCACGGCTAAGCGAGATAACCGCCCCGAGTCGACAGGCACAGGCCGTCACGCCACCGTGGTCCGCAACAGCTTTGATTGGTCGGCCACCTTTGCCTGCACGCTTGCTGATTGGTGTGTCGCCACTTGGATTGGCCATCCGCACCACCACCATCATTGATCGGACCAGCCGAAGACCTCCATTGCGGCCCTTCGAACTTCAGAGATCTCAGACACAAACCATGACGGCTCAACCGACGCCGCCGCTGAGCAACGGCTCGTCGTCGGCATCGCCCGACTCGACACCATCTCATCCTTCTCCGCCGGCGTCGCAGCTGCCCGACTATGCCGTAGCCGTGGGCGCCACCTCGGCCGCCTCTGCATCCTGCCCTCCTGGCGAGGTCGATCAGATCGCCCGCACACTCACCAACGCCTCGCTCAAGATCTGCGATGGGCCCGGTCTGTCCCCCGCCGAGCGCAAAGAGCTCGACAAGGCCCTCAAGGAAGGCGTCAAGATCGGCTTGAACACCATGCCTCAGCAGCTCATCCAGATCGACGAGATCAAGCAGCATCTCAGACTCATCGATCTCTTCGATCGCCTTCGACAGGCTGTGCACGACGGCACCGAGTACTTTGACTATCCCACCTGTCATCACGATCAAGGCCACATCGACGTGCCCGGCATCGACGCCCCTCCTCCTCCCTACGCTCCCACCGCAGAGCCGCCTCCCATCACCAACTCCAAGTCTGGCCGTCAACCCACCAAGAAGGAGGCCGACCAGGCTGCCGCAGAGTTAAGCCTCCAGCTCACCCGCGAGCGTCGTTGGGGCATCTACCTCAATCGCGCCGCCTATCGCCTCGAGCTTTGGCTCACTTTCATCCTCACCTCAGACCGCCTCACGGCGCACCTTCGGCTGGAGCAAGACGCCGACAAAGACAATGCGCTCGGCCGCACTCACGGATTCGAGCTCCCTACCTGGGCTCTTCCCCCCGTCGATGTCGCGCTCATGCTCCACTCCTACCACCTCAACCCTCTCACAAAGACCGAGGACACCGAGCGCATGCGCACACGTCGCCTCCTAGCCTTTTACAACTTCCCTTTGAAGCAGCTCGCCGAGCGAATTCACGACACCCTCCCCATCTTCAACAACGTCGAAGATGCGCAGTACTTCTGGGACGATCGCATCACGCGCCAACGTTCCAAGCAGCCGTGGGACCTCAGCCTCCTGCCTCCGCCCGGCCATCCCACAAACGCGCAGGAATCCAATGGCGGCACCATCTTTGGCCTCCGTGTCAACTGCCCGCGTTGCAGCGTGCCTCAGTACATCCCCTGGACCGGCGTCGGCAAGGAGCCCCATGAACTCGGCATCGGCGAGCTCGGCTGGCAGCGCAACTGCGCAGACACCTCCAATTGCGAACAGCCCGTATCCGCCGAGCATCTCCAGATGCGCCGTTTCCTCGACGACTTCCGCAAGTGGCGCGTCTCTCCCGGTCGACCCTCTGCGGCCGCCAAAGACCAGAAGGTCTTCTTCATGGCCGGCACCATGCTTGCATCCATGAATGCGCAGCGCTCCGCCCGGGACTATATGGGCGACTCGCTCTTCGTTCCCATCTTCAAGCACGAGAAGCCCAACGAGGCGTCCAAGTACATGGACCGTCGCGTGGCACCCAACGCAGAGCTGCAGGAGATCGAGCACGTCGCAGTGCAGTGCGACTATAATCTCAGTGTCTTCCGCAACTGGCTCGAGGACCGCTGGACGAGCGCAGCCATCCAGCCTCGCCTCAAGCTGCCCGAAGAAAAGGCTCAGCAGATGGCGCGCATCGCCATCCTCATGCGGCCTTACCAGAACGGAAACGCTGCTGCCTACGGCGAGGGCCTCTGCGACCTCGTCGACGCCGTCAAGCGACAGTCCTTCTTCAACACCGAGATGGGCAATCTTGGCTGGTCCAAGCATCCCAAGCTGCTCGAGCGTGGCGATCTGGATGACGTGCTCTCACGCAGCCTCATCCGTTATCATCGCTTCCTCGGCCTCATGGCGACCACTTACAACCTGCTCACGCCTACGCTTGATATCGACCTAGCCTGGCATACGCATCAGCTCCGTGCGCGCTATTACGACCACTGCCAGATGCTCGTCGGTCGCTTCATCAATCACGATGACGCCATCGAGACGGGCATCCTGAAGGATGCCTTCGATCGCACCGCTCAGCTCTGGAAGAGCAAATACGGTCAGCCTTACTCGATGTGTGGCTGCGTCTACAACAACCCTGGCACCATCAAGAAGCTCAAGGCGCTCATGGGCAGTGGCGCAGATGCGACCGAGCCGGGTCAGGAGGCCGTCCAGTCCGGCAAGGGTTCAAGTTTCACCTCGCGAATGAAGGGCAAGTGGAGAGCTGCCAAGGAGCTGCCAGGCGACAAGCAGGATGACGCAGTGCTGTGGCAAGACGCCACACATCCGAGTGCCCATCAAGCTGTGATTGTCAAGGAGGAAGAGCACAGACACGACAAGCTCCGCGAGGAGATGGTCCGCGAGTGGGCCCAAGGCAAGCGCCGCGAGGGACACGAGAGCGCATTTGTGTATGTACCCCACCTTCCCCTTCCCCACCGCCCGCGAACCACCGATCTTACGAAGACCCTGGCTGAGCCCACCCCACTCTTCTTTGATCTCACGCAGCTTCGGCTACAACACACCGGGCCTCTACCCCTTCTACTACAGCCCGCTGTACAGCACCCACTACGTCAGCAGAGGATCGACTGGCGATTCGACGCTCAACGCCTACAGCCTGTACGGCGTATATGGCATGATGGCCGTCAGCGGCTTCGGCATGGGTGCCGGTGTCGCTATGGGCGCCGCATGCGGTGGCGGAGTCGCTGGCTGCGGAGGCGGCGGCGGATGCGGTGGCGGCGGCTCTTGATCATCGCGCCACTCTACCCATCGAGCCTGTTCTTGACCACCTTGCCGTGGGTTCAGACAACCTTACAATGTACTTGTGATACCCACGTGGGCACGCGAGCTCGTCTGTGCAGATAAGCGTCCGAGGCGCGCAAATACCTGAACTTTTCCTCCGAGCCCCGCTTCTGAGCTTCGCCATTGGACTGCGCGGTGATCAGTCGCGGATCCCTACATCCTTCATAAACGCATCTGATCACCGCCCGCAGCCATCTCAGGGCTGCTGATGCCATTTCGCCCACCACCAAGTGCAATCTCGAACCCCACGCCCCACCTTTTAGCATTCGAGAGGGTCGTGAGTAGACGCGCTTGTTTTTACCTCCGACGGGAGCGACCCCGAGGGAGTGGGTCATTCGCACGGCCCCTTCGATGGCGCTTCTTCATCGTTGCGACATCATCACGAAAAGCATGTCTTGGCACCGCGCTCGCCGTCTTCGCGGACAAGCGGACTTTATCGCGCTCGGTCCGCTCGACGCCCCCGGGCTCAGATTGTATTTGACACCACCGACCCTCAACTGCGCAAATCCAGCAAGGAGTGGGGCGAGATGAGATCGTAAAGCCCACTTCTCATTGCGCATCGATGTCGACGATGCGAATCCCACCTCGTCAGTCGGTAACGAGATGAAAGAGTGCCTCGTCAGTGGCGATGGGCATCGACAACAACCCACCGGATATCACTTGCGGCGGTGGGACGCCGAACGGCAACAGCCAACGAGGACGTTCCCGCTGTACGCAACAAGCGCCTCTCCACGACGAGTCTTGCACTCGTCGACCAGGTACTTAAGACCAGCGGTTTGAGCTCAACTCCATCTTCGCTCCCTCACCCTTCTCTCCACATTCCCTCTTACCCTTTATCCTTTTCCTCAGTAGCCCAATCTCTACCACCAACACGCCGACAAACCCGTACGACATTCAAGATGAAGTTCGCTTTCGCTGCTCTTGTCGTTGCCGCCGCTGCGCTGCTCCCCGCTGCGGAGGCCATGGACATCTCGTTCTCGGCTGACAAGTTTGCCCGTCGCGCCGACACCGAGGCCACCGATGCCAAGGATGCCAAGGCTGCTCCGGCTCCTGTCGCTGCTGCTCCCAAGCAGAGGGTGCCCGAGTTCGGCATCGACCTCGTAAACATCTACACCAAGCACCACGGCCGGGGCATGCCCGTGCCTCACGACGTTGCCTACACCTACAACGATTGCATTTGGAAGCAGTGCAAGGAGGACGGCAAGTGGGCTTGGCTCGACCAGAACGACGTTCAGTGCTACCTCAGCCCCTCGTACAAGTTCCACGCCTACTCGGCTGCCAAGAACTTCGACCCCCAGCCCAGCATCGACCATGGTGCCTGTGCCGACACTGCCAACCCGGTCGACTTCCCCTCGGGCATTCCCGAGTACACCATCAGCGTTCCCTACCTCTACTTCAACAACCTCTTTGACCGCCGCTGCAAGGTTCGCGCGCTCGTCAACGTGCCCGAGAACGGCGACGAGCCCCAGCACTGGGTTTCCGCCTGGGTCATCGAGCACAACGGCGGCAACTGGAACACCACCGGCGACACTGGCGCCAACGGCCCCCAGTCGGGTATCCTCCTCGACACCGAGCTCTACAAGAAGTTCGTCCCCAAGGGTGAGGCCCTTCCCCCCGTCCTGTCCAAGAAGGTCGAGTGGTTCTTCACCGACATCAACACCCACATGTAAGCGCGTCAACATGCGTAGCATCGAGTCCAGCACCGTGCTCTTTCTCCTCTTGCACTGTTCCGCTCTGCTCTTCTTTCCGAGGCAGCACGCGGTCGCTGGCGAGTGCTTCAATCTCGCTCCCCTCGCCGCTTTCCTTTCTGCAGCAGTCTCGTCTCGTTCACGCTCACGTCCCTCCCCGTTGGCGTGATGACTCTTTTTGCGTTCACGTCTTCAATGTCACATTGTTCTCTCCTCATTCCTCGTTGTGCATCGTGACGTCACTACGATGCGGTTTCAGGAACGTTCCCGAGGTGGAGAAGATTTCAAGGTCCGTAGCAGAGTGACGACTAGAATACAAATGAAGGTATGGCGGCGGTAGTGTTCAGGTGTTGGGTATACCCTACTGGCATCGTTTGCATCCTCGAGGCGAGATTGGACAAGCCCGGCCTTGATCGTTGGCCGAGAGTTCAGACTCAGATGTCGAGCTTCATGAACTTGTCCCTTGCAGCGGACGAGTTTTTGCCCATGATCTCGAGGTAGTTGTACAGGCACGACTGGCGGTTGTCGTCAAAGGTAAACGACGATTCGTGGGCGCAGTAGCACCTGCTCCTGCCGAGGTATGGCGAGATGGCCGACTCCTTGGCCACTTTGGGACAGTGCATGATGGGCGAGTGGAAGTAGCCGACGTTGTCAAAGTAGTGGAACTCCGACTTGTCGAGCAGCAGCGCCGCGCCGATCGAGTGCACGGGTGCATCACCCCAGCGTTCGTAGAAGAAGCCGCCTGCCTGGTCGAGGTGCTTGAAGAAAGAAAGGTAGGCGTCCGAGCGAAAAAAGTCCATGTCGGCGATCTCAAAATTCGACCAGAAGTGGCACTGACGGAGACGATACAAAGGCGACGGAATCGGTCAGTTTCTGCCACATGCTAGCGAGACTAGATGCGGTGGAGCAGCGAACATACCTTGTTGTAGCCGCGGCCGTTGTTTTCGGTGACAAAGCCAAAGAGATTGTTGGGCGCCAGCAGCTCTGCGTTCTTTTCGTACCATTCGCGCACGCGGACCCAGAGGGATGGCACGGTGCCGGGGATCTCGTGCATGGAGAGTACGAATCCGTACTTTTTGTTGTTCTGCTGCATGAACCTGAACGGATCGAAGTCGGTGAGATCGCAGAAGAACTTGACGTTGGGCTCGACTCTCCAGTAGTATTTGTACTTGAGCACCAGTGGATGTCTGAAAAAGTAGCCGGACTGGAACCTGCACATCTGTCGGTACGACTGCGAGCCTCCGTAGGGCATGCCCCTGGACGCGGCCCTGTCCCACGCCTTGCGCGCCCTGACCATGTCGATCTCTGGTGGGATGTCCCACATCTCAGGCGGCACTTGGCCGAACTCGACGCTCGACGACACGGCCCTGGTGATGCGAAGCTTGAAGTTGTCCGAGAACGGCTTGTCGTTGAGGAATACGTAGGGGTAGCGGTGATGCGGCCTGTCGTTGAAGGTGGACTCGAGATGCTGGAGGCTGCTGAGGATCTCGTTGATCTCGCCCTCGCGACACAGCACCACAAACGATGCGTTGGCCTTGGGCATGGATTCGAAGCCGAGGCCTGCCGTCTGGGCAGCTTGCTGAGCATCGTGCAGACTCGCATTGTAGTTCCATGAGGAGCGCAACGTGTCCACCCGCTGCTGATACGAGACGGAAGTATAGCTGGCCAGATAGTGGAGCGAAAGGATCGACACAAACGCCAGGGCGATGTAGCGCAGCGTCAGGTTCATATTGGCGAAGATGCTGCACCCATGTGGCTGTCGCTGAGCAGAGCTGTTCGAGGCAGGCGGTGAGACTTGGCCTCTTGCTGAATTGAGACGAGATCGGTCTAGATGAAGCTCAGTCGAGCATGAAGGTTAAATGTATCGTCGTGGTGACAGCCGGGGTCCGGGGTCCCAGCGTTGTGGTTCTGCGGGTTCGAGTCGCTCATAGAGCCAAGCTGGAAGAACGCGCGCGCGTCGTGCTGCAGGGTTGTGGGCTTTTGCATGGATCCCACTTTGCACCACGCTTGCAACGCTCAGGGTTCAGCCGTTGATGTGCCCCATTGTTGTCTCGGCGTAAAACCGACGCGAGAAGGCAGTTTGGCGACCGGAGACAGGCGGGCCAACCCACGACCCGACTTTCGACAATTTTTGCGGGGAATTCCAATGTTAGGTCGCAAGTCTAAATTCCGCACGGCCGAGAAAGAGCGCAGTGTGTTTGCTCTCGACCGGGTATCGTGGCCTCTGCTCGGCCCGGCCTGAGCGTGCCGCCGCCCCAGTCCCAGGTCGAGGTCCGATTCGGCTCGACCGGCTTCCACCCCGCATCACGGAAGGAATGCCCCGGAACAGCCCCTACTTATACAAGACGCCCCGAACATCGTCGCCAACCCCACATACCATCCTCTTTGCCTTCACGAACGCACGCATATTTTCAACATGTCTCAACGAGTCTCCCAGATCGCTGGCCACCTCTCTGGTCGTAAGTACGCCAAGCAAAGTGCGCGCCCGAGCCTCTTGCAAGCAACGTCGCTGACCTCTTTGTATTCCTTCACAGCCGCCCCTCTGCTCAAGGGCCAGGTCGCTATCGTCACCGGTGCTGGCCAGGGTATCGGAGCCGCCACCGCCAAGCTTTTCGCTAGCCACGGCGCCCACGTCGTTGTCTCGGACCTCGACGCCAAGAAGGCGTCCGATGTTGCCTCCGAGATCGTCAAGGCTGGTGGCTCGGCCATTCCTAACGCCGGCAACGTCATGGACAAGGACTTTGGCGAGCGCGTAGTCAAGGCCGCCGTCGACAAGTGGGGCAAGCTCAACATTATTGTCAACAACGCCGGCTTCACCGCCGACAAGATGGCCCACACCACCGACGACGCCACCTTCCAGCTCATGCTCGACTGCCACATCACCGCCCCCTTCCGCATCATCCGCGCCGCCGCACCCTACTTCCGCATCAAGGACGAGAGCAAGCGCGAGAACATGGCCATCGTCAACGTCTCCTCCACCTCGGGCACCCACGGCAACGTCGGCCAGGTCAACTACTCGGCCGCCAAGGCCGGTGTCCTTGGCCTGACCAAGACCATGTGCAAGGAGTGGGGTCCCTTCGGCGTCCGCGTCAACACCGTTGCTTTCGGCTGGATCAACACGCGTCTCACCCAGGCCAAGGAGGCCGGTGCTTCGATCGAGATCGACGGCAAGAAGATCGCGCTCGGCATCCCCGGCCGACCCGCTGCTGGCAACTCCAAGGAGCAGGCCGTCACCGCCGTCGCCGATATTCCCCTCCGCAGGCCAGGTGAGGTCGAGGAGGCCGCCGCTTCCATCCTCTTCCTCGCCAGCCCGCTCGCCTCGTATGTCTCCGGTCAGACCCTCGAGGTGACCGGTGGCCGCGGCATCTGAGTCTCGTTCGCTCTGTAACTCTTGTCGCTTCTCGCCTCGCAGAAATCAAAAAAGGAATCCCATCTCGCATAGCTTAGTGTGTCGCTTGATTACAGCCATGCCTTGACAGCCGCTAGCTCCTACTGCCGTCGTCGTGGGCATTGCCAGCATAGACTGCCAGCAGGTCTTGCGGCGGGCGATGTTCGAAAATGTCATCTCCGCAGGTGTAACATCCTGAAATTGGGAAAATTCGTGTGGAGCAGTGGGTCCAAATTTTGGCGGGTCGTGAGTATTCAGGGTCAGCCGCACCGAATCCTAGGTTCGCTCCAAAGGGTGATGCCGATCCATGCTTTCTGCTTCGCAACCACCATCGAAAGCGGTAGCGGACTCACTGCCACATCATGACGCCAACAGCAACCAGCGGCGGCGCTGGAGATAACATTGCCACGTTCGACCCATTTGCCAATGTCCGCAGCTTCAAGTACTCGGGCTCCGTCAAGGCGGTCTATCCGCTGAGTCCCAAGCCCAAGATTCCACCGTCGATTCGAAGGCCCAACTACGCTAGGGAAGGGGTGAGGATGTGGCTGGAGTTTTGGTGGCAGGTCAGAATTCCGCTTTTGACCGTAGCCCTGCCTGTGCTCGCTCGTCCACGCCATGCTGACGCCCTGCCTTGGTCCTCCCTCTTTGCTCTCCTCCTACTCGGCCTCGCGCTCGACGCACTCAAACAGTTTCTCGAATCGCGCAACATCAAGGTCAACACCCAAGCTGACCAGGAAGGCGTACGAAAATCTGCCACCGTACGTCTCTCGTCATTGTACTCACACCCTGCCTCGCTACATTTGACGCTGACGCTTTCGTTCCTTCTTGTTATTTTTAGCTCGCTCGCGAGGTACTCGAGATCGCCGCGTCGCACATCAAGCCCGGCATCACCACCGACGAGATCGACAAGGTCGTCTTTGCCGAAGCAATCAAGCGCGACTGCTACCCCAGTCCACTAGGCTACCACGGATATCCCAAGAGCGTGTGCACGTACGTTGCTCTGACCCCGACGAGCTGATCCGCCGGTTAGCTACACATTCTGACCTGCTCACACTCTGCTCGCTGTTTTGGCCTCTCACAGCTCGATCAACGAGGTCATCTGCCACGGCATTCCAGACCAGCGTCCGCTCGAAGATGGCGACATCCTCAACATCGATGTGACGCTCTTCCACAAGGGCTACCACGGCGACCTAAACGCTACCTTCCCCGTCGGCAAGAAGGCCGAGGAGGATGCAGAGTCTATGAAGCTCATCAGGGTCGCGAGGGAATGTCTCGACGCTGCGATCAACATCTGCGGCCCAGGCGTCCCCTATGGCGAGATTGGCCGCGTCATCCAGCCGCTTGCCGAGGCGGAAGGCTGCGCTGTGGTCAAGAACTACACCGGCCACGGCATCTCGAACTGCTTCCACGCCGCACCCACTATCTACCACCACGCCACCAAGAAGAGCTACGGCGTCATGAAGCCCGGCCATATCTTCACCATCGAGCCCATGCTCAACCTCGGTTCCGAGTGGAGGGATCTGTCGTGGCCAGACGACTGGACCGTCGCCACCGTCGACGGTGCTCGTTCGGCCGCCGCAGAGGAGACGCTTCTCATCACCGAGACTGGCGTTGAGATTCTCACTGCCAAGGGCGGACCGAGGCATATCGACACGACAGAGCGACGCAAGCAGCTCGAGGAACAGATCAAGGCGCGCGAGGAGAGGAAGAAGCGCCGCAAGCTTGACAACGGCGGTGCCGATACGCCCGCCTCTGGAGCAGCGACGCCGACGCCTGCGCCAGAAGATGCCAACCCGACGACAACCAGCACGTCCGGGCCAACGACCGAGGCCAAGTGAGTGCTGAGCTGCCCGAGATGTATTTCTAGCTATCGTCGTTTCCGAATACAGCACTGCTTCTGCTTTCGCCATGCACGCCGAGTATGATCGTCAGCGGGAGGGAGGAGCCCTTTTGAACCGCCGTCATTGTTTTGCTCTGGAGTAGCCCTGGCTGGTGAGAAGTCCTCATCGATAGCCGGTCATACCGGTTCGGGTCAATGCAGAATCGGTAGCTCTGCCGAAAAGGACGGGCTTTAGTTCGGCTCGAAAAATCGGCCCTTTAATCAACAGGTGCCCGAATCAGTTTAATCAACTCGACTTCTTACCTTCCTGTGCGACTTTCATCATACCCACCACTCAACAGGGCCCGACATTGGACAGCAGCGTCGAAATATCGAACGATGCTGACGCTGTTCCGAGGAGAGTGCCTGCGCGGTGGTGCTGCCGTGTCGCGCTCCGTGCGTGTGCTCGCACCATTCGGCCAGCCCTCTCAGCACCGCCTTCTCTCCACACCGTCTTCGGATCCAGCAGTCTCTGTCGCCGCCGCAGCCACCGGCAAGACTGTCGAGCTCGATTTCGAGGCATACGTGCCAACTGAAGACCAAGTTGCCAAGCGTCGCACTGCGGTACCTGTCAGCTCCCTGGTCGTCTGCCATGGCCTATTTGGGTCCAAGCAGAATTGGCGTTCCTTGGGCCGAGCCATGTCCACACGCTTCGGTGTTCCTGTCTATGCGCTCGACCTGCGCAACCACGGCACGTCTCCACACATCGACGGTCTCGCATACGCCGACATGGCACAGGACGTGATCTCGTTCATGTCCGCACGCAACCTGAGCAACGTTGGACTCATCGGCCACTCGATGGGCGGCAAGGTGTCCATGAGCGTCGCCCTTCACCCTGATCTTCCTCAAGGAATGCTGCGCAACTTGGTCAGCGTAGACATGTCCGCCAAACGCGGTCCGCTGTCGCCCGAGTTCGAGCGGTACATCGACGCCATGGTGCAGATCCGCGACAAGCCCTGCCGCAGCCGGAGTGAAGCCGACGAGATTCTTCAGCAAACCGAACCCGACCTCGGCGTGCGCCAATTTCTGCTCACGAACCTTACACGCAACCCACCCGGTGCAGAGACATGGAGCTGGAGGATTCCAGTGGATCTGATCCGCGACAACATTGCGCAGATCGGTGACTTTCCCTACAACCCACCCGGCGCGTCGGCCGACAGTATCAAGGGCAGCGAGAATGCGCCACAACGCAGCTGGGACGGCGAGACCTTGTTCATCAAGGGGAACAAGAGCAAGTACGTCAACAGACACAACATCCCCACGAACCTGGCATATTTCCCCACCGCCAAGCTCGTGCACATGGAGACAGGTCACTGGTGCCAGGCCGAGAAACCCAATGAGTTTGTTCAGGTCGTAGAGGACTTCCTCACGGGCAAGACGGACGACGAGACGCAGCAGGCGCTCAAGCCCCGCTCCAAGGCTTGATCTTCGTCGAAAGGAACAATACAAACCACATACAGTCGAGAGACAGGCGCGTGCGAGACGAAAGAGAAACGAATGTCCATTGAAGAGTCAAACGAGCGTGTAGTGGTGGGAGCTCAGAGGGTGCCAGCCACAGAGCTGGAAAGTGGGCGTGTACAAAGCGATGCTGAACCAGCCAGGGCCCGAGGCGTCGAAAGGAAAGATGTTGGTGGCAGAGCGAAGACGAAAGGCGACAAGACCAAGGGGGTTGCGTCGCGACTAGTCGGTAGTCGAGGTGGTGTTGGCTCTGCAGTCGTAGACGACGTCGACGCCGACACCCTTTGTGGACGAGTAGATTCGGTTGGAGATAAAGTCGTCCGGATCCCTGGAGCCGTCGATGCAGTCGTACGATGCGCAGTCGATTGTGGCTGCATCGCTCGTGTCCTTGTTATCGTCGAACCTCGCCTTGACGGGGAAGAGGAACTTCTTGCCGCTCATCGCATCAAAGTTGATGTAGCTCTGCACGGTGTCGGTTGGCTCGGCCTGGAACGTCAGCTCGACCGACTGGCAGCTGTCGCCGTACTTTCCGCATCCTTCGCCCGTGAGGTAGACAGAGCCAATAAAGTCGGCGGGCACGATGATGCTGCCCGGGGGCGAGGGCGTGAATTCGCCCTGCGAGCCCGAAGTCCCCGAGATCTTGGGCCGCACGGTCGAGGGACAGCCCATGAGGGTAAAGCGCAGCTCGTGGCGTCCGTCAGGCTGAGCCTTGTGCGTGAGAGGAGGCGAGGCAGCATCGTAGGCGTCGCTGGGAGTCGAGTTGTCGTACGCCTTGACAACGGGCGTGGCGCTGTCGGTCGAGGCAAGGCTGCTGCCGCCGAGCACGGCGAGAGCAAGCAGCACGCTCGAAACAAGCGATCGAGAGTGCATCTTTGAAAAGTGGTGTGGTAGAGAGGACAAAGTGAACAGGTCCAAGATTAGCGACAAGCTGGACCAGAGGTTGATGATGGATGTGAGGATGGAGTGATAGAGCAGATGCTACGAAAGTGTGAGGGCCTAACGACCGACCTCAGACTACTCTGTAGCCGCTCACGCCAGAGAAAGGTCTGATGAAGCACCGCCATGGAGCAGACTGAGCATCAGCCTCAGTACGCCGACGCGGTGTCGGCTGCAGGCGCATCATTGAAAGAAGCGTGCTCGCACTAGCGTCAAGAGCTGCAGCATCACTCAGCTTCTGTCTCACTCCTAGGCAGAGGTGAGGCGTGACGCTGTGGGCAGCCTGCGAGCGGAGGGGCCACGAGATTTGATGGTGCCGGCGACATTCCTCTCGCTTCGGCTGGGTGCTCGACGCGCATGCTCGCCTCACGTCAAATCGCAGATCCGTGCATGGATCGACAGAACCTCGCCGACGTGTCCCTCGTACCCTCGGACCGCTTCCCCTCGTGCGCCACTCATGCGCCTCTCCTCGCCAATCCAACAAGGCTAAGAAAGGCAATGCACCCCAACCAAGCCGGCGGAATCCCCGCTGTTTCTTGCGGTGGTACCAGTCACCTTCGGCGCTTTGGTCACGCATGTCAGTTTTCGCCGGACTTCCACAGACTCGTGCATCGCCCCGCAGATGCGAGCGGTGCTAGGCTGGCTTTGCGTGCAACCACCGCGCACATTGACGTTGGTACCAGCACTCCTCGTCGGCGCTAATGCAGGCTGCTGGCGATCCATCACCTCGGGTCGAGACACGTCGAAAAGTCACCGTGATCCCCGCATCCCTCAAGACGCCGACATCCGGTTGCTTCGGCACGCATTTCTGACGTCTGGGTTCGATGATAGCGGCTCTGCTCTGGCCTCGCCTTCATTGCTGACGAGAAGTCGAACAAGTATGCTGCAAGATGCGGCTGCTTCCGCGCTGTCACTGCAGAGGCTGTGATGGGCATGGATGTGGACGCTAGGGCAAGGCCTAGGGCAAGGCAGGGTCTTCGAGGCCATGCCTGCCTTTTGGATGCAAGGGGTTGTTTGGCGCGAGAGCAAAGCCAGGTCAATGCCGCAAAAAAATCATTGAATTTGTTAGACCCTCGGACTCCCACTCTCCCACTTTTTGGAAAACTCGGGGCAATTTTCTACCCCACACACGCAACCCCGGACAAGAGACCGAGCTCCACACGGCGGTCAGATCATCACGAATCTCTGCGCTCGTATTGCTCCTTCTCGCATAGCCACTTCAAATACCCTGCTGTGACGAGCTCTCTCAAGACTCGGGGCCACAATGTCTGCGAACGGGGCAACTAGATCGACCATACGCGCTGTCGACGTGTTTGGCCAGCACGTCGTGCAGCAGCTGCAGAGCTTTCGCTCGCGCTTCTCTGGCGGAGCATCGATACCGCCGCTGTTCGTGGCCATGCAAGGCCCACAAGGATCTGGGAAGACCACAGTGACTCGCGCTCTCATTCAGTACCTCAACTCGTCCGGGCTCAATGTCGGTATCCTTTCGACTGACGACCTCTACCACACGCACGGAAACCTGCATCGCGTTGCACAGGAGAATCCCACCAACCCGCTCCTCTCCGGCCGCGGCCAGCCCGGCACGCATGACACCGAACTAGGCGCAGACCTGCTAGACCGAATCTATACGATCAATAGCAAGACCCCGCAGAAGGTCAAGCTGCCCGTATTCGACAAGAGCCTGTTCAACGGCGAGGGCGACCGTGTGCCAGTCTCGGACGCGAGTCCAGCGCTGCACTCCCGACTCGACGTCTTCATCCTCGAAGGATGGAGCATGGGATTCTCAACCATCTCTGCTGCAGAAGTCGAGAGGAAAAGGATCGCCAGCCCGCCAGACTCGCCTCTGAGCAGGTATGATGTCGAGGCCCTACACCAAATCAACGAGAACCTCAAGGCGTACCGCCAATGGTACGAGCACTTCAGCGTGTTCTTGCAAATACAGCCGACCGATTTGAATAATGTCTACATCTGGCGCACCCAGCAGGAGCATGCCATGAAGGCAGCCAACGGTGGCCGCGGCATGTCCGACGACGGTGTCAAGGCGTAAGTGGACAGTTCTAGCGAAGTCGACCCCCTTTCGAGCCTCGCTGACTCGTGCTTCTCATCCAATCGCGGACAGGTTTGTGGACAGGTACATGCCCGGATACTACCTTTTCCTGGATACGATCCGGGAGAACGAACAGTGGAAGGGCAGAAGCAAGACCATCACCATCGATCTCGACCGCACCTGCGTTGCCGCAGAAGACTGGTAACAGCCGCGGGCACGCAATTCATGTGTACACGGTCTGTTCTCCCGCGCTGCTGTTCGAGATCTATTGCAGATGCTTATTCTGTGCGGAGGCGGAAAACGAGCAAGAGGTTGCCTGCTGGCATCTGGATGCGTTGCGCCAATGCATAGCCGTGCGTGTGTGCGAGCGGGATGACCTCGCTCTGCAGGTCGCGCAGGCCGAAGTCTGGGTTCCTGCTTCGGATCTCCTTGTCAAATGCCTCGTTACCGGGCGAAGTGAAGGTGCCGTTCTCGTTGAATGCGCCGTAGATGGCGATCCACCCGTGCTGGCGCGAGAGGAGGTTGCGGTAGCCCTGCTGCGTGACGTAGCCCACGCGCGGGTCGAGGTGGCTGAACAGGCTTTCGGTCACCGCCCACGGTGCGACATGTGTAAGGTTGCACACGATCAAACCGTCGAAGAGTCCATCCTCAGAGCTCGAAGACGAGGCCTCGCCAGAAATGTTGTGCGCGAGCGTCAGCCAGTCGTTCTGATCGAGTAGGTCGAGTGCCTCGGCTTTGGAGACGTTGGGCAACCCGGAGGCGCGCTCGTCGATCTGTGAGCGAAGGTACCCATCAGCCTCGCTGGGGTGAAATTGGAAGTCGGGATAGCGCGAGGCGATGGCGTGAATCTGATGGCCGAACCCGGATGCAACCTCGAGCACCGCCGGCTTGCGTGAGGCACCCGGGCCGGTGGAAAGGAGCGGTGCAAGCGCCTCGGCGATGGGCTGAGAGTTGCGCTCCGCCGAGCCTGGCTGCGACCATGCCGAGCGGTACTTGCCGTCAGCCTCTGATACCGCTGCGTCTGTCATTGTCAGTGTATTCGAGGACCTGATTGAGAAGAAGTTGAGGCTTCGTGCAGGTGCCCTCGTCATAGCTTCAGAAAGCCCGGAACTCGGCTCTCGGACCCTCGGCTGGCTGTTAGACCGGCGCCTCAGAAGACATGTTCGGCGCGCGTGAGTTGGCAGCGGACACGTGATGCAGATGAGCGCCAGACGCGAATTTCTCTCACCTCTCAGGGGCTTCGGGTTTCAGTTGCAGGAAACGAGGGAAAAGTGTTTGTGGACCCTGAGGGACGCACGGCCAGCCGAGGGCCGCCTGACGACGGGTTCAATGCCGGCTGGATGCTGTTCAGTAGCCACACACGATGACGGAGCGGCCCGCCTTCCGTCCCGAGAGTGGCGGCTCAAACAATGGGCGGCTCAAACGATAGGCGCTGCTAGCCGCCTCCTTGCGGTCCCGTCATGGTTGTACAATGCCATCTCACACGATCGTGATCCGGAAAGTGAACCTCTACAACTTCGAAGATAAGCTCTCGAACCATCTCGCCCGTCTTTCATTACCGGATGGTCTCAACAAAGTGTTTTGCTATTGCTGCTCGAGAAGGCTTTATCGAAGAAGACGCCGTGGTTCGAAGCTAGGTATGGCGCTACTTTGAGGCGCAATTTAGCCTTCTTTGCTGGCTCTCTAGCAGTGTCTGTGAAGCCCAAAATGCAATGAAGCGCCCTCGACGCCATGCATGATTGCCAGACTAGAGGGTCTTACCGATACAGTACCGACGTATCGAGGCGAGAGAGGCGGGAAGGAAAAAGCGATGTGGGCGAGCCGAGGTTCCCACGGTGGTGGCTACGGAACCACGCTCGATCGCGGGAAGGCGGTTGAACAACTCGGCTACGGCACCTACTTGGCACGTCAGGTACGCCCATCAACGTGCCTTTGGAGCCCGTCTTGCCTTGCTATCGGGTCTTAGACGGGCCCGCCTAGCACCAGTCTTCCATCTGAAACAGCTGACCAGTTGGTGGCTGGAAGAATCAACTGACACGGGTCGAGCATTATCATGTCTAATCATGGCAACGCGTGAACATGGGCGGCTTCCCAAACCCAAGTCATGAGCAGAGATGCGCATCTGGTTGCATCTCGGAGGGATGACTATGAGCTCATCACATCCGCATGCTTCTGGATCGGGGAGGGCGAAGAGCGCCGGCGATTGCGAGCGGCGGGGTTCCAGCCGGCTGACATGGCCTCGCCAAACATCGTAGCGATCGAGGCTTCGACTGAGCCTAGACACGAAGGCCTTGGGTTGCGTTTGAAGCGACGTGCTGCCCTGTTGATACGGTTACGGTACTTTTCATTTTTCATTTTTCATTTTTCCTTTGCTCGTTCAGGCAGGTGGCGGGCAGGCGCAACCTGCTGTTTTGGGAAGGTGGGCCAAAGAGCGCGTGTCCAACAGTGGACGAGAGCCTTCAAACTGCATCGCTGCAGCATCGCGCAGCACAGCCGAGGCAAAAACGCCGAGCGAGCTGCAGCTGCTCCACTCTGCCGAAGCGTCAAACGCTGCCACTCCTTCTTCCCTCGCAATGTTCACCCGGCCCTGCCTCGCTGCCGAGCGGTAAGCGCTAGGGATCATGTTGAGGCGATGCACCATGTACAGCGTGCACTGACGGTGTGCAGTGCCGTATCTTCCGAACGCTCGGCAAGCCGTAGCGCCTGCGAGTAACAGTAACCCGAGGGAGTTTGGTCGGTAAGATGCATCGTGAGCCAGGGCGCCCTGCAGCTCAAGGCTGTCGGACATCGAATGCATCACCTGAACACGGATGATGGCGACCGAACCTCCCCTGTTCGAGTGAGTGAGCAGATGGTCGCCGAACCACTTGCCATGCTTGGCGGAGTTCAGAAGTTGCTTCTTCAAACCGTGGACAGCCCCAGCAACTCCATCCACCTCCTCCCTGCCGTAAACAAGAGTCCTCACTTAGACTCGTCCATCCACTGCATTCAAGCAGCCTCCGCAGCCCTTCGTCCCGACTTGCATCGGTCGATGAGACATCCCACTGGTCTTGCACTAGCCTCAAGCTTCAACGCCGTACTTGGTCAACTGCATACACCTTCTTACCTGTCTTCCAACTCCGACTGCTGCTTTCCCCTCGCAAAACAACCCGGTCATCGCTGCTTCCTTGCCATCTCGCACCATCTCGCGGATCAGCTTACAGCTTGGCCGGCATTGCCATCGTGTGACGACCTTCTGTCGATCTGCCCTTCACATAGGCTTGCTCGCCCCCCACAAACCTAGATCGGGTCCGATCCTCTGGATCAGCTGAGCACCTGCTCGATTCAACAAGAGCCGCCACCGTCACCTTTCCGTATTCCTACACTTACCTCTTATCCCCATCATCTCCACCAACCAGTGTCCGAGGCCACCTCTGGATCTTCACCTTACGCCTGTGCGCATATCTCAACAATCTCTCGGACGACCATAGTCGATCTTTTCCAGCGCCATCCGATCAGTATCGCATCGACTCAGTTCCAAATGCCGTCCTAAACATACGTACCACACCCTACACCTATCTGTTCCTTGAGCTTGCGCAACAACACCGCTTCAGTCGCGCATCGAACCAACAACTACGGGAAGCTCGCTCACCGAGACGCGGTCTCACACAGACTCGCCATGGCTTCCACGTCTCACGAGGAGCAGCTCCTCTACCAATCCAAACACCGAAGGAGGGGATGGGTGATTGTGAGCGAGGATGGCACAGAGATGGAACGACCCACCAGCTTTGACCCACGCCGAAGTGCTGCTGCGTGGAACAAAGGTCAAGGTCCCTCTCAAGCGTCCATCCCCTCGCGAGCTTCTTCTTTGGCGCCTCCTTCGTCTCCCACCACCGCCGCGCCATCGCTTCCACAGAATGTCCCGACAGATGCCCAGCCAGCCTCTGGACAGTCAATCGAGAAGCGTCCTCCACCACTGACGCGTCGCTCATCGTCTACGAGTGACCATGACAGAAACGCATCCAGTGGCTCGACGGAGCTTGATGCAAAGGCAGAATCGTCAAGCTCTGGACGACGTCGCCCATCACCGCCTTTGCTTGTACCACCAAAGCAGACCTACCGAAAGATTCCTTCTGGGAGGGCTCTGCCTCCTTCCGCCTTCACAGATCATCAAAAACTCCTTGCTGGCGCAGCACGACCACAACGTTCAGCTGCAGTCGACCCATCGTCTTCTTCGACCTCGTCCAGCTCCTCTCCAACATCGTCAGCAGTGTCTAGCCAGCCTCGACCTCCAGTGATGAAAGCCAACCTTGGACTTCGTAATGATCTGGCCATTCTTGCTGCAAGGCGACGGACTGCCCATAGCTCTGGCTCGTCCAGCGCTGCCACGAGCAAGTACACGCCCGATCAGACTGCTTCCTCCTCGTCACCGGCCAGCTCAGTCGCCTCTACCTCAGCGGCGTATCAGCACAATGCCAAAGGGAAACAGCCTGCGACGAGCCCTCTGCGCAACGACGAGGAAGAGTTTTTCAGCAGCGGAGCAGAGCACAATCCGGCCATTGTCGTGCGCCCGCCATCTTTGCCCTGGTCCGGCACTCAACTGAACAGCTCAGGACAGCCTTCGCTGCTCTTCTCACCTGGTCCACTCCCGCCACTCAGCGAGAAGTCGGCTGCATCTGACGTGGACGATGTGCTCTCTTCAACGTCCGAAAACCTGACGGACAGCGAAGGCACAGCAGGCAGCGGCGCCAGACCAGGAAAAAGGAGGGACAGCTTGCGTATCGAGCTGCCTCCACCTCCGGCCCAGTTCAAAGACAGGTATCCCTCGATCATGGTTGACTCCACCCACGCCAGCGATTCCGAGGCCAGTGGAACGAGCACCGGCGCTCAGCGCAGAAGGCGCCGACGCAGCACCGCGTCCACCCAGCTGCCGGGCGTCGACGCTGAAGACGATGACGAAGAGTTCGCGGACGACGACTCCAGCTGGCCATCCACACCATCCACGACACCGCTCGAAAACTACTTTGCTGCCGCAAACCAGCGCACGAAACCATCGCGCAAGGCTTTCCAGACCACCAAAGAAATCATCGCTCCCGATCCTGGCCTCGGCATGGGCCGGCCGATGGTGGTCGTCACCAGCCCAAGCACTGCTTCCGAGGTCTCCTCTGATCGTCGATCCAGCTCTGGTTCTGGCTCCAACTCGGAGCGAGCCATGTCGTCTTCACCACCCGCCGCACCCATCGTGCCTCCAGTACCCATGCTTTCCAAAATCGAAGAGCATCCGGTCCAGAAGGTGGCGCCGGATGCAGGTCCGTCGGCCGCACCAGCGCCGCGAAGATCGCTGTCGTTCGAGCTACCGGTCGCGCGCATGACCCGCTCCTCTGCAGATCTGGTCTCTGGAGCCGCTGCTGTGCGGTCTCCCTCTCGCGCCATGGCTTTTCTGGCCAAGATCAGCCCCAACAGAATCTCGAATCGCAGCAGCACAGATCTAACTTCTCCAGTGCGCTCGGAGGACACTGCCGATCCTGCCACCGGTCAAACCTCGGAAGGCCAGCAACGCGCCTCGATGGAGCCACGACGATCTGTAGAACTGCGACCGATCTTGCTGAATGCCGCGACGCGACCTAAACCTCGACCGCTCTCCAGCGATGAAGGGCCCCGTCGACCTACGCCGACCACATCGGTTGCACCTGCTCAAGCCGTGCAACAGCGAAGGCAGTCCTCCGGACGTGTTCCGATTCGACCAAATGTCGTGCCGTATCACTCCCGACGAAGCTCGGAGCTGTCGGACGCCTCTTCCAACAACTCTCCGATGCTTCACAACCGCGGGTCGTTCGATAAGGATCCAGTCGACCCCGCATACAGCCCCATGTCTCAGAACACAACGCTCACGATGCCATCGCCGGCTCTCAGCACAGACCAGAAGCCGTTTTCGTATCATTCCTCGGGAGCCGAAAGGTCCTCGGGTGATTCCTTCGAGCCACGTCTCGCCTCTGCCAGAGCATCGCAAGATCAGGCTGCAGCTTCGGCCATCTCGCTGGCCCGTGCCAACAAGGCTGAGCGCCGCGCGTCTTCTCAGGGAGAGACGGAGGCTCGACCTTCCGCCATCCGCCTACTCGTGGACTCCCAGAAGGGCAGAATGTCGAGAGACAACGACTCGATCGCCGAGTGGATCTCGGTGTCGGTCAACGATCTTCCTTTGTCCGACCAAGGGCATTCGTATGGTAACGGCGGTACGGGCGAATTCTCGAACGAGCAGCAGAAAGCTGGCAAGAGGGTCCTCAAGAACAAGCCTTGGAAGCTTGGCCGTTTTGCAGCATCTGAAGTTGTGCTGCCCACAAAGGTCGCCTCTTCCAGTGCCGCGGCTCCGTCAGCGAAGACTTCCGTGGAGGTGAAGCGGAGGTCGGTGTCGCTTCTGAAGCGCGCGTCTTCGGCGCAGGTGAACGAAACGGCGCGAAAGGACACTGGAAATGCTCCCGTAGCGGCCAAAGGACCGTTACCGCTTATGCGCAATCTGGGCTTCACAACTGCCAACCGCAACGTGGTGCTGCAGAATCTCTGTGCGGAGCGCTCGATTTCCGCCTTGGCCGCCAGCACGGTCTACATCGCAGGATGCGGGCGAATCGACGTTCCCGCGCCTCAAGCCGTGCCAGCCACCAAGCAGAAGCCCAAGGCCAAGCCTGCGGCCACAGCAGCCAAGCGAGCGATTCCGTCGTCGGTCGAGCCAATGCCTTTGCCGGCCACCAAAGCCCAAGATCCGCCCAAGGCACCACCTGCGCGTGCAGAACCTGCGCAAGAAGCCTACCTGAATGTAAAAGAAGGTCGACATGTCGGGTACAGCCTCAGCGGCGCTGGTGCTGGTACGGTCAAGTCGATGGTCCCCGAACTCGGTGACTGGTCGGGGTCATCTGGCCACCACAGTGGGCCCGATGAAGACGAGGACCACGTCAAGCCTTTCCGTGACTACGAAGACGAAGGCTCTGATCTGTTCGATTCGGATGCGGAATCATCAGAGTCCGAGGGCGAAGAGACCTACGACGAGGAGTACGACGCCGAAGTGCCCGTGCGATTCGGTCAGCGCTTCAGCGCCGCCAACAAAGCAACACCAGAGGTCGTCTCGCCGACGAGATCAGCGACGGCACGGAGCGAGTCTACACAGCATCAGGGAGCTGACCAGCCTATTGCGGACGCTGGCATCGACAAGGTGACAGTGTCACCGAGCCTCGAAAGGCTAGCACCTGGCAAGGTCGTGCTGCGCGGGGCCGAGATGCGCCTCTGCGTCAAGGACGCAGATGCCAAGTCTGCAGCCCCGGGGATTCAACATTACTGGAAAGCGCTCCAGGTGCAGAAGGCCACGGGCGCAACAGGGAACGAGGGTCAGCAGCTGCGCAAACAGCCGTCAAGTCGCGCGATGAAGCTGGAGCAGGAGGTGGCTCTGGGCATCTTCGCGGGCTTTGTGGGCAACCGGAGTCCAAAACGCCAGGCTCAGAGATCTTCGTCGAGCGACTCTGGCACGAGCGATGCTTCTGCACAGATTTCTGGCGGCAAGGAGCTGCTCATCTCGAAGATGGACCACGGCACCTTTTCCGTCCGAGCCCTCCCTGGGGCGATTGTGAACCGACACGAGCAGGTGCTGGAAGTCGTCTGCCACTCGACGGCTCCGAAGACAAAGGTCGAGTTGGCGTTCCCGTCTTCGCTGCTCTCAAGCGCTGAATTTGCTCACGGTCGATCCAGATCAGGCCGCTCCGAAGGTTCGCAGGCCTCGCTGGGAGACAAAGAGAGCACGAAGCAGCGCTTGACGATCCACATGCAGCGACAGGGAGGTCGCGGCTTTGCAGCTACCTTCCAGACGCAAGAGGGGCAGCACTGGACCTGGCATGCCAGCAAGCTGGAGGCATCCGTGCTGTCCCGCCCGCAAGATGGCCGCACCAAGCCTTTGCTCGCCGTGCTGGACAACTATGATCTGAGCCTGCGCACCATGCTAGAGCACGAGACGGTCGAGCTCGCCACATACTCGACCGAGTCGCAGGTGCGTAACGCGCTCGGCATGTTCCGGCCGCGAACGAAGTCTGGGCCAAAGCCGATGCCAGAAGACGTTTCACAGGTGGGACCTGTCGTGCCGCCTCCGGCCCAGGTGCTGCCGCTTGCTGTGGCGCACAGAGGATTCGTAAGCCCGATGGGAAGGGCCGAGGTGCCGATTCCACGACGAGGCATTCGAGGTGGCCCGCTGTTACGGCCGCAGCCGCACGCCGCGGGCAGCGCAGCACGCCACCACGGACTGTGGCAGAACCAGCGCGCGGCCATCTCGACCGAGGCCGTGGTGCAGGTGCACAACAATGCAGTCAACAACGCACGCGCTTCGCTGCAGCTCGAAGAGCGACCCAGGCTGGTTCACGCGCCAACGGACAACGCGGAGCGTCTGCAAGCCTGGCGGACGGCAGCCGCTGGTCAGCAGGATGCAATCACGGCCGGCGACAAGATGATGGGCGAGCTCACATTCTCGTCGCACGCGGCGGTGGTGAATCGGGACCTGGTGGTGCTCACGCTGTTCGCGGTGCTCGGCATGGCTGAGCCTTGATCCTCAATCGCAAAGAAGGTGGTCGGTCCGAGCTCGGCTTTGCCCAGCTTGCAGCACTTTCCCACGCTGTACCGCAGGCCACTGTCGTCTTAAAGCTATCCCTTCCCGAGTAGTCACACCTCTCTGCCTTGTCTCATCCGAGCAGTTGTCATGTGAATGTCATTACTTTCGAGGCACGTGGAGGATCAGACAATGCGGCACACTGGACGAGACAGCAATCAATGTATCAAGTTGAAGGAGCACGTGTGCTCGAGTCCGAGATGTCGTTGATAGCACAAGCGAATAAGGTTGGGCGCGAGGGACAACAATGGACCTTGGCCTCGGGAAGGGGGAGCGAGATCGAAGCTGAGGAGAGTAGAGGGAAGGTAAGGAGACAGAATGGGACCGGCGGACACATGGGAGAGGGTCCAGATTCCTTCGCGAGGCGCACTTCCGCCAGGTGTCAACTCGCCTTACCCTCTGCAGAGAACCACGGCGGAAGTCCCGAACCTTTGGGCCCAGTACTGTAAGCGCGTTTTATTGAGTGGCAAGAAGGGATGTCGGGTCCCGCCCGTGGCCCTGCTCTGATACGTCGACTACAACACACAGAGCTGCTCGGACCCTCAAAGGTGTGCGTTTCCAGAGCCTTCGCAAGGATGGAACGGGGAGCAACGACGCGCACCAGTCCAGAGATACAGGTCCAGAGCGCGTCTGCAAGTGTCGGAGTAATTCGTCTCTGGCTCCCGCCCCGAGACTGAGCGCCCCTTCCCCCGCCACCCTCACCGCGCCGGTCTCTCACAAACACTGCAGTCGCTTGGACTGTACCTGTATCACTGCGTGTCAACCGCAAAAGCTGCGCTCTGGCTTTGCGGAAACTGCTTCTGCAGTGGCGGCGAGCCTTTCCGCCCTGGAAGCTTGGATGCGTGCAGCGGAAAAATTGGCTCGACGTGCATAAACCACGCGCAGCCGAAGCTTGGCCCGCCAGGCTCAACCCCCTCCTCCCTTTCGCCGCTGAGATGGGTATCAACCCGAGTTGGCCGCAGATTCGGCCGTCCCGCGGGCGCCTTCGCGGCAGCTTCACAGGCTGGTGCCCAACTTGGCGACAACCGAGTATCGGATCACTGCCATCCATGGTCAAATCATGCTCAACATGCCGTCTTGAATGACTTGGCGGGCTTGACCAAGTACAGTAGGCGCAACGCAGCACCGCAGCTCGGCGGCGTGCTCACGCGATGTATTGCGAGCATTTGTAATCCGCTATTCCGACGGCCTTTTGAAGCCCTCCTGCTCAGCACGCTGCTCCTCCGAGAGCTGCCGACCGATCACTTTGCGCTCCCAGCTTTGCACACAGACTCAAGCTCAAAAGTCAACGTTAGACTTGCAGGCGGACCTGTTGAAGCTGTGATCTCATACTGGGCAGCCAAGTTCACTCCGTAGTCGGAGATGCCGAGGACGACTTGATCAAATCGCAAGGCTGGTGCAGAGCTTTCGGAACCTCTTCCGCAGGGGGGCCTGCAGTTTCGATCATTCGTCCTGCCTCGGAAATGGGAGGCTCGCGGGCCGCAGCAGATTCCTTTTTTAATTTAATTTTTCTTCTGCGCAAACCATTGCCGTAGTCAATTGAAGTTGAGCGGCATGAAATCGTCACGCCCTGAAGAGCGACTGCGACCGACGGTCGCGGCGCTGGCGCTTTTGCTCTCTCCCCATCCAACTCGACGGCCCTCGTCGGTCTCAGCTTGGCGGCTGAGTGTGGGCTCGGTCGCTCGCTCTCTACGCTTACGCCTGCTGAGCCAGCCTAGGTGCACCACATCGTCCGCACCACCACATTGTTACCGGCCCCTTACCTCTTGTTCCCGTCGTTTCACTTTGCCGCCTCGTCTTCCCAGTCGCTTCCCTGCATCGGCCAGTCCGATGCTTGTTATTGCGCACGACATTCTCTGACCGAACCCGGATTTCGAGCCCCTCTGATTGTTTCTTCCCTGGTCCGCTGCCTTGGTTCAGCCTGCTTCTTCCTTCCCGTCGCCGCCCTTCTGCATCTGCCCCAGCTCGTCCTCACCGCCTGCCCGGCTCAAGAATAGCAACTGCCTTGGTCTCCATCAGTCGGAGTACGGTCAGCAGCCCGACCCAGTCGCTACCAAGCGACGGTGCAATCTTCCCTCCTCTGCTTTCCTGCCCACGTCGCCGTCTCCTGCTCCTGCAAACCTTACGCCACGGCCCGATCCCCCTCGCTGACCGCCGCCGGTGCAACCGCATGCCCTGTCCGGTCTAAATTAGATTGGCCTTCCTTGCAAATCTGTGCATACAGTGGCTTGCCTTTAACCCCCCCCCCCCCCCCCGCGGACGGTCAACCTCGTGCTCCCGGCCATACCCCTGCTCTTTACTTGCTCTCCTCCAGATATCCTTTCCCTTTCCGCTGTTCCGGGTCTGCACTTGGCGCAAGTTCAGTGCTTCACTCCCTCCTCGTTCGCCTTGCACAATCACCTGAAGCGCTATCTCCCCTCTGCTAGTGCAGGAAAAGGCTCAACATGGCCGATACTCACCTTGCTGGAGGCCCTTCCGTCCGCAACACCAACACCAACATCAGCGTCGCCTCTGACTTTGCGTCCATTCCTCACACCGCTGGTATCCCAATGGCTTCTGCAGTCGCCAACGCCGGCGCCGGCGCTGCAGGGCCTGGGCTTGGCTGGAGGGATCCACCCAAGGGACTCGAGCTAGCCCAGGTTCACTATCTCGTCCGCCATGGAGAGAGGACGCCCGTTCGCACACGCCTCACCCATCTCTTCCCCGAGAAGTGGAATCTCTGTCGAGCCGGGCGCGAGTTCGATGCATGCGTGCTGGAGCTCACCCCGAGCGCAGACAATTCGATTCCACCCTACCAGGTCGGCCAGGTCGGCTCAGCCAACACGGCGACCATGCACAGCAGCATCATGCGCATGCGCAGGAGCGTCGAGACCGAGTCATCACGATCAGGGCGCGGACTGCCCGACGAGGAAGGCGAATGCTTGCTAGGCGAGCTCACCGACCTGGGAAGGCTGTCGACCTTACGCTTTGGTCGCGAACTCCGCTCGCTCTACGTCGACCGCCTCGGCTTCCTGCCGCAACTGCTCACGAGCAAAGACAATGACGCCCTCTACTTTCGCAGCACCAACATGGGTCGCACCATCGAGAGCCTGGAGCAGGTCATCCGCGGTTTGCACTCGAACACGGTCTCACCAAACACACAAGGGCAGTTCATCCCCAAGGTGCTCGTTCGCAACGGCACCGATGAGAACCTTCTTCCCAACACGTATGGATGCTCGCGACTGCAAGGGCTCGACCGAGCGTTTGCAGACGCCGCAGCGCGCGCCATGAATCCCAAGTTGGAAGAATTCGACAAGGAGTTCGAAGCTGTCACAGGAGGCAAGCCGCGCGTGGATGGGCGGCCGCGCCTGAACGGCATCGTCGACACGGTCAAGGCAGCCCAGGCACACGGGTTCCCCATTCCGGCGGGGCTGTCGGACAAGCGCATGCTCCAAACATTGGAAAGTGCCGTCGTCGCCGAGTGGTTCTCGGGCTACAATGCGCCGGACCCGGAACAGAAGCTCGAATTCCGCAGACTGGCTATGGGCAGGTTCGTCAACGACCTCGCCTCGCGCATGGCCGTGCGCGCCGACAAGGGCGAGCAGGATCCACTCAAGTTTGGCGTGTACGCAACGCACGACACAGCGCTCGCCGGTCTGCTGTGCACGCTCGACTGCTTCGACGGGCGGTGGCCCGTGTTCACCTCGTCGATGGGTGTCGAGCTCTTCCGCGACACGACTGCGCCGAGCTCGTTGCTGAGCAAGGTGCAGCGTGCCTTTGGCCTCGGCCAGAAGCCGCCGCATTATGTGAGGGTGCGCTACGGCGACCGCGACATGCAGCTTCCGGCGTGTGCGCCCAAGGGAAAGCACTACGAGGGCAGGCCCGAGCTGTGCACCCTCGACGCATTCATGGACATTGCCAAGTCGCTCCAGCATCCTAAGGGTTGGACGTGGGAGCAGCAGTGCGCCGTCGGACAGGGACCGCGATCGTCCAAGTAGCCACGCCCGCGCTACGACAGCGCACACCAGCATCCGTAACACCCACACCTCATCCTCGATACCATCTCCACACGCTCCAAGGGGCATCAGGTCACCCTGTCCACACATGCTCGCTCGACTCGCAGTATACTAACCATTTCCATATCGACTGACCGGTGCGACGGCATACACCTTGCTCCGTGGTGTGTGCGTTTGTGCTCACTTGTTGCTGTACCGTTCCTGCCTTCTCCTCATCCCCTCCCCTCTCCGCCTTCCTACTCCCCTCCCACAATCGCTTCATGCGACACCACCTCGTCTGCGCACCCACGAGTTGGGTTGCGGGGACGCAGGATATGGCCCATTAATCGATGTGTTTTTGCTAGCCCCATGTTGGGGCTTTACGAAAACTCATTTTCATGCCGGGCCTACATTGATCCCTCTGGTGCGTGCTTAGTAACCACGCTGCCGGCAGAGCAGACTTCACTTTACCACTCGCCGACTTTTTCTCCATCGGCGCGCGGTCATTCTCTCGCTCTTACATTCCCATCCCATGCACTTATTTTGTCTGTAGATTGGTTGAGAAAAGCGCAGTTGATGTGCTTCTGAGGTTGTGCGTAATGCATCATTTTCGGGGTCAGTAGGCTTTGGTTGTGCCGATGATGGTGACTGGGATGTCGCGATGGTGTCGGTGAGTTTCGGGGGATGGGCTTAACGGATTTGTCTCGAGCGCACACGCGCCGGCCAGAAAGGATGAAGTTGACGTGGAGGCGTTGCGCTGGAATTCAGGGTCCATCATCAGCCCCACTTTGCGGTCGGTTCATCCCTCCGTCTTTCCACATCATCTCGCTGATCGCTCGACACGATGGAGTCGATTCAACGGTTTGTCGATGGCAAAATCGTACGTCCTTCTCCCTTCTCTCCCTCTGTCTACTATGCTGACATCACTGCTGTTGACAGGACTTTCAAGGGCAACGTCTTGCGGATCGGATCATGCAGGAAGGTCTGGTCGCAGGCGCCAGCGTCGCCTTCCTTGCCGGGTACTTCACGCAAAACATGCAGCTGTGCATGCTCATCTTTGCTGCCGCAACCGCCCTCGTAGCAATCGTAAGTCACATGCAACCCAGCAAAGTGCGATGAAGAAGGAGCTGACACCGGCTTTGATGCGGAGATGATTAGGTCACCGTGCCCGGTTGGGGATGGTACAACAAACACAAGACAGAGTGGCTCCCCAACCGTCCTGCAGAGCCAGAGAAGTAATGATACCAAAAGTCTTGGCCAATACAGCGCTTAAGACTCCAGTCGAGTCGTGGTCAGCAGAATAAGCAAGCCCTGAGCTCGATCCGAACGGCGACGAGTGGTTTGCTCACACAACAAGGTTGACTTCATCTGAGCTCGACGGACGAGTTGGAAGCTTGGACTCTCGCGTTCTTCCCATCGCTTCGCCGCACCGATTCGGCCCGCCAGCCCTGCCAGCCCCATTTCTCACGCGAGGGCGGCCCTTCCGTCCAGTCACACACGCCACTCGTTTGACACACTCTGCAGTCACACGCTCTCCGCACATCACACGTTGAGACTCGACAGGCTGCATTGCGATCACATCATTTGCGCACGCGGGTCCTACTGTTTGCTCGCCGCTCCCGCCGGACTGCCATTGGCGCCCGCTCCCCGCGGCGAGGCGGCTGGCAGCATGGACAGAAAGTCGAGCAGCGTCGAGGCATCTGTCTCGGCCTGCGCGGCTGGCTTCTGTTGTGCTGCAAACGCAGTCTGCCCCGCATCTGCGTACTGGAACGGATCCGCACCCGCATACATCGAAGGCGAGTTGGATGCGCCAAACACTCCTCCGCTCGTCGTTGCTCCAAACGCATTGTTCTGGATGTAGCCGAACTGCAATCCGTCCGCGCCGCCTTCGTACGGCTGCAACAACCAGTTGTGAAATCCGAACGTCGATGCTGTCCTTTCCTCTTGCCCAACTTCGGTCTCGGGTTCCTTGTCCCTTGCTCCCGTTTCGAACGGCACACCAGCTGCTGCACTACCATTTTGAAGCAGGTCGCCGTCCGAGTTTGCGTTCTTTGCGAATCCAGCTGCACTGGGTGCGATCCCAGCCGCGTACGGATGCACGCCAAATCCTCTGGGTGACGCACCTGCGGCCTGCATCTGGCCTGCTGTCGCTCCAACGCTCGGTCCGGCAGAAGCGTGCATGCTCTGCGTCGTTCGCTCGCTGAGCGTCGGCACCATGCTGTGTCCCGGCGTGCCAAATCTGCCAGTCCTGGGCGGTGCGGCAACAAAGATAGTCGATCCAGGCGGGGGCGCTGCGTCGATGGCGTTGATCGAGTTCCACGTCGAGTCCGACAGCCACGTCGGGTGCTGCTGAGCCGCAGCCTGCATTATCTCGTGATGCGATGCCCTCCTGAGCCCGCCCGTTTCCAGGAAGGCTCGATTCGCCTGCCTTGCCTGCCCGCCCTGCAGCGAGTCGACGCTCGACCTCATGAAGCCTTCCAGATCCTGCACTGCTCCTTCCATCGCTCCTGTGGCCGCCGTCTGTCGAGTGCCTGGATCCAGCACCGACCTGAGCACCGCCGACGCTGCCGCATCAAACGTATCGCGGACCTTGACACCGTACCCGTCGTTGCGCGACGTGAGTGCCTCGAGCGTGCTCGCGCAGCTCTGCACGTTGAACACCACCTCGACAACCGGGCTTGGACACGCCATGCCGGTTCGCGTGAGCTTCTCGAGCGCATTCAGATGCGTCAAGCCCGAGATGAACAGATGGTGCGTCGCGAGCCACGGGAAGTTGATCGTCGAGCCCCTGTGCATGCTCTTGTAGATCTTCATCGCGCGGCCGGACGCCATGAACGCCTGCTGCAGACCGTTCGAGTCGGGTCGCGGATTGTTTGGCGATGGTCGGAATAGCAGCGAAATGGTGAGATTGTGGTTTAGGTCGATCCAGTCACGCGTGATGAACGGCGTCGCCTTGGACGCGACTCCGTCTCCCTGCGCAGTGCGCTCCGTAGCGGGTGCCGGCATGCGGATGATCTCGTACTCGGACCTCCACTCCGCAAGCTTCTCCATCATTCTCGTCTGCCACTCGATGTTCGGCGTCGGAGGGCCGACCTCCATTACCAGCGCAAGCGAAGGCCGAGCTGGAGCAGGCTGCGTCAAGCTAACACCATCGTTGTCGAGCGAGTAGTCGCGTGGATTGACGCTGTGTAGGCGGCACAGAATCTCCGACTGCACGCGGCGCAGGTTGATGTGCGAGCGGAAGATCTGCTTCTGCCAGTCGACCCGCAGTTGCTCCTGGCCTGGCGTCTTGGACTCGCGGTCCAGCTGGAGCAGGTCAGTGTCCGAGCACAAACTCGGCAACTGCACGTGGATCCACGCGTCCGACAGACCCGGTGGCCTCGCCAGAGCCACTGCCAAGCTTCGATCCAGACAGTATGTCGTCCAGAACAGACGGCGACGAAGATCGATCGTTTCCTGCGAAAAGGCCGCATTCGTTGCCGAGTCGTAGTCCCGGTCGACGTGCAGATTCAATTCCGTCACCAGTCGGATTGCCGCTCCGGACAGCTCCCACACGCTGCCTGCCGACGGGACCAGGAGCGCGTACTGAAGCTGAAGCAGCGTGGCTCGCAGCTTGTCAATGTCGCCGAAGCGGAAGAGGACCGGGAAGAGCGCCTGCGCCTCGGCCCAGTACTGGTGACCTAGCCTTCTGAGCTCTGGGCTGAAATTGTGCGAGCGGCTGAGCGAGGCTAGCGCAATGGAGAGCGCCATAAGCACCACATACCGGTGCTTCGACAGCATGACGCGATCCGACGCCGACATTGGCGGGATGGGCGGCGGCGGCATCGTATCGTACGACGTCGCTGCCATAGCCGAGAGACGCGATCGCTCGTCGTCCTGGTACACGGACGTGGCGATCTGGTGTAGCCGAACGTCGTTGATGAGCGGAAGGGCTGTGTTCATGTAGGTGAGGTACCTCGCAATGAGTCGATCGAAGAAGGCCCGCTCGTACGCCGAAATGGTCCCAAAGCGGCCTGTCCTGGACCTCGACTTGAACGGCAATGGTGTCGAGGCTTCCCGGAGCCGCAGCGAGCCGGAAAGATACGAGCTCGCATCTTCGCGGTGCCGTGAAGCATTGGAGGACGACCGACGCTTGAGGCGATGCGGTGATCGTGTTCGTCGATCCTTGTGATGCTTAGATAGGGCAGTGAGAGCGGAGGCCTCGTCGTCGTCGAGTGTCTGTGTGGTGGGCCGTGTTGTCGAAGCCGGTCGGGGGAGGTGGGTTGATCCGGTCAGGTCGGAGGATAAGGTCTCGAGGATGGTGCTTGTCTGCTGAACAAAGTCGTTGGGCGATGGCTTCGGCGAGGTGTCTGAGGATGAGGTGCTTTCGGTCGAGGAGGACTCATCGCCGGAGTCCAGCGATGCATCAGCCATGTGCAACCTTCCATACCCATGACGGCCACGCTTGTGCTGATGAGGTCCGGGCGGCTGTAGCCGTGAAGACGAGGCTATATTGGTCTCGGCTGCATCGCTGGCCGCATCATCGTCGTCCGCTGAGGTTGGGCCGCCGCGCTTGGAAGACGAGCCGTTGGTCGCGGCGCCTGACGAAGCAAGGGCGAGCCTGCTCTCCAGGTCCTTGACCTTCTGCTGCAGTTCGTATACCAACCCGCGGGAGACATTGGGTACTTTGTCGCGACCAAAGCACTCGCGGCCCGACTTCTGACACGGCGTACATGCGGGCAGCAGTGCATCGCATTTGACTTTGCGGGTCCTGCATGCCTCGCAAGCAGGGAGGCGAGACTCGCGATCTTTATCGCGAACCCGGGCACTGTCCTTCGAGTCGCTCCTCTCCCTGTCGAGCTTTTTGTCTTTCTTTCCTGATTCAGCGGTCGGATTGGGTGACGATCTGGTCGGTGTGGCGTTACCAGAGTTGTCGTGGACAGGCGTCGATGTTCCAATGGGGCTGACTCTCCGGCGTTTTGCGGAGCCTTTTGGCGAGTCGCGGAGGGTACCGTCGGCCGAATGCAGCGGGGCAGCTGAGACAGGCGCTTCGACAGCCATTGTGGGGCGTGCTACAGCCAGCTTAGATGCCGGCAATCGAAGCGAGCATGTGCGAGCTGCCAAGATGGTGATGGTGTTCGGTCGCGAGGGTGGCTCGGAATCACGGCTTCGGCGCTTGGCCGAGCGAGCTCAAAAAATCGAAACTGAGCCTACTCGAATTTCGCCCAGGGTCCGGGAAGGCGGAACCCGCCCAGTCTAGTTGCCGGAGCAGGCACACGAGGGTCCGCGTGACTGGTCGTACCGAACCCTTCGCTCGTGCCACAGATACGGCCCCTTCCTTCCGGACCAACAAGCAGACAGACAATTCTGATCGAGCGCTCATTCCACACGCACGCTTCCTTCCCGAATGAACATCGATGATTGCAGTTGCTTGATACGCTATAACTAATCGCTATCTTCGAGATCTTCCTCCTCCTGACGCGGACCGCCCAGGCCGTACGCCTTGCGTGTATGCCCCGAGAACCTGTCCATCGCGCTCCTCCTGGCATCGCTCGCCATCTGCGAGGCGCTTGGGACACGTGAGCTTCTGCGTTTCTCTAGAGCTTGCGATGGGATCACGGGGGAGGCATCAGGGCCCTCAGCGAGACTCATGTCGAGCTCGGCAGCAAAGTCCTGCAGATCGTCGTCGTCATCTTCCTCGCGCTCGGGCGAGGCGGGTGCGAGCGCATCGAACGCTTCTTTTCCGGAGTCAATGTCTTCGTCAGGGGAGGCTCTTGGTCGAGAATCACTTGCTGGACTTGCGACGTCAAGGTGAGGCGATGCAGTGGGTGTGATGCCGACACCAGTCTGCTGTAAGCCAAGACCGATGGATGCGACGCCTTGAGAGGCTGGTCGAGACGGCTCGGCGCCTGGGGTCGAGCGGTCGGCCGTCGCTATCGGTGACAGCCCTCTTCTCGTTTTCTTCAACGATGGAGCGGAGGTTACAGGCGCATCCTCGATGTCTGGAGTGTGAGCCTTCGGTGTACTGATCTTGCGGTCTCGCTCGCTCTGTTGAAGCCTGGAGACGGGCGACAGCTTTCGTGCCGAACGTGGCTCCCTCGAAATCTGCACTGATGCGGCGGGAGGTGAAGGTGGTGCCTCATCCTCGCTGACAACTTCGATATCAAACTCGCGCTCCAGCTCTCGTTCGAGTTCAAGCGCCAGGTCCTCCTCATCTTCTTCGAGCGTCTGGGTCGGCTCAGCCTTGCTAGCGTGCGCAGCGCCCTCCGTCTTGACATCCGGTTGTTTCGAGGACGTCGTAGTCTGTTGCCACTGCTGACTCGAACGACGTCGGCTACGCCGCAACTCGCCTGTAGCCGTCGATGGATTCGTCTCCTCGTGACCAGCTTTGACCCGTACCGTGCCCGCTTCGGTCTCTGACTTGGTTCTAGGCGCGGCCCTGAAATGGATCTCGTCCGCATCAGCCTCGGCCTTTGGTGGCGGCGGCGAGTCATCGAATTCTTCCATCTCGACGACCACACTCCGGCGAGAAGATCGCCTGAGCGGCGCGACGACCGTGCTAGGCCTTGCCGCGTCTCTTTGGTAGGCAGACGTCGAGGTGCGCATCCCTTCAGCGGGGTTCAAGGGTAGCGACGGCTTCTTCGGACTTCTACTTTGGTCTCCGAGCTTGGTGGTTTCGTTATCCCGCTCACGCTTTCGCGGTGTCTTGAAATCGGTTGTCCAGGCTGTCTGCGCTTGATCACTGAGCGTGGTGCGTGAACGTTCGTACTTGAGCGCGAAACTTGCCGCCACGCGATCGAGGCGGTACGTCTGTTTGTCGTCGTCCCATATTAGCACGAGATCGTATGCCTTTGCTGCCGTTTGCGGCCCCGTGAATACGTGTGCTGGCTTTTTGGTCGCGCTGTTGGATGTGCTGGTGCTCGACTCGGCATGGGCATCTGTGGCCTCGAGCTCCATCTGCCATTCGGACGTGTCGCTGCGACCAGGTCCTGGCTGAAACAGGGCTCCTCTCCTGCAGTCGTGCGTCGAGTCGGGCTTGAAGTTGAAGTTGAGCGCGAAGAGGCTCGACAAAGGTTCCGTGAGGCCCGCACTGCGCTCGTTGTCGTTCGATATCGCATGCAAGAGCTCGGAAGCAGCCGGCTCGACAGCGACGTCGTAGAGCCGACGATCACCTCGTCTCGCCATGACACTACCTGTGCGCGGTGTGCTTGAGCAGACCAAGGATCGAAGGAGTGGGCAAAGTCCGATGGTTGTGGTCAACAACAATGGGCACGGAGGCCGGCACACGCTCGACTCAGGGTCCAAAGGCTAAATTCCCGTCCGCTGTCAGACGAGGCCCGAGCGCAACAGAATTCCGCACCCGCACCGTGCCGCACCTCTCTCAGTCCGCCAGCCCACGTCACTTTATGCCGACGAACGAGCCCTCGTGGTCGGAGGTTCTCCCTGTATCGACGCAATGTGGTACATCGTGGTCGAGCCGGTATCACGCCGCAATAACATGGAAGAACAGTGAAAATTGACACGATCATGCGCATGGACACTCAGAACCAACTTCGGTAGGAGGAGAGACGGAATTGTGAGAGGGAAGAGGGTCGCGAGAGAGCGGCGCTCACTGGCTGGCAGCGGCCTTGACCATGGTGAAGGACCACTTGCTCAGAGTCAGAGAGATCGACTCGCCCGACGCAGTGGCCTGGCAGTCCTCGGTCTTGACCTCCTGCTTCTGCAGCGTGTTCGTGTCGAGCGGACCTTCACCGCCAATCTTCTTGCACACGGGCTTGCCCACCTTCTTGCCCACGTCGATGCTGATCGGCATGCTCTTCTCGCTGTAGTTGACCAGCTTGACGATCACGGCGCCCTTCTCGTCGACACCGGCAGAGACGTAGACCTGAGCCTCTTCGAGCGCCTTGCTGTTCTCCACCTTGATGCTCTCGCTGATGCGGTTGGAGCTGATCAGGCTCTGCATGAGGAACGAAGTAGAACCGACCACCTTGGTAGTGTCGAACTCGAGCAGACCCGGAGTCGACTCCGAGGCACGGTCATCCGACTCGTTCGACAGCTCCGGAGCGTAAGCCGCACCACGCACAACGTCGCAGTTGTTCTCCATGCCAAGAATAAAGACCGACTCGGCAAGCGAACCCTTGAGAATGCTGTGGTGCAGGCGTCCGGGGCCGAACCAGATGTTTTCGTCCGCCTCGAGCCCAGAGTTGATGGCCGCAAACTCCATGTTGTAGAATACGGTGTTGTTGGAGCGCGAAGCGTCGTCGTACATGCGGTACTTGCTGATGAAGTCCGAGGGCGTTCCGTAGATGGGCTGGTTGAGCAGGTCGACGCGGTACTTGTAGCCGGTGGGGACGCAGATGGGAGCGGTGGCGATGAGGTCGATCTCGTCAAAGCCCTTGTGATTGGCAAAGTCCTTCTTCAGCATAGCGGTGAGCTTGTCGAAACGAGTCTGGTAGTCAACGCTGGGCTTCAGGCCGCCCTCGTTACCGATCATGAAAGCCTGCACGTCGTAAGGCTTCTGAGGGCCGCCGTTCTTGACACGCATCTCGGCGAACTTGCCCTCGGTGTCGAGCAAGAAGTGGACAAAGTCGACCTGCTGCTGCAGGTAAGGTTCCAGGTCATCGACAGGCACAGCTTGACCGTTTGAGTCGGAGCCACACCACAGGCCGACGATGAGACGAGCACCCAGCTTCTCGATGAAGTTGTACATCTCAACGGCACCGAGTCCATCTGTGTTCCACCCCTGCCAATTGCCGAGACGTCCAGGTCGGTCGACGAGGGGGCCGATGGTGTTGTTCCACTGGAAACGCGAAGCGATGGTGTGGCCGGCAAGGTCGTTGCCTCCCGGCCAGCGAATGGCCTTGGGCTTAAAGGCGAGCATCTTCTCCGCAACATCCTTGCGAACAACGGTGCCCTCGAAGGTGTCCGGGAAGAGGCTGACAAGGTTGATCTGGAACGACTCGATCGAGTCCTCGGTCTTGATGGCGAACACATTGTTGACGTCAGGGGCGGCCTTGACGCTGTCGAGGACCATGTTGACGGGAGTCCACTTGGTTCCGACCGTGACCGTCTTGGTCTCGTCGACCCAGGACTGAGTCAGATCGAAGCTGTACAGACCAAAGTTGAGCTTGACAGTCTGCTCCTTGTCGGCGCGAATGTAGAAGCTGGCGTTGTATGTCTCGCCAGTCACGGCGGGCATGCCGAAGAAGCCAAGGTTCTTCAGACCGCACGCAGCGCCCTTCTTGGTGTCGCAAGTCACCTTGGCCGAAACGGGGAGGGCCTTGGAGAGAGGCTCATCCTGGACGAGCTCGAGCTTCGACTGACCAACGGGCTGCCAGGCGGTCAGCGAGCCAGAGCCCATGGCGTCCGACTTGCCGACGCCAAAGACCGAGTCGTTGGACGACTGGAAGGCGCGGTTGCGGATCATCTCGGCGTACAGGCCACCGTCGCTACCGTAGTTGAGGTTGGACTCAACGAAAGTGTTCATGTCGTACATGCACTTGGCTCCCGCCTTGGACGCCAACTGCACCTTGAGGCTCGAGGCGAAGGGAGCGCCAGTGCCGTCAGTGACCTGGGGCCCCTCGCGAATCTTGAATGGCTTCTCATCACCGATCGGCTTGACGTCGGAAGAGGATGCGGGAACGGTAATGGCACCGTCCCTAGGAATGGTTGCGGCTGTGTTCGAGTCGAGATGGGAACAAAGTCAGCTGTAGCCACGAGTCGCTGCAGCAGATGGAAAAAGGTCGGTACTCACCGTTAGCCGTGACGGCCAGGATCGAGGCCACCGCCGCGAGGGTGAGCTTCATTATCGCGTTGGTACTCGAAAGCTAAGTCTCAGGAGTAGGGGAGGGGTGGAAAGGGTAGGAGTGGGAGCAAAGGGGAAGGATGAGAGATCAGGGAGCGACGGGGAAGATGAGTCTGCTGACGAAAGCTCCCTTCTCTTATACCCTAACCTCCTTCGCTCCCACGCCAGCATTTGCGAGTCGACTATGAGCCTCCCGTGTGGGCGTTATCCTTGGCGGAGCACTTTGTCGTGACGATTAGATCACTCAAGTGCAGCCACCCACCAAATTCGATCTCGCGGAGACTTCATTTACGACATCGTTGGAAGGCACGGCGCGAAGTGGGTTCAGCCTCGGCGGGGACAAGAGTTCATGCGGTGGCGTAAGCGGGATGAAAGATCCGCACTGTGGGCCGCAGCGGCGACGTCCCGCTGTGACCTCCGAATTAGCGCCACCCCTTGCGATGAATCGATGCCGGATTAGGCGTGGCACCATCGCGGCGGCGCTCCAGCTCCACCCTCAACACCATGGAATAGAAGCTTCCAGCAAGAACATTCCCCGACATTGAGAGAACCAAAAAAGTTATGATTCGCAGCAATGAGAGAAGTGTTATCTTCGCACAAAGAAATTGGTGTCGCCGATCTGACTGATGTTGCGGATGTCGGCGGGAGACGCGAGCCTGTCCTCGTCGTGCTCACTGAGGGCCTGATCAAAGTATTTGCCGACACGGATCGGGACGGCGCATCTGCCAGCAACGAAATAGCGCACGCCGAAGCCCTGTGCTGGAGCATGGGCGTGGGCCGCATTGATCCTGACGGCGCGTCGCTCCATTTGCTCTCCGGTGCCGGTAAGAATGTGATGAAAGTTGAGATCCACTGGTTCTGGAGTCTCGAGGAAGGCCACATTTTCACGAATGGTCTCGATGTACTTTGCGGTACCCATACCGAATCCCGGACGATTGAAGGTGGCCGCGGCGAATAGATCTATGAGTTGCGGATTTGCCGAGCCGCCCCTAAAGTCGAAGCTGCTCAGCAGGCGGTCAGCGTTCTCTCTGCTGAGCCTAGCAGCAGAGCGACCGGAAATGTTCTGGAGTACTACCCGAAGGTCGTCTCGAGTAAAATCACCGAAAGGGAACTGGTTATGACAGAAGGCATACTGCAGCACGAGCAGACCGAAGTTAGCTTTGATGTAATCGAGCCAGGTTCGATCGTCTCCAGAGCAAAGTCCGATCCCTTCTTGACCGACAAGGACCTTACTCTCGCCCTCAAACGTTTGACCGACGGCAAGCTTGTCAACCACCGTCGGGTTTTCCATCCATTCGTACCTGCCATCGCTGTGTCTAAAGTAGACATGGTGGACATGCCTGAGAGATGTGGTTGCAGAGCTGCCGATGCCCTCGATCTGTATGCGTGTGACCATCAACAAGGTGACATCGGAGTTGTTGAAGCTGTTGTGGACGGCATGGAGGGTCATTGCAGCAAACGAGATGACGGGAATGTGATCCTTTGAGCGCCTGACTCGGATCAATTCACCCAGCTCACCTTCGTAGCCGGGATTCGCAGGGTGATGAGCTTTCTCAGCATCCTCGACAAGGCGTTGCTGAATCGTTGCTTCCTTCACAGCCTTAGCGGGGACCGGTCTGCGGGCCCGGACCAGAATTCCTTTTCCGAAAGGCGTATCGACCCAGTCATCACCATCGTGGAGGGCAATGCAGTCCGCCAGAATACTGAGCCTGCCCTTATCAGCTGCATCGCTAACCTTGCGCAGATGCTTAAGGACATGCTTGAAGTAAGTCTCGGCCTGATCGGGGATAACATAGTCCTCAGCGCTCATGCGTGCAATGATATCATTGCACTTTGCGATATTGACGACAGCGGTATCCAGGCACGGTCCAAGCAGCTCGCGGGCTTCAATGGACGGCTTGACGAAAGCTTGGTCCTTGAAATGGCAGCCGGCGGTGCCATCCGACACGGCTGCACGGTCGAAATCGGCGGTAACAAGGATTTGCACGGGCAGAAGCTGCCGATACTCAGCGACGGCTTTGACGAGCCAATCGGGATGAGTGGTCTTGGACGGACGGCGAGACGACATCTTGAGCTAGGCGGAACTACGATAACAATGGATGTGTTGTTTGATGGACAAAGAGAAAGCGGAAACCCTGGTACGCTTTCATCTTGTGGGCTTGACCGCCTGTGGGCTGCGCAAGCCTGGTGCAATTTGAGTGGGGACGACATCGACTCTGGCCATGGCGTCAACAGATGAGAGGGACGTGCATGGTGGGGAACTCGAACAGCCGGATAAGACGCCCCACACGCCTCACGCCGCGTGGGTTTTGTTTGTGGGGTCGAGCTCCGGATGAGGCCCCACAAAGTTAACGCCACTACCGTATCACAGTTGTGCATAAAGGGCAGCTGAAACACTTTCATATTCACAAGTGCTGTAAGAAAAGGAGATCTACTGCAAGAAGTTGGTGCGTCGCCAAGCGGCGATCGTAGTGGTGAGATACTCCGGACGATAGGCTGACAGAGGCAGCTCGACAGTCGAGAGCAGCTGTCGCAATTTGACGGTAGCGAGCCTGCCCTGGCTCATTCCACCACGCTCAAGGTCTGCCTGCTGGGAACGGTAATGTTCGAGCAGCTTGATGGTGGGGTTTCGAGTAGGGTTTTGATCCGACTGGGCGAGCCTGTCAACCCACTCTGCGTATGGAACCACCTCGAAGGACTGGCCAAAATTCTGGGGTGCCGCCAGAGTTACCAGCGCCTTCTTCCAGGGCATCGGTTCGTCACTGACCATATGAACGAGCACGCAGTCATCCTTGAGCGCGGCAGACGTCAACTTCGCCGCAACGAGACCTGCCACATCCACTGGCAGCCAATACAGATCTTCGACTCCGTCCGGAAGGCAGCCGATCGTCTGAGCGCTCTTGATCATGAGCGGCGGAGCCTCGCTCTCGTTCCAAATGCCTCGCTCTCGGTCCCCGACCATCTGTCCGATCCGCATGACGACCGATTGAAATCCGCCACCGATGACCTCCTGCGCACTGCGACACAGGTTCTCCACGATCCACTTGGAGTGGGCGTATCCGAGATCGAGTGCATCGTCCAGAGTTTCGCGAATGTCCTCGTCGATAACGGCAGCGGAGCTGTTCAGGGCGACCGAGATCGACGACGAAAAGACGAAGCGCGGCGAGCGAGATCCGGTGGATTGACCAGCCAGATTCATAAGTTGCACCGTGCCCTCGAGGACGCTCTGGAACGAGTCGATCGACATGACAAAGTTGACAGGCCATGCGTTGTGGATGACGCACGTCACGCTGCTGGCAATCGCGTCGTACTCCTCTTGCGACAGACCAAGGAGCGGTCGACTAATGTCCGAAGCCAGTGAGACCACCTGAACGCGGTCGGCCTGGGTAAGCGGTGCCAAGCCTCGAGCATTGAGCGACTCCAGCGTACGCTGCTGGGCTTCCTCGTGGCCACCTGCGCGGTTGAGGCAGATGACCTTGGCGACACCCGGCTTGCTTCGAAGCTGGTCCAGGATGTGCGCACCAAGCGAGCCGGTGACACCGGTCAGAACCACGATTTCGCCTTCGGCTTGAGCGACCGGCTGGGACACAACCCGAGGCTTGAGCTTGGAGCGCAACTCGCTGAGCAGCTCGTACGTCCTGCGCTTCTGCTGCTTCCGCTGATCCTCTTTCGGCATATCCTGGCCTGCAGCGGCACAAGCATGTGCGTACACTGCGTCGGTCAAGCGCCTCGGCGTTGGATGCTGGAACACAATTGTTCCTGGCAGCGGTTTGGCCATGCGCACCGAGCGATGAATCTTGCTACGGATCTGACCGTCCATGATCGAATCGACGCCGAGGCTGGTCAAGTCGACATCTTCTTTGTTCTTCAGGCTGAGGCCGATGAAGCCTTCCAGAATGCTGCGGATCAGCGGCTCGAGCTGCTCTTTGCTCTCGACCGACATCTTGACGTTGTCTGGCGTCGAGAGACCAAGAGCAAAGTCGTTGTAGAGCTGCAGGATCTCCTTGGCAAAGAGCGCGTTGGCGGGAGCTCGCTTGATGCTGCCCTTGTCAGCCACGGGAAAGCGCGCCTCCGCCGGCAGAAATCGGACCATCTCTGGAACCAGGCGAGAGTGCGATGGACACTGCGCATTCACCTCGGCCAAAAGCGGCTCGATCTGCTTCTTGAGTGCTGCCTGACGCTCTTGATCCGAGAGATGCGCATAAGCCGCCCAGGTACTATCGTAGGGGATGATGAGCGCACCGGTGCAAGGCTGTCCAGCCCCAAAGACAAGGCAGTCTCGAACGAGTGGAGAAGAGCGAACGGTCTGCTCCATCGGAACGGGGTTCGTCTTTTCGCCACTTACGTGAACAAGCGTGTCGTCGCCTCGACCGAGGTAGACGTAGCCGTGAATACTGCCGTCATCATTGCGGAGCATGCGGTAGTGATCACCACTGGCGTAGCTGCCGTCCGGGCGGTTGACCTTGGAGAGACCCTTCCAACCTTTGACCACAACCAGCTCGTACGGCCCCTCTTCGTTGGTTCCGACGTTCTCGAACTTGAGGTATGGAGCTACGCGAGAGCTGGGTCGCATCACGTTCCAGCCTTTGTCCGTCTTGAAATCGCGGAGACTGTCCTGCAATTGTCAATGACCAGCAGAGAAGTGCATCAAATGGATTGTCAATAACCACCATGAAAGCAGACAAAGACAACGTGTAAGATGGAAGGAAGGTGCACACCATTACTTGGCCGAACTCGGTGGAACCAAGGAAGGCGATGAGGTTGACGCCTTTGGCGACCAGCATGTCGCCGACCTCGATAGGGCAAGGAGCGCCACTGTAGCAGCAGATGCGAGCATTGCGCAGTGCTTCCAGGCCAGCCTCGTGCTCGCTGAGCATCTTGAAGACAAAGGGCACGGCGTAAATGAGATCCGCGGTGCTGTTGCGGGCGGCCTGGGCAATAAGGTCAGGCTGCGCGGTGCCAGAGTAGATGTAGAGGCGGCGGCGATGCATGAGATGTCTCCAGGAGACGGCGCATCCGAAACCGTGGTAGATGGGAGCCGTGCACAGAGCATCGTACGGCATAAAGTCGGCGATGATGGACATGTAAGTCTCGTGTCTGGTGCGTCAAAGTTTGGAAAGAAGTAAGACAGAGAGCGGTCAATATGGAGTTCTGCCTTGCTGTCGTTCTGCTGACGATCTACTTACGAGTAGGAGTAGGGCTTCGGGAAGCCGGTACTGCCGCTTGAGTGCATGGTGAGCGAGGGCTGCTGAGCCTCTTGTTCGTACGACACATCCGAGCGGAAAGGATCCTTCTGGTTCGTCGCAGGAGGCAGTCGGCCGGCGGCGATCATTTGCTTTACGGAGAAAAGGCCAATCAGGTCGAGATCCTTGAGGCTGTCGTGCTGTGCCTGCTTGAGCTCAGCATTGACCTTGTCTGCCTCCGCTGCCTTGTTAGGGCCGAATACGAGCGTCTGGGAGGCCATTGCCTTGACGAGATGCGCGACGGCCGGGACAGAATTGTTGGGCGAAATGAGCACGACACCGTAGCCAAGACGCATGAGCGCCATCTGCGTGACCAGATGGTCGAAGCTCGACTCTGTGAAGAGCGAGATGTGACGGCAGGGATCGTCCTTGCGTCTGACGGGAATGTACTGGGCGTAGTAGGCAGTGGCTGCACGGATGCAGCTGTCGAGTTGGGCAGCGGTGATGTGCTGCCATTCGAAGGGCTCGGCCGACTTGATGTAAGAGATGCAGATTCCGTCGCCCATCAAGTGGATGAGCGTGTCGATGAGCGCGTTGAGGCTCTCTCGGCCCTTGAACGGGGCCAGGAGGCTCGCACTATCGGTGATGAGTGGAACAGTCATTGGTACGAAGGCTGGACGAAGAAGCTAGTCGTGAGATGTGCTGAAAGCATGCGTCTTGATTGGGGAGTACGCTGTACGGGCCTCTGATTTATATCCAGCAGGTCCAGTGGTTCGTGAGATGGAGCATTTACGGAGCTTGCGCCAGCTGTCCGCTGAACGTGCGAATGTGGAGAATGCAAGTGCCTTGAGCGAGGTTGGTGGCGGGAGGAGCCAAGGAGGAAGCCCACGATACCGACTCTGTTGACCCGGAAAGCAAGTGAAGAGCGGCCCGATGGCGGAACGAGGCTGATGAGGCGTCCGCAGCGGGTGACTCGCATTCGAGTGGCTGCGTTGCGCGAGCCGACGGAGATGCTCGGACGTGCGCGCAAGATGGTTGCAGGGGAGCTGGCTGCCAAGATGCGGCTCGATAGACACAGCCGATCCGATACGCGAGCACCGGCGAAACAAGATCTGCAACAGCGACCGGCCGCCGGCGATCTCATCTACAGCCTGGGGTCATGCGCCACTACCCCACCGACGCTCTTGGTGACAAGCCCCTCTCGCGGCGCGGCACGGCGCGGCACGGCTCGGCTCGGCTAGGCTCGGCTTACACGCCAGGGCTGCAACATACGTTCCCACTCTCACGAGCATTTTGGCTTTGAACTTTGCACGCTTCAGATGCTTTGCCGCCGCTTCGCACATAAAGGGTGGACCCTTGCGACACGGAAAATGGTGAGAGCGGCGTGTGTCTGACACGACAGCACGGAGAGCCCACGAAGCCTGAGCCTGAGCGAGAAGACTGCAGAGCTTGAGACTAAAAGCTAAGTTAGGTTACCCAATACTCATGCAGAGCCTCCTCGTGCCTTTTGTAGCTTGGATGTGTGTTGCAGAGGCTCCTGTGGCTGCTGTGGCGGAGATGGGCATGTCGGAGATGTGATTCCTGCAAGCACGGCGCGACGCACGAGCTTCCGAGAACTTTGAGTCTTGCAGGATTGGGAGCGCGCCATGCAGCAGAGACCCTTCTCTTGCACCTTCCTGCCCTGGCCCGCTGCCCTGGCCCGCCCTGCCCTGAAAAACTCGCCGCGCTGCATCTGCACGTCAGCCATGCCGGGCCAACAAACTCGGAGGGATCTCGGGGATCACGGGCCACTTCTGAGAAGAAAATACACGCGCATGCCAAGCTTCGTGGAGGCCAGATGAAGCGCCGCGAGCACGTTCCCGCGCCTGCAGCACATGAAAGCGATGAAGATGCGGCTGAGGGGCGTTTGAGGAGCCACCGAGTCTTGGCGAGTGGCCAAGGCTTCGGAACAACCGACGGAGGATGGGGGATAGGAGGTGGCGGTGGCAGGCGAGTGTGCCGATGAAAAAGGTTACCGAGCGCATTCGGCGAGTTCCGATCCGTCGCGGCTCATTTCCGAATCACCATCAACCAGCCAGCTGGAGCAGTTGGAGGCTGTGGCGGGCATCAATGGTCATGGGACGCTTTCCGACGGCGGCTCCGATTCGGGTGGTGCTCTTCGACGCCTTTGATACGCTCGTCACGCCGCGGGCCGCTCCTCATCTCCAGTATGCCGCCGTGGCGCGCGAGCACGGCCTCGACGTGGCGGACAGCGACGTAAAGGCTGCCTTCAAGCAGGCCTTTCGCATCACTGCCACCGAGCACCCCAACTACGGCTTGGAGACTGACATCGCATCGCCCGACCATTGGTGGGCGCTCGTGATCCAGCGCACCTTTACCCCCCACCTCCACCCTGCCGTGTCGGAGCAGCAGTACGCGGCAACCATCGATTCGCTCTCCCACCGTCTCGTCACGCGCTTCGGCACCTCGCAGGCTTACCGCCTTTTCGAGGATGTCGTTCCCACGCTGGAGCGCTTAGCCCAGATGCGGGCCCGCGACGACCGGCCCGTCACGCTCATGTTGGCGACCAACAGCGACTCTCGCATCCTTGGCGTGCTCAAGAGCTTTGGTCTCGACCGCTTCCTGAACTTGGATGTCGACGGATCCGCATCTGCTGCGCAATCCTCTGCTGGCCCTGTGTTGTCGTACTTTGAAAAGTGCGCCAAGCCCGATTCGCGTTTCTTCCAGGCTGCCCTGCAGCGAGCTGCAACCCACCGGGACGAGTCCGTTCCGCCCATCAATGCGCTATACGTCGGCGACCAGCTCCATGAGGATTTCTGGGGTGCCACAACGGCAGGACTCCAAGCTGCCTGGCTGCAACGATCCACGGGTGCCGAAAGCAACCAGCCCCACCAGCAAGTGGACCGCGCTCGAGACGACCCACACGACCTCGAATATGCGCATCAAAGAACCATCACCAGCCTTGCTGATGCGGTCGGCATTGTCGAGAGCTCACTCAAAGCCACATAGGCACCGCTGGCTGCATCGAAAGCAGGGCGGCAGCAGAACGCGGAACGACAGACAAAAGTTTCATTCGGCACAGCCGCGTGAAAGGCATGAGCAGAGTACCAGCTCAGGCTCGTGAACTACAAAGACACTTCGGACGCAGCTGCAAGATGGCCACCTGGAGGAGCTCCGTCTAGCCATGGAAGTGCGATAGGTCGCCTACAAGGTTCTTGAGCTTCAGTTCGATTGAACCGTCCGATTTCGCACGCAGGCCCAGGGTTCGGGCGCCGTCCGAGCTGACGAAGCGCACATGACGATTGCGGTCTAGCGCCAGCCTCAGGTGCTTTCGGAAATCCTCGGCATAGTGGCTGCGTGAGGGATCCTGCGAGACGGGTTCGGCTTTGAACACCTCCTTCCATTCGGGCGCCGTTTCGGTCTTGAAGCCTAGGATCTTCTTGGATTTCGCCGAGACGGGAAGGCCGTGCGCGACGGTGGCGACGTGCGGGCCGAATCCTTCGCGGGTCCGGGCAATCTGTTCCATGTGCTCGTGGATGTTTCCCCATCCGCGCGACTGGATAGCTTGTCCGGGCGAGTCGGCCTTGGGAATGATCGTAACGTACCTGCGCGTTTCGGCGTTGAAGATGTGGAACTTGCCGAAGGTCTTGAGCGCCACTTCCATATCGAGCTTCGAGATTCTGGAGGCGTCGTTGGCAAACACGTAGATGGGCGCGCCATCCTTGAAGTACATGTGACCATAGTTGTTCGGGATCGAGCTCGGGATCATCGGTCTGTCGACACCTCCGTTCGGCTGGAACATGCCGGAATACACTTCACCGAACGTCAGCTTGGGCCCAGGAACGCCGCTGGACGACGCAATCATGCGTCTTTCCATCTGCGAGACCTTGGGCACGGGCGACGCCTGCGTGCACATAAAGAGCGCCATAATGGCCACCAGGGCTCTAAGCGCGTGTGTCCAAGCGACCATGATTGCAGCGGTGTTGTCGGCGCTCGGTATTAGGACGTACGAATGAACGAGGAACTCTGAAAGTGGGCCGTCGGAAGCCTGCTTTTATGTTGTCTTGCGTGGGCTTCATCCTTGCGGGATCGCGACTGCAATCTTTGGTGCCACCGCACATCAGAATCCATGACAATGGGTTCGCGACTTCATCTACTTCATGTGGCGCCGTTTCATTTCAAGATGGTGGCATCGAGCCGACTGTGGCATCAGAGATTGTGTCTCGAACAATGCATCTTTTCTGTGCAAGGTGGGATCTATGGTGGGAACCATGAATTGCTGCGGTCACGATTACGAGGCTAGTGTACAATATACAAAGGCAGATGCAAGAAAATGAAGAAAGAGCAAGGCGAATCTGACCAGACGCAGTCCGCTCAGTAGGGAGTGGAATGGAGGCCTCTTGACTGGTAGTCGTAGGATATCGAGTTGGAATCTCCGTAGTAGTCGCCATTGAGGCTGAAGGCGAGATCGGGGTCGACATCGGCCCAGTCCGGCACCACCCTGCGCATGCGAACGTTGTGTAGGCTTTCGGCCGATTGCACGGCCGTGGGTGAGAAGGTGGATGAAACCTTGGCCTCGACGGGCGAAGGTATTGTGAGCTTCTCGTCCAGTGGCGAGGCGGCCACGATGCTATCTCCAGCAGAAGCGCCGCTTTCCAGAATCGAGTCGCTGCCACGCGCATGACTGTCAGTGGGCGCGCCCGCACTTGCTTGTGACGCTACCAGCCCGGCAGTGGCCTGCTCCAAGCTCGTATCCACGCGGTAGTGGTCCTGCGAATTGGTGCCAAACGTATGCGCCAGCGCCAGCTCGCGTCCAATCGCCTTCCACAGGTTGATGAAGAGGCGACACGACAAGATGCTCGACAAGCCAATGTACAGGTTGAGGTAGGGCATCATGCGACCGTCGTGCTGCTGGCAGATGTACCAGATCGGAATCGGGATGACGCACAAGAAGACGATGGCATAGTAGAAGATGTTGTCCTTGCGGAACATCTTTTCCAGAGGCGAGAATCGTCGGCGGTGCGAGGCACGACGCAGACCGATGAGCGACATGACGAGGATGGTCGAGTCAAAGATGGGCAGGAAGAACCACGGCATCATGTAGAGGATGGGATTGGTGTGGCTATGCAATCTGGGCGGGCTAGGATCGCAGGCGCTCAGACCGTTTCGTTTGCTCCTGCTGGTGAGCACGACCATGTCCACGATGAGGAAGGCGGGTGTTGCGAGCCACAAGAGGCCGAGCGTGACGACGGCAACGATGTGGAAGCGGTACAGCGCCAGGCATCGAAGGAGCAGGATGCCCGTGCTGCCGCCGATCGAGATGAGCGAGAAAAAGATGTTGGCGCGACGGTCGGCCTCGCAGGCAAAGTTGGCGTAGTTCCAGCGCGCAGCACCGAGCTCCATGGGACCTCCTGCAATGTTGCCGACGATGGCGTGTAGGACTGCAGTGATCGAGTATCCCAGCCCGCCGATGCGCGACGCAAAGTAGGCGATGTGCGAGAGCTTCCACTTCCTCCGCTTAGAGAGCAGCTTCCACTCCCAGGGAAGATGGATGGACCAATCAGAGACGACCATGCCGAGCGCCATGGAAGCGGTGATCAAGCTTGGCAGGATTGAGTTGACGCGACGTGCCGAGATGACGATGAGGTCCTCTGGCGAGCCGAAGCGGTGAGCGTGGGACGAGTTGGCGATGGATGGCAGAGGTGGGCCGGTGTAATTGAAAGGCAGCATGGTGGGGAAGGCCGGGATGGCCGTGACGGTCATAGGAATGCCGGCCATCTTGACGAATGCGACAGGGTTGTTGCGCCGTCACGAGCGTAGCTGTGGTGTAAGTTTGACAGCGTGGGTCCAAGGTGCCGCAGAGTTGAGCCCGTTGCAGGGCAGAGCGAAGCTACGCGGCTCCGCTGCTCGAGAGCGCTGCACACGACTGGTCGTGATGTGCTTGATTGGCGCAACGAACGATTGACGAGAAAGTCGGAGAGATGGTGTAAGGGAACCTGTCCAGCAGCGTAGTATCAACGGCTGCATGCACTGCACGGCCAAGCGAGAGGTGCAAACGCCAAGGCGCAGAAGCAACTCGACCGCGGCCCGCTCCTCGCCGAGACAGCAGCCGCTCCTCTCACATTCAATCGAGTCTCCACAGCGCAGTGGCGACTGAGATTCTCCAGATTCGAAAATTGCCTCGACTTTAGCCGGCAGGAGCTGCACGCAACTCGAGTTTCAGCTCTTTTTTGGTGAGGCTCAGTGAGCGGGAAGCCGGCCGACAGGAGGAGAGCTAGCCGCCAAGCCTAGTGGAGGAGGCTTGCAGAAACAACACGCTGCCAGCAGCGCACACCGTGCTGCCTCCACTGCACACTTTCCTCTTTTGGCATCGCACCTTATCCACTCCCACCATCCGACTGCATCACGAACTGCGCAACCTACTTAGATCGCTCCTGCTCTGGTGTGAGGGCTACAGATGACTAGCCACTCCCGCTGAGCTGCTGCACCTCGCCAGCCATGACAACAGCTCAAGCACGGTCCGACACCGACGATCGCACCAACTCGGTCCTGTCCACGTCCTCGCACACGCACGTCGACTGCCCCGATGTCTCTCAGCAGTCACCTCGATCCAAGATGACCGCCTGGTCCGCCAAGCAACCAGAGGATCATGAGCTCAACGCCGGTCAACCGGCGCAGGCCGAGGATGTTGCGCAAAGAGCATTAGCCATCGACACCCAGGGGCAGCGTGGTCCCACAGCGTCGACCGAGCGAACGCAGGCTGGCTCAGCACGTCCACCACCACCCGCATGCATGCAGAGCTGCATCTCCAGCATCGAGGCATGCACCCAGGACATCGCGCGCTTCAACGAGCGCGTCGAGCAGAACAGAGTAGACGCAGAGGCGCAGAGGCGCGAATCAGGAGACCCGGTCGTGGCACGCAAGGCCATCATCCCGCTCGTCTTTGTCATTCTGTCTTGGGTCTTTCTCGTCTTTGTGTGGAGGCTTTGCAGTCGCATGATCCAGCAGACGCCTCAAGGCGTCGTCCTCGGTACACGGACCGAAGGGATCGGCCTACTCGTTGGCTTTGTCGTTCTGTGGCTCATGACCATGTGGTCCTACGTGACCGTCATCTCCAAAGGTCCGGGTCACGTCAAGGACTATGTGCCAGAATCCGCACCTCCACTTCCAGGACCACATGATGCGACGCCATGGAATCAAGAAGCTGCACCCCAACACGGGCATCAGCAGCGACACCTCACGCAGCCCTTGCCGATACCCACACAGCATGCAGGGGGTCATTCGAACATTCCAGCCTCCGAGAGCTCGTTTTCGCAGTCATACGGGGTGCCATCCTCCAACTCGCTGCCGTACCCCTCATTCAACGCCGATCTGGAGAGATTCGGCGGCAACCGTGCATCTTCGGACAGCATGCGCGTGCTGCCCGGCTCGGTCGAGCCCAAGCATGACATGACGGCTGCCGATCTTTCGCATTCACGTAACTTTTCCCAGCGCACCATCGCTGAGGAGGAAGAAGGTGCGGCTGACACGTCAGCTGTCGACGTCGAGGCACAGCTCCGCAGCGAACCCGCACCCGCATCGGAGGGCTGCGATGTTGCTTCCCACGTCGACCCGCAGCTCCCTGGCATCCTCGGGCCTCTTGCCGCAGCAACCATTGCAGAAGGCGATGCGATGCAAGAGGCGACGGATGAGCTGGACCGAACAGGGGGCACTGTCAACCATGGTACCCACACGGGACCTGCAGCAGAAGCTTCCGCCGCGCCACCTGGATCATTAGGATGGGTAGCGCCGCAGAGACGACCACCGAACGATCCGCCACCGCTGTCTGCCGCAGCGCAGTATTGCCATCGCTGCAAGCGCGTCAAACCGCCGCGCGCACACCACTGTCGACGCTGCGGCACCTGCGTGCTCAAGATGGACCACCACTGTCCGTGGGTGGGCGGCTGCGTGGGCGCGCACAACCAGCGCTTCTTCTTCATCTTCGTGCTGTGGGTCACGCTCCTTGAAGTATACACGCTCGCGACGACGGCGGTCTACTTCCATCGAGGCGTGCGCGCGCTCTCGTCCAGCTCAGCATGGCGAGTGGATGGATTCCTCGTCTCGCTGTTCCCCATCTGCGCGGTGTTCCTCATCTTCACGGGCGCGCTGCTGGGTACACACGTGTTCCTGATGGCGCACAACATGACCACGATCGAGCATGTCGGCGTGAACCGCATGCAGGGCCGCGAGCGTGTGCTTGCCGACAGATGGTTCGGCATGCAGGCGAACCGCTCCGCCAAGAAGCAGGGGCTCGGCGCAGGTCTCAAAGCCAAGAGGCAGATGATTCGAGATTGGGACAGGGAGTGGGGCAAGCTCACAAAGGAGGGCAACAGGTGGTGGCTCGGCAGCTCCAGCGAGGCGGAGGCGCAAGAGGAGAGCGCTGCGCAAGACGTCCAGACAGGCGCGCAGCAGGGCGATGGCGGCTCGATCCATGCTGCGCACGAAAAGCAGGCTGCGGAAGGAAAGCACACTGGCAAGCAGCGTACTCACGGCGCGTTCCGAACCAACACCGCACAGGCGCTGGGCGGCTCGATGTGGATGTGGTTCCTGCCCATCGGCACGCATCCGAACGACGGACTGCACTTCCCAATGAATCCGAGATTTGGCCCACAGGGCGTCTGGCGAAAACGTTCAGAATGGCCCGAGCATCTGCAGTGATCCTTGCTTCTCACCTACTATACGACATGACGAAGTTTATGCATGGAGACGAACCCTTCAATATACCCTTTTTTTGACGACAGAGATGACAAGACATCACTTCTGTGTGCGTGTGCGAGAGGACAAATACGGCCGATCACACCAATTTCGCGCAATGCTGTTCGGGGAAATGAATAACAGGACAAGGGTATACGGGAGGGCCATGAATCATCGCATGGTTTCTGGCAACGACAGGCCTACAGCGAGGTTCTTGGGGCCAAAGTACTTTGCGTAGCAGATCCTGCACCACACATTAGCGCCTCCCTGTGGAGCAGCAGGATTCTTCTCTGCCGGCCCTTCTTCGAGCTTGCCGGACTCCAAGGTGGTGTTGCAGCCGTCGCATCTCAAACATGCTCTGTGCCACTTTCTGCCTGCTGCAGCCTTTTGTTCTGCAAAGTACACTGGTCGTGCACACCTGGCGCACAGTGGCGTGCCTCCACTCGCATCGACAATGCTCGAACTCAACCCGATGCGGTCGATGCCACTCTTCCGTCGCGATCCAACCAGGTCCTCGGACGAACCCGAGCCCGAGGCTGGGTTCGTGATGGTGCGCGGCGGCGCGATCTTGGCCGTGCCCGACGCACCCGTGAGTGTCTTGGGATCCGGACGGCGAGGCGGAGGCAGCTGGCCGAGCGCAGCAAGCGGTGGCTGCGAGTTGACCTTGGCAGGCGGAGTGGGAGAGCCAGTACCGCCAAACCGGATCGAGCCGATGGTGTCCGTGGCCGCAACTCGGCGCGTTTGGATGGTGATGGGTGTGCCGTCTTCGGCATACGAGGTCTCTTCGGTGTACTGCGACTTGGACGCCGATGCAGGCTGTGCCACGCGCGTCGACGGCGGAGATGGCGTTGCGTAGTAGTCGACCGAGGGGATCGTGTGGCCCGTAACAGACTGTGCGGGCGCGGGATCGTGTTCCACGTGGTCGTTGGCAGCAGATCGGCTCGAGGGCGTTCCGATGCTCATCCCGCCCACGGCGGCCTGCAGTCGGGCTACAGGATCGTTGAGCGACGAAGCGTCGGAAGCGATGGCCTCGTCGATCGACCGGATCGGCGTCGAGTAGCTGTCCGCGCCGTTGTTCGCCGCCCTTTGCGACGCGTACGCCAAAGGCGACATCGGCTTGGTGGGCGAGCTGGACGACGCGACTTGGCTCGGCGTGCCAAAGCCGCGCGGACGGATCGAGATGCCCGGGACCTGCTCCTCACTCCCGACCAGCGATGCACCGGGAGTGAATTTGGTCGGGCTTGGTGAGCGTCTGGCCGCATCCGCCGTGCCTCTGCTCAGCATCGTCTCGGGGGTGCTGTACTGCTGCTGCGCAAGAGCTGCGCCTGCCTTGGACGGCGTGGCGAGCGGGCTACGTGGCGTGCCGGTGAGGTTGGTTGCAGGCGAGCGTGGCGACTTGGGCGAGGTGGGGTTGAGTGAGACCGCCTTGCCAAAGCCGCCTTTACCCGTGCCCAGGTGCTCCTTGTGGCAGTTCTTGCAGTACGGCTCGCCGTCGTGCTCGACAAGCAGCGTCGAGTCGAGCCGCTTGTTGCACACGACACACGTGAGGCACGTCTTGTGGTACGGTTTGGAGGCAGGACCGATCACCTGCTCGGCCAGGAATACCGATGTGTTGCATCGCGCGCACTTGGGCGCCGCCGGCACAGCGAAGCGTGGCATGGTCTGTGCGATACTTGCGGATGTCGTGTGAACCTAACGATGCTGGCTGTAGGACGGAAGCGTCGTGGCAAACAGCGAGGAAATAGAGGGCAAACGAGATGGTGGCTGAGGGAGAAGAGGCGCGTCGAGGAATGTGTTGGTGTTGGTCGCCGTGTCGAAAGGCTAGGCTTCCAAACCCACCCAGGAGCGCAGCGTGAGCGTGTGGCTGCTGTGGAGGTCGCGTGTGATGTTGATGTGTCGAAGCGGCAAGAGATGGCGCAGTGCGGCTGTGCTACCGTGGCCATGCGGCGGTCCACGGCGTGCATGCAGCGCCGCATGCAACCTCCAAATATAGCTTGGCGACGCGTCTCGCCCTTTTTTTTTGGCACTCCCGCAAGCCATGGCGGCCTAACAGTTTCAACTTTCCAATTTGCCACCCTCAACGCTTGGCTATCGCACCGTCCATTGTTCAGCACAGACACTAGAGACAAGCTTCGTACAAGGCGAAAGACGTTTCCGTTAGATTGATCAATCAGCGAGCAAATTACCACCAGTACCTGTGTGTCGAGCAGTGGTAGCCGTTGGGGTTGTTGATGAGGTACTGCTGGTGGTAGTCGTCGGCGGGGAAGAAGTCCTCCTTCTTGCGGATCTCGAGCTGCGTCACGATCTTCTTGCCCTTGGGATCAAAGTGCTTCTTCTGCACCTCCTCCGTCACCTTCTTGGCGATGTCGAGCTGGTTCTGGTCGTGCGCAAACACGGCCGAGCGGTACTGTGTACCGCGGTCGTTGCCCTGCTGGTTGAGCTGCGTAGGGTCGTGTGTGCGGTAGAAGAACTCGATGAGCTCGGCGTACGACACCTTGGACGGGTCGTACTGGATCTGCGTTGCTTCGGCGTGGCCAGTACGACCGGTGCACACCTCCTCGTACGAAGGGTTCTTGCTCGACTCATGGCCGCCGATGAAGCCGACCTTGGCGTCCAGCAGGCCCTTGCCGTTGCCGTAGGCCTTGCGGTAGATGTCCTCGGTGCCCCAGAAGCAGCCCGAGGCGACAGTGGCGGTCTCCTGTGCAGACATGGCGGCGTTGCTACTCTTGAGCGCTTCCTGAGCGGCGAGAGCGGTGGGCGTAGTGGGGGGTCCGAGGTGTTGGATCAGAGGCTGCGACGACTTGGTGAAGAGCGAGAAGAATCTGCTCATGAGCGAGAATGCGAGGAAGGAGATGCAGCAGTAGACGGCGGAAAGAAGTAGTCGACGCACGCTGGGCAGTGGTCGAGGAAGAGTATCGATGGTGGAGTGCAGTGAAGGCGTCCCGTTCAACCACACTTGCTTATGTTCACTCGTTTTGGCTCAGCTCTTCTCCACGTTTTCCTGCATCCACTGCACGGACGACATGCAGACCGGGATGACGTGATCTTCTAAGAGCCGTGTGGGAGGGCCCAAAAAATCAAAAAAGGATAGCCGAAATCGGGATGGAAACGCCCGATGTGCCCTGTCAGTTGCGATCCGTGTTGGCACATGCACGCACGGACTCGAATTGGCCGAACCCTGTCTGCGTTCCGTCCTCCTTCCGCACGTCCTTCAGCTTCGATTCAAGGAGCAGATGAGCCGGCTCATCTCATAGGCCACCAGGGTACGACTAGCAGCGCGCCATGTCGTACACAGGTCATCAGAGCAGGACCTCGTCCTCGTCGAATCTCAACTCACGGCCGTACGCGTCAAGCAGCAGCCATGTGGGAGCTGCCAATGATGACACCGAGCTAGCCTTTGCTGAGCTCCAGATGCTCTCGCAGAATCAGCGCAAACTGGCCACGCTCACCAGCAGGATGACCACCATCCTGTCCGGCTTCGACAAGCGGCTCATCAAGCTTGAGGGCAGCATCCTGCCCATCCACAAAGGCACTCAGAAGCTCGCCCGCATGTCGGACAACATCGACCTCACTCTCGCTGCGCTCAACAAGACGCTCGGCCACTACGATGTCGTGATCGACGAGCAGCCGCTGCTCAAGCAGGGGCCTGACGTGCGAGATACACGTCCCTACATGGACACCATCGACCGCGTTATCAAGGGGCTACAGTACCTGCAGAAGTCGGACCTCAAGAGCCAGGAAGGCGTCATGAAGCGCATGAACGACCTCGTCGAATTGGGCGCCCGCAACCTCACCAACGTCATCTCCGAGTGGGTGCATGCAGACTCGGAGGTAATCGACCTCTCCGAGTACAGTCCGCGCAACGCACGCTATCCCGTGCTCTCCGAGGCCACCCATAACGCGATCGTGCCCATCTTCAACTACCTCTCGACACTACCGCGGCACCCTCGAACTGGCTACTCGCCCCTGTCCGCCGGCTTTGCAACCTACGCAACTGTGAGGGGCAACTATCTCACCCACTGCCTCACTCCCCTCGCCTCCAAGCTCCAGCAGTACGCGCTCGAAAGGATCGGCACAGGCGCTAGCGGTGCGGGCATGGTTATGGTCGCGCACGAGGACGATGAAGACCACACCACAGGTTATCGACGGGGAGAGGCAGGCGCCGTCGAGATGTTCGAGGCGTACTACAGCATGCTGGACAACGAATACCGCATCTTGCAAGGCCTGGTGTCGTCCGCCGAGCTGCACAAGGAAACGCTTCTCCTTGCATCTGCATTCTCACAGCTGGTCTCCGCCTCTTTATCCGCACTGATAGAGTCTCTCGGCACCGTTCATTCGCACGTGCGGCGCCATCTGGCCACGCATACCTCGTTCCTCCTCGACCTCATCTCGGCACTTTCTGCCGTTATCCTGAGTGGCAGGTGGGACGTCCTAATCCGCTCCATGGAGGACTCGCCCGAGGCTCCGCTGAGCAGCAGCTGTCCGATCGACAAAGCCGATCTAGACTTAAATGCAGGCTTTGCGCCCGCCGCCGAGCTGCTCGAGATCTTCAGCAAGCTCAAGAACGTCGCGATCGGTATCTTTCCGCGCTTCATCGAGGACGTCAAGGCCATTCCGCCGCGCAAAGCCGCCGAGGTGCCCAGTACATCGGTCAACGAGATTACCTATCTTGGGCTGCAGTTCATGCGGCAAGTCACCGAGTACAGTGACGTCGTATCGCCGCTCCTTCAGACGCTGGGCAACGGCAACTGGATGATGGCGAGCGGCGTCGCGCCGGTGCTCTCACTCGGCCTGGACAGCGACCCAAGCAGCCAAAGCATTGTAGGCGACTACCTCAACGATGTCTTGGCAGTCATCCTTACCTCGCTCGAAGCGCGTTCTCGCGCCATCCGTCAGCCGTCGACGGCATCCGTCTTCCTTCTCAACAACATCGGACATCTGCGACGAACGCTCATGGCCCCGCTGCCCAACTACCTCGGCGCGGCCGAGGACGGAGGAAGCGCTTCGATCGTCTCGCTGCACCTGGGTGAGATGGGCGACGATCTGCTCGGCACGGCACTGCGTCAGGCGAACACGGCGTACCTCGATGCATGGTCGCCTGTCGTCGCGCCCCTTATGGAGGACCAGCCTCTGAATGCGAATGCACACTACCATCGGCACGCCACGTCGAAGCTCATCGGCGTCGGCTCGGGGTCCGAGAAGAACCAGGTCAAGGATCGCTTTGCGCGATTCTACGAGGCGCTCGACGACTTGGAGCGACTGCACCGCGCATATCCGGTCAGCAGAGAGGATCACGAGCTCAAGGACCGCCTGCGCAGAGACGTCATTCGACTCGTTGTTCCCATGTACGCCCGCTTCCTCGGCAAGCACAAGGCCGGCGACTTTACCAAGAACCCAAGCAAGCACATCCGCATGTCGGAGCAGGAGGTCGAGGACAAGATCGCCAGCCTCTTCCGCTAACGTTCCAGCTGCGAGTGATCAGACGTGCGAGACACATTGTATTTATACCCTTTGCATTGAATTTGAACCCTGGACATCATCTAGAAAGCGTGACATAGAATCGCGGAACATTTGCAAATGGGGAGAGGGGACCTGGCTAGTGGAAGTCGACGAGACCGGCGTGGAGGTTGAGCGAGCTGAGCCAGGAGGGAGCGATCGTCTTGCCGTAGAGGACCGAAAGACCCTGGGCGATGTTCTTGAAGTAGGGCGCGCTGACATCGTCTCCCTGCTGCGTGTAGCTTCCGTAGCCGTCGACGGCCGGACCGGCTACCCAGCTTCCCAGCGCGGTCAGGAAGCTCCTGGGCAAGCCGCTGCCCACAAGCACCTGGTTGACCGCCGACCAAGCCTTTCTGTCGTTCGCACCGCTTCGGGCAGCATTGCTCGCGGCGTACACCTGCGGCCACGTGTAAGGGTCTTGACTGGATGTCCTTGCGAGATTGCTCTGGATCCACGTCGCCACATGTACGTTCACCCATGGCCGGAACAGATCCTCGTTCTTGAGCGTTTTGATCTGCAGCGTCTTGCCCGTGTCCCAATCCAGCAGTGCTCCCGCCCCGAAAGTCGTCGGAGTAGTCGTAACATTGTAGGCCTGATTCCACGAGTACGTGTTCTTGGTCACGGTAGCATGCTGCTGAAAGAGCTTCAACTCGCCCGATCCGAGTGGGGAGACCTGCATCAGACCCCAACTCGAGCCCGAATCAAGCCGACCACCAGAGACATTGTTGGTGTCAAAGTCGGACTCGGCCTTGATGTCGGCCATGATAATGCGCGCCGCATCCTGCGTCGAGAGCTCGGGGAAGTATCGTGCGGCGGCCGACATGATGGCTGCCACCGTCTCGTCCAAAAGCGCAGGTGTATTGAGCTGGTTCAGGTCACCAGCCCACGCGCGAATGACGCGCAGGTCGTGGCGCACCTGAGCAGGGCCATATCCCGCCACGTTGGAAAGCAGCGTGATGTTGGAGCGGCCCGCCTGGATCACAAACTCGTGCACCGTCTTCTCGGCTCCACCCACCGATGCATCGTTATGTTCCGTGATCGGCACGGTCTGCATCGGAGCGGTCGAGTTGAGCGAGGCCGTGCTGTTGCCTGGGTATGCCTCGGCGAGATGCGAGAGTATGGTCTCGGTGCGCGATGCATTGGCCACCACGTTAGTCTGATTGTTGAGAATCAGCGCGACCTGGCGAGCCTTGCGACCCGTGATGCCGTGGAAGGTCTTGACCAGGTCGTCGACACGGTTAATCAGATTGTGCGGCGCTACTTGCGAACCATTGTTCAGCAGCCTCTGTGAAGCCGCAGTCGGGGACGCAGGTGCCACCGTCGGGAAGACAGTGTTTTGCTGTGACACCGATGTCGCCGTGCTGGACGAAGCTGAGGACGAGTTCTTCTTGCCGACGGATGCTGACGCCCCAGTGGCGGCCGGGGCCGAAGCGCCTGAGACGCGTGCGGAAGTGTGCTTCTTCGAGCACTGAGATTTCGCGGGCTTGGACGTGGATTTGGTTGTTTCGGCGGTGCTTTTGGCGCTGGTTGGGGTAGGAGTGGTTGTCGGAACAGCAGTCATGGACACGACTGGAGCAGAAACGGTAGCGCCGTTGTTGCCAAAGTAGAGAGTGTACGTGGACATGACCGGCAGCGGGGAAGGTCCGTCAAGCGCGCTATTCTGCAGAGGAGACACTTTCAGAGGCGCTATTCGTGGGAGCACTGCCCCCTCGGCACCTTGAGTTGACAAGCTTCCGAAGACCACCACGAGGAAAAGACACATCGCAGCCCACCGCGGACCGTGTGCCGCGCCTGCGGAGCGTTCGAGTCGCTGCATCGTCTCCTGAAGCCTTGCTTTGATTTGAATAGTGTGCTGTTTGAGAGGAAAGATTGTGAAAGTATCAATGCTTAAAATGAGAGTGGATGAAAAGGAGTGTACTCACAGGGTTTGTTCCAAGATCGTGTGCGAATCGAATGATGGGCTCGTGTGTCAAACACGATGCCAAAAGGAGCCAGTCCTTGAACGTTATGCGATAGCAACCTTGTACTTCTAATACCAACTCGACCAGCGAGATGGGCTGTCTCTTGAGCCTGAGCAGGAACGAGAGCGAGCTTCTACCGGCGTGCTCGTGGTGGGATGGTGGTGTCTGAATCAGCACAGGAGACTCGCGGCTACGCTTCACGCCCAATCTTATACGTGTCTGCCGCAACGACTCAAGCCGAAAGCTTTCCTGATCAGGCAACTCGAAGCGAGCCTACGGTCTCGAGCTGCCGAGGAACTTACTTCAACCGCAGGATGTCCGGGGAGCGGTTCGCCGACCAAGGCACAGTCATATCACGCCGGTGGTTCGTAGTCGCTCAGGTCTTACGGTGGAAGTTGGATGCACTTCAGGCCATGTGCAGATCCACAGGATGTTCCTGCATCGGTATCGTGGAACTAGCCGAGAAGATGCTTCAATGGCCGCCTCGAGCGCCACTCGGCCTCAGGTCGAACTGATGGGTCATATCATCGCGATTCTTGACAGCCGGAGCAAGTTTTTAAAGCTGCGAAGGAAAAGAAATAAAAAAAATCAAACAGAAAAGGTGTCAAAAAATCGCGTCTGAAATTGGAGCTCGGCTACTCGCGGATGAGTGCCGCGGGGGCGGAAGAAAGTTGAACAGGAAAGGCTCACGGAATTGACGGAGCGACACAACGCACAAGTGGAGAGCAACGCAAGCCTGTAGCTCCGAGGTGGAAGAATTGAGCTGGTTTGCCGCCCAGTCCGAGCCAACGGACCTTGTCCGCTCCGAGGCGAGGGTCCATACTTTGATCCATTCGAGGAGTGGGCCCACACCGGAAGGAATAGGAAAGACTCGGAGCAGCACCCTTGACTCTTTCCTTCGCCCCACATCCATCCCTGCGCACAAAAGCCGATCCAACTGGCACCAGCACTCTTCTCGCGCACGCCACAACCCTTTTGGAGCACACGAAAGATATTCGCTACTTGCGACCATACATCACCTAGCCGGCGAACCGACAACCTTCCTGTATACACACGATGGCGTTCCGAAGCAGTCTGGCTGCACGACAGGGCCTGCAGAGCCTTCTGCAGAAGCGGGCGGACGATGTGGTCTTCACCACTGCGCTGCGCACGCCGATCGCACGCATGAAGAAGGGCTTCAAGGACGCATACCCGGAGGAGCTGCTTGCACACGTGCTGCAGCGCACACGCGAGAGGCTCGAGGCGCGCGGCGTGGACAAGAGCATCATCGAGGACGTCTGCACCGGTACCGTGCTCATGGAGCTCGGCGGTGCCAAGTCGGGCCGCATGGCTGCGCTTCACGCCGGTATGCCCATCACGTCGGCATACAAGACGGTCAACCGACAGTGCGCGAGCTCGCTGCAAAGCATCACCGATATTGCCAATGCGATTCGCGCAGGCGAGATCCAGTGCGGTATTGCGGCGGGTGTCGAGTCGATGACGCGCAACTATGGTTCGCGAGCCATCCCGGTTGACCTGAGCCCGTGGCTGAAGGAGTCGGACTCGGTGGACGCGCGCGACTGCATCCTGCCCATGGGCGAGACCTCGGAGCGTGTGGCAGACAAATGGAACATCAGCCGCGAACGACAGGACCAGTTCGCCGCCGACTCGCACCGCAAGGCCGAGGCGGCGCAACAGGATGGCCGCCTCGCGTCCGAGATCGAGCCGATCGAGGTGCGATGGATCGACCCCGAGACGGGCAAGGAGGGCAGGAAGCTGGTTAGCAAGGACGAGGGTATCCGACCAGGCACCACCGCCGAGTCGCTCGGCAAGCTCAAGCCCGTCTTCCGCGCCGACGGCAAGAGCACTGCGGGCAACTCGTCGCAGGTGAGCGACGGTGCCGTTGCGCTCACTATGGCGAGGCGAGATGTTGCCGAGGCAGCAGGCATGGAGATCCTCGGCCGATGGGTGGGCACGGCAACCAAGGGCGTCAAGCCCGACGTGATGGGCATTGGCCCCGCCGAGGCAGTGCCCAAGCTGCTCGAACGCTTCCAGCTCAAGACGGACGACATTGACCTGTGGGAGCTCAACGAGGCGTTTGCATCGCAGTCGCTCATGGTCATGGACACGCTCAAGCTCGACGCGGCCAAGGTGAACCCCAAGGGTGGCGCGATTGCGCTGGGACACCCGCTGGGCGCGTCCGGTGGACGACTGGTGACGAGCTTGCTCGCCGAGCTGCGCAGGACAGGCCAGCAGGTGGGTGTGGCAACTCTCTGCTGCGGTACGGGCTACGGCAAGGCTTCGCTCATCGTCGCCGAGTAGAACAGCTCGTTGTTCTTCCAGCTGGCTCCTGTCGGCCTCTTCATCGGGGCTTTGTACATACGATGGATCGACGATCCAAGCACCCAAAATGCGACTTAACACAATTTTGTTGCGCGTTCCGGCCTCCGGTTCCGATGTGTGGCCGAGGGGCGGTGGTCGACTTTGGCAACACTTCCAAGCTCTTGCGGTAATCTTCCGATGCTTCTTGGCGCATTGAGTCTGACCATGGAGTGACTGTGGTCATATGCAACACACGTCATGTTCCTGAGCGGGCATGCCATCTCGTTGCTGAGCCGGCTGAGTCCGGTGGAGCTCGGCAGCGGAGCTCTGCTGCTCAACACATGGCACGGATGGTGCAGGACTCCGAGGATCCGTGCCTGGGTGTGCACGAAGAAGTGAAGGTATGCGGTATGCGTATGATATTGTGTCATTTGAGGGGAGCGGACGGGGAGAGTAGATGCTATCACAGGGGAAGAAGGTAGGGTCGTGATATCGGCCCCGTCCACCAGGACAAGCCGTGGCGGCCTGTGCGGGTGCTGCAGGGTCACGGAGGACCGGGAGGGGGAGACGCACGAAGCCATCGAGCTGATAGGCGCATTCAGGGCGGCGGCATGACAGGAGATGGAGGAGTGGGGAAGTTTCGGAGATGGCCGAGGCACTGTGGGGCCGGGCAATCACAAGCGGCCAAGATAGCGCGGCAGGGTGGCGCGGGGGTAACGCAACACCCGGAAGTTGTTATCGCGTCTCTTTCGATTGCGGAGAGGTTGCAGAAGTGTGGGGCGCCATGTGGAAAGCGTCGAACGGCGTGAACAAAGCCATGCTGGATTGGTATCGAGACCGTGCAGTGCTGCACGACGATCGCCAGGTGGTGGTGCAGCCGAGACGGCGTCGTCTTCCGAGCAGCCGAGCGTTCAAGAGCGATTTTTTTGGCGGGTGAGACTTGTTAGATCTGTCTCTGGAAGCTCGGAAGGCAGACCACGAGTCGGGGTTTTGCCCCGCCTGCTGCAGGTCATCCCCGCTCCCGAACGCTGGCGAGCGGTCTCTCCCTTGTCCCCACAGCCCCCGCTCGCTTTGCAATGAGCCAACTCGGGCGAGATCTGCTCAATCTGGAGCGTGAGAAGATGAAGGACGATGCCAAGCGTGCTGGCGTGCGAAAGTCCCGGCCGTATGTTTTCTCAGGCCGGCGCTCGTACTTCCAGCGCCTGCGCTGTTCTGGAAGACCGAAGAGGACTTCGCCTTGCTTCCGACAACTCCACCGTGCCTGATTGGATGCGTTGATTGTCTCGAACGACGACCAACTGGTTCGGACGAGGCGGGGCCAAAGGCTTAGGCATGGTTGGAGCCGGGCGGAGCAGAAGGAACGGAAATTCAGGGTCGCTGCATGCATGAAAGCGCGAAATTTTTTCTGCAGCCTCTGTTTTTTCGGTGGGTCAAGATGAGCTGGCCCACTCCGCGTGACCTTGGTGTGCGCGCCTCTACCGACCATCCGTTGCAATGTTCTCCCAGCATCTCACTCGGCTTTGACCGAACACCATGTCCTGACGCCCCCCTGTCATATTCCGACCCGGCTTGCATCGAGCTCATGATAGACATGATTGACGGGAGCGTCAGGGGCTCCCGTGATGAAGCGCGCGATAGCTCGCGTCTTTTGACCCACCACAAATTGCAGATGCATATTCTTCCGACCCCGGAGAGAAAAGAAATCTTGTCACACGCCTGAGTTTGAAATGAGAAAAAAAAAGACTTGAAAAATCCGCCGTTACGGCCGACGCGGCTGACTGGCCGAGCGTTATCGGTGTGCGCGCAATGCGGCGGAAGGACGCGTCGAGCAGGATCTTCGCTTGCTCATCCCCCGCGCGAGCCGCCGACTCCCGTTTGGCGCCTCAGCTTTTTTTTGCCTCTTCTTCCTGCCAAGACTCTGACGGCTTTTGGAAAAAAAATCCCGTACCTTTTCTCGGCCCGGCATCCGCAGACCGCGTGCTCACACTTTATCTCTGGACTTTTGAGTTAGTCTTTGGGAGCTGATCAAGACAGAGACAGGTGTCAGGGACGGGCACAGCAGGAAGAAGAAGGCGCAGACGCGCTAGGCATTGTTCTCTACCAGCGTGACGCAGTGGCCTGGAGGCATCGTGTCTGGAGTCTGGGTTCAGAGTCCAATTCTGGGCGTGCTTCGGAAGAGTGTGCTCCTTTTGAAATTGAGCGATAATGAGCGCTTGATTTTCTCATTCGATGCATACAAAATCTCGCCTCGTTCAAGTCGGTCTCGAGCTCGACTCCACACGCTTGCCTCGGCTCCCACTGCCCTGCCTCTTGCCGCGGCCTAGGTGCCGGTCTGATAGCCAGCGAGGTTCTCGGACAGTGAGTCTTGTGACATGCTACTCCTGCCTCGCTCCAGTGGGGGATGCCATCTCGCCTGGCAAAGCTGTTCCTTGCGGCGCTCGCTTGCACTTCGTTGCTTCCCGCGCCGCATTACGGCCGTTGCAATGCGGGCTTCCCCCTTGAGCGAGCTATCTTGCCACTTATCTCGGTTGCGACAGCCACGGTCGGAGAGCCCCACCATGTGAGCCTTGTCCTTGGGCATGGGCGTGGCTTCCTATCCGTTCGGAACGTTGTGTGCCGCTGTGCTGCCTATCTCCAGCTCAAGAGCCCAAGCACAGGCAAAGCCTCCGAGGCGCCTCATTGGTCGGCTGCCGTGATCCGCCCCAATCTGTTTGCGCTGCTCCTGCACCCATTTTCTCCGCCGGCAGGAACGGCGTTCGCAACCTCCACGCTGCTGCGCTTCTGCGCTGCACCGCTGTCTGGCCAGCGATAAGCTTGCTGCGATTTCCTGGATGCGACGGCGCGCAACCCTCCTCCTCGGCAGCTCTTCTCGCGCCACCCATCAGCAAGTGAGAGACGCCTCGGTTCCTGAACCAACGACCCTTGATAGCGAGTGGCGAGAGCTGTGCTGCTAATGCATTTTGGCGGTGGCTTCGCTTGGGTACCGTGGGCAGTGGGCGCCTCGACTCATTTGGCGACGTGGGAAAAGGCTCAAACAAGCGACGGCCGCCTGCTGATGACTTTGTGCTGCCTCACCGTTCGAATCGCCAGCTTCTTAATTTTATATTTTAATTTAATTTTTATTTTTATTTGAAATCTGGAGCGTTGTCAAAAAGTTTGTGCTTGGAAGGCTCCGGTTCAGGGCTTGTACGACCTCTCACAACCCGGCTGCCTCCTCGCCCGGCGACCGCAATCGCTCCTGCATTCGCCTTCGCCACGCCGCTCCAGACCCGCCGTCCCTGGAACTGCGTCCTGTTTCGAGGCCGGTACAGCCCGCCTCAACCGGGCTTGCCTTGCCTCGACTACATTGGCAAGGCCCCCCCAAATCCCTATATCATCCAACCTCTTCGCGCTCATCATCCCCCAGTGTCACCCCTACCGTGCCCCTTCCCATCCGGCCCCGCTCCCTCCTCTCCCGGCTCTCCTATTCTCCGTTACCGTCATCATGTCGGCCGGCGCCCCTACCTCCCAGACTCCTCAGCTCGCCAAGGATGCGGCGCTTGCTGAGGAGCATGTTGCCACCAGCAACGAAGGCTCCCACCACGAGGCCAACGACGACAAGCTCGGTTACCAGGCTTCCGACCGTGACCTCGAGAGCCACAACGGTCGTCCTCCCGTCGAGGCCATCGAGCCTCACCCGCAGGGCGAGCCCGGTCGTGCCAGCAAGCTCTGGCACTCCATCCGAACCCACAAGGCCACCCGCATCGCCTTTGACTTTGCCCTCATTGGCCTCATCGTAAGTTACGCTCGGCATCGTGCCCCAAGTAGTCCGGCCTTTTCTCCTAACACTCTGTTGTATTTCAATCGCTTGTTCGACTCTAGCTCGGCTGGTGGCTCCCCGGTATCATCCGTGAGGAGACTCGCCACCGATGGGTGATCACCACCATCTGGTCGTGGTTCTTCATCCTTCTCATCCTCTTCCACAACGACCGCTACATTCCCAAGGCTCCTTTCGCCAACGCCATTGGCGGCGCTTGGACCGCCGGTGTCTCCAAGCCCTGGAGCATGATCCCCCACTACGGTCAGATTGGTCTCGGCTGGCTCGCCCTTCTCGCCCTCTACTTCGGCAGCGCTTTCGGAATCAAGGAGGTCCCCGAGTCGCGCTACGGCGACCGTGCCCGCTCGCTCTTTGGTCTCTTCCTCATCAACTGCTTCTTCTACTGCATCTCGACCCGCCGCGCTGCTATTAAGCTCCAGCCCGTCATGACCGGTCTCGGTCTGCAGATGATCATCGGTCTTCTCGTTTTCAAGACGGGCGCCTTCTTCAGCGTCGCCAGGTGGCTCGCTTTCGCTGCCGCTGACCTGCTCGCCCAGGGTCAGGTGGGTGGTGCCGCCTTCTTCTGGGGCGACCTCGCCGGCCAGCACTACTTCTTCATCGACACGCTCTCGTCCATCATCTTCTTCGTAGCGCTCGTCGTGCTGCTCTCGTACCTCGGCATCATGTCGTGGGCCATCCGCAAGTTCGCCTGGTTCTTCTTCAAGCTCATGGGCATCTCGGGTGCCGAGGCTGTCGTCGCCGCCGCCTCGCCCTTCATCGGCCAGGGTGAGAACGCTGTGCTGGTGCAGAGCTTCCTCGACCTCATGACCAACGCCGAGATTTTCCAGGTGCTCACCTCGGGCTTCTCCACCATCGCTGGTTCCGTCTTCCTCGCCTACGTCCAGATGGGCGTCTCGCCCACCCACCTCATCACCGCCGCCGTCATGTCCATCCCCGCCTCGATCGCCGCCTCCAAGATGGTCGTGCCCGAGACCGAGACCCCCGTGACTGCCGGCTCGGTCAACATCCAGCTCAACGAGAAGGCCGATGCCGTCGACCCCCTGCACGCCTTCTCCAACGGTGCCTGGCTCGGTGTTCGCGTCGCTGCTCTCATCTTCTGCAACGTGCTCTGCATCGTCTCGCTCCTTTACACCGTCAACGGACTGCTCACCTACATTGGCAACTTCTGGACCATCAACAACCTCACCCTCACCCTCATCCTCGGCTACATCCTCTACCCCTTCTGCTGGTGCATGGGTGTGCCCAAGAAGGAGCTGCTGCGTGTCTCCGAGCTCCTGGCTACCAAGATCGTCGCCAACGAGTTCGTCGCCTACAGAAACCTCGCCAAGATCAAGGTGTCTGCCAACCCTCTGAGCGACCGCTCGGTTCTCATCAGCAACTTCATGCTTGCTGGTTTCGGTAACATTGGCTCGCTCGGTATCAACATTGGTGTGCTTTCCGGTCTGGCTCCCAGCCGTGGCGGTGCCATCGCCCGTCTGGCTCCCCTCTCGCTCGCCACCGGTATCCTGGTCACTTGCTCCTCGGCCTGCATTGCAGGTATCCTTGGCACCAAGTAAAAAAAAAGAGAAAGGAGCGAACGGCATTCGCAACCATCCATACCCCCTAAACGCGGTTGCCTAGCCTTGCTGCATCTCTTTCTCCTCCTCTGGGTGTCGCAATTGCGATCTCCCGCCTTGTACTTCTACTTCTTCTTGCTCAATTTGGATCTTTCTGGGTTATTTCGTTGTCCACCAACACCAATAGTAATCGGTTTCCATCTACGTCTTCCCTATCAGCCCGTGTCTTTGCGTTGCGACTAGTTGTGCGTAAGCGGCGAGAATCTGCATGTCCCTGTTGCTTGACAGCCAAGTTGCATGATCGGCGTCGCTGGATCAAGATGAGGCTGGTGTAAGAGCGAGAGAGGCGCAAGCCTGTGTCCACGGCGTTGAGGAGCATGGCCCGGCGTGGCTTGTATGTTAGGCTCTTCTGAGAGGTTCTGCATTGATCCGATCTGGCTACATCTGATTCGGGACGCTATGCAGACGTTTGCTCAGAGAGATACTTCTTCCGCCTTGATATGTCGTTTGTGCTGGTCGCCCGTGCGTGATCGCAACTAGTTGGTAACTATTTGCCCGTTTCTCGTTGAGTCTGAAGATCCTGCAGCGCGTCCTTGCGCAGTAGTGCTCCGATGTAGATGCCAACTGTGCCGAGTCCGACTGCTAGGACGAGCGAGGGAGCGGTAACGGCCCACCTGCGATCGGGCACGTATGCGTGTATTGCCAAGTCATTCGGCAACAACGGCTGCGCAACGGCGAAACCTCAGGTCAGCTTTCGCACGATGGCTATTCCAGGCAGAGAGGAGGTGCTTACGAGAACGATGGCCCAGAGCGTGTACAGCGAAAACAGCGCGAGTGCTGCAAAGAGCGCCAGCCCGCCAGCGGCGCGATTTGACATGACGCCGCGACCGGTCAGGTGAATCGCATGGTGGACAGAAAGCAGGACGCAACTGGACCCTGAACCGACGCTCGCCGCCTCCACACGCCTCGGAACTCGGACCACGTTCAACCCCACCCATCAACCTCTCCACCCTCCATCTTGTCCATCAGGTCTTTTGAGTGCGGAGAGCGGAGGCCAGCATCGGAATGCCGCCACTTCCACTGCATGGCTCATACCCACCATCGGGATCGGGGTACCGTCCACTCGCCACGGGCGATGACGACCACGAGGCGCAGGCACCCCCGAGGGACACGAGCAGGCTGCGCACGTTTGTGGTTTCGCCTTATCAGGCACCCGCCAACGATCCGAGCCAGATCCTGTGTGCCTTCCTCACCGATACTCGCACTCCTGGAGAGGCACATGCGACCAAGGATGTGGCTCTGCGTGTGCGCTTCCGCTCGCGCGGCACGGAGACCACCGTCGACCTGCCCGTGGGCAGGCTGACCGAGCAGGACGCACTGCCGTTTGCGCTTGCTGACGATGTGCCGTGCCGCCGCGGCATCGTGCGGCATCGAGCATGGAGCCAGCACCTGCGTGGCATGGTCGACCACTTGGCGGGAAGGAGCTCTACGTCTTCAAAGCTAATGGCACAGGAGCAGGACGAGCTGTCAGTTTGGGATAGGTCGCAGAGAAAGCCACTCCCGGCGAGCGATGAAGCAAAGCAGCGCTATCATCGACGTCTCGAGACCGGACTGGTGCCGCCATGGACTCCGCTCGATGAGGATTCTGGCTCTCTGTCTCAACCACAAGCGGCACAGGAGGCAGAGAACGACGGGAATGCAGACGACAAGCTGGACCTGACGAAGCTGTTTACAGGGTCGGGCGATGTGGATCTGGGCATCTTCTTCCGGCGGTCGCGGCGGCGACGAGCGACGCGCCTCGTATCCATTGCCCTGCAAGAGGCACTCGAACGCTTTGCAGACGATCGCCACTTCTCGAAGCGACTCTTCTGCCGCAACACCGCCTGGGGCTGGGACCTTCCACGGCTCAAAGAGTCTCTGCGCTCACTCGCGGCGCACGCCGCAGAAGGCAAGGGCAAAGCACCTGCCCACGCCGTCGAGGAAGCGGGCGGAGTGGATGTGGATATCGAGGTGGTTGGGATGGAAGAGTGGCCGGAATATCACGTCGTCTGGGCGCCCATTGCACTCCTCGCCGCTTGCTGTCCCGGGCTGGTCGAATCGCGCGTCTCGGCAATCAGCCTCGCTCTGCTCGCCACCTTGCTAATCGCAGCAACACTTCTGGGCGCGCTCAGCGGGATTCTGATCCTAGCAGGCATGGTGGTGGTCGGAGCTTGGAGCACGATGATGTGGCTGGTAGCTACTAGGAGCGAGTGCGTGTACGACGGAATCGGCACAGCATGGTCGCTCGCTCCGCGCTGGCAGACCATCGATGCCGATCCGAGCTGGGATTTGCAGCGAGCTCGCGCGTCACTCCCGCCCGACAGCGCCGGCGACCAAGTGCGGCTTGAAAGAAGGGACAATGCTTGGTGTGTCCGCCGAGGAATCGATCAGGACGAATGGATTGCCCTCCACCGCGATCGCATCCTACACGCCCTCACCGCCCGCACCTAGCTTCTCGCCCACGCAGCTTCTGTTCATGTTGTATGAGATCGGCCTGTAGTGGCGTTTGTATATCAGCACCATGCTATGGGAGTGTTGTTGACTAGTCGGCATCGTCGCCGAGTCGGCCGCCTCTGCTGAGACTGTTCCACGCCGTTTTCCGCACCTCCCCCGCTTTTCCCTGAGCACCCAACTCTGCGGTCCCTGCATCTACATCGTTTGCGTCCGGTCCGGCGTTCGGATCGTTCCAGTCGATGTACGGACTGATGACCGAGTCCTCGGGATGCGCCTTGGCGCGCGCACCCGGTGCGAGCTGCGTCATCTCATCCAGGATCCTGGCGAGACTCGGGTTGACTTGAGTCGAACGATCCTCTGGCTCCGTTAGCGACGGCGGATACTGGCCCGCCTGTGTCCTCTGCGGTGCTGGCGTTGGTCTTGGCCCTGGGGGCCCGAACCGCTTTGGCGGCCACACGATCCAGTCGATCTTGGATGTGATTAGGCCCATGGGAACGGGGCCGAACTCGCGCGAGTCGCGGCTCTTGTTGCGTACGCCTGGCGGCAGCCTCGCCGAGTTGGCTGCTTTCTCCAAACTGCGTGGCACAATGTCGACGGCCGCGTCGCCTTCGACCCACACGTGGCCGGGCGGGATCTTGATTCGGGTCCACTTTCCCGCGCTTGCCGACGCCCCAGGTGCCCATACACGCACCGTATCTCCAGGAAGCGCGATCACACGCTTGGTAAGTAGCAGCCGCGGGTCGAGTGGTGAGATGAGCGTGACGATATCGCCGGGTCGCAACTCGTTGTGCTGGTAGGAAACGCTGCGGTTCAGCAGTACGACATCGGCGCGTGCGTTGGCGGCAGAAGCTTCTGCGTACGGCCCGTTGAAGGTCGGCGACATCGAGCCGCCAGTCACGTTGCCCAGGCTAAAGAGGTGCGAGGTGATGAATGCGGCCACGGGGATCCAGCCAAGCACGAACATCACCCGTCGCACTTTGCCGCGCCGAGGACGAGGCGGCTCAAACGAGAACGACGGTCCGCCAGGTGCGCTGCGGCTTGTCGATTCCGGAGCGCCAGTATGTCCGCTAGGCGAGGAGGAAGACGAAGGCGATGACGATGATGGTGATGGCGCAGCTCCGGACTCTGGCGCTGAGGTGTGAGAGTCAGAAGAAGAGGTCGAGGTGGAAGAACATCGAAGCCATGCCGGCTGAACGGGTCGGAGTGTGGTCCGCAATGCTGGCAAGCACCGCACTGATGGCGCTGCGCACCGCACCGCTGCAGCAGCCGTCAACATCCTCCTGCAGACCAAGTAGCGTCGGTGGTAGAGGCGAGTCAAGACACAACAGCTTCCGGCCTTGGAAGTGAGAAGTCGGCGCGAAGAAAATACTGCAGGTGTGGAGGGGGTCGCGTGCCATAACCTCTCGCCGTTTCTTCCCGCAACCCGCAATTTGATCATCTCCGGCTTACGTTGCCGTCACATGCACATGCACATACGCACACACACATACTTCCGGCGCAATGTGAGCAAGGGTCATTCATGTGTTGCACTCTAGCTGATCTCTTTGAGCCTCGCCTGGGTGTACTCGGTGAACGCGCGGTGCTCTCTCCAGATGTCGTCGATGGTGACCTCCTTCTCGCCACGCATGGCCCTCTGCCGGTTCATATTCGCCACCATGGCCGGATCCGCCAGCTGCGGGTATCGCACGAAGAACGGCAGCGTCAGCACCCAGTTGCGCTCGATGTTCATGTCGCCATCGCTGGGCGAGAGGAAGCGGATGACGTCGATCGTCACTTTGTGCGTCTCGAGCCCCGGGTTCTGGATCAGCTTGTCGCGCAGCGGCGCGTTGGGCAACAAATCGATCGCATGGTCGTGTGGAGTCGACTGCTGCAGAGCTGTCGGCCGCAGCGACGGCGGCAAGCTATAGCTCGGGTTGAGGCTGTGGTTGTGCAGATGGTACGAGATCTGGAGGAAGTATTCGGCCTGCTTCTCGATATCGTACCTCGTCTTCGTCTTGGTCTGCGAGCCGTCGGGTGAGCCGCTCGCGTTGCCTCCTGCAATGTCACCTTCGTCCCACTCGTTGGGTAGACGCATGTATGCGATCTTAATGTGCGGATTGGTGGCTTCCTGCTGCTCGAGGAACTTTAGATCTTGTTCGTCGAGCGGGTACTGGACGGGCAGGTTGAGGAAGTTGTTGGCGCCGCGCTGAGCCCAGATCCGGTTCACCTGGGCAATTGCACGTGCGCCGCGGCGGCGTAAATTACGGATCTGCTCTGGTGAAGCTCGAGTGCCTGAGCGCAGGACAGTCCCCTCGACACCTCCTGTAGCAGGTGAAGCAGGGGTCTGGACGATCGCCGTTGTGTCGCTCTGGCCCGACGGCGGCGGCTGCGTTGCGAAGGGTGCGGAGCCAAGGGTCGAATCAGCTGAGGCTCCAACCATAGTGGGCACTCCGCCAAAGCCCAGAAAGTTGAAGTTGGACGCGGCGGCCGAAGCGTTGGGCATGGCGGAGCCGGGGGTCGGAAGTATGTTGTTGAACGTCATGGCCTGTTGCGGGGAGAAGACGCTCTGATTGTCGGTGGGGAAGAGAGAGCCCGTCATGGCAGCCAGGCCGCTCATATCTGCATTGCCACCACCGAGCAAGGTTTGGGCGAACATGGAATCAACATCGTTGCGCATGGACATTGAGCCTCCAAAGGCTGTTGGCTGCCAGAATTGGCTGGGTAGAGCGGTCGGAATCTGCTGTTGCTGCTGTTGTTGTTGTTGCTGCTGCTGCGGCCAAGGCTGTTTCATCTCGTTCGAGGCCAAACTCTGCGGGGAGGCCACTGATGGTTGCCCAGAGCCTGTGCGCGGATCGGGGTTCGTTGCCGGGCTGCTGTTGCGGGAGGCGCTTGTGTCGTTGGTCTTGCGCTTGCGTTTCGAGTCTTTGGCTGCCGCGTCATCTGCCGTCCTCTTCTTCTTGTCGGCGTCGGTCGAGTTATCGGCAGCGGCTTTTCCATTGGCATCGCGAAAGTAGTTGGCGAGTTTGCTCTCGGGGAGGCCATCGGCGGGGATGTTGCTCTCCTTGCGGAGCTGTTTGAGCATTTCGCATTCGCCGGCACCAGGCCAGTTGGCCCACGCTTCGGACATGGTCTTCTCGCTGGAAGAGTTCATGGTAGCTTCGAGCATCTGTCTTGTCATACCGGCTTCGACCAGACATCCGCCGATGCTGCGCGCGCCGATAAAGTGGGCGAGGCTGCCGACGATGCCACGCAGCGAGTTGTTCTCGGCGAGCAGATGTCGGAGCGCATACCGAAGCCGATTGACCTGCGTATCGTGGTCGGACGAGAGCAGCTCTACGCGAGCCTCGAGCGCACGGATGTATTGCTGCTTGCGCTGGCGGAACTCGCGCTGAGCTGCGCGATTCTGCTCCTTGCGGTGCTGTGCGGCTTTGGCATCCTTGGACTTGGCTGCAGCGGCACCCTTCTTGCTTTTGGCTGACTTTCCGTCCGCCTTCTTCGCCGGCGCATCGGCATCATCTTCGTCTTCATCTTCGTCTTCTTCGTCCGTGTTGAAGCTGGCTGCGGATGTGTTGAGCCCGGAAGGCGGCATGTCGAAGTTGAGGCGTGGCTGAGGTCCGAGCGACATGGCGGTCTGAAAGCCGCTCGAGATGGCGCTGGGCGATGCGTCCGTCCAGCGGTCCATTGGAGAGCCGGTCGGGCCACGATGAGCGGGGGGCATGGTGTCGAGTTGGATGGGCGGACCCACCGCGCACACTTCAGCGGGGTGAGATGCGCGTGTGGACGGAGTTGAACAAAGTTTGCGCAGGGCCCCGGCAGACGCGCATGAACTCTCCCTTTGTTAAGGCGTCGAGTGGTATACAGTATGCCCAAGCAAGCAAACGTACGGGCACCTACCCAGACCCACTCGCTTGGTAGAGGGGCGATCTGAAGAGATGGTGGTGGCTGGCTTGGACGCAGCGCACGCAGGGTTCGCCGCGTTTTCTAATGCACCACCATTTTCCCGGCGGGTGGGCGATTGCCACAGCCGGAAAGCGGTGATGGACCGGCTAAGTTGCAGAATGTGGAGCTTTTTTCGATTTTTCTTTGGCTCCCATGCAGCCGGTGTGCGGTACGATAGAAAACCTGAAAATTTATTGTACGATTTGTTTCCCATGATTTTGCCTTGCCATCTCATGCCTTGCCATTCTCTGTCGCACGGCGATGGTCCAGTCGCAGAGTGAGAGTGGTGGGGTATCGTGGGACTGCGCTCTCGTCTGCGAGCATTTTGAAGCGACCGAGTGATGAAGCCATACCTTAACCGTATCACAAGGCGTTGGTATCGAGCTCGAATAGAGACATGCACGACTTTGCCAACGTCCGCGGACGAGCCTGCCCAGACCAGCGACTTGATTCATTTCGGGGCTTCGGATTTGTGGCCTTGGTCCTACCCGTTCCGTGGGTGAAGAAAGGTGGACCCTGCCGCCAAGTTACCGGTCAGAGCAGAAGGTGGTGCATAAAATTCTCACACAATGTTAAGCCTGCGAGAAATGGTCTTCTCGCCGTGCTGCACAGGCTAAGGAACGTGGCCCACGCACAGTGACGATTTCCGCTTCAGGTCGATTTTGGACCCCGACTCGATGGCCACCGACACGCGAAATCGAGCGAGTGCGCACGGCAGACTTGGCTCGAGCGGCAGCTGAGCCGGCGCATCTCCGCACCCGCTGCTGCCGTGGCCGATGTATCGATCAACTCACTCGAAGCGCCCCGCATCCTACCTTGCTACCACGACCGCCTGACCCTGGTCCGACTCTGGATACATCCATAGATCCTCCGCATCCCGCTCCCCGCCATCTACGCCCGATTTCAGTCGCCATGCTCAAGGTAAGTGCTGTTGTGGTGCATGCTTATCACACATTTCGGCCGTCGCATGCTCGGGTAATGTGGCTGGACGACGTGACTGACATCCGTGTTCCATCGTGGCACGACAGGAGCTCACCGACCAGGCCCAGGGCTACCTGGGCAACCGCAAGCCCTTTTCGGCGGTGACCGACTGGATCGATCGATTGTGCACTCAGCGCTATGCCGAAGAGGAGTACGACGGCATTCCCGAGCTGGTCGAGGCCATCAATCTCCAGTCCACCGGTCCCACCGAGGCGAGCCGTGCGCTTCGCAAGAAGCTCAAGTACTCGAACGTTCATGGCCAGAAGCGTGCGCTCATCATCCTCAAGGCGCTCGTCGAAAACTGCGGACAGCGCTTCCAGACCGCATTCGCCAACGATCAGCTCGTCGATCGTATCAAGATCATGTCGCAGGATCAGCTCGTCGATGCATCGGTGCGCAAGCTGCTCATGCGCGTCCTCCTCTCGTGGCACCAGCAATTCAAGGACGACCCCTCCATGAAGCTCGTCGCCGGCCTCTACCAACAGTGCGGCGGCGGCAAAAAGTCAGAGGCGCAGCGCAAGAGCGAGGCGGCGGAGGCATACCGCAAGCTGCAGGAAAAGCAGCGCATCGAGGCGCAGATCCGCAGCGATCGCAAGGCAGCCGAGCAGCTCCAAAAAGAAGAAGAGAAGAAGAGCAAGCTTCGAGGCAAGAAGGGCGTCAAGCGACCTGCGTTCAACTTTGAGCAGGAAAAGCCCGCCATGCTGCAGTCGCTCGCCATCTCACAACAGGTGGCGACGGCGCTGGTCAATGCGCTGCAGCACGTCAACCGCGAGAAGGAGAGCGTGACGGAAAACGCACGAGTGCAGGACTACTTAGTCAAGACCAAGGTGGAGAGGAAGAAGATCATCCGCTACGTGCAGCTGGTCAAGGACGAGGAGTTCCTTGGTTCGCTCATCTCGGCCAACGACCAGATCATCCTGGCGCTCGAGCTGTACGATCGGCTCTCGAAGCCCGCCGAGCTCGACTCGGACGACGACGAGCCGCTCGCCGCCATCTCGGGTTCCGGACAGAGCGCCGAGGAGAAGACGGCTGCCAAGATCCGCGCCGACGATGCCGAGATCGAAATGGTGCGCAAGCGCATCGCCGACGCGCGTCTCAATGCACCCGACAGCGAGCTGGAGAAGCTGCAGACGCGACAGCGCGTGCGCATTCAACGACACAATTCGCGTGTCGGCAGCATGCGCAGCTTCGACATGAGCCCACAGCCTACCGGCGATGGGCCGAGCGGTGCTTCACGCGGCGGTGCGATGAACGACCTGATCGACCTCGACTTCCAAGAAGACCAGGCGGGCAGCTACCTGCATCCTCCGTCGCAGGCGGGCGGCGCCCGACGAGGCTTGATGGCGAGCGAGGCGGCAGGAAGCAGCACGCAGCGCGGCGCCCTCTCGGACTTTAGCGACTACGAGTCGGAGGACTCGGCGGATGAACATGCAGCACAGGCGCCCGGCCGGGCCAGGCAGCTGGCAGCCGCTTCGTCGCGCCCCGAGGGTGGCTCATGGTCGAATCTCAACGATTCCGAAGAAGAGGAGTGGCTGCGCACCACGCAGAACCACCGACCCAACATCGGCCCGGGCTTCAGCTGGGACGAGGACGACGAAGACGACGACGATCCGTTTGCCGATCCGTTCGCGGATGCCAACAATGCGGCTGCGTCTGGCAGCGGGTGGGGCATCGAGCGACCCCAGAACCAGCCGCGCAAGGAGTGGGGCGTCGTCTGAACAAGACTTTGCCACTTCTTTTGCCTTGATTTGCTTTCCTTTTCATGATAACCCCCGTCTGTTAAGCAATGCCACCCATTCTCGAGACGACAAGATCCAACTCGGCGCGAGCTTGTTTTTGTGCCTGAATAATACGTCCCTGCAGGTGTGAGCAAGCTCACCAAAGCACGAGTAGTAGCAACACGACATGCGGCAAAGGCGCAACAAGCTTGTGGTCCGCCCTGCTGCTTTGAGTTTGGTGTTGCGTGGCTGAGATACGGCAAATCCGACGGGCGAGTTTCTCAGGGGCCAAAGACGTGCTGCGTAGCTGCCACTTGCCGAGTGCGGGCGTGCCGATACGCGTGCAGCCACAGGCGCTTTCAACACCGCGTCTCCGAGCCAGGTTGCTCAGCCTCGGCGGAAATTTCACAACATCTCGGCTCATCCGACCCACCAGCAGGCACATGCGCACTTTCCATTTTTGGCCGGAGCGGCTGCATAGCTCTGAAACGCACACTTGAACAACACCTCGCAATCCAGCCTGCATGAGCACCACCAATTCCTTCTCCTCGAACGCGGCTTGGCGCTCTTGCCGCTATGCTTTAGCATCCATCCAGCGCTGATCAGCCATCATCGACACGCCATCTTCCGACAATCCAATCTTCGCAGCAATGAGTCGGGGTCAGCAACACGCCCAAGCCGGGCCGAGCGATGCTCGTCGCTCCCGGCCACAGCCACAGCACGCACAGCAGAATACGTCGGCAGCTCCGAGCTGGACTATGCTGCTCTTCGGTGGTCGATCTGCATCCACAGCGCCACAATCGTCGGCGCGCTCCCGCAGCGACCGCTCGTTTCTCGGCTGGGGCAAGCCGAGCGATTCTTCTTCCGGCCGACGCAGCGAGGAGCGCGAATCGCTCATCGGCGCCACAGCGTCGGAAGGCGATGCATTCGACGACTCGGATGCCATCTCTCTGCTCAGCAACATCGCCGATCGTGACTCGCGCCGCGGAGGAAGTGCCGCTGCGCGTCGCCGTGCCCGTGCGAGAGCGCGCGCCCAGGACAGGACGTGCGGCACGGTGTGGTTTGATCTCGAGGACTGGGGCCGCGCCGTGTCTTGCGGGCTGCTCGGGAGAGGCAACAGGGACGCAGATGGCTCCGGTCGGCAGCGCGCAGCTTCCATCGGCAGCGTCATGAGTCGCGGCGCGAGACGCAGCAACCACGCATCATCATCAGGCTCGGTTGTGGCGACGTCGAGACACTCGCGCTCGCTCAGCGATGCGAGCACCGACAGTGGCGCCAGTCTCAGCGGCCCAGGCTTCGCAGAGAGCATCGATGAGGATGCCGGTATGCTCGACGACCAGGCAATCGCACGATTCGGAAGGACCGAAGGGGCAGGTACGTCTGACGAAGAAAGTCAGCGCGAGTCACAGGCTGAAGCGCAAGCAAAAGCAGAGGCGGAAGCTGAGCTCAAAGCTATGGCGGAAGCCGATGCAAAAGCGCAAGCAGAAGCCGAAGCCGAAGAAAAGGCCAAGGCAGAACGACAAAAAGCGCTGGACGAAGAAGCGGCTCGGCTCAAGAAGGAGGCCGAGGCGGAAGCAGAGCGTCAGAAACAGGAAGAGGCGCGCCTCGCCGCAGCCGAGGAGGCCGCCATCGCGAAAGCGCGCCGCAAAGCTGAGCGCAAAGCCGCCAAAGCAGGACTGCTCAAGCTCCAACAAGAGACGCACGCCGCTCAGCGATGGCGCACTGAAGCCGAGGCAGAGGCGGCCGCGGGTGGGTTCAGCTTTGCCGAGTCCGATGCGGATCAGCGCGTTGCCGACCAGCACTTCGCTGACGGCGACGAGCCGGAGGCGTATGCCCAGCAGCAATACGGCTACGATGGCGGCTTCGATGACGAGCGCGGCATGCATGAGGGCGAGTACGACCAGTACGGCGATGCCGAGGAGCCCGAGGGCTACTACACGGTGGAGGAGCGTGCGCCGGGCGGCGTGGTGCACCACCATCACTACTACCATGCGCCGCCTACTGGCTACGCCGAGGGCGACCAGTACAGCCCGTCGGCAGACTTTGCGCCTGCCGCGGGAGCTTTCATCCCCGACGCTCCGACCGCAGAGCCCAACGCCAGCAACGAGAAGCCGCAGTCGGAGGACGAAGCTGACATCGCTGGACTTTCCTTCGGACGCAAGAAGGGGCCTCGTCGTGGCGACTCTGGCAGTGCATCTGGCAGCCGTAGTGGCAGTGGTCTGACGCCTCGCGCTGTGCCCACTGCTGGCGGTTCGTCGTCGGGTGGTAGTGCCAACGGGCTGCGCGCGCCACTGTCCGCATCCTCCTCGACCGGTCGACCTGGCTACCGCGACCGCCCGCGCCGCCACGAACGCACATCGTCAAAGTCGTCCAACTCGTCCTCGGGCTTGCGCTCTTTCGCGTCCTCCGCCCTGCATCCGCCACCGTCGACTGCCGCAACATCAGTAGCACCCGCCATGGCACTGCCAAACTTGCACGAGTCCGAGCCGCTGTACGCGCCCGACGAAGGCGCGGGCGATGTGCCAGCGGGGCAATTCGGCAGCCCGCATGTGGATGCCAGCGAGTTCGGCGTGATCACGGCCGGCACCAACCGCGGAGGCGCGGGAAGGGTCAAAAAGGCCAACCGCGAACAGCGTCACGGCAAGCATGAGCCGGACGCCGACTTTGACGGCTTCCCCGCCTTCTAGCGCTCGTATCTCTCGCGAAGCACGTTCCGCATACCCACTGCATCCCGCACATCCAACGCATTTCGCAATTTCAGCGCAGTGGACACACCCCGTGCATAGAGAGCATCGAGTTGATCGAGTACTGTATATCGAGTATATCGACCGAATCGACCGAATCGACCGAATCGACCAACCCGACTGAATCGAGCGATTCGAGTGCACCGAGTGCACCGACTGCATCGACTGCATCAAGTGCATCAAGCGTGTTAAGTGCATCAAGTGCATCGAGTGCATCGCACATGCAGTCCATCAGACGCACCGAGTGCATCCGGCACATCCCGCACTCAGTCAACCCAATGCATCCAGTGCATCCAGTGCATCCAGTGCATCCGTTGCGCGCAGCGTGCTGTGTTCAACACTCGATGCGTTCGATGACCAGTGCATTCCACTCAGCACGTTCCACACACGCAGTGCATCCGCACCTCTCGCAGACACTTTCGACCTTTCACGACTGCTCTGCCTCTGGCGCAACCACTTTTCACGCCACGCATCGACACTTTGGCACATTGCATTGCAAGCTGAGCACATTCCGTTTGCCAGTCCTCGATCAATAATCGTCGTAGAGGATGGTCTTGCCGACACTGGCGAGTCTGCTTCTCCTCCTGCTCTGTGCCGAGTCTTCCTTGTGTTGTTCGTCCTTTTTGGCGGCGGTTTTTTCATCTCCGAAGAACGAGTACCCGGACTGGCCGAAATGCTGTGCGGGTACCTGGTCGTAATCGAGTGAATAGCCGTTGTTCTTGGATCCGATGGGCAGACCTGTTCGCACATCGCATTCCACACCAGCATGGTCGATGTACGTCGACTGCGAACGCACATTGGCCGCCTTGTACGTCTCGATGATCATGCGCTGTGTGTCGAGCAGGTACGCCTCGAGCGTGTCCAGGAACCTCTTGGTCTGCAGATGCTTGCTCGAAGCACATACCGTGATCCCATCGTCTTTGATGATGTATCCGATGCCAAAACCGTCTGGCACAACCGGACCAAACCCAAACATGCGCAGTGCGGGATTGCCACAGTTCGAGGTGGACACCACCGTATGGTTGAGCTTGGCATAGCCTGCATCTGTGAAGATCTTGGGTGCTGGTTGATCGTCCGATCGCTCAGCCTGCATCTTCTTCCACAGATTGTGCAGCGCGTACAGGTGTCGGTCGTGACCCTGACCGGTAGCACACGCTTTGGAGAGCTTCGCATGGCCCTCGCACGCCTTTTTGAGCGCGTCCAACTTGGCGTCGGTCTTGGCATCCGACATGTACGTCTCGACGAACTTGGCCGAGTGCGGCTGCACCGTTCGGATGGCCTCGGTGCGTCCGTGCAAGAAGGCCTTGGTCATGGCCGGCTCGTACGTCGTCTCGCACCTTCCGTAGAGCGTGTAGTATGCCGCCTGGAAGGCCATCTGCACATACGCGTCTGGCGAGAACCTGTGCCTTGTGATGAAGTTCTTGCCGTAGCGGTCGAACTCGAGCACCTGGCACTCGTTCTGGCAGATGAGGTCCGACAGCCTCGTCTCGCCGTACTTGATGCCGTCTGTGAGCTTCTTGGTGAGGTTCCACTCGAGCTTCTTGGGTGCCGTTGCTTGGTTGACGTCCTGGGCCTTCTGCGCATCGGCCTCGCTGAACGAACCGTTGGCCTTCTTGCCGGCGCCTTTGGCGTACGGACTGGTCTTGGCCTTGAAGAGACTCTTGGTGGCCGAGTTGATGGACTTGGCGAAGCGCATGATGAGCTCGGTATACACGTCGGCCGCATAGCGCAGCACGGTATGGCCGTCGACGCCCGTGTGCTCAAAGTTGATGCCGGCAGCGCCATTGGCACAGACGATGATCTGGAGCTTGTCGTACCATCGGTTGGTGCACGTGCCCGCCTGGATGCCGCGCTGCAGCTTGTAGGTTCCGCAGAGCATGTTGTTGCTCAGCTCGGCAGCGTCGGCGGGTTCGGAGTCGTCCATGCACACGACAAAGAGCGCCGTGTCGACGACCTCGAGACACTTGCGGTTGTGCGAGTCCTCGCGCAGGTGCTCGCGGTACATGGACCAGATGGGACGCTTCTCTGTGGTGAGGATGCCCACCGATCCTTTGGCAACATCGTCGATCTGGATCTTGTCGGCGTCGCGCACGATAGCCTGCAGATTGCCCAGCATAGCGCGCTCGGTAAGCAGCGGACGGTGCTCCTCATCGAGCGCCTCGAACCAGTAGATCTGACCGCGGCGCATGACGACGATGTGCCTCGACTCGGGCTCGACCTCCATCCTGCATCCGTTTGCGGTGGGGATGCGCGAGGTGGCAAAGAGGCGTGTATATTGGTACATGTCCAACGGAGTGCCGCGCACGTTGTCTGGCTCGAGAACGCCTGTGCGCAGATCGTGGATGAACGCCAGACTGGCGAGGATGAGGTTGGCGGTCCTCATGAGCTGGTTGCCGCGCGTCGGGGTGGGGTCATCCTCGAGGATGAAGAAGGGGTTGAGGTTGAGCACGACCGAGTCCGAGGCCTGGAGGTAGCTCTCGTCCCAGAACTCTTCAATATAGCTGGCGCGCGTGCTGGCATACTCCTGCAGCTGCTTCTGGAGCGTGGGGCCTTGGTTCTGGAGAAAGTCGTCGACGATGCGTTGGGTTACGGCGTGCTGCTCGGGCGACTGGAGCGGGAGCAGACTCGAGAGGTATCGCTGGCATGTGTCTTCGAGCTTGGGGATGGGAAGGTGGGGCAGCTTGGACTGGCCCTCGAACGTCTTGCCGCCACCGAGGCCTTCGTTGGCGCCGCCATCGTCTTTGGCAGCGGACTTGGCCTCGACAGCCTGGGCATTGAAGACGCCTTTCGCGTCGGCGGACATGAGACCCGGGGCCATCTCGATAAAGGAGGACGTTGTCTACGGGCGGGTGGATGTTGCGGCGAGAAGTTGACAGAGGTTACACAGCGAGGCGCAGCTGTGATGAGGGGCTGCTTATAAGGGTGATTCGATGGCCAGGCTTGGGTTCGTCGGCAGGCAGCCGAGTGGAGCGTGCGGGCCCAAGCGGGCGTGAGCTCGATCGGAGATGCGTGGCCGAAATCTGGCTGTAGCAGGTCTATGTGGATCCCTGGCGGGGCAAAAAAAGCACGATGAGCGAGCCTGCAGCCATCAGGGCATGATTGCGGGGACTCGGACAAGTGGCCGATGCACGTCTTTGGCTTACTCTCCAGCTTGGTTCACCCGACCTGGGCCACTCGGCTGTCTCCACACACCGACTCGATGTTGCGGTGCAGTCACGCCGCCTAAAAAGCACCCAGCCGAGACGGCCAAGCCGAAAAAAAAGGGCTCGGCTGTCCAAGTGGAGGCTTGCACGTCCCGACAATCTGCCCATCCACTTCTGTCACAGCCGGCTCTTGGCAAGGATGGGCACGTCCCCACCTCACACCCTGGTCTGTCATTCTCTTCGCACAGGGATACAGTCGCAGAACATTTGCCGGAAAGGCAGCGTGGCATGATCGCTCCTGGCTGGGATAGCAGTGGTCAGCGCGGAAGAGGAGCAAGGACCAAGGCGCGTGCATCTGCTCGAGCAAGAAGGGTCTAGGCCGCTTCTGTCGCTGCTTCTTCCGAGCGCCGACTCGGTGTGTCGAGATCGGAGAAGCCGGAGATGTGCGCGACCTTCGTATCGTCCGTCCAATGCCCGCCAAGGTGCTGCAGAACATCGGCGGTGCTGCACCGCACCTGTAGCAGGCCGAGGCCGGAACGGGGAACGCGCTCACCGTGTGCGGGGAAAAAGGGCGTCCAGCCTAGGCAAATTCTGAATCGCCGAATCCTTGTGCCTCATCGGGATCGGACGATCCAGCTGACCGTTCACCAGTCACCAGCCGGCTTGCTTCATATCAACAAGTTGCCCTCGGGCTCGCGCTGCTTCATCATATAATGTATACGGGATCAAAGCGAGTCTGACAGATGAGATCAATCACAAAAGTGAACACGCAAGGGGTGCAGTCACGATTGTTGACGCCGTAGCGCGGTATATCAGCCCACATTGGGTGGGCTTATCAACCTCGGCGGACCGAATTCACCTTGCATTCCTGTCCTTTCTTTGCGGCGCTCCTGATGGGTGCTTGGGGGGCTTCATAAGTGCTGAACAGATTGAAGCGGCTCGGATGTTGTTATACTGGCCGTTGGGACTGCTTGGTGGTCGCGCAAGGAGCGAGTACCAAGCGTCGCACTCTCCCACCCTCTCTTCCTGGAGCGCGACAAGGGTCGAGCATATAAGTACGTCCCCCTCGCCTCTCCCCAGCCTGTCCCGACATAAACCATTCTCTATTCCAAGCTCCTCAGTCAACCATGCTCATGCTCAAGCTCGCTTCCGCCTTTGCCCTGATGGGTGCCACCCTGGCGCTCAACCTTGACGATGCTGACTTGCCCCGTCCCCTGTGCCTCAGCAACAACGTCGATAAGGGTCGTCAACGATCTCGTGATGCCGATGCTGTCATCTGCTATCACGGCAAATATGACGTCGAAAACAAGAGCGGCGACACCTTCGGCATTCTTAGCCAAACCCCATGTGGCAACAGGGACAAAGTCAGTGTCGACTGCTTCTGGATGAACGCGCCCGCGTTCTTTATGGCGTACGACGATGGCGGCTCCGACAACCTCGCCTACAGCATCGACACCAATAAGTGCAAGTACGACTCTTACTGGCGAACGATCAACTGCGGCGGAAACTAGTGTGAGGAGACACTTAGCCTGCCGATTGCACTGTTGCGGTCCGACTACCCTGCCCTTTGGCACTTCACTCATGTTCCTCAATATCACCTCATCTCTGCCGATCCTCATTCGTTCCGCATCTCCGACTGATGTTTGCCTGAGTGGACATTTTCAAGCTCAGAGCAAGTGATTCGGCGCTAATCATGATGAGGAAAGTGAGCCGCCGTTTGTCGCTGTCAAAACAGCGCATACGCCTTCGTCATCACGCGTCATGCGGGGCTCTGAGCACGCATCACAACGTACAAGAGTCCTTCCGTACGAGCAGTTCGTGTGGATCCCATGAAACGTCCTCAAATCCCTTCACCCGGTCGCGTTTGACGATGTCCAAATGTACACGAGGTGCGGCTCAAATGGTCCTCGATAGCAGAAGCGAGGAGAGCTATTCTGAGGCTTGCGCGTCGAAGGGCTGCGTCATAAAGACGACTTCTGAACACAACCCGCCCACTCCTACCTCCCTAGACGACCTCGCAGCGATGCCTCTCAGCGCCTCCTTCGCCTCCACCGCATTCAAATTCGCCAAATTCTGCGCCTCGCCGGTGGGACAAGACGCCCTTATCGCAGCTCCCACCCGTCACCACCGGCTTGATTCTCACCATCGAGACTCGATCTGCAGTCACATGAGCTCGCACCGCTTCGGGGTACAGAGTCGCGTAACGAGCTACGGTGGGCAGATGGGATCAACCACAGAATGAACAAAGGAAGGTGGAAACACAATGATCACAAACGTGGCACGGCCGGATCTCCTGTCACCACGCATCATGTGGGCTTCTAAACCCACCAAACCCGAACCCACCTCATCGACATCCCTGGCCGCCACCTCAATACGCACGAGGCACAGCAAAGGGACGCTGCACAGCCGGTGCGACTGCTTTGACGTCGCGAAAGAGTGTGTTGAGGAGAGTGCAGCACTGCGTATAAATACTGGACTCGCTCCTTCCGCACCTCTTCAAACGTTCACCACCCTCAACCTTCTCGACTTCCCCTTTCACGACTTCAATCATGCTTATGCTCAAGCTTGCTACCGCTTTGGCCCTTACGGGGGCGGCTTCTGCCGCCACGGCTGTTACCTCGCACAGCGTGACTCGCGCGCAATGCATCAGCAGCAGCCTCGATCAGGCTCGCGCTCGAGCCTCGCAAGCCGATGCCGTTATTTGCTACCACGGTGGTTATGAAATCCTCAACAAGGATCCGAACACCTTTGGCAGCCTTAGCAAAGTCAAGTGCGGCGAGGAGCAGGTGGACGTCGAATGCTTCTGGATGGACGACCCCGCCATCTTCAATGCTTACGACGATGGCGGACCTGAAAACATCGCCTACAGCCTCGACACCAAAAAGTGCACGTGGGACAAGTTCTGGCGTTCCCTCAACTGCCAGGGCGGAAGCAACTAAGACGCCGAGCATGCGCGCTGTGTGCGATCCACTGGTACTTCACTTTCATCTTCTCACATAAATGTCACTTCATGTTGACGTTTGCCTGAACGAGCACGTTCATAACCGAGAGGGAGGCGCCGACTGTTAGTGTTGAGAAGCTCGGAGCTTGCTGCTGTTGAGACAGCATGGGTTTCTTCATCGCCGCGCTTCACATGGGGCTCAGGTGGTGCGAACAAGTGGACCAAGACTCTCTCGATTCGATCGCCAAACAGCATGTAGCTCTTCTATGGCTCCACTTCGAGCCGTATCTAGCTACTATCCTCGTGCTAGCGGACAGATACGACGTAGCAACGTGCTCGACGCAAGTCAGAGCCAATACAATTATTCAAGTCTGGTCCTCCTTTCGGCCTAGCCACATCTCGTGTGCATACTCTTTTGCAAGCTTTTCGAGTCCTTTGCTCGGGCGGTATGGTCCAGCCTGGACCCCTGGTGCCGTCGAGGTGGTTGGAGCTCGACTCAACAGAGTCGATGCTTGTCCGCGATGGTCAGACGGCCCATCTTCGGCTGCCTTTGCCGGATCACGACTGACGACGCCTTCGAAGTGAGGAAAAATATCCAAAATTTATTTAAACAAAAAGAAAAAACAAGTTGGACCCCTGATCTGCGGTGATGTGCTGGGAATCACACCACATTTCTACCTGGCGCCACACCGCTATGCCGGCTTTCAACCAAAGCCCGGCCACTCCTGCATGCGTGGAGGTCCCAGCACGGATGGAACCAACACCTCCTTTGCCTCCACCGATCCTTGTCTCTTCTTACCGCCACCATCCCCTCTCACCTGTTCAACATGACTGAGGCGATGCCCAACGCAGCTGCTTCGAGCGCCTTTGACGTCGACCTGCCGTTCACGAGCTACTCGGCCTCGCACCCGTTGCACTTTGACTCGCATCCCTCTCGCGCCATCGAAGGGTTTTGGTACATTGTCGGATCCTCGCTGCCGCTTTGGAAGCCCAAGAAGAACGTCGTCATCCGCTACATCCCGACCGCCGCCGCTTCTGGCGCAAGTGAGGTCAAGTTCACCGACGAGATCCGCTCCGAAGCGCGGTCGAAGCCCGCCTCGACGCCTGTAGCAGCCACCGAGCTCGAGGCCAAGTGGAAAGCGGAGGAAGGATTGACGAACAAGCTGTTTGGCATCAAGGGCACCAATGTGCTACAGAAAGATGCCAAGAACGGAGCGAGCTTCCAGTGGACGGGCAATGGGCTGCTCAAGTTCTTTCACTCTAAGTGGCAGGTGATTGGGTACGGACCCTACGACCTTACCGACACCTCGCGCACAAAGTTTGACTGGGTCGTGACGTATTTTGAAAAGACGCCAGCGACTCCGGCGGGTATCGATCTGTATGTGCGCGATCCAAGGGATATGCCCAAGGCAACCTACACCGCCATCGTCGAGTACATGAAGGCTCTCGCACCGCAGTATGCTGCCGATGCGGATCCTAAGCGCAAGCAGCTCGCTCAGGACCTCGCCAAACTCGCAGAAGAGTTCTTCGATATCCCCCACGACATCTAATCCTTCTCCACCGACTCTGTTCCGTGTCTTTGTTACAGGCAAGCTGATACCCTTGCTATTCCAAGCTTGCAATATCCTCGGCGTTCCATCCGCAACATCGTCGTTCGATCATGTGTGCTGCAAAGCGAGCTGAGGCTGAATGTGAGCTGCTTGATGTGTTTCGGTACAATTACAGTGTAGGCTTTGGGCTGTGCGGCGGTCGAGTCTAGGACCAGTCGAGATCATCGTCGTTGAACTTGTTCCACTGTGGCTTGGCGCCTGGACCCGCAAGTGCCGACGTATCCAGCAGCGGTTTGCCATCTGCACCCACGGGGCCTGCGGCATCGATGGGAAGACCGTCAGGACCGAGCTTTCCCGCAGCACGGTCTTTGATCGCCTGCAGCCAGCCACCTTCGTCGATGCGCTCCGTCTCCTGCGCTGCCACGCGGCGGTAGTAGAAGTCCTTGCGCGGGTCGTACTTGATGCGGTCGTCGCGCAACATTCGGTTGTCGACTCGTGCATCCTCGCCCTCAACTTGCAGCACTGCTTGTGGCGTCTTGGCCTCGATCACCTGTCAATCCCAGCACAGCGATGCTCCGTGTCAGAAAGCAGAGCACAGCAGAGAGAATTTGTGGTGCGGACACTTACGTAGTGGTTGTCGCAGTGCGGACAGAACTCGTCCGACTCTTCGTACTGCGTGAGGTCCTTGCGGAACGCCTTGCGGCACTTTTTGCAGATGAACGCCATCTCGACCGTCTTGCGCAGCCCGTGGTCTTGCGATTCGGCGTGGCATTCCGGGCACTAGCGGGTAGCTCCTCTGCGTCAGCCTCTGCGAGTGTTTCCGGCTATGTTGCGGTATGAACGATGGTACTCACGTCGAAGAACTTTTGGCAACAAGGTGCACGGATCGACACCTGTGCGTTGAGGATGTGCTTGCTGTACGAGCCGCAGTCGACCCAGGTTGTGAAGTTCAGTCGGATGCGCAGTGCCTGCATACGGGGAACACCAACTTACCACATGGCTGGCCGGGGTCGCAGAGCGTGTAACGAGGGGCGGTGGACGATGGAAGGCAAGGTGAAGCCAAAGTGACAGGACGCAGCGCGTGCGGGAAACCAACACTTTTTGGCTTCCAACGCATGCCGAGGCTTTCTTCGCGCACTTTACGCGCCGCGTGACGCCGCTCGACTCGGACGAGATTGCATTTCCGCCCCACTCAGCACGCAGCACTCATACCGACACACACACAACCTCAGACGGACATAGAACGGGTATGAACAACTGCAAATGTATTATGCGACCACACAAGTGAAGAAGTGAGCAGCGACAATCGTCGTCTTAAGCCTCTGCGTCCTCTTCCTCCTCCTCCTCCTCGATGGCGCCGATCTCAAACTCGCCAATAACGTCCCAACGCGATCCGCCCGCGGACGCAGCGAGGTACTTGACGAAGCGCATCACGCCCTCGTCGCGCAACACCACACTGAGAGTGTTGAAGCTTGGTGTGAGGTTGAGCAGCACGCCGTCAAAGTCTTCGTCTTCCTCGCCGTCGTCCTCGATCATCTCGACGATCTCCTCCTCCTCGTCCTCGCCCGCATCCTTCATCTCCTCGTCATTGTCGGCTTCCTTCTTCTTGCCGCTGTTGCCGCTCTGGTACACTGCGGGGTCCTCCTCGCCCTCGTGCGGTGCCATGTAGCACTCCCAGCCGCCAATGTCGCCGCTCTCCCACCTCGCCTGGAGATCCTTGGCCTCCTTTTTGGACAGCAGGCCATTTGCCGCTGCCGAGGCGGGCGCGGTCTTGGGCTTCTTGGCTTTGCCCGCCAGACCGCGCGGGCCGGCCTTGCGCTCTTCGTCGAGCGACGGCTTGACGACGTCCGGTGTGAGGTTGAGCGTCACATCGAGCACGGCCTCGGGATCGCTGCGTGCGAGCGTGTAGTCGAGGCCAGGGCGGAATCGACGTGCCTCCACAGGTCGAGCGCCGAGCGGGACGAGCTGCGAGATGTTGGCGAGGAAGTGGCGGAAGGCGTCCGAAGGGAAGAGCACGGTGCTGAGCAGGCGGAGCAGCTCGCTCGCATCCGTGGGGAGTGGGTTGGGCACCTGCGCCTGCTGCGATGCGATGTCGGACGCCTTGGCAGGAGTTGCCTGGTCTGCGAGGACTGCGTAGCGCTGCTTGTGGGGGGGACCGGCGATGGACCATCGCTTCGCCTCTGCATCAGCCTCGGCAGCGCGGTCGGTGCCAACGCCGTGCGCCTGAATACGTGTCGACTCCTCGCCCTTGCCCGAGGTCCACCACTGGAATCCATCGCGTGCGTCCGCCGAGCGCAACGCCTTCTCGATCGGCTGCGCGATCTCTTTGCGAAGGATGTCCGAAAGCAGGACATGTGAGTCGTCGCCAAACTGCTCAAACAGCTGCTCCTGCGTCTTGTCAACGAGATACGCCGGGTTGAGGAACTGGATGAGGAACTTCTTCTCGGCCTGCGACAGCGGCGACCCTGGCAGTGGTGGCGCAAACGACTCTGGGTACTCCTCGAAGCGCTTTGCGTTCTCCTTGGCAGACAGGCTCTCGAGGCTGCTCATCTCCTTCTCCACCTCGGCCTCCTTCTTTTCGTCTTCGGTGGTGAAGCCTTCCTCGCCCTCCTGCGGACGGTGGAACCATCCAGAGATGCTGAGTCGCGACTGCGACGGGTGCACCACCTCCTCGACCGAGTGGAACGAGTGGCCGGGCTGGACGGTGAAGAAGGTGAACTGGTTCCAGCGTGGCGGGACGATCTTGCTGGGGACGTCGTCGGGAGTACCCTTGGTCTTGACCGGGTAGAGCTCGAGGGCGCCTCCCCACTCTGGCTGCCATGGCTGGTCAGGGTCTGGGAGATAGAGGATGTAGGAAACACGGCGTGTCGAGATGACGTCGTCGTGGTTGAGAAGGTGGCAGCCCTGGCGGTAGTCGTTGATGCTCATGTCCTTCTTCTTGGCACTGAGCGGACCGCAGCCGGTGACGCCCTGGAGCCACGACCTGAACTCAGCCGAGTAGATGGCGTTGCGGACGCGCAGCAACGACTGCAGGCGACCCGCTTCCTCCTCCGGCAAGCCATCCAGGTTGGCAAGGTCGCCGGTCTGGTTGACCTTGTAGATGTCGGTCTCCTTCTCGGCAAAGCGCAGCTCGTCGATGATCTCTTTTCGGGTAGCCTTGAGCAGCTCCTCGTCGATCAGCGCAGGGATGACGGCGTGCTTGTACGGAGCGCTAGCCTCGTAATCTTGGTTGTACTGCTTGACTGTGGTGTCGTCCAGGAGGTTGGGCGAGAACGCCGAGGCGACGCCGGTTGTTGCGGCCATGATGGAAAGTGTGTGCCTGCCGTTTTGAGCTCGGAAAGTCGGTATGCTCTGGACGTGCAGGTCGGGAGTCAAGATGGGGTTGCAAAGCGAGCACGGTTGACCCAGACTTGCAGCTGGCCGCTTCTTCTTCTCGAAGTGGAGTTTCGGAGGGTTTAGCGCACCGACCTCAAATTTTTAGGCTGGGCGGCATTCTTCGCACGGCGCTGATTTTCTCGTGCGTATCTCATCCACCACGGTCTAACACGCCCAAACCGAGCGGCGCGGGCGCCGAGGAGGCCGATGCAGAGAGTTGTGAAAAAGGACTTCGGAAGCGAAGGCTGCCACTCGAGTGTGTGGTTTGGAGGCGGCAATCGGGAGGTGGTGCTCGCTATCGCCTTGAAGGTCAGGCGCTTCCCCACATTCCGCAGTCGCGGCCAGGGCACAGACACTTTTTTTGGGCTCCTCCTCCACCATGCCCAGCATCCGAAACATCAGCCGAGACGGCGCCCATGTCGTGTCAACGGTCGGGGTTTACCCCACAGGTGTTCAGAGCTCCCTGCATGGCTCGGTGTCAAGCGTTCCGATAGGACTGGTGGCGTGTACACATGCACTTTCACAGTTGCCGAGTGAGATCTGTTGAGGTCCATTTGGCGAGCGAGCGGCGCTTCTTTCTATCTCGCGTGTTTCGGCAGCCTCGCAGCTTGTGTTACCCCACACATGCTCGAGACGTAGCCTCTGCTGCAGCTTTCCTCCACACCTCATCTTGTTCCATAGACCCTTTGCGACGACCAAGCGTGAAAGTCGCTGCCTTCTCCACAGTGCGCGCTACTGAGTCAATCGACACGGGACACCAACATTGCCCTGGACAGTCAAGCATATAAATCGCACCACTCCTCGCCGAGTTCAATCTCTTTCCCACAGGCACACTGGGCGGCACAGCATCGCCAAAGCCATTCGAGAACCCCAGGACATCCTCCATCCTCAACCATAACAGTCAACCACCTACCGCAGAATCGACACCATGGGCAAGGACGAGGGCGCCGACGAGTCGAACCTGTTCAACATCATGTTGGAGCAGGCGGACGACATTGACTTTTCGGATCCGTCCAAGCCGCGCGATCAGCAAGTGGACCCGACGGAGCTCAAGGTTGCCGGGGTGGAAGTGTCGAAGCTGTTCTGCGTGGTGTACTGGGCGCTTCTGCACTCGGAGGACGAAGAGGGCATCACGGCCGGACTGGACATGATGAACATGCAGCAGGCCAAGAAGGCGGTCAACGGCACGTTCCAGTTCAACGTGCGACCCGCTCCAGAGTCGGGTGCGGGCAACGAGGTGATCCAGTTCTACGTAGACATGCGTCGCGAAGGCACCATCATCCGCGGCCCCGGTCCTGCCAAACCCAAACCGGACTGCATCCTCACCATCAACGACCGCGACATGATCCGCATCGCCCTCGGCCAGATGAGCCCGCAGGCGGCGTTCATGAAGGGAAAAGTCAAGGTCAAGGGCAACATCATGCTCGGCCTCCGCATGCAGACCGTGCTCATGAACGAGGTCAAGAAAATGTCGCGCGTCGCAAAGCTCTAGCTTGCCCTTCTTAGCCCTCGTTCTCTGTGTCGCTTGATTTAATTCAGTTTCGCCTTTGACTATCACAGAGACGCGGTGTAGGAAGCGAGCTGCAAACGAGTGTGATGTCTTCCAAGAGCATTATGTACAAACGAACGAAAAATAGACAAAGAGTGTGCAAGAAGGAGCAGCCTCTTCCCAGCAGTGGGGGAGAGCGAGCGCGCCTACAAACGAAGGACGAAGGGGCGGATGGAAGAGACGCACTGTAGAGCCGTGGGATGCGAGGGCGACAAGATGCAGCGGGCATGCGGAATCCGGCTTGCGAGGCGCTACCAGAGCGACTCGGAGCCGCGTGTACAAAAGAGGAGAGGACGTCTAGAGGAACGCGGCACCGACAGCAGCAAGGCCGACGAGCGCGCTGGCGAAGCCGGCGAGCTTGTTGTTGGCGTTGGGTGCAGCCGCCGAGGACGACTTGATGCTGGTGGCCTGTGCGGAAGCGGCCGAGGACCCTGTAGAGGAGGTGGGAGCGGCGCTCTTGGTCGAGGTGAAGGAGAAGAACGAGGGGGCCGAAGATGCGGTGGCCGAGGCGGAGGCGGCGGCAGCGGTGAGCTGACCGGTGCCGGCGGCGCCCGAGACCTGCGACATGACGGTGGAGTTGAAGTTGCCGGACATCTGGTCGAGGGTGAAGCGGGCGGAGAAGGCCATGGGCGGGATGCCGCCGGCAGCGCTGGTGTTGGTGCCCTCGAAGCGGAGGAAGTAGTAGCCGCCGTTGGGGCCGGCGTTGGCGTCGATCGAGTATCTGGCCTCGCCCTGGTCGTACGAGACGTTGGTGTCGAGCGTCTGCAGCTTGTACTGCACGTCGCGCGAGCCGGTGGCGAGGTAAATGTTGACACGGCCCCAGTCGCGGCGCGAGGGCGACTTGCCGTCGTCGTTCCACTCGACACTCAGGCGCTTGCCGCCGTGACCAGTGGTGGAGCTGTGCGAAGAGATTGGACATGGGGTCAGCATACAGGTGTGGGCGTTTATGCACTGTGCCAAGAGCTCTGGACTCACGCGACGGGCTTGGTGATGACGATGGTGGAGACGGCGGCATCGGCTGCGGCGAGCACGAGCACGGCGAGAGTTGCGACCTTGGTAGCGACCATTGTGAATGAGCAACGAGAGTGTCGAGAGCGGGTATGGAGGGAAGGCAAGAAAGAAATGAGAGTGGATGCGTTTTCCGAAGCCTGCGGTCAACGAAAGGGGTCTATGGAGGAGTGGTAGGTGGGAGTGGATGTGGAAAGGTGAAGAGAAGAGGAGCGGAGCGGAAGTTACGCGACTATGAGCGGTGCAGAGGAGAGCTGGCAGCTGTTGAGGAGGTTGCAGTCGCAGTGTCGGTCTCAGGCAGAGGAGAGGCTGCCGTGGTTTGAGCAACTTTGCGCCGAAGCAGGCGAGGCAGCTGCATGAATGAGCAGAGCACGCCGAGTCGACACGAGCCGCTCGGCGCGGCCGACGACGAGCTGGCGATTGGGCCTCCGACAGCTCGCTCTGACCCCAAAGCTCCGGGCAGCGTCAGGAACCGAGCGTGTGTCGCCCTCTTGACACCGCGGCCAAGATCGAGCCGCTCGCTCGGGCAACAGAACTCGCCCCCCATTGTCTTGCAGGTGGGCTGCAGATTGCTGCAGCGCACTGCAGCGCGACGCTCGGAACGGACGCTAAGTTATCCTCGTATGAGGCTCCTCACTTGGATCCTTCTGCACCTCATTTGCAACGATCTGCACCCACGGCATTCACTTTGCGGCATGACGTTGGTCTTCCCTCCTGCGATGCTGATCGCCCAGCCCCTTTGTAGCAACTTCTGACAAGCTCGGTCGGGCCAGAGTGACACTTGGTCGCGTGCGAGACGCGTCGAGAGCAAGACCGCCAGCGCAACAGGAAGCAGCAGAAGACAAAAGGGCTCAATTTGAATTTAGGGCCCAGATGGCTAGCTTCATGCGTGTTTTTTTTTTCTTCGGTTTCGGCTAGGCTCGGTGGATTGCCAGCGAGGCATGCAGCTCGGGTCGCTGCTGCGCCAGCTGAAACCAACCTCATCGCGCGTTGCGGCACGCGCCTCGATTGCAGAAGAACATTTTCGCAGGCTTCTTTCTTCGCCCGCTCACTTGGCTCGGCACCGCCATGCAGTCCATGCTGCCGGCCGTTGGCTGCTGCTGTTGGCTTGCCCAGCACGAGGGCTGTGCCAAGATCTCGCCTGGCTTTAGTTTTTGTTGTTGATCAGCATGTCAGATCTCGTCGCACAGCTGTCCTGAAAGCTCGTGTCGGTCCGCATTCCAAAGAACAAGAGCTTCGTCGTCGGTTGAATCGCCGTGTCATGCAGCCCTACCCTAGCATTCGTCTCGGATGCTGAGCACCTCGCTAGCCAAACGCTGTACGGTATGCAGCCAAGACAATGGGGGCCACGAGTTACCTCGGAGTGGTCAACACGCACTTACAGTAGTCGCCGTGGCTCGATCCATGCATGCCGAGCCGAATGTGCTCATCCGCCCGCAACTTCTCCCGCCCCGGTGATGCAGTAGCGGCGTACGGCTCGCAGGTGGCGTCATGCGACAATGTCTTGATCGCCGCAATGTTGACGCAGCACAAGTCGGAGCCCAGCCGGCTTCATGCACCAAAAGGTGCTTGGCACCACGCTCCTCTTCCGTCCCGGTCGGCGGGGCATTGAATGCGACGCCCAGCCAAGCACAGGCCGTGCCAAGCGTAGACGCCGCGCATGATCTGCGCTGCATCAATGCGCATCGGAACCAACACGGCAAGCAACATGCCTGTTCCGTCAATGTGTTGCGGCAGCGGTCATCATGGCAGCGAGCAAGCCCCGATCAAGCCCATGTCGGGCAAGTCAGATCGGCGATAGATTTTTGATGGTGACCCTCCACAAGAGACGCCAATTTGGAAGCGGGGCATCTGGCTTCGTGCACGGCCCAACCATGCCTCCCCACCGCAAGCTCGGGCTGCTATGGACATGTGACAGGCAGGCGCCGCCCTCCCAGCCTCGCTCCGGGCGAGCTTATGCTATGCGGCTGCAGCCATTTGCCTTTGAACGAGTCGGCTCAAGACGAGGCCGTAGTTCAGCGGCAATGCATTTGCCATCGCAGCCTCCATCTCGCCTTGCTCTCATCCCTGGTCCCGTCTGAAGAAGCACAAACCACCAGACGCTCAACATGTCGAACAGCGCCGGATACACGCCCAAGGATCCCAATGTCAAGCTCTTCAGCTTGGGTGACTTTGAGTTGCTATCGGGCGAAGTGATCCCAAACGCCCATATCGCCTACCGCACTTACGGCGACGCGAGCAAGCAAGCCATCGTCTATCCGACCTGGTACTCGGGCACCATTACCGACGGCAACGAGTGGCTGATCGCCCTTCCTGGCTCTCAGCCCGAGACGCGCTCGCTGGATCCATCCCGCTTCTTCATCATTGTCCCGGCGCTCTTTGGCAACGGCGAGTCGAGTTCCCCCTCGAACCATCCTCTCGGAGCTGCGCTACCACGTGCGACGTTCTACGACAATGTACGTGCTCAGCACAAGCTGGTATACGAGCACCTTGGCGTGCAGGGCAAGGTCGTGGTTATTGGCTGGTCCATGGGAGCAGGACAGACATTCCAATGGGCGTCGCAGTTCCCCGACTCGGTGCGTGCAGCTGTGCCCTTCTGTGGATCGGCACGCACCGCGATTCACAATTGGGTCTTTCTCGAGTCGCTCAAACAAACACTCCGCCTCGATCCCAAGTTCAACGGTGGCGAATACAGCCCTGACGACCCGCCGCTTGAAGGTCTCAAGGCTTTCGGAACCATCTATGCCGGTTGGGGGTTCAGCCAGGCTTTCTACCGCGAGGACATGTTCAAGAAACATTTTGGGCTCGATGGAGCCTCCAACGTGCTCAACAACTTCTGGCATGCGTGGGCCACGTCCAAAGACGCCAACAATCTGCTCTACATGATCTACACCTGGCAGCATGGGGATATCGGCGCACAGCCAAAGTATGCGGGTGCAAGCAAGCGCGATGTACCTCAGAGCAAGGGCGGCCGGCTGGGCACACGCGGTGATGGTGGAGCAGTGACAGACGATGATGATCAGGCATTCCACAGGGCTCTGAAGGCAATCCAGTGCCCGACAATGATCGTGCCAGCAAAGACCGACTTGTACTTCCCGCCCGAGGATTCGGAAGAGGAGGCCCGCATCATGGGCGACACCGCTGCGCTTGAAATCATCCCCACCATTTGGGGCCACTGGGCAGGTGGACCGGGCGACTCCAAGGACGACGTCAAGTGGCTCGACGACAAGATCTACGCCTTCTTCCAAAAACAAGGCATCCTCGACTGATCACATGTCCGTACTGTCATTAGATCCAATGCATTCCTTTCCGTCCAGACATGAAGACGTGCGAGCTAGCAATGTGGTGCTGGAGTCTAGATCTTGGACGCGCGCGCTTCCTGGTCTCGCACCTCGTCCCACAAGCCGCCTGCGATCTGGGCCGACTGGATTCCGTCCTCCTCGTGGCCTTTCCACTTGCCGCCGCGCGAAAAGGCGTTTCGCAGATGGCTCACAAAGATCGTCGGTTCCTCGTGCGCGGCAAAGTGGCCTCCGATGGGCGACTTGGCGATCCATCGCGTCTTGCCCGACGTCGTCGTGGCATCCACGACGAACTTGGGTGTGTTGACGAGCTCCTGTGGGAAGTCTGAGTAGGCGAGCGGTACGGGCAGCTTGTACTCTGCGCTTCCGTGGATCTCGGGCAGGAAGAGGTTGACCGTGTAGGGGATGAACGACGTTCCGATGGACGAGGTGAACCAGAAGAGTGTGGCGATTTCCAGGCATGCGTCCATGTTGAGGCGCGGGTGGTCGGGCGCTCGCTCGCTCAGCGTGTCGTAGATGTTGCCGAGCCATCCAAGCAGGCCGACGGGCGAGTCGACAAGACCATAGAGCAGCTGTGCAGGACGCGTGCGTTGCACATCGTAGTACGCGCGGTTCTGCTCAAAGTACATGCCCTTGGCTGCCATCACGAGATACTCCTGTCCGTAAATCAGCTTGGCAACGCCGAGCGTCACCTTGGCCGGGAGCGAGTTGAGCATGAACTTGCTCAGTCCCTTGGCGGCGACGGGGCAGAAGTTGAGGTGCACTGCTCGGCAGCCAGTGCCGTCCTTGTGCGAGTGGAAGACACCCAGTGCACGCGCGTGCGGGCTGCCCCAATCACCACCCTGCGATGCATACTTGTCGTAGCCCAGTCCGCGCATAAGAGCATCCAGGATGCGCGTGTAGCTGCGCACCTCTCCGAGCTTCTTGTTCGGGGGCGCGGTGGAGTACATGAAACCCGGGAGCGAGGGAACGACCACATGGAATGCGGGCGCATCCTTGTCCGCTGGGTTGACGAGCTCGTCGATCACATGCGCGAACTCGAACCAGCTTCCGGGCCAACCGTGGATGAGCATGATGGGGATGGCGTCCGGGCGCGACGAGCGCTTGTGCACAAAGTGGAGCTGCGTGCACCAGTCGACCGAGGTGGTGAAGTGCGGGAAGCTGTTGAGATGCTTCTGGAACTTGACAAAGTCGAACTTGGCCCACTTGTCCACAAGCTGCTTGACGAGCGGAAGATCCGGCTTGTAGGTCAGCTTCATCGGCTGGCGGTCGTCCTCGGGAAGGTAGGGAGCCGTGGGGAGGCGCGTGTTACGCAGTCGGCTGCGCAGGTCGGCGACCTCATCGTCGGTGTAGACGATCTCGAATGGCTTGGGCGTAGTGATGGGCGGAATGGCGGACGACATTATCGGTGACACGAACGAGAGACGCGGATGATGTTGTACAGAAGAAGGAAGTGAGGGAGGGATGTCCTTTGTACCACCTTCAACGACAGCGTTGGATGGTGAGGGCCGTGCGGTCGGCTCGAAAAAATGTTCGGATGCACGGGGCGCAGCTGAACCGGTTCCCGGGACGCCCTCTTGCAGCAGGTCGAGCTCCCAAACGGGTTCCACCGGCCAACAGACCCTTTGCGGCTCTGGTTACCGTCGACGGTTCTAAGCGCCGCTGACCTCTTTTTCTTCCTGTCGTTGCTGTCAGCCGCTTTTCACGCGTCTCCATCAAGTCGCTCTGGGTAACCGCCCAATAAGAACGATGCGGCTCCCACCATCCAAAAAAATTGCCGCAAGTCGCAGGCGCCAGCGACCAACCGCAAGTCGTCCAGCATGGACAATGGCAGCGCTGTACAGGTGGCAGGGAGCCGTACGAACAGCAATGGTGTTGAAGGGTCGCTACCACGTCCGTCCCTCGGCCTAACACGATCCAACCCTCGCTTCAACCCTTCCTGGCTTACCGCAGATTTCAGTCGGCTGCCGTTGAAGGACAATCAAGACCGACATTCCAACCAAAGGTCGAGCTTGGGCTGTCAGTGCTCTTGCACGATGGACTCCGTCCCGAGCTACAATGAGCGAGGCTTTCCTTTGACCTTTCCTCGTGTGAGCAAGTGATTCTAGGCGTGTCCGGCAATGCTGAGGGTAAAAGCGTTATAGCCGAAGCGACCAACTGGACCCTGTTCACGGCAACTTGCTTTCGCACGGGCTTCTGTGACTCGAGCCCAGACGACCTTCTTAACTACTTCGAGCCGGCCCTCACCAGCGCACTCGACCTCTACCATCCTTATTTCGACACCCTACAACATTTGACTAGCTCCACCAATCGACCGTAGCCATGTCGTCGAAACCCACCGCATACCCGTTCCACCAGGTGGACGTGTTCACCGACACGGCCTACTTCGGCAACCCAGTCGCCGTGGTCAACTGTCTCGACACTTCTCTCCCCCTGCCATCGCAGGAACAGATGCAGCGTTTCGCGCGATGGACGAACCTCTCCGAGACCACGTTCCTGCTGCCTCCTTCTCGGGGCGCAGAGGCGGACTACCGGCTCAAGATCTTCACGCCCGTGGAGGAGCTTCCCTTTGCTGGCCACCCGACGCTGGGCAGCTGCTACTCTTTCCTCCGCCACCTAGGCGATGAGCGCTGCTCGTCACTGCTGAAATCTCGTGGAGGCAAGCTCGTGCAGGAGTGCGCTATTGGGATGGTGCCGCTGCAGGTGTCTCCTGATGCGAGCGAGGTGCGCTTCCTCGCGCCGGAGTTTGTGCGATACGAGCCGGTCGATGCAGCAACGGTGGAGCGCATCACCCGCGCACTGTGCCTCGACCCAGCGGACATTCTTGACGCACAGCACATCGACAATGGCCCGCACTGGATCGGCATCAAGCTTCCTTCAGCCCAGCACGTGCTCGACATCAACCCAACCAATCCGGGGTGCGATGTGGCCTCGGTCCGCGACCTCTTCTTTGGCTTCATTGGCCCTTACCCTGATGGAGTCAATGCGGACGGGGAGAAGCTGGCGAACGAGGTGCGAGCTTTTGTGTTTGCCGACATCGGCGAAGACCCCGTGACGGGCTCGCTCAATGCCGGCTTTGCAAAGTGGCTCGAAGCGACAGGAGACAGTCCGGCGACAGAATACGTCAACTCGCAAGGCACCGCCATCGGTCGCAAGGGCAGGATCAGCGTCAAGATCAATCGCACACCATCCAGCGACAAGTCTGAGATCTGGATCGGCGGCTCGTGTACCGTCTGCATTGACGGACAAGTTCACATCTAGGCTGCTGAACGTACAATCTCGATCTCGAATCTCCTGTGCACTCTGTGTATGTTTAATCTAGGTACATCTGCGGCAGGTGGGAGTCTAGTTCTGGGCGACGAAAGCGGTGCCGTTCCACTTCTGCTTGGTGTAGTCGACGGCCTGCGACTGGAGCGCGCCGGAGCTGGGCGTGATGCCGTAGTTGATGGGGCGCGTGAGCTTGTTGGCGCCCTTCTTGACGTTGAACTGTGCGATGAGCTGTTCCGGGGCGTTGGGGTTGGTGTTGTTGACGTAGCCGTAGAACTGGGCGTTGCACTCGTCCTTGCTGAACTCGATCTCAAAGTAGCCGCGCGTGCCACCCTCGGCCCACTGAAGGTTGCGGTTGACGGTGACGAGGTCCTGCGCGCGCTTGAGGTACTTCTCCTGCGTCAGGTTGGCACCGTACGAAGAGGGCGACGAGACAGCGGTGCCGGCAAATTCGACGGCGATCGAGCCTTCGCCCGTGGTGGGGTCGTAGGCGGTGGTGTTGAGACGGTCCTCGGGCACGGTGTCGTACACCCAGTTGGCGTGCGAGTCGCCAGCAAGGATGACGGTGTTATCGACGTTGTTGTTGACAATCGTGTCGAAGAAGCGACGACGATTGGCACGGTATCCCTGCCAGGCGTCGTAGTTGTATATGAACGACGGCGTGCCGTAGTTTTGCCAGTTGACGATGATCTGCTGCGCAACGATCTTCCAGGTGGCACCGCGGCTCTCCGAGTTGACGAGGCCCGAGTAGAGCCACTGCTCCTGCTTGCCGCCCATGAGCGAGCGGTCGGTGTCGTTGCTGATCGCAGCCACGGCATCCGTGTTCCAGTAGACATCGGTGAGGTCGCGGTCAAAGTTGCGCGTGTCCAGCAGGAAGAGGTCGGCGAGCTTGCCGTAGCGGAAGCTGCGCCAGATGCGCAGCGAGTCGGTGGTGTCGACCTGACGGATGGGCATCCACTCGTAGTATGCCTTGACTGCAGCGAGCTTGCGCTCGGTGAAGCGCACGCCGCGAACCGCACCGGTGTCGGTGTTGTTACCGTCGGCGGTGCCGTGGTTGTACGAGTTGTCGGCAACCTCGTGGTCGTCCCAGATGCCAAAGAAGGCCACACTGCCGTGGAGGGCCTGCAGGTCCTTATCCTTGCGGTACGAGCCGTAACGCAGACGGTAGTCTTCGAGGGTCACAATCTCGTGATCAGGCTCAGGGACACGGTTGAGCGCCCGGCCATCACCGTACGTGTTCTCGCCAGCCACCTTCTGACCGTCACCACGAGCCTCGTAGATGTAGTCGCCGACGTGGACAAAGTAGTCGGCGTTCTTGCGGGCGGCAGCCGCACGGTAGGCGTTGAAGTAGCCAAAGGGCAGGTTGGAGCACGAGAAGACGGCGAGCTTGAGCGAGTCGACCTCCTCGTCGTTGTACTCCGGGATGGACTTGAAGCTGCCGACGGGCGAGACGACCGAATCGTCGTGGCACGAGAAGAAGCGGTAGTAGTACTGCGTCTTGGGCTGCAGACCAGACGTCTCGACCTTGAAAGAGTAGTCGACCTCGCTGGTGGTCCAGGCGTAGCTGTCGTCGACCAGGTTGGCCTTGGACCAGTCGCTCTCGCTGCGCGAGGTCTGGTAGCGCAGGCAGACAGGGAGGGTGGTGTTGGCATCCTCGGGCACGGGGTGCGTCCAGAGGATGGCCGAGTCCGGGTACGGGTCACCTGCAGCCACGCCGTAGGTGAAGCTGACCTTGCCCTTGTACGCGTCGCGGCCGTCGGAGCCGTAGTCGCCATCGTACTTTTCGACGAGGAAGTCGGCTTCGGTCTTGCCCTTTGCGTTGTTCCTTCTGGCCTTGCCCTCGACCTTCGAGGTGACGTAGTCGTCGTAGGCACGCTTGCGGATCTGGGCGCCAATGTGCTCGATGTCGTGGCCGAGTCCGTCGCCGTTGCTCAGCGAGAGCGAGGGCGAGCGGTAGGCCAGGTTGCGCTCGAGCGGGGCGAGCGCCGACACCGACACGCTGAGCGCGGTGACGAGCGCCGCGAAGGGGGCGACAACGTTCTTCATGGTCGAATTTGCTGAGGTGCGGGTGCTGGTCAGTGAACGTCAGGATCGGAGCAGGTACCACAGCCTTTTTATATATGCCGATATGAACAGTGCAAAATCTGGTCTGTGCCACGGAAGACCCGGCTCTTCGCACGCCCGACCATTGAAGGGCAGGGCGTGCGAGCCGCTTAGGCGGGTAGTTCCACGGGCAGACACCCTCATTCAGTGGCACCGGAGGGAGACACGGAGGGCCATCCAAGCTAGACCACGTTGGGCTCGGTTGCAAGTCTTCTCAGACAAGAAGATAGTTAGCGAGCCTGCAAGAAACTCATTGGGAGCATCTCTTAAAATTGGCCGGCTATCCACTTGTTCCTCGCCTGGTGCCTCGACGGAGAGACAGCCGAAGCCACGCAGGGCAGCGACCGGCCCGACGCGCGGATCTGACCGTTGCGTAGTGCGGGCGAACGTGTACTCGTCGACAGGCGTGGCATCCATCGACAGCGCTTGGCTGGGCTTGGCGTTTCGGGGCCCGGAGCCTGCAAAGCAGGAAGGTGGGGGAGATCTGCGCCGTTGCAACGCGCTGCTTCTGATTCGTGCGCAGACGGACAGCCGTCGAGAGTGCAATGCGCTGCTGCAGCCATACCTACGGCCAGTCAAGAACCGCAGGGTGGAGAGGAACTTTCCCTGCCTTCTCTGCCTCTCACGGGCATTCTTTCAAGACGCTTTTTTTTAATTTCTTTTTTTATCTACAATTCTCACCAGTGGTCGCCAAAAGAAACCCCTTCGAGCCTAAGCGAGGCGAGAACGTGGACAGGTGTGCGTAGTGCTGCGTCTGTGCGTTCTTCTTTTCGATCCGTCGGTCGGTGAAGACGGCTCACGCCATCGTCATCTTCCAGACGACAGCAGTATGCTGAGCATGCCATCCGATCCGGTGCAGACGAGCCGCTAGGAACGTGCGCTCGCTTTGATGATCGCTAGGGTCCGACCATTCGCACGCCCCTTTCACTTCATGCATGCGAAGGTACAGCAACGGCTCAACCCCTTCCGTATAGCACAGCTGCACGAGATCATCATGAGTGGAATCGATTCAGCAGATCGGATGGAAGAATGACTGTCGTCAGGCGGAGAGGCCGAGACGGCCGAGCATGTCGCTCCTGTTGACGCCGGGAAGCTTGACCTTGAAGACGAAGAGCTGGGTGGGCACGTCCTGCGGGTAGGCGGCCGAGTAGGCGCCGGTTGCTCTCATGTAGCCGTCCTTGGTCTGGAAGTCGTTGTCGCTGAACGAGAGGAGATAGTACTCGTCCGGGTCGAAGCTGCTGTCGTTGTCCGACGCCGGCAGCGTAGGCAGCAGGATGAGGCTCTCGATCTTGGCTGCAAGAAGCGTGGGGTCGACCGGGCTGCCCGAGCTGTGCATGCCGAACCTGGGCAGGTCGGAGGTGTAGTCGACGAGGCTCGAGTAGGCGGCGAGGTTGATGCCGCTGGCGAGCTTGCCTCCGGGGGCGATGGCGCCCGAAGCGCTGTCGTACTTGGTGCCGGCTAGGTTGGTGGCGGTGGAGAGGTCGAGGATGTCGATGCTCTTGTACTTGACGCCGCTGTCGTCGCTGCCAAAGCCATTTCCGTCGCGCACGAGGATGCCGACGGTCTTGTGGCCGAGGTAGAAGAGGTCGTTGACGTTGCGCGCCTTGCCCTTGGACGAGGTGGGCACCTTGAACGCGTATTCTGCGATGAGCTTGACGCCGTCGCCCGGGTTGGCACCGCCCTGGTACGAGGTTACGCCCGAGAGCGACGAGATGTCCCACTCAAAGATGCGCACGTACGGAGCTCCGTCGCCGCCGTCCTGGACCAAAGCCGACTGCAGCACGCCGAAGAGCTGGTTGCCATCCCACGACACGGCCATGCCCTCGAAACCGGCGTTGGGGCTGCGGCCCGAATCGGGTGTTGCCTTGGAGGTGAAGTTGTACTTGCCGTTGATGCGCGGCAGCACGGCCTCGGGCGGCGTGATATACGCGATGATGCTTCCGTCGGCAGCCACCTTGTAGATGCCAGGAGTGTACTCCTCCGAAACCCAGAAGGTGCCGTCGGGGTTGGCCGAGAAGCCCTCAGTGTCGAAGGAGAGAGCAAGCGAAGACTTGGGCGTGTTGGCGGCGCTGAGCGGACCGTCGGAGGAGCTGGACCCGCTCAGGCCACCGGTCCTGGCTGCAGTGGGATCCAGACCAGTGGTGTTCTTGCCATTGGTCTCGTGGTAGAAGAGCGAGTCACGGTAGGTGATGTTGAAGAGCTTACTCGCCTGGCTAAAGGAGAGGTTCGCCGAGCCAGTGTATTCGGAGAACTGGAAGTCAAACGTGTGGTGACGAGCGACATAGTCGATCGTGGTCTCGACGTTGTAGCCGCGGTCGGGCTGGAGGTAGAGCTGGCCCGAGTAGGTGTTTCCGCTGCGCGAGAACTTGCCGGGCACGAGGCCGCCTGCCGATCCGATGCCGCCGATCGTCTCGCCGTTCTTGTCGCGGAGACTAGCCGAGTACTGGCCGATGGCGACGAGGCCTTCGGAGCTGAAGTCGGCGGGGTCGACGCCGCTGCCACGCTTGGCGATGGCGGCGCCCGAGGCGGCTCCCAATAAAGTCGAGGCGAGCGGTAAAGCTAAGAAGAGCTTGGACAGCATCGTGAGTGGGTGATGGAGAGGAAGTGGGGGGTTTGCGCTCTTGCGACTAAATCAAGCTTGACCTTTATGCTGTCCCGCAACGAGGCCCACCAGACCCTATCTGCTTCACATGCTGGGCTCATCAACACGTTGCTGTTGCCGGCGGTGGGGGCCAGAATGCATGAAGGCCGCCTTTCTACTTTTGACAGCGCGGTCGGAGTTGCGCCTTGTTCTTCTAGTCTTCTCGCTTAGGCGGAGTCGCTGCATTGAAGATGGGCACGTTCCATGCAAGAGCCGCCGTCAGATCCGCCCTTCCGCTGCGGGTCAACCAGAAATCCGTGCTTTCAGCCAAAAATATGGAATTTCATCAGTCACCTCCCGGCTACAGAGAACTTCGGTGCTTCATCGCTCCAGCTCTTTCAGGCACCAGTTCTAGACTCGCTCGTCCGCGGATGGCGAGCCGCAACAGCCGGTCCTGCGGTGTCCCTGACTCGTGTGTGGCGTCGGCAACGTGGCAACCTTGCTCAAAAGGTTTGGTGTGGCTGTGATGAGCCTGTCAGCATCGATGGGCGGTGTCCGAATGCAGAAAAAAAGTTGAGCGAGTAACCTCCACATTGGAAGCGCCGAAGTCGGTGTTGCGGTTACGAGAGCAACACCTCGCCCAGGCTTCCACCGCTTCCACCTTTCACATCTCGACCTGCTCCCACAGAGGCCTTGCTCAGCGAAAGACCAACTGCAAGGCACACCTCAGCCGGACGACATGGACACCGTCGTGGCGGGAGCGCTGGCGGCGTTCACAGTCGACCTGCTCATCTACCCGCTCGACACGCTCAAGACGCGTCTGCAGGCGCCGGACTCTGCCACTCGCTTCCCTGCCGGCCGTGGCCTGTACAGCGGCCTCTACCAGGGTGTCGGTAGTGTCATCGTCGCCACGCTTCCTGCAGCCGGACTCTTCTTCACCACCTACGAGCACTCAAAGAGCCTGCTGGCATCGTCCAGCTCGCCGCTTGCCAATGCACCGCCTGCCTTGTCGCATATGCTCGCCAGCTCGACCGCAGAGCTCGTCTCGTGCCTGGTGCTGACGCCGGCTGAGATCATCAAGCAGAGGGCACAGGTGGTCAACAAACAGCAGCAAAGTTCAATGCCATCCTCTTCGCAACCAAAAGCGTCCACGTCTTCCTCCTCGTCCGCAGCAACCGCAGTATCCGCAGCCAAGCAGGCGGTGCAGCAGGCCCATCCCAGTGACTCCAAAGTGCAAATCGCAAAGGACACGCTAAAGAACACCGTGGACAAGGTCACGAGGCAAGCGCCCCCAGGTAGTGCCGCCTCTACCGCAAGAAACGTCGTGCTCGATGCACAAGAGAAACTGCAGCACTCTACTGGTGGCAGATCCGACGCCTCTTCAAAAGGCCTAGCCACCGTCCGAACCGCTGCAGCGCCGCTAGCATCGACCTTCACTCGCTCCTATCTTGCTCTTGCCGGACGGAACCTGCCCTTTACCGCGCTCCAGTTTCCGATCTACGAGTCGCTTCGCGAAACCTTTGGCGCCTGGGCAGGACTCAAGGCCGGAACACACAAGGAGGACGGCGGCGTCGACGACGTTCGCACCTCCGAAGACTTTCGCCGCCAAGCTGCACGCGACCAGACCAGCGTATCAGCCGAGTTCGGCAAGGCCGGCTTGGTAGCGGGCGGCTCGGCGGCCGTGGCCGGCTCGTTCGCGGCGGTCGTCACTACGCCCATCGACGTGGCCAAGACGCGCATCATGCTAGACACTGGCGAGCAGGCAGGTAAGCAGCAACTCGGTGTGCTCGCCACAATGCGTCAAATTGCGCTCAAAGAAGGTTGGAAGGCACTCATGAAGGGCGGCGCACTCAGAGGCGCATGGACGGCTCTCGGTGCGGGTGTGTATCTCGGCAGTTACGAGGCTGGCAGGCTGTGGTGGAGAGACAGGCAGCGCCATGCCAACAATGCCTGAAATCATAGATGGATTGCTCGTGTCATACGTAGGTGCGGGATGATGAACTGTGAAGCTGAGCAGCGGTTGCATTTGTGAAATGTGGAGAAAGCGTTGAAATTCTGAGCTGTCAAGAGGACCCTGCTTCGAGCGGCTACCCCTACTTCCGTCCTAACATCCACATTGGTATGCCGCCGCCGCCGCTCAGCATCTCGGTCGACATGCTTCCATCTAGGCTTCACCAGTCCAGTCGCCTTCAGCTCTAAAGAGCACAGTCGCGGCGCCACATTAAACGACGACAGGGACCGCTGCGTCCTGCCCTTGCACAAGGCCGGCACTGCTCACGATGCCGTCTTCGGTGGCAAGTCACACGATCCCGTCTTTCTATGCATGCTACTTTTTGCGCTCGCTCTCGTCTCCCGGCATCACCTACATCGGATCCACGCCCGCTCCTCCGCGGCGCAAGCGGCAGCACAATGGCGACCTTACGCAGGGCGCATGGAAGACGGCGCGCTCGCGGCCGTGGGAGATGGAATGCATCGTCTACGGCTTCAGCTCCAAGATCGCCGCGCTCCAGTTCGAGTGGGCGTGGGCCAAGCCGCATCTTTCTCGCCACCTCAAGTTTCTTGCCACGGAGTGCTCTGCGTTTGGGACGCGCACCGACACATCCTCGCTGGTGGGGATGCCTCTCTTTCCGTCAACTAGCATGACTCCGGGTCAGACCAAGTGGGGAAAGCCGAAACGACGCATCGCTCGTGCGCCTGCCAGCCCGAATGCAAGGCTGCTCGCCATGCGCGCGCTGCTACGATCAGAACCGTTCTGCGGATGGGGACTCAAGCTCGCCTTCTTCACCGAATGGAGCTGGCTGGCGTATCAGAGACTCGAACGACAAGCGCTTGCCGACAACGCATCAGGATCCGATGCGATCCTTCAGCCACTATTGCGGTTCAGCAGGTCCGGCAAGCCACTACATCCCATGTATCCCGTGGCGCTGTGCGACTTCAGCGGCGTGGACGGTAAGCGCGTCCCGCTCGTGCATGTTTCGGCGGAGCATCGTGCAGGTGCCGGCGTCACCGCTGAGCCCGTCAAGAAGCGGGCCTCGAGTGCGAAAGCTGCAGTGGCAATGAACTCCGAGGGCGGATGGCCAGAGACGCTACCTAAAGGCGCCACTCTGAAATCGCTCGACGCGTGCATACAGGACTTTGCAGAGTTCCCCATGCCGCCAACGCCGCTGGAAAGCACCGACCTGACGGTCAAGGCCAAGCGAGCGACGAAGGCCGGTAAAGGAAAGGCAACCGAGGAAGATGAGCAAGACTCGGATCTAGCCGAGGAACTAGAGAATGGCACAGGCGCAGGAGCGGCTCCGATTGAAGGGCCCATGGCAGAGGACAGGATTCTGCATCGGATGCGGTTCGTCGACCTGGATGCGGAGGAAGCCGAGTGGAGCCACTTCGAGGCATCGCTCTCAGTCCACCTTGCGACCACATCGGGAGCGTCGGCTGGGGAAGCAGCGAGCGACTACATGCAGACGTGCGTGCAGCGGCACATTGCAGCTCAGGACGCGCGCACGATCAGCGACGCCCTCCCTGCTCCCACCGCGCCCTGTGCCCTGTGCCGTGAGCCAATTGACCTTACGCGCCATCTCGACTTTGCACTCTGTCCCCACCCGACCTCGAGCACGGCGCCGGTCGTGTCAACAACAGCAACACTACCGTCTTGTGGTGAAAGCGAGCGGTGCAACTCGGTGTACCATCTGTCGTGCCTGGCCAACTCGTTCCTCGAGCGGCAGAGTGCAGTTGCTTCGCAGGATGCGGATGCGGCAAGCAGCCGAAACACGGTTCTGCCCACGCACGGGATATGTCCGTGCCATCCGTCCGAGCGCTCAAACGGCGAGGATGGAGGTGCCAACAGTGTGACGTTGTGGGCTGACGTGGTGCGCGGCATGTACCGCCGGTCCGAACGGTTCGAGCGTCTGCTCCAGCTGCTTGTGCGCTCTGGTAGGACGCTGACGGATCTACGCAATCCACAGACCGTTGCCAAGCCAACCCGTGCCAAGAAAGGCGCCAAAGCAAGCGAGGATACTGCCGCTGGCGAGGCAGAGCAAACGGGCAAGAAGCGCAAACCACGTAAGCCGGCCACCCAAGCGGTAGATGCGGGTGCGGCAGAGGCTCCGCCTACCGAGAAAGCTGCGCGCAAGAAGCCCAGCCGCAAGAAGGCAGTACCGGCCGTCGATGTGATCGACTTAACGTAATGGTTCGAGCTCCCACACGAGATCACACGCTCTCAACACACTCTGCATCCATGCAGCACTCTTAGAAGCTTCAAATTCATTCTTGTCTTCGCGTGGAGTGTACGTCAGAGTTCGTCTTTGGCGCCGCCGAAGAGGCTGCCTAGGGGGCTCTTTGCCGTCTTCCTGGCCTTGGGCTTTGGCTGTGCGACCTTGCCCTTGTCCTGGAGGCTGTTTCCCCTGGTGAGCAGATTCATAAACTCGTAGATGAGGTCGCTTGCCGCATACGCCGTGATTTCGGCCTGGTCGTAGGCAGGGCTGACTTCGACCAGATCAAAGCCCACAAAATTAAGCCCCTCGAGGCCCCTCAAGATGCGTCGGAGCTCTCGGGGTGACCAGCCTGCCGACTCGAGCGTGCCCGTGCCCGGCGCAAATCCCGGGTCGAGAGTGTCGATGTCGATGCTGAGGTATACGGGCATGCTGCCCACACGCGCGCGGATGTTGCTGATGATGGCGGGGATGCCGAGGTCGTCAATGTCGTCCGAGGTGATGATGTCGAATCCGATCGAGGCATCGTGTTCGATGTCGTCGTACGAGCCGAGGCGCGTGCGGATGCCGGCGTGGATGGACTGGTTGCGTGCAATAAGACCTTCCAGTGCCGCTTGCCAGAAAAATGTGCCGTGCTGGATCTGGTGCTGTCGCGTAGGCGAGCCTGCAGGCGACACCTCGGGAGGCCAGGTATCGAGATGCGCGTCAAAGTGGATCACCGCAATGGGACCATAGATGCGGTGTAGCGAGCGCAGGATGGGCAGGACGATGGTGTGGTCACCACCCATGCTGACGATCTTGGGGTGGGCGCGTGCGTCGTGGGCCAGTCCAGCGTTGGAAAAGGCAGACCAGGCCTCGGACGACACTGCTGATTCGGGTGGAATGGGATCACTGCCAGCTGGACGCACCGACGGATCGGATGCAGGTACGCGCTGCAGCAGCGATGTGTAGGCGGCTTCGATCTGGTCGATGGCCAGCGCAGGGTCAAAGCCCGAGGTGGGTACGTCGTCGCAGTCGAGGAAGCGCAGTCCTGTAGAATAGGGATCCTGCATGTGGTGCAGCGAAAACGTGCGTCCTGCTCGCTGGCGTCGACTGGCCTGTCGAATCGCATGTGGGCCGAATCGTGCGCCCGGACGGTAGGTCACCGTGAGGTCGTAGGGGATGCCGAGCACGGCGACGTCGAACAGCTGGTCAGGGTCGCTCAGGCACTTGGCGGTGGGCAGGTGCGCGTACGTGTTGACACCTGCATACGCGGGCTTGGCCACTCCGGCGTACTTGGCCGTCCAGGGATCGCGAACATCGTTGGGGGGAAACTCGACGAGCGGAATGGGTGCGAAATCGGCCGAGCTGTGCGCACCTGCGCCATGGTGATCCTCATCGAGTCCGGGCGAGTGCGCGTGCGAGTGCACCAGCGTGGCTGCGGCGAGCACTGCCAGCGCCCAAAGCGTCGTCTTGCGCATCATGGCTGCTTGTATCCCGGCTGAAGGGGAGGCTGCACTTGCTGAGATGGCGTGTGGAGGCAACAATTTAGTCTAGATGTTGGGAACGGGTGGAATTGCGCTTGGAAGCTCTGCTTTATACGAAGCGGTGCCAAGCTGCGCGGGCCAGACGAGAAGTGGGTCATGCGACACCTCGCGAGACATATTCGCTCAGGGCCTCGTGACTCTGATAAGGTGCAGCCAAGCACCATCTCCGGGGAAAGCTCCGAAATGTCCGACTGGCTGTCAATGCACCCGAAACCTCGTTAAGCGTCGGGAGGGCTCGTTTAGCGGTCAGGTCCCGTTCAAGCAGCCGCGAGCCGCCGCGCGTTTCGCCGGTTTTGCTTTCTCATTTTGGGTGGATTTGGCGGTGTAACACTCTTGCAAAAAGCGCACCGCGAAGAAGGCCGAGCTCGGTGAATTCCAAGGCCGCTGCAGTTGTTGGTCATTTTGGCTTCGCTCCCTCCCACACGCCGAGTGGCGCTGGAAGAAAGTCTCCCACAGCGGGGTGATGCGGTCTGTGCGGCTGCAGCCAAATGTTCCAAGTTTCCACCGGAAACCTCGCTTCCTAGCCTCGTTGGGTGGGCCTCTTCCGCTTTCTCTTCCTCCCACCAACATCAACACCACCCTTTTCGCATCGGACGCCATGACCGCGGAAGATACCAAGTTCTACTACATCGGCGTCGACGTCGGCACGGGCTCGGCGCGTGCAGCGCTGGTCGACGACGATGGCAACATCCTCGCCGAGTCGACGCACGCCACACAGACGTACCGCGTCGAGGCGGATTCGCGCATCTTTGAGCAGTCGACCACCGACATCTGGGCGCAGATCAAGCTCGCCATCACGCAGGTCGTGGCCGCCTCTAAAGTCGATCCGGCGCGCATCAAGGGCCTCGGCTTCGACGCCACCTGCTCGCTTGCTGTCACCGACTTTGACGGTCGCCCCATCGCAGTGACTCCGCAGCAGCCGTCGTCGAGCGGGTGGGGTCCCGGCGAGCGCAACGTGATCCTGTGGGCGGACCATCGCGCCGAGGACGAGGCGGCGCTCATCAACGCAACGGGATCCAAGGTGCTCAACTACGTCGGCAAGACCATGTCGCTCGAGATGGAGATCCCCAAGATCCTGTGGCTCAAGAAGCACATGCCGGCGGAGCTTTTCAAGCAGTGCATGTTCTTTGATCTGCCTGACTATCTCACCTACCGTGCCACGGGATCGCTCGCACGCAGCAACTGCTCGCTCGTGTGCAAGTGCTCCTACATCCCGCCGGGCGTCGACGGGTCCGAGCTCGGATGGCAGCCCGACTTTTTCGAGCAGATCGGGCTGGGCGAGCTCGTCAAGGATGACTTCAAGCAGCTCGGTGGCGTTCCCGGCCGCAACGGCATGGTGCTTACGGCCGGACAGCCCGTCGGTCAGGGACTTACTGCCGACGTGGCTGCAGAGCTCGGACTGCAACCTGGCACGGCGGTGGGCTCGGCGCTCATCGATGCCTACGCTGGCTGGGTGGGTACCGTCGCTGCGCCGGCAACGAACGCAGTAGATGAGGCGAGCAACCACCCATCGCTGATCAGCTCGCAGAACCGATTGGCGGCGATTGCTGGCACCAGCACGTGCTACTGCGTCCAGTCGCCCGATGGCATCCTCGTCGACGGCGTCTGGGGCCCGTACAAGCATGCCGTGTTCCCCGGCCTGTGGATGAACGAAGGCGGACAGTCATCTACTGGCCAGCTGATTGACTTTATCATCGATACGCATCCTGCGTCTCCGCAGCTGCGCACGCTGGCGTCCGAAACCAACCGCTCGCCGTTCACGGTGCTGCACGACAAGATCGACGAGCTGGTCGCAGCCGCTGGTCTGCCCGACGCCTCGTGGCTCACCAAGGATGTGTTTGTGTATCCTGACTTCCATGGTAATCGCTCTCCGCTCGCCGACCCGCAGATGCGCGGTATGATCACGGGACTCAAGCTCGACCGCAGCCTTACGGACCTGGCCGTGCGCTACTACGCCACGCTCGAGGCGATTGCCCTGCAGACGCGCCATATTGTGTCCGAGATGAACGCAAAGGGCCACAAGATCGACGCGATCTACATGAGCGGTGGCCACGTCAAGAACGCAGTGTTCATGCAGCTGATCGCCGACGTGTGCGGCATGCCGGTGCAGCTGCCCTTCAGCTCGTCGGCGAGCGTCGTGGCTGGATCGGCGATTCTCGGACGCTTTGCCGCCGATGTCCAGGATCCCAAGGCTACCAATGCGTCGGGAACGTATGCGCCCAAGGTGGCAACGACCATCACGGATCAGAAGTCGGCAGAGACCGCTTCGTACGAGCATAAGGACCATCTGTGGGACCTCATGGTGCGCATGACCAAGCCGGGCACCCTCGTCTTCCCGCGCAAGGACGCCAAGCTCGCGGCACTGCTCGACGTCAAGTACCAGATCTTCCAAGAGTGCATCGCCACCCAGCGCAGGTGGAAGTCGATGGTCGCCGAGGTGCTCACTTAACCCCACCCTCCGTTGCGTATGGAATATAGAAGCGTGCAGTGCTGGAATGTATTGCGAGACATCAGAGCAGCTTGAGATGGCCCGTGAGCTGGTTCATGAGCGAGACGGGTGCCGGGCCAAGGCCGAGCACGGTGCGCGAGTTAGGTGCGATCTGCGTCCGCCCTCTGTGGAATCCGATCCGCACGTGCAAAGGCGGTGTCAGTCACGGCAACCAAGTTGGCGGGTTGGGGGAATCAAGGTGTGGAGTACGTACGCATCGATGATGGATCTGGCAGCGATGCCAAGTTCCTTGGCCTTGCTTTCGAGTTCGAGCATTGTGGGTTCGTCGGGGCACTTGACGGCGACTTTGGCCTGTCCAAGCGTCTCCCACTGCTTGACAAACGCCGGCGTGATCCTCCGTGCGAGCTTGTACACCGCGAGCGTAGCATGACCGCACTGAGCGGCGATCTTGCCCTTTTCCATCTTGAGGTCCATACGGACGGCAAGGATCATCTTGCACTCTTCGGTGCTGCTGACATTGGCGTCGTCGAGGTCGTCGTCGTCGGACGAGTCGTCGTCTTGGAGGATGCGGCGCGAGTTGGCGTTGTACGAGACGAGCGAGCGGCCCATGCCAGCAAAGTAGCCGATGGTGAGCGAGGCAATGCTCACCGCCACGAGCGTGGGCAGCATGGCTCCGCTGGCCGAAGTGGATATCGACATGGTCAGCGTGGGAAGCGGCAGAGTGTGGGATGAGGAGAGTGACAGGTGGAGGCACTCGCGCAAAAGCGAGAAGAAAAGCGAGAAGAAAAATCGGCCGAAAAAAAGACCGAGGAAAATCACAATCAGAGTGGCCTGCGGTGGGGGGACTTCACGAAAGCGCTGCGTGGCAAGCATGGCAAGCGTAGCAGCCCGGCAATCTCTGCTTGGATGCGCACGAGATTCGCGCTGCACCATCAAGCCGTCCCGACTGCAATGCAAGTCAGTCGGCATTGTCCTACACAACAATGGGCTCAGAAGATCTTTGCTGGAATCTGAGGCTTGATTGCAAGCGAGATTGCCGTTGTCTCTGATGCCGTTTGCGACCTGGTTGAGTGGCAATCTGCCGATGTGATCGACTGACACGCGAGCTGGCAGAGGATGCTCAGCGTCGGCGCATTTTGAAATTGGCCGCGTTGCGTCGGTGCCTCGGCAGGAGAGAGCAGGGAGCGGCGGCGGCGGAGTGAAGGAGAAATTGGCTGAGCAGGAGAGAGGGAGAGAGGTGATGTCGTGTGTGCGTGAGGGTGGGTGTGGAGCAAAGGCACTGGAGCAGTGTCCGAGTGCAAAAATTGTGCGCACTGCATCATCATCATCGTCGCCACGGGATGCCAAAAACGAGAAGAAATCCAACCAACCGCTGGTCGAGCGCTGCTCAGCTCAACGTGGGCAGAGACCGTGCGTGCGTGCATAGACCGCCCGTGCCCCCACTCTCTCTAGGAATGAACTCATTCATCGCATCGAGATTTCAGCCCGTCAATTTGTGCCTCAGCACAGCGCGCATTACATAGCCGCCCTCGTCACAGTCAGGCATCGTCGTTCTATATATACCTCCTACCTACCTTCCACCATCTCCATCATAACCCTTTCACACAGACAACCTCACATTCCCCTCCCTCACACCAGCAATCATGCCTCGCGGATACGGTATTGCCGACACCAAGAACTGGACCGACTTCAAGGTCCACGAATTCGATCTCAAGAAGGAGACCGACGACGATGTCGATGTCGCCATCACCCACTGCGGTGTCTGCGGCTCGGATGTCCACACCATCTCGGGTGGCTGGGGCCCCCTCTCGCACGACTTCTGCATTCCCGGTCACGAGATCATCGGCACCGCCATCAAGGTTGGCAAGAACGTCAAGGGCATCAAGGTTGGCGACCGCGTCGGCGTCGGTGCCCAGGTCGACTCCTGCGGCGAGTGTGTGCCTTGCAAGGACGAGGAGGAGCAGTACTGTCAGGGAAAGAACGGCAAGGGCATGGTCGACACGTACAACAGTGTGCACCACTGCGGTACGCAAGCCCAGGGCGGATACAGCACGCACATTCGTACCCAGCAGCAGTTCGTCTTCCCCATCCCCGAGGGTATCAAGTCGGAGCACGCCGCTCCCATGCTTTGTGGCGGTCTCACCCTCTTCTCGCCGCTCATTCGCAATGGCGCTGGTCCCGGCAAGCGCGTCGGTATCGTCGGCATCGGCGGTCTGGGCCACTTTGGCGTGATGTTTGCGCACGCACTCGGTGCCGAGGTGGTGGCCATCTCGCACTCGCCGCGCAAGCGCGAGGATGCGCTCAAGATGGGTGCGTCCGAATTCGTCTCGACGGGCGAGAACCCCAAGTGGGCCGAGGAGTACAAGGAGAAGCCCTTTGACCTCATCATCAACACGGCCTCGTCCAACGCTGTGGACCTCGCCTCGATCCTGAGCACGCTCAAGGTGCACGGCCGCCTCATTTGCGTCGGCATGCCCGAGGACGTGTTCAAGGTGCGCATCCAGAACTTTGCCGGCAACGGATGCCTCATGGGCTCCTCGCACATCGGCTCCAAGAAGGAGGCGCTCCAGATGCTCCAGCTCGCCGCCGAAAAGAACATCCAGCCCTGGGTCGAGGTGCTCCCAATGAAGGACTGCTCCAAGGCCGTCAAGCGCGTAGAGGACAACGACATCCGCTACCGCTTCGTCCTCGAGCAGGACATCGAGAAGAACTGAGCAGCCCAATCTTCTTGTGCGGACCTCAACTCGACGTTTCACTCTTTACTCTTCTGGAATAGCAAAGATCAAACTGCAAAAATGTGTGTGTGAGAGGCGATGCGAGCTATAGAAGTACAAATGGAGAGAGTAGGCGATGATGGCTACTTTTCTGGGTCGGCAGTCTGGGCGGGCTGTGATGCGCGTTTGGCGTCCCAGTCGCGGTCCCACTGAAGACGTTTGCCCACGAACATGGCAATCCAAGACAGCACCAACAGGACCGGCACCTCTACGAGCGGACCGATGGTTGCTGCGAGAGCCTGGTCGGAGCCCACGCCGAATACGGCGACGCACACGGCGATGGCGAGTTCAAAATTGTTGCTTCCTGCGGTAAACGCCTGCACAACAGCCATCTGGTACCCCCACTCCTGCTTTCCATACCGCAGCGAGAGCCACCAGATGAGCACGAAGCTGCCCGTCCACATGAGAGCAAAGTACAGCACCAGCGGTACGAACGTGCGGAAGACCGGGCCGAGGTTGTCGAGGATATGCTGCGCCTGTTCGGCAAAGATGATGATGATCGTATACAGCAGCGCGACGAGCGAGAGTGGGCCAAAGTAGGGCAGGAAGCTGTTTTGGAAGAACTTGCGTCCAAACAGGCCCAGCACGACGAAGCGCGTCAGAACGCCCGCGGCGAGTGGAATGCCCAGGTAGATGGCCACGGCAATCGCAACGTCGGAATAGTCGAGCTGGAAGTTGTCGTCGTTGGAGATGACGTTGATGAACAGCACGGCAAGTGGTGCATAAAGGACGATCTGGAGGATCGAGTTAAAGATGACGATGATGGCGCAGGTGGTGCTGTCGCCACGCGCGATCTTGTTCCAGATCATCACCATCGCAATGCACCTTGCCAGTCCAACCATGATGACGCCCACACGGTAGTTGTCGAGATCGGGCAAACTCGCCCACGCCAGGCCGAGCATGAGCAGCGGGCCGAGGATCCAGTTGAGCACGAGCGATACGGCTAGCTGGTACCACAGCCTGCGCGTGGCGAACATCTGCGGCAGCCGTTCGTACTGCACCTTGGTGAGGATGGGCCACATCATCACGATGAGGCCCACGACGAGCGGTGCCGAGACGCCCCGGAAGTCGCCTGCCGAAAGGTTCTGCTGTACGTTGGGTGCAAATTCGCCGATGATGACGCCGAGGATCATGGCGAGGATGATGAGCAGCGACAGCAGACGGTCCAGCCAGCCGAGCGAGAGCAGGATGCCCTTGGCCGCGCCCGTCGAGTCGCGTGCATCCTGCAGCGCCGAGCGCAGTTTGGGAACGCCACCGCGCGGGTCGAGGATGAGTCCGTCTTCGTCAGCCATCGCTGTGGCTGCGTCAGTGTCGGACGTGGAAGGAGCGGTGGACGGCTGTCGACTGTGCTCGAGTTTGCCTGTTCTCGGTGGATGCGTCAACGATCCGGAAGCCGACGTTTGCATCGACATGATTAAGAAGCTTGCTGGTCCGATTTACAGCGGCGCTGTCATGGACCGGTGTAGACAGAGGTGGTGGTGGAATGGAATGAGCCGGCCATGGGATCATGTCACCTCCGCTTTTGTATGCCGTTGGACTTTTTGAATGCTGTTGAGTGAGGAATACCGAAAGGCTCCGAATTGCAAATTCCTCGTTTCGTCCTCTCCCCCACATGGCCGCTGTGCGCTGCTGAAGCCGAGTCGCCCAAAAAGTCCACGCCCTGCTCGCCTCGGCTCTTTGCTGCTTAACTTTGACTCGAGCCTCCGCGTTCGTTCGAGGCGCAAAGCGACGGAGCCTCAATTTGAAATTGCAATCTCCAGCCATTCTCGCCATCACGGTGGCAAAAACAAGGCTAACATCAGCATTTCTCTTCTGCCAACCTCTAGCAATGCTGACCGGTTCGCCAAGATCACCGTACGCTTGGTGACCGACACGGCGTCCAATTTCAAATTTGCAATCCTTACCGCCACCCACGTTCTTCTTCTTGGCATGCTTACCTCCGGCGTCCGGCCGTCCAACAGCGCCAAGCCCACACACACACCGGCATTGAATTCCAGAAGCAAGTCCAATTAGACAGCGGCAATACAGAGTAGTGGGAAGTGGAGTGGGCTAGCGAAGGGGTATACTAGTCGTCGCGCGCCTGGACGCGGATGTGGTAGGGGTTCTTGATGGGCAGCGTGAGCGAGTCGTCGTACGTCGGCTCGTCGTTCTTGAGCGCCGCGTGGTCGTACTTGACGTCAAAGTTGCCCAGGATCTCGGCGACGACGGCGCAGCCCTCGTAGGTGGCGAGCGTCTGACCGAGGCACAGTCGCGGGCCGGCGTTGAAGGCGTGGAAGAGGTACTGCGAGTACGTCTTGATGCCCAACGAGCCGTCGGCGCGCTTCTCGATGAAGCGTTCGGGCTTGAACTCTTCGCAGTCCTCGCCCCACAGCTCGGGCATGCGCGCCATGGTGTGGTCCTGCCATGTGACCGTCTCGCCCTTCTTGATCACCAGGTCCGGCAGCTTCTGCGTCGTAGGCACCGCGTTGGGCGCCACCTCGGCTTCGGACGACCCCTGCGCGTAGGGGCGGATGACATCGTCCTTGACGGCCAGCTTGAGGTTCTTGGGCACCGAAGGGTGCAGGCGCAGCGCCTCGAGGAAGCACGCCTGCACGTACACGAGCGAAGACAGATCGTCGTACGCCATGCTGCGGAAGTCGCTGCCCGCGCCGAGCTTCTCGTGGATCTCCTCGCGCGCCTTCTCCACACACTCGGGCGACTTGGAGAACTCGTAGAAGAGCCATCCGAGCGCCTGCGCCGTGGTATCGCGACCGGCGATCAAGAAGTTGAGCACGACAGGAAGCAGCTCGTCGCGGCCCAGATTCTGCTCCATGAACAGCGCCAGCAGATCCTTGTCGCCCTTGCCCGACGCCGCCTGAGCCTGGCCCCTCTCGCGCGCAGCCAGGCGCAGGTCGATAATCTCGTAGCAAAAGTTGTGCAGTGCCTTGATCGTCCTGCGCATCTTGCGTCCCTGTGCGGAGAAGAGCTCGGTGAATCCGGCCATGGGATCCACAAAGCGCTCGTCCATCACGCGCTGCGCATAGTCAAAGTTGGCGGCGAACTCGACCACCTTGTCGAGCGAGGCGACGTCCGAGGGCAGGCACTTGATGTCGGCCGAAAATGCCATGAGGGAGAAGGAGCTGAGCGTGAAGCGGAAGAAGAGGTCCGGCAGGTTGATCGGGGTGTCTTTGGTGCTGGCGTCGTGCATAAGCTTGTTGAGCTTGCCCAGATCGCGCTGGATGGTGGTCTGAACGTGGGTGCGGAAGTTGCCCACGCTAAAGATGTGCGAGGCCATCTTGCGCTGCTTGCGCCACACCTCGCCGTCGGCGACAAAGATGCCGTGGAGCGACATGACGTCGCCCATCGACTTTTGGAAGTAGGGGCCCTTGACGTAGTTTTCAAAGTTGGTCTTCTGCACCCAGCGGATGTACTCGGGGCGGTTGATCGACGTCACGCGGCCGCCGAGCGCAGGCATGGTGATGGCCCACGGCATGCCACCCGCGCCGATGCTGGTCTGCATGCGCAGGAATTCATCGAGGAAGCGGCGACGCTTGGACGCAATGTCGAGCAGGAAGAAGAGGTTGCCGACGATGGGCAGCGCACCGGGCACCTCCTTGATGCCCTTTCGGTGCGAGGCAAAGATGTAGCGGTCAGGTGCGATGAGGCAGAGCAGCACGAACACGATGACCGAGCCGAGCGCAACATGCGTGGCTGTGAGATGCTCCAGCGAGCTCTGCACCTTGGGAAGGAGAACCGACATGATGGAAGCGTAGCAGACCGAGATCTGTCGTGTCGAAGATATCCAAAGAAAAGAGGAGAGTTGGCGTCGTGGTCGTGGATGCAGGGTTGCTGCGGAGGGTTGATGCTGCCTGATTTTAAGTAGTCGTGGCCACGACGATGGAAGCCGGCCTGGTGGATACCCCGAAGTTTCTGAGACCACGGGCCAGCGCAGCATCCGAGGGCTACCTGTATGCGAAGTGGCGGTGACGTTCCAATGGCAGCAAGCGACGCGGCTCGAGTTCGCCTGGCGAGCGGGGCGCGAAGACCAGAGGTGGACACCACCACCACCATCACCACCAAACCAGTCGACCAGGGTTTCAGGCTTGGCGAGCGGCGAGTTCTGTCTTCCTCCTTCCCCGCCGTGTTTGCATGGAACGGCAAGGCGAATGCATCGCTTGTGCGCACGCCGAACCGAGCTGGGCCCAAAAAAAGAACGCGGAGGAGCAGTGTGTGCGTGTCTGAAAAGCTGAGACAAGACGAACAACGCTGCTCGAGCGACGTCAGAGCGGACCGAATTGTGCGCGCTGCTCTGTGCCACTGCGCTGGGGCTGTCGAAGGTGCCTGGATGCGCTGCCAATGCTCCTGCTGTCATTCGCTATCGCCACGGCTACGGCTACGGCTCGCGTCGAGTGGCTTCAGCTGCCGCTGCCGCTGCTCTGGCATGGCAGCGGTTTGCTCGGACCCCGCGTCGGCTCCTGCGAGAGCCGCCTCCACACATGGCCGTGCAGCGCGAGAAAAAACCGAAGATTAAATTTCCGAGCCTGTTTACCCGCAGCCTTTCCTGGCCTTCCCCTCACGCTCTATGCCGACTTACATGCCTAGAGCAGTCAAGCCGAGATGCGAGAAAGCATGCTCATCTGCACAAGCATATGCCGCTGCTCATAGAAGCGGACAGACAGCTTGCAGCAGATGGAAGGGGGGGGGGGGGCGCCGGGTTGTTTGGCGGAAGCAAACGCTCCCAACGCGCACCAGCGAGAGCCGCGTTTCCCTTGGATGTGTCAATGCGATCCGCATGGCGCAGTTGCGGTGCGCGCAGAGCAGAGTCGGAAATTCGTGGCTCCGCGTTTCCGCGGCTCCTGCTGCTGCTTCTCAGCTTTCGCTCTGCCGTCCAGTCAGAGGCGTGGGCGCGAGCGCTTACAACCGCGGCTCTTTGCAGCGTTGGCCTGGCCAGTGGCTTTCAAAGCGCCGACGAAAGAAGGGCAGATCGCCGATCCTTGAGGGGATCCCTCGATCTGCCATCGCATCGTCGTCCCCTCGACCAGGCCGTGCTGCCAACCAGCAGTTGCTGCTTTGCAGACGCTTTCGAGCAACTGCTTGATGAGAGCTCACCATCTCATCCCCCATCGGGGATCGGGGCTGCTTCGGTAGATCCTCAAGCGTGATCGCACGACTGAGCGTCGCATCTTCGCCATCGTGACCACTCACCCGCTTGGCTCCTTCCCATACATCCGGGGACGAAGCGCAACCGACCACAAAATGAAGCTGTAGTAATGAGATTCGGATGGTGGTATAGACAAGGCGAGCAGACTGACGCTGTCGCGACGAGGAGAAATGGGCAGCGGGCAAACGCTGTGGTGAGAGTGCAGCACTGTTATGGCAGACCGCGAAGGCTGCGAAAGCGACTGCGCATCATAGTTGAATGCGGCTGTATCTGCGATGCACACCGAGCTGGCAGCCACAGAAGGCGATGAAGGCGATGTAGATCAACGCGGCCACGTAGCACGTCTGGCCCACCGCGATGCCGTCCTCGGGGTCTTCGGTGCTGCCCATCAGCGCTGGCCAGTTGTGCTGGAAGCCGTATCCGAAAATGGCGAGGATGACCGCACCGAACGTCGATACCACCGTGCAGCAGCCGGCTGCGGCGAGTAAAAGATGCACGATGAAGAGCAAGGGACAGACGGATCAGCATTCGTCAGTCTCATTTCCATCTACACTGCAATGGTCAAGGAGAGGTCTTCTGCAACTTACCAAGGCCGCTGCCGACTACAGGTCGCACCGCCGACATGATTGTGAGCGGAGAAATAGGTGCGAAGGGGAGTGATGGTGAGAATGAAGCGGATCGTAGCGATGATGCGTGGCAGCCTTGAAACGCATCAGCAGCGGGCCCCTGCGTCGCTCCGCCCTCCAAACTAACACTTTCGCAGCGTCGCTGCACGTGATTTGGCTGTGAATTTCCTCTCAGAAGTCAAACTTGAACCCTGGCAGTGGCGAAAGCGCTGCTGCACGAAAGCTGCACGAGAGGGTGGAGGTGCAGCAAAAAAGAGAGCTCTCACGACTCAGCCACCCTCCCAACGGTTTCCTCTCCCATTCCAACACCATCAACCCTTTCTTCCGCGAACATCTCTTCCGATCAACGGTATTCGATATTGAGCTGGACTCAAGTCGAGCCATGACTCTGCACCATGGCGCCTTCTGCTGCCGCCTCTCCAGCTAAGCGGAGGAAGCTCGCATCGGCAAGTCCTACCAAGAACGGCAGCACAAATGGCATAGCCCAACCTTCTCTCCTCTCCTTCTTTGGCAATGGCGCGCCCGTTTCAACATCCTCTTTATCGCCAGACACGTCCCGTCGTGCATCTTCAGATCAGAACGACAAGCCAGATGACAAGACCGAGCGCACCGCCGACTGCCCCATCTGCGCAAAGAAGGTCCCCTTCCACACGGTCCAGGCCCACGTCAATTCGTGCCTCGACGCTGCCGATGCTACTGCGCAAGAGCCCGAGGTGCTCAGAGATCATGTCAACGAGCCACACATCTCCGCATCGCGGGAATCTGCCGTTTTACCGCAACTATGCTCGCCCGCACGCGACACTTTCACACCGGCAGACAGCACGATCCAACCGCCACAGTCCACAAGAATGACATCAATATCGCAGCTCGCATCGACGCTGGATGCGAAAGTAGCTCCAACGAACGGAGCGACTTCATTGCCAGGTCCCTCGGCACAAACCAGCAATGCTACGGACACCTCAAACACACCATCCTCACTTTTGGGCTCGGTCAAGCGCGCAGCCTCGTCGGCATTCACCGTCCTCATGAAGTCGCATTCCGAGTCCAAGCAGTGGGCCACCGCAGATGCCGTCGAGGCTGCCAACTACCGCGGCAAGGCACGCACCCGCCCCGACGCCCGCACCGCACCCTTCTACAAAGCGCTCGAAGGCATGCCACTCACCGTCGACGCCTTCCGTTTCGGCAAGATCGAAGGCTGCCGAGGCTACTTCCTCACCCATTTCCATAGCGACCATTACGGTGGCATGACGTCCAACTGGAATCACGGACTCATCTACTGCAGCGTCACCACCGCCAATCTTTGCCGCGCGCATCTTGGCGTCGATCCACAATGGCTGCGCCCTTTGCCCATGGAGGTTGCTGTCCCTATCCCAGACAGCGGCGGCGTCCAGGTTACATGCATCGAAGCAAATCACTGTCCGGGCTCATGTCTCTTTCTCTTCGAAGGCCCGCAAACCGCACAGCTCCTCTCGCGCAGCCATGCCAGTCCCCACATAGGTACCCGCAGGATCTTCCGATACTTGCACTGCGGCGACTTTCGCGCCAGTCCCGTGCACACAAGTCATCCTTCCATCGCCGGCAAAAAGCTCGACATCATCTACCTCGACACCACCTACTGCAACCCGCGATACTGCTTTCCGGCTCAGGACCAGGTGATCGAAGCTTGCGCCGAGCTTGTGCGTCGCTTGGTGCCTGAAGAGCAGCTCGCGGTCAGCATTGCCGAGCGCGAAAAGGAGCGCGATGCAGGGCACACAGAAGATTGGACACAAGCGCCGTCGCGCAAGAAGAACATCGTGGACCAGAACAGCGCATCCGCCACTGCGTTCAAAGGGTGGTTCAACACCAAGGTCGAAAATCCAGACGGTACGCTGACTCCCTTACCTCTCGACACGGCTGGCGTCAAGCAAGAAGATGCTGATGACGCGGGGAAAGTCAAGAGCGAGGAGGCTCAAGATGACGCGCTTGACTATGATGAAGAGGATCTATTCCTCGGCGAGGACGATGCAGAGGATGTGGGCGAGGAAGAGCCAGTCAACGAGAGCCCCACTCCTACTTCAGAATCGCCGCAGCGGTCCGCCGTCAAGCTCGAGCCTTCCGAAGATGCTCTGCTCGACTTTGCTCCCGAGTCCAAGTCACGACTTGGTGCGACTGCGGACGCAGAAAATCCATCAGAGCCGGCTGCCAAACTGCACGACGTCAAGGAAGAGGATGTCAAGGGCGAGCCTGACGATCCGGACGCGGCGGACGGCACTACAACCAACGCCGCCAACTGGTTGAGCAAGCACTCGGAAGCGAGTCGCGATGCCAGCACGTTCCGACGCCGCGAGGCGGGTCGGCTGCTGGTTGTGATCGGAACCTATACGATTGGCAAGGAGCGCATCGTCAAAGCGGTCGCGCGGGCGATGCACTCCAAGATCTTCTGCATGGACTCGCGCAAATACCGCGTGTACGCACAGCTCGAAGATCCCGAACTGCACTCGATGCTCACACGCGATCCCGGTGCTGCGGTGCACGTCACCAATCTGCACGCGATCAATGGCGAGGGGTTGCGCGATGTTGTGGCAGCGCTGCGTACGCGCGGGCACAACTTTACGCATGCCGTGGCATTCCGACCGACAGGCTGGACGTACCGACCGCCTGCAGGCATGGACACGGTTTCGCCGAGTCTCGAGAGGCTGGTGCAGTGGAATCAGTCGCGCTCGTTTGGACCGCAGAATCTGTATCCGACGCGAGACAGTACGCCGGACTACATGATCTACGGCGTACCCTACTCGGAGCACTCGAGCTTCTTTGAGCTCACCGCGTTTGCGCTCGGCACGCGGTACGACAGGATCATTGCCACCGTCAATGTGGGCAGCCCCGCGAGCAGGGCAAAGATGGCAAAGTGGTTCGAAAAGTGGATGCTCGAAAAGAGGCGTAGGGCCAAGCATGGTCTCGGCGCCTTAGACCCGCGTGCTGTCACGTACTGGTAGCACGCGCAATACCAACATACACTTGAACATTCTTCGGATACTGTACAGCACTTGATCAGGGGGTGGGGGCGGAGGACTAGAGGGATTCCCACTCGAAGCGGACGAGGAGGGTGGAGTGGGTTTCTCGGCCCTTGAGATCGAGCAGTCGAATAAACTTCCATCCCTCGGCAGCATAAACGAGCCTGACGGCGGCGACGGCAAAAAGTGGATTTCTGGCAAACTTGTCGTCGCTCTTGATGAGGATGCGCAGGAAAGCCAGCTCGTCGTGTTCAAACTCCCACTGGAGCGATTCGTTCCACAGCGGATCGGTGGGGCGTGGCTGTTCGCCACGATGGATGATGCCGAGCTTATGCTGCTTGTACGGCTTTGTCTTTTCCTTTTGCGGCTCGTTCTCCAGGTCCGTGGGGAGGATGAGCGTGCATGTGACGTAGGGTCGGATATCGTCGGCATCGTGCCCTTGCGGAATGGGCAAATCGGTCGCGCCGGCAATGTGCAGCTTGAGACGACGACGACCAAGTGCGGTACGCCCATCGCCACCGATGCGCAGGCCGGTGGGCTTGAGGACATATCCGTCCGAGCCAGAGAAGAGCGCCTCGTTGAGCTGCACACTGTGGTCGAACGTCTGCCAGTTGAGCGCACACACCTGTGCACCGACGCCCCAAAACGGAACCGGGTTGAGGTTCTTGGAGCTGATGCGCGTGCCTTTGGGATACACCCGCATCAGGTGCTGCGCATTGTGCTTCTTGATCCCGGCAGCCTGCTTCGGTAGCAGGTCCAGCAGGCCAGTCTCGGAGATGTTGATGAGGTGATCGTGCGGGCCGTTGGTCAGCGTCGATGTGTACCACGAGTCGTTGGTCGGCTTGACCGACTGCGCGTACACGCCCAGCGCACACAGCTCGGGGATGATGCCCGCCTTCTTGGCCTCGTTGCGCTTCGCCTTGTTCTTGCGCTCCTCGTCGTCATCATCGTCGTCGGCATGCTCCACCGGCGGCTTGTCGGACGGGTGGAACTCGACCATCACCGCGATCTTGGCGCCGAGGTGGTCGAGCGCCGTGTGCTCCGAGGCGGGCGCACCCTTGTCGACGGGGCCCGAGATGAGCAGATCGCCCCACACCTCGTGCATGATCTCGACCAGACGCTTCTGGCCCGCGTGGCCGCAGTGGTTCTCGAGCGAAAGCAGCACGGGTGCCGGGCGGAAGCTTGAGTCGCGCTGCGCTTCCTCCTCCTCCTTGCGCAGCGCCTGCTTCATCGTCTCGCACACGGCGCGGAAGGGAATGTGCGACGCGAGCGTGTAGCCGTGCGTGACCTTGGGCTCGGCCGGGTTGTCGTCGTTGTCCCACGCATCGATCTCGACACAGCGCGCACCGGTGATCATGACGTGTTCGTACGCAACCGCGGACGACGAGCCGTACAGCTGGTGCGCCAGCAGATACGTGTTGTGCGACGAGCTGATAAAGTACTCGGAAAGCGGACGGCTGCGGTCGCGCACGTAGTCCGGCACATCGATGTGCGACTGGTCAACCAGCGCCTTGAGCGCCTCGGAGCTCGAGGCTTCTTGGTCGTCCAGAGCCGCATCAGCGGGTGAAAGCAGCTTCTCGTCTACGAGGAACTGGCGCAGTGCATGGCTGACGCGCAGTTCGGACTTGGTGATCTTGGTGCGACGTGCGGCATGACCACCACCACCGATCGAGTCGAACTCGACCTCTTCACCGAGGTTGTCGCCTCCGCCCTCCGGGTCTGCGCTGCCGGTCTTGGAGAAGGGGTTGAGCTTGGCGAACTTGGAGGTGAGCACCGAGGGGGCGGACTTGCCGTCCTTGGTGTGCGCGTCCTGCGTGTCGGACATGGTTGCTGTTCTATCCGCAATCTAGCTGGAAGAGTAAGAGAGATTGTAATATGCACCACTCAAAGGATGTTTGGAGGGCGCAGGGATGGTGGTATCGAGGCGGGAAGCAAAGTGGCGGGTGGGCCGTCACAAGGTGCCACCTTGTCCGTGCTGGGTCGGAGTGTGGAGGCATGTGCTGCATTCTGCATGCGCACAGACATCCTAAAAAGTGCCGCGAAAATGCCCCGAGGCGGCACGGGCTGGCGTCATCGGCATCCACTTCTCGGGCGAGAGATCGCCATCCGCGGCCTCGGATCTCGCAAGTCGAGCCGCGTTGGGCAGGCGGTGCGGGTGTTGTTCTCGGCGGCCAGGGTTTGATGCTCTTGTCCATCACGACTCACTCGAGGCCTCGCGCAACATCATCCAGCATGTCGGGCACAGACAAGCAACCGCTCATGAGCAACACACACAGCGCCTACCGCGAGTCGCTCGATGACGACCTCGATCCGCGCTACGCCACCGAGTCCTACCAGCACCAAGCCTCGTCCGCTCCGGCTTCCAAGGCGAGCAACGTAGTGTTCGACGCCGCATCATCGCTCGAGGCGCAATCGCAACCCCGATTGCTCTCGTCCACTGGGGCGCCATCGTGGCAGCAGCAGGGGCAGCAGGGCGGTGCAGGTGGCTTCACCAACTCGTTCAGCACCTCGCAGTCGTGGAGCCTGAGCAGCATCTGCGCCATCGCATGGGCACTGCCACCGTTCAGCTCGGCATTCGTGCTGATTTGGGAGACGGAGAATGATCTTGCGCGCTTTCATGCATACCAGGCGGGCATCAGTGGCGCTGCGCTCATCGTGCTCGTGTGGATCATCAGAAGCGTACTCGGCCTCAAGACCATCGGCCTCCTCGTAGCAATGGGCGCCTACGGCTGGTTCTGGGTCAACGCGTGCGTATCTCCCCACTCCCACCTTGTTGGGATAGGTCACTTTACTGACGCGATTGCTTTTGGTGGCGAACAGATCGACCGCACACAAATCAGCACCGTCACTATCGAGGAATCCATACCTGCCACATGTCGGCGACATAGCCTCGCGATGGGTGGGCGAAGAGTAGCCGCCCAGCGTACCTCTCTCAGCAATGTCACTCTTCCAGCATCACACACGTCACACTCCAACACTTTGCGCAGCTCGCATGTGACGTCGTTCGATTGTCTATGGAGCTCTAGCAACGCGGCAGCCAGTCTCGGAAGGGGAGGTCGGGGAAGGCGTCTAGCCAACGATCCAAAAAGATGTCGAGCCCGCCGCCGATCGTGCACTGGTGCGTATAGAAAGCCTGTTCGACCCATCTGCGCGCCTCCTTCTTGCTGTTGCTCTTGCTTGGATCGGCGAGCATGAACTTTGCGAGCGTGAGCATCGAGGTGATGCCGCCGTCGAAATGCAGCGACGGCAGCTGGTCGAGCACTCTCCCATGTGCACTATCCTTTGCCACGGTGCAGCCGACTGACTCGAGTGCCTGCAGCTCGGTAGCGATGGCGGCATCCAAGTTGTAGTGGCTCTGATGCAGTGCACGCAGCTGGAGGATCTTCATGAGGTCTGGACGCAGGATCGGCCGCGATGCATCGTACGTCGCCTGCACCTTTTCCACGAGTTCCTGCAGCGACTCTGCCAGGTCCCTGTGGTCCTCGACCTCCTTGTCTCTGCTGGCATCGGGCTGGGAGGACAATTTGAGGACGATGCGACTGCGCTCTTGCAGCATAGAGAGGGATCCGCCCACGATCTGGCCGCGCTCGCGCACGCGCTCCTCTCCATCGCGCTCGTCGAGCACACAAATGCCGCAGCTGCACTTGAAGCCGTGCTTGGAGAGCTGCGAGCGTCGGATGAGCCACGGCTGCTCGCCCTTGACGTACTGGTGCATGATCTCGGTGCCGCGCTTGAGCGGATGCAGCGCGCGCGTCGTCACAATGTCGCCAAAGAATACCGACGAGACACTGGGCAGACAGGCATGGTTGAGAATCGCCGGCAATGGGTGCACCATGGTCGAGCGCGACAGCTCCGAATCGTGCGCGGCATCATCGGCGTCGGAGGAGGCGGATTTACCGCCCGGGTTGGCAGCGGGACCGAATGCGTTGAATCGCAGAACACCGTCAACGTAGCTCGAGTCGATAGGCGGGCGTGCAGCGCCTTCGAGGACTGTCTCCTTCCAGCGCTGCTCTTCGGTCGTTTTTGCCGATGCATCAACACTGCACGCGGCGATAAGCGTGGCGAGGTGGTCAGACTCGCTTGCTGCGTCCGTGTAGCTTCGCTTCTCTGGGGCCGGGTAGGGCTGAGCGACCCAGCGCGAGTACTCGACATCAGGACCAGCAGTCAGCCCCATGATCGGCAGAGTCCATCGTTGTGGCCGATCGATCATGGCATGAATGCTCTTGGTCGCAGCAAGCACCTGCGTCGTTGTACTCGTAACGCCCGATTCCACCGAGTAACGCAGCAGATTTACGCCGCGGCATCCACGGTCGGCGGCATAGCTCGCCGCAGCCGCCTTGCAGCACAGCAGCAGCTCGCCCTCTTCGACATCGCGCGTCAGCACGAGTCCACGGCCTGCACCAGGGATGTCCTGGATCGCAACAGGTCCGAGCCAGTCCTGCATGTCGAAGCGCGGCGTGGCATACGACTGCGAATCAAAGTAGTAGCCCCAGACGTTTTCGTGGCTCGGCCCGAGCGCCGATGCTTTTTGAGCTGCACGCACCGCGGTGAGCTTTTCCAGGATGCGGTCTTGGGCCGCAGCGCGCTGTGCGGGATCACACGCTTGGAGCGCCGCCTCGTACGCTGATCGACTCGCCTCGTAGTTGCACAGGCGATACAGCACCTCGGCTTCAAGCTCGAGGTCTTGTGCAACTGCGGATGCGGAGGTCGAGGTGGGGATGCGGACGAGACGGGCGGCACACAGTTCGCGGTACGCTGCGCCTGGTCGGTCGTCACTGAGCAGCGATTGGATGAGCTGCCGCGTGCGGTCGCTGAGCTTGTTCTGGTGCTCGGTGTCGAGGCTCTGCACTTGGTCGACTACGCGGTCCAGCGACGTGGAAGCCACAGCGCGCGAGAGCGGACCGTCCTGCAGCCAGCGGCATCCTTTAGAGTTACACGCTGCCGGCGAGTCTCGGAGTAGCGAGCTTAAGTCGCTCAAATGCTCGTCCTCGTCCTGCGTCACATCGACCTTCCACTGTGTCGCATCGAGGATCTTTGCGTCTGCATCGCTGAGGCGGTCAAGGACATGTACGTCGGTGGGGGTGTCCACACGGAGACCCGGCACGCTCTTTCCGGCTTGGCACGGCCCGCCCTTTGCAAAGTGGTTGAGGCTTACGAACGGTTCGCGGATAGCCAGCACAGTGCCCACGGGAAGCAGGGCATCGAGCTGCTCGCCGCCGAGGTGAAGGTTGGAGGTGAAATGCGCAATGGTGATGGGCAGTGCGTTGCCCGAAGGCAGAAGACCGATGAAGGTGCAGCCGACGTAGAGATTGAGGCTGGAAGCGACCTTGCAGAGGATGTATCGTCCGGTGAAACGCTTCGGAGCTTCTAGCTCGTCTGCATCGAGCCGCGTCAGTTCTGCGAGCGGTTTGTCGGACGAATAGCTGCCTGCGCCGTCGAATGTCTGCCTCGGGAGATAGACACGCCTGCGCTTGCGGCCGGACTCGGGGTCGTGTGTAGCGACGTACACCTCGTCTTGGCGCTTCTTAATTTCGGCGGCTTGCCGCGCGAGCAGCGCTTTGAGTGGGACGGGCTTGAGCTTCTTTGGAGCTGCAAGTGCTTCCGTCTCCTTGCGGAGCGCATCGCGCTCCTTGTCGATGGCCTTGTTGTAGTTCTCGAGCAGCGCCTGGACGGCGCCCTTGAAGAGGTCGGCGTCTACGAGCGGATCGATGCCGAGGTCTTCTTCCGCATCACTGTCTGTGTCTTCAGTGCTGTTTGCCGACTGCTCGGCTTCGTCGGGCACAAGGTCGTTGTTGGCAGGGGTGAGGGAGAGGTGGCGCGCAAGGTTGTCCTGGACTTGGGTGTCTGGGTCCGAGAGCTGGAGGAGCTGCTCTGGATCCGGCAGCGCGAGGCCGATGTTGCGCAGCGCCTTGAGGAGGTCCTCCATGCTTGTGGCAGCTACACGATCCGTACAAGGGAGGATGGGATGTGCAGATGGCAGGAAGGGCACCGCAGCTCTCATGTCGTGCGGGCGCGGCGCACGAGCAAGAAGAAAGAGCATTCACCAAAAAAAATGCTCGCTTTCTCGGAAGTCGGGCACAAACTTGTATCGGCCGATTTGACCCTCGCGACATCAGTCCGAAATGAAAGGCTTCGGCAAGCTCGGGCTTGGATGCGAGCGATGCTTCAAGGGTCTGCGTGGGCTCGCCAGTGGCACGTCCAAACGTGGTGATTAGCCTAGGAACCATGCGAGGACGAGCGCATGTGATCCGGTCGTGTGCGGTGCGAGCAGATCGTGCGTTGACTAGCGACGATGCTGCGTGTACGATCCTGGCAATGCAAAAATGGATGCGCTAGGCGAGGGAGGAGTTTGAAACTGCGCAGCTTTTCGGCACAACGGAGCAAAGCCGAGCGGAGAAAAAAAAAATAGCACGAGAGTGCGGGATATGCAGGTCTCAGCTGGTCGGAGCGACGTACCGCTCACACCACCCAATCAACGAGGAACGTGACCGCCGAAGTCGTTGAACCCCACATCGCCCATGCATGCGCGCTTAGCTTACGGTAGGACGAGAGAATGGACCACGACAATGAAGCTGACTGGGTTTAGGTTACGGTTCCGTCTTTCATCGAAGCAAGCCGACTCGGCTTGGGTTTTATCTTTGTGGCTGCTGGAAGAAATTCTTGTTCTACTGTATGCAGATGTTTGGACGAGGCGCAAGTGCAAGTGCAAGTGCAAGTGCGAGTACGAGAGCGAGGCAGGCTGGACGGGGAGACGATGGATGGCAGCGTGCCGAACGCAGTCAACGTGGACAGGGCTCGCATTCGAGCACCTTCGCTTGTGGCCGCGCCAAAATTGCTCTGCAGCTGCCGCCGTCTCAGCTGCAGCCGGCTCAAAAAAGGTGGAGGCGGGATAGGCGGTCACACGCCTTTGCTGCAAGCCTAAAGTAGAGCTCCGCCAGCCGCCGCCGCTTTGGACCGCCGCGCGGCTGCATGTTCGGAGTCGGGCGTTCCTTGCTCGCTTGCACCACTCGGAAATTCAAAGCTGCTCCTAGCCGAAGTCTCACTCATTGCCCCCTGTGAGAGATGCTGCAACGCAAGGCGACTCGAGAAGGCTGCGCAACTCGAGTGGGTTCAGGCCCCTCTTCGCCACGCTCCATGCAGCACCCACCCAGCTCGAGCTCATTCCGCTCCAGCGCGGCGGGGCACAATTGGGCAGCTCCCCTCGCACGCTCATCTGCACCTCCCGTTCCCCGCCATAAGTAGCCGCTCCCTCAGCGCCAATCCCCCTCACCCGTAGCTCGTTCCCGCCACCAACTACTACGAAAATGACGGACATCCAGCCAACGACACATCGCGAAGATATCTCGCCCGCCGGCGAGAAGGTCGCCAGCCCCGCCCTGGCCGACTCCGCCCCCGCCCAGCCTGTGGCCAAGAAGTCGCGCCTCGGCGCTGTCGGCCTCATCTTTGCCTGCGGTGCGGCGCTCTTCTCCGACGGCTACGTCAATGCCGCCTCCGGACCCACCGTCACCATCCTCTCGTACGCCTACCCGGACTACCCCGGCTTCGCCACCTTCGAGTCGCGCTTCTCCTCGCTCGTCTTTGCCGGCACCGTGTTCGGCATGCTCCTGTTCGGATTCCTCGTTGACCGCATCGGACGCAGGCACGGCATGTGGTTCGCCTCCATCTGGCTCTGTCTCTGGTCCGTCCTCATCGCCGGCGCTTGGGGCGCAGGTGGATCCATCGGTGGTCTCTTTGCCGCCCTCGCTGCGTACCGCTTCATCATCGGCATCGCGATCGGCGCCGAATATCCCTCAGGCTCCGTCGCAGCGAGTGAGAACACCGAAGGAGAGGGTGTTGCGAAGAGCCGCCAGCAGATGTACTTCATCATCGCTACTAACACCATGATCGACCTCGGTTTCGTCGTGGCGGTCCTGGTCGCGTATATTTTGCTGCTCATTTTCGGAATTAATCACCTGGCTTGGGTGTGGCGTCTGACGCTCGGTCTCGGTGCTATTCCGCCGCTGCTCGTCTTCTTCTTCCGCATGGGCATGCAGGAGCCCGAGCACTACCGCAAGGGTGCCATCAAGAAGAACATCCCCTACCTGCTCATCTTCAAGCGCTACTGGGTCCGTCTCGTTGCCGTCTGCCTGGCCTGGTTCGCCTACGACTACGTCAGCTACCCCTCGGGCATCTACTCGTCGATCATCATCAAGCAGCTCAACCCGGGCAACGGCTCGGACTACGACACGCTCAAGAAGAGTCTCGCCTACTCGACTGCGCTCAACTGCTTCTATCTGCCCGGCACCATCATCGGCGCTTTCATCTCGGACAGGCTGGGTCCCAAGCACACCATGATCCTCGGTCTGCTCATCCAGGCCGTGCTTGCCTTTGTCATGGGCGGTGCCTTTGGCCAGATCCGAGAATCGCTTGGCGGATTCATCGTGGTATATGGTCTTTTTCTCGCTGCCGGTGAGCTGGGGCCCGGGAATAACCTCGGATTGCTCGCTTCGAAAGCTTGCGGACCCGCTGCCGTACGTGGCACATTCTATGGCATCGCCGCCGCGATAGGCAAGGTCGGCGCCTTCTCCGGATCCTATGCGTATCCTCAGATTCAGGCCGACCTCGGAACGCCCAACGACAACATTTACTACGCCGGTCCGTTCTACATTGCCGGTGGTCTGGCCGTGTTCTCGGCGATCATTACGTTCTTCTTTATCCCGGCCATCGGACAGGACAGCATGAAGCACGAGGACGAGGCGTTCCGTCAGTACCTCGCCGACAACGGATACGACGTTTCGCAGATGGGTCTCGTCGATAAGGATAACCCGGCCACCTTTGAGGAGGGCAGCAGGACGAGGTCGACCGACGAGGGATCCGTGGAGAACAAGGAAAAGAGCCAAGGCCACGAGGCTACCGTCACCTCGACGGCTCTCAACTGATGCCCCGCACGATCGGAACGGAATGCCTTAGATCAGTGTAGACTAGATTTTGCCGTTATACCCAGTTCGACGTAGCGGATGCGCAGGATTCGACTGGGCGAGTGCGGATGCGCAGGATTCAACTAGGCGAGTGCAGCAGACGGTCGGCTGAGTTGAGAAAGAAAGCTAAGCTCGGGGGTGAAGGTTAACGAGAAGAGCGTGGAAACGGAGCAGATGCAGTGAGGCGTGATGTGATCCCGCGCTGCGCGGCATTGGATGCGGATGTGCGGCTGCTCAGCAGACTCCTTCGTCGGCGCTTTCAATGCGCTTCCTTTGCCTGCGCAGTGCGAGTGCCCTCAGCTCAGCACGTAAATCAATTGAACCCCGCTCCGTAGACCGATCCGCAGGCCAGAAGGAAAAGCCCTTTCGTTCGACCGACCAATGTGTCGTCCTTCGCATGCAGCTCAAACTCAAGCTCACCTGAAGCGCACCTCAGCCAGGTCTTTACCATCCCTCGCCACGAATGAAATCGCACTTCCCCTGAAGACGCTGCGCTCTTGTTCTGTGTTTGCGATTCCGGACTTGCATCTTCTAACGAAGCCCGGGCAGGACTGCGATCTAAGATTGGTTTCTGAATGAGAGCACGGTGAGGCAGGCGTCGGGGGAAAATGGCGATCATGACGATGAGCATGTACCGATCATGTGCGGAGAATGTCATCGCTTGTGCGGACTGTGTGCAGCAGACACGCTTGGGACACGGGTTGAGCCTCCGCACTCTTCAACCTGCGACGGGCAGTGCGCACGAATAGCAGATGAGTGTTGAAAAACGGCGGATGAAATCGTCGAGTGTGCAAGCTACCGAACACAAAACTGTGTCAAGAGGAACACAATGGCAATGAAGTGTGCCGAACCGCTCTTTCCAGATGGTCGACTCAGGAGCGGTGGCGATGCGAGTCATTGTCGCCGCCGTGTGCCCTCGAGCTGAACCTGTGGCTCCTTGACCTGGTTCCAAGTGATGTGCGAGGCCAGCACAGGAATCTGAATCTGAGACTCGGAATGGTAGTGGATGATGGGCTGGGCGCCTCGCATGTCGAACCAGACGTTGTGAGCCCGGGCGAGCTTATTGTGGGGTCAAGGGTTGCTGTTCCGGGCATCCTCGATCTCGAGGTAGAGCTTCTTCTCCTTGGCGACGATCATCTCGGTGTTGCTACGGGTTCGAATGTCGACATAGATGGTGCGGGTATTGGTGTTACCGCAGCGCCGATTCTTTCTGATGACGTTGATGCGGATGATCATGTTGAAGGGCGTCGTCTTTTCGCCAGATGCAGCGATCTCGAGGATGTCGAGGGGTACAGTGAGGTCGTAGCTCGAGAAGTGGTGTCGGCGAGCAGAATATTGCCGTCAGAGTCCTCGCGCCAGGCGGGAACGGCAGCGGGCGCGGTGGAAAGGTCGACGCAGCTGGACAGGCTCGGACCAGGAGTCGAGGCCTCACGCTGAGGAGGAGCGGGGCCGGTCGCCTCGGCGAGGCCAGCGATGTCGAGGGAGGCCCGGGGCAAACGTCACACCACCATCATCGACCTCGGAGACGGATTGCAGAGCTACGTCTTGGCGCCCAAGGACACTTCGCCCCACGAGGAGCTTTTCGGCTTGGGTGGCAGGACATACCCTTGGCCGGGCCAGAAGCTTGGTTTTCCGGCACAACCTCGGCGGCGTCGGAGACAAGAACATCGTCTGCTCCTGCGTGACGACAGAGTTGGCTCAGATCCAAATCGTCAGCAGTACGCATGGCGACAATTGCCGCTCCGGAGCCCCATCATGTCGAGCCATCCGAAAGAAACGAAAGGCGGGGCCCCTGGCTTAGACCGACGAACGAGTCGTACTTCTGATGCTCCTCAACCGAAACTCAAGCGTGCCTCCAAACTAACTCATCCGTGCCTTTGCGAGGCTTTGCCATCCCTCTCGGTACAGTGAGCTCAGACTGCTTCCGTGCACGCCGCCATCCAATCCAATGTGTGCAATTGCGAGGTTACATATGCTAGCATAAGATCAAGCAGACAGATCATAACTTAGGATCGGTTTCCAAACAGAAGCACGGCGATACAAGCGACAGCGGGGATGGCGGTCATGACGATGAGCATGTACCAGTCATCGTTGGGCTCCTTGAACGCCGTCTGTGTCGCACCTGTTCCGGTATACGCCTTAATAAGCCCGTACGTCGACTTTTTCGGATCGGGTGTGTTTCCCAGCACGGTCTGAGCCATGTGGAACGTGTGCCAAAGAGTACCCCAACCAGCACCGACGATCTTGGTGGGCACGAGCGCGAGGCTCGATACGGCAGGCACCTTGTACTCTGGTGTACCTGCCTCAGCCGAGCCATCCGGGATTGACGTGTCGGTAAGACGTTTGGGAAGGTCAGGGAACACGGCAGCTGGACGACCGAGACACGCCATATCGGCAGCTCCATCGTCGGGCAGAATGGCCTGCGCAATGCCGTGGCGCGAACGAAGACCGCCAGTGAGGATGATCTTGAGCCGTGTGTCGGCGGGAAGGGTGGAGCGACATTGGCGGGCAAAGTTCTGGAAGAACGCCTCGCGCTTACCCGTACGTGCCGTCGTCTTGGATGTAGGGTCAGCGCCCGAGCCTTGTACGGTGGCAGCTCCTGTACCGGTCGCTTTGGCGTCGGTGGCGCCGTTTGCAGAGCCACGCTTCTTGGACAGCTTGTCCAGCTTGGCCTTCTCGGCTTCCGAGTCAAAACCCTCCATCACAAAGGCTATCCAGGCATATGTACGAGCAGGTCAGTAACGATCGCTAGGAATGCGGAGCGATGGTGGGCGGTGACTTACAAGGGTTCTCGTAGTTGCCACCGCTGATCTCGACAAAATCGACGCCGCCGTTCTCGGCGAGCCACTTGACGTTGAGCAGCGCATCGTCCTCGGTCAAGCCGCCCTGAACGTAGTCCGAGCTGTTGAGCTGTTCAACGCAGCGAGAAGATCAATCAAAGTCAGCTTCGACTCTCGATGCTTGGAGAGTGCGGTCAACTTACCTTGACGCCGATGATAAAGTCGTCGCTGACCTGCTTTCGGACCGAGTCGACGATCTCGAGCAGGAGGCGCGCGCGGTTCTCTGCCGAGCCGCCGTACTGGTCGGATCGGGTGTTGGTGCGCGGGCTGAGGAAGGCAGCGATCTGGTATCCGTGGCTGCCGTGGATCTCTACGCCGTCGAATCCGGCTTCGGCGCAGATGAGGGCGGCCTGGACGAAGCGGTCGCGCAGCTGCTGCACCTGTTCGGTGGTCATGGCCTGGACAGGACCCCAGAGCATGTGGTCGAGGAAGCGGCTGATGAAACCCAGGCCGCCCATGGTGCTCATGGGCACTGCCGACGGTGCGAGCGCAGGCTCGGTGATGCCGCGACCCGATCCGCGCATCGACTGACGACCGGCATGCACCAGCTGCACCACCGCGAGCGGGCGCTTGGCGGGATCCACGGCATCTGGCTGATCGCGACCGGTGCAGGCATCGGCATAGCGCTTCATAGCAGCCTTGAAGTGGACGAGGTTTCGCTCTTCGGCAGGAACCACCACGTCCCATGGCGTGCCGAGGTGGCGCGGATCGATGGCGACATTGCCCGTGATGATGAGGCCCCAGCCTCCACGTGCCCAGGCGCGGTAGAGCTCGTAGTGGGCAAAGTTGGGAGGTCCCCCTCCCGTGCGTGCGAGCGTCTCTTCTAGTGGAGCCTAAATTGATGCAGGAACAAGCCTCGATCAGCTAGCTGTTTTTTGTGCTACACTTGTCGCTCTGAGACTCACCTTGGCAAGACAGTTGGGAGCGATTTTGCCGCCCTTGAAGTGGAGCGGGCGAGCGATGATCTCAGCCTCGGTGGCCTTGGTATCTGTAGACATGGTGACGGTGTCGAGTGGTGGTGGAAGAGGAGGGTCGACCGGAGAGAATAGAAGTGTATCAAGAGCTGCAGCTCGGTGCATCGGAAGACAGCCATGCGGCTTGGCGGGCTTGGAAGAAATCCGCAATTCTTGAAAGCCGCGCGTTCGGGTCACCGCCGCTCAAAATGAGTGTGGTAACCTCCACCGACCTCGAGTAGCCTCCTCTCACTTCATCTCCCCGCCGAGCACCACCAAGTATAACAAGACCCACGTCGGATCCATGCTGTGTCGATCTCGATTCCACAGTCCATCATTGAGAAGTCACAGACTCGGGTTCATAACGAGATCGATTGCGAGCTTGGAGATTGGGCGTGCGGTTCAGGGCAAGCCGCGTCCCTTGTTGATGGCATCGGCCACCTGCGACGTCATGGGGCGATTCTGCGAGTATCTCACGTACGAGTCGAGGTAGAGATCGTCCGTAGAAGTGGTTGCCTTGAAAGCATCGTGCTCGAACACGGTGCTAGACCAGCTTTCCCAGCGCTCGAAGAGCTCCGGCTCCAGTAGCTCTTTGGGCTCGAAGCCGCGGAAGTGGCGCAGCACGTTGGTGGCTCGATACAGCCAGGGAGCGACAGTGCAGTCGACGATTGAGAGGCCTTGTCCGTTCCAGAATCCTTTCGAGCCTGGCATGGAGCGGACAAAGTCGGCGAGGTTTGAAGTAAACTCCTTGGCACCTTCGAGCTGTGCCTCCACCTCCTGCGCCTGCAGGTAGCGGTAGAAGGACGGGATCAAGGTGCGGTTGACCTTGTCCACTGCAAGACGGTACACAGCGCGGTCATATGGGTCCGACAGAGGAGGAAGAAGCGACTTGCCTCCTTTGCCACCGCCGTACTTTTCGTCGATGTATTCCAGGCTGAGCGAGCGAGCCACACAACGAACGTGTCAGCCAAGTTCACCTATAGATGGGTAGACGGTGCTCGAGACTTACATGACGGTCGACTCTGCCAGACCCTTGCCGTTGGAAAGCTTGAGCGCAGGGACGAGACCCTTGGGGTTCAGCTCGAGCAGATCGGCTGGTTTCTTGTACGGATCCACCTCGCGGTACTGGTACGGAGCTGAGTTTCGGTACAGCGTGCCAAGTTAGTGTGATGGGTCCCAATCAGTATCTGTCCAGATGGATTACCGCTTACCTTGCAAATACTCGAGGGCGATCCAGACGCGGTGCACAAAGGGGCAGAAGCAGGCACCAAAGAGGGTGAGTTCCGAGGGCGAAGAGTGCGCCTTGACGGTCTCTAGCGCTTGGCCCGTGCACTCGGTGTGGTACGTGGCGTCTTTGTGTCCAGGAGCGGGCTTCGACATGTTGCGTGCAGTTGACGTGGTGATGGTTGCTTTGAGAGAAGGATGAACGACGGTCGACTGTCTTCTAATGAGGCACGCTTGGGTTCGCAGTGCGGATAGCAGCGCCAACATGGTTGGGAGAAGTGGAGGTTTAGCAAGCATCGGCGTCCATCCGACTGGCTATGCACTGGCCATGCAGGGTCCCCGCTTTGTCCCGCAAATTCATTCCAACTCGACCTCGCACCACCTCAGACTCGCACCATCACATCTTGACCGCCCTGGATGTCTACCCTCCTCCGCACTGGACACCGATAGAAACAGGCCGTGGACGCTCTTAGCCAAGTAGAGTCGGAATGCTGTGCCACCGGCTGGCACTGGGCTTGGTCACGGCCCTCTTAGTCACCTACACAGTCTCTACGCAGCATGTCTTTCAACAAGAGCCGCAAGCACCAGCTTTTGATAGCGCGGGAAAGCCCGCCTTACAGCTCGATACGACATGGCAGGTGCTCGGTCCATTTCCGGCTGGAATGCGCGAGCTCCCCTTCGGAGGGTTTCCCGCATCTCCCGCTCCGAGCATGGCCGACCTCTTGCTGCAAAATGCCGGTCAGGATCGCTACTTTACGCCGTATGGCACAGCAAACGCCACCAGCACTTCAAGAACGTTCTCGGCGCAAGTGCAGGCGCAAGATGTGAGACGTGTACGCCATACTCTTACGATCGAGTATCCCGATGCGGACTGGGCGTGGCTTCGCAAGAGCGCAGGCTGGTCCGCGCTTCAATGGCAGATGATCGCTTCCACCACCCTCGAGATCGGCCAGAACAATACTGCTGTGGCGGTCACCATGGACAAGACCGCAGAGTTTGCCATCGTACCCATGGAGGCTTCGGGTGGAAATTCAGCGCAAGCAAAGAGAGAGCTCGATCGGCAGCCGTTAGAATGGCATACGGGCGACTGGTACTCGTACATCGCTGCCTTTTCCAAAGAGGATGCAGCCTCCGATCGTCTTCCCATCTCTCATCATCTGTTGCACCTGGATCAGGGCTCCTACACGCTACTTGTCCGCTCGATGTACGAGATCCGGATTTTCGGCGACCCGCGCAACAACGGCGGACAAGAGTCTCCGCGGATGGTCCTAGGAATCGACTTGGCAGCTCGTGCTCTCGATGATGTGACGAGCGATGAAGTCGTTGAGATCCATACGGATCCACACCACAGCAATGTCCCACACGTGGTCGGAGGATGGCTCGCCGGATGGGGCCTCTCCTTCGGCGTGCGTAACTTGCATCCGACCGAGGTCTATACGCTAGAAAGCATAGATGTCCAAACCTCTTTCTCTGGTGTTGAACAACCACCAATAGCTGTGAAGCTTGGCATCCCGCTGACATTGTCGCCGAGCCAAACACTGGTTGTCCCCATCAAGCTGAACCAAAGCGGACCGCTCGACGTAAGCAACACCACCTTGGATCTTTCTCTGATGCTGCGCTCGGCTGCAGGCGACACAATTAATAAGGCGGTTAGCATCCCTCTCGTTCACAAGGACGCCTTCTGGGATGCGTCGAGAGACGACCAAGATCACCATGCCTACATGTACAGCTACCTTGCCCCTGACCATACTGTGCAGCTCGCCGCAGCCACGCCGCCGAGAAAACCGGCAGCAGCTTCCACGAACCAAAGCGCGCTTCCACCGTTGATGCTGACGCTGCATGGAGCTGGTGTGGACGTCCGCGATTTGTTCTTCAGCAACAGCATTAGGCGGCAAGACGAGTGCTGGTCCATCCTGCCCACTGGTCGCACGCCGTGGGGCTACGACTGGCAGTTGGCGTCGTTCCAAGCAGCAGATGCAGCCGTAGATGCTTTCCACCAGCATCTGTATGGTCTGCCGCCGACAATGTCGGATGCAGAGCGGCAAAAGTGGCAATTCGATCCTCGCAAGCTGTTCATCATGGGCCACTCGAACGGTGGACAGGGCGCGTGGTACCGTCTTTCGCGCTATCCAGACCGTGTCATCGCCGGCGTCGTGGCTGCGACGTACACAAAGGTATCGGACTACGTCTCTTTCGCCTGGAAAGTAGGTCGTCATTACGCCGATCCGGCACTGCATGGCGTGCTGCACAGCTCGCTGAGCATGTTCGAGAACGACCTGTTTGCGAGCAATCTGGCCGGCATCGATCTGCTGATCAAGTACGGCTCTGCGGACGCCAACGTGCCACCATGGAACTCGAAGGACATGGCGATGCTCGTCGATGGCTGGAACAAGAGGTCAGGTGTGCGTGGCAAGGTTAGGGTCTCAGAAGTTCCGGGCCGACCGCATTGGTGGGACACGCTCTTCTCGGAGGACGACGTGCAGAGTGCCATCGAGACCGCGTGCACATCGAGCAAGAATCCAGGATACGCTATGCCCGAAGCGCCGCAGAGCTTCACACTCACCGTGGCCAACCCAGCCGAAGCGGGGCCGAAAGGTGGGTGGCAGATCACCGAGGTCGAGGTGCCCGGTCGCCTCGCTAGGTTGCAGGTGCAATACACGGTCGAAGAGTCTTCGGAGGATGCTGTCGCAGGTGTTGGGCATGTCAAGCTGCACGCCAGCAACGCCAAAAGGTTCCACGTGCAGCTTGAGGCACTGCAAAGCTCACCGGCCCTCGCTTTCGGGAATGCGAGCGCCGTGCGCATCACCTTGAACGGTCAGGCTTACGATGTGGATATCGAAGGCTCACACATACTCGCGTTTGAAGCTAGGCCCAGCGGAGAGTGGCACATCCTAGCTTCGCAAACAAGATCCACAGATGCACCGGCGGCGCGACCCATCGGCCCGTTGTTGCGCATCGTCTCTACTGCGGGGCCGATGGCGCTGGTAGTGCCCACGGAAGGACCTGCAACGGAGGTGGCCATGTGGAAGCGTGTTGCGCAGCGTTTTGCGGCGGATCTTCTTCTGTACGCCGGGATCAACTCGCAGATCGTGGCCGACACCGATTCTGCCGCACTCGCCGAGACACGGAGCGCACGTCATCTGGGCAACGTGGTCGCATTCGGCGGTCCGCGTATCAACAGCTACTCGCGCACGATCTACTACGATTGGCCCACGAAGCATCCGATCCACTTTGTCGATCCCGAGTCCTCGGCTCAATTTCGGATCCAAGGTCGCCACTTCTATGAAAATGGCACGGCTCTGCTGACGCTTGCGCCCCATCCGGAGCTGCACAATGGCCTCGCGATGGTAGTGCACGGCATTGGAACAGAGGGCATCACCCGCGCAGCGCGGCTGCTGCCAACCCGAACAGCAACGATGATCCCCGAGTGGATCGTCGTCGATTCCACCGCCGAGTGGATGGGCGAGGGCGGAGTTCAGGCTGCAGGCTGGTACGACGCCAAGTGGGGTTGGTCCGAAGGCATGTCGTATGTCCAGTAGATGCTGTCTCACGTTCATGCATAGCCATCCGCACCGTCGTCTTGTCTGGATACCTGGAATGCATGCTCCTCTACACAAAATAGACCGTGAGTCACTTGGCGACCAAGCTAAGGGCTCTGTTGGGCGACGAATCGCCGTATGACAATGACTGCGGGGTAAAACGTCTTGCGTACGAGAGCCTAGCAGCCGCTCGATGGTGTATGTTGAGCCGGTAGAACCTTGCTGGATGTGGTGCGCGCTTAGCGAGGGACGAAGGAGGGTGAGGCGCGCAGTCGAAGCGAGGCTGGGAAAGCTTGGATTCTCTTTTTTCCCCGCACCTTCTTTTGGCTTAGCCTGGACCCTGGCCATGTGCCTCCGACCCCAGCTGGGACTGGCTCCCATCGCTACCCCGCATTCTCCTACGCGCCGCGCTCTGCTTCGCCTAATTTAGCCGCACCTTCGCTCTCGGGCCATCCATGCGGCCCGAACAGAGGGAAAAGAGGACCCTGGCAGCCCTAGCAGACACTCCCGCTTTTGCCCCTTTGCTCTGTCACTGGCGGAGCATCCAACGTGCTAAAGGTGCAACTCTGTCGGTCATGTGCCCGCGCCTCGCCCACCGCGGCATTCTGCGCTCTGTCGTGTCACTTTGGAATTGACTCGGTGTGCCTTCCGCTCCAGCCGATGAAGTCTCCTCGCATGCTCGCATCCACCCAATTTGTGACCGCGCGCGAGCGGAGATGATTTACCCTGCTCTTGCATAGATTGGCGCACTGAGCCTTTGTCGATGTGCTGTTTGTGTGTCACCGCCCGCTTCACAGGCAGAAGCGCCTCTTGCTGCCGAACTGGTCCCCGCGCCAGGTGCCGCCAGCCACATTGCATCCCAATGTGGCTGCTGCCCGCGCATGCTGCCCGCTGCCCTTCGCCATCAGCACTTGTTGGCATGTGTCCGTGCACACCAGTGGGGACTGAGCTGCAGTATATATGAAGAAGGCGCTTGCACCGCCTCCCGCGCTTCCCCCCTTCCCTCCAGCTGTCTGCGTGTTTGCCCACCGCGTCTTACCTCCTTCCAGCCAAACACCACCATGGGTCTCTTCTCTGCTGCTTCGCCGCTCAAGCCGGACGCCTCGACGTACGCCACCGCCGCCAACCTGCCTCCCTCCACCGTCGAGGAGGCACACAAGGCCAAGAGCTACGACTTTATCATCTGCGGTGGTGGCACGGCAGGATGTGTGATCGCCAGCCGTCTCTCCGAGGACCCCAACACCTCGGTGCTCGTTCTCGAGGCCGGTGGCAACAATGACGCCCTCGAGGTCAAGGCACCGCTCGTCTTCACCAAGAACTTCAAGACCGAGCGCGACTGGGACTACACCACCACCCCACAGACCGAGGTGCGCAACCGCGAGATGCAGTGGCCCCGTGGCAAGCTGATCGGCGGATGTTCGTCCATCAACGCCATGATGTACCACCACTGCGCACCCTCCGACTACGACGAGTGGGCCGAAAAGTTCAACTGCAAGGGCTGGTCGTACAAGGAGCTCCAGCCCTACCTCAGACGTTCCGAGAAGTACACGCCTCACGCCTTCACTCCCGACGTCAAGGCTGCGGAGCGCGGCGACGCTGGTCTCTGGCAGACGGGCCACTCGTCGTTCAAGAGCGAGGTCACCTCCAAAGGCTTTGTCAACGCCTGCGTTGAAGTCGGCATCCCATACAACCCGGATCTCAACACGCCTCGCGGAACCGAGGGTGTCACCCACTTCACCACATTCATCGACAGCAACGGCCGTCGCTCGTCTGCTGCCACCGCCTACCTCCCCCTCGAGGTGCAGAAGCGCCCCAACCTCACCATCGGCATCAACGTCATGGTCAACCGCGTCATCTTTGACACCACCGGCGCCAAGCCCAAGGCCATCGCCGTCGAGATGCAAAACAAGAAGGGCGGTCAGAAGTACTACGCCGCCGCCAACAAGCGTGTCGTGGTGTGCGGCGGTGCGATCAACTCGCCCCAGACGCTCATGCTCTCGGGTATCGGACCTGCCGCCACGCTCAAGAAGCACAACATCCCGGTCGTTGTTGACAACGCCCTGGTGGGTGAGCGTCTGAGCGACCATCTTTGCCACACCACCATCAACGCGCGTGCCAAGCCCAACCACACGCTCGACTATCTCGGCAGCGACATCAAGGCCATCCCTTCGCTCGCTCGCTGGCTCGTCACGGGTGGTGGACCCGTCTCGAGCAATGCCGGTGAAGCCGCTGCATTTGTGCGATGCAACGACGAGTCGCTGCCGCTCGTGACGGCGCAGACCAAGCCCGAGAACCGTCCGCAGTTTTTCGGCTCGCTCGGCAAGGGTCCCGATATCGAGCTCATCTGCACGCCGCTGGCGTACAACGACCACGGCGCGCTGCCTGCTCCCGCCGGTACGGGCTGTGTCTCGATTGTGGGTCTCAACGTGCGTCCGCGCTCCAAGGGCACCATCAGCATCCAATCGGCCGATGCCTGGGATAAGGCGGTGGTGGATCCCAAGTACTTTAGCGATCCCGATGACAACGACCGCAAGGTGACGCTCGCCGGTATGCGTCTTGCCATCGCCATTGCCAAGGCCAACGCGCTGCAGCCGTACCTCGAGGAGTACAAGAGCGACGACAAGGACGACTTCTGGTGGCCCATCTCGGCCACCGACCCGAGCAAGCTCTCGGACGACGAGCTCATGGACTTTATGACCAAGCGCGCCTTCACCCTCTACCACCCCGTCGGAACCGTCAAGATGGGTCCAGATGCAAGCGATTCCGTCGTCGACACGGATCTGCACGTCCATGGAACCGAGGGCCTCGTTGTGTGCGACGCCAGCATCTTCCCCGAACAGATCTCGGGTCACCCCACCGCCGCCGTCATCGCCTGTGCAGAGAAGGCCGCAGAGCTCCTCAAGCAGGTCGCCAAGTCCGGCGCACAGGGCATCGCCTCCCACCTGTAATGTTTTTGCTTACTTTGTCAATGGATCGTGTGAATGTAATGTCGATGTCGCCATCAAGCTCTGGTGGGGTGATTCGCAGCGTGAAGACACGAGACCGCACAGGTCTCAAAGCGCAGCTGCGACAAGCAACGTGGGGACAATCGGGGAAGCAGAACGGCCAGTGAGATTACGCACGCTCAAACGCGATGGTGGTGGTGGTGGAACCCTTTGCGCCGCCAAAGGTGAATGCGGGGGTGGGAACCACCTGCTGCACGGCGAACCCGTGCGCGGTGAAGCGCGCGACGAGTTCGGCCTCGGTAAAGTTGCACGAGGTGATGAGGAATACCGCGCCTTTCTTAGTGAGCCTTGCCACGGCCTCGGTGTACCTATCGATGGGGAGGGTGCCGTCGATGGGCTGGGACGAGAGCGCAATGGCGTCGAGTGTGCCCTTGTCGCACACGAGGTCCCATCCGGCCTCGCTGCATCCGAGCTGGCTCCTGGGCATGTCGACGAGCTGCTGCACATTGGCCGGGTCAAGGATGTCGGCGGTTTCGAAGCGTACCTCCTCGCACGTGCCGCCGCGCTTGGTGGCGATGGACCGCGCCAGCTCGATCGACGCCGCCGAGTAGTCTACACCCACAAGCCGGCTCGGCGCAACAACCTCCTCCAGATCAGCACTCGACTCGAGCATCTCGAATAGCAGATGACCGTTGCCCGTGCCCAGATCCAGCACAGCCGGCGCCTTGCCTTCTTCTTCGGACGAGAACTCGCCAGCGACAGTGTCGGTGTAGTACGTCTCGAGGAAGCGGATCATGCGCATCACCGCGTCCTCGCCAAACCAAACCTCGCCCTCCTCGCCAATCTCGTTGAACACCGACACCTCGCGCGCGTACACCTCGTCCCAGTGCTGCTTGGTTCCCAATTTGGACTCGGGCAGTGCCTCGCCCTCTTCCGCCGACCCTGCATCGTTCGCGCTCTTCGTCGTGCTTGGTGCCGACGCGGCGATGGGGATGGCGACGCTCTGGCCAATCTCGATTGTGGCAAACTCGGCCGGGTCGATGCCCTGACGCTGCGCCTCCTCAATGAGACGCTTGGGAGGCTCGTTGACGTCTTCGGGCGTGAGGCGGAAGCTGCCCCAGTGGATGCCGTACGAGCGCCTGCTGCGCACGTCGCGATGCACGAGCACCGAGTCCTGCGGCGCCAGATGCACCGTCGACATGAAGAAGCGCGGCTCGTACGCGCCGATTGGGATGAGCGCCGCGTCGAAGGGTCCGAGCGCCTCGCCGATCTCCTTGAACGCGGGACAGGTTGGCAGCGTATCCTCTTCCTCCCTAGGCATGCCGCGCGGCACGGTTCGGTAGCCGGTGTCGCCGGCAAAGTACACGCTCGCCTTGGAGGACGCCTCGGAGACGGCGTGGAAGGTCCAGCCGGCCCACAGCGTGCGGTCGCGGTCCATGAGCCCGCGGCCCGAGAAGTGCTGCGCCGGTACGCAGGTGAGCTTGAGCACAGCTTCGCTACCGAGCGAGACGGTGCTCTGCTCCCACCAGTCGCACTCGGTCACCTCGGCGTCCGTAAGGCCAAAGTTGGACTGGAACCAGGACTTGGTGCCGAGCGTGCAGAAGACGTGTGGGCGCTTGACGCGAGCGGATGCCGGCGGGATGAGAAGCTTGGAGATGGTGTTGTAATCGGTGTGGTCGTAGTGGTTGTGCGAGAGGACGAGGAGGTCGGGCCAAGCATTCTTGCCGCCTTTCTCCGTGTCCTCGGCCATCTCCTGGACGGTGACTGGAGCGTCGGTGTAGCGTGCAGGCCCAATCCACTGGAAGGGCGACACGCGCTGCGAGAGGACGGGGTCGCAGAGGATGGTCACGACTCGGCCGTTGCCGATGGGGATCTGGAGATGGCAGATGGCGTGGCCGAGCCAGGTGTAGACGATGCTGTCAGTACTATCGGCGGAGGCGGCAGGCGTCCAGGTGGGTTTGTGAACGGGCGGGAGGCTGGCTCCTCCAGCTTTGGATGCGAACTTGGGGGGCAGAGGCGGTTCGTCCCAATCGAACAGACGAGTTCGAAAGAAGCTGAGCATGCCGTGCATGTCGGCCGATGGCCATGGCGACTTGAACTTTCGTCGGGATACGTCGAGAGGCGCCGCATCGCTCGAGGGCTTTGAAACATTGGACCAGTGAGGCGGCGGTGTTGTCTTGTAGAAGGCAGGTGCCACGCTGCTCTCCGACTGCGACTTGGACACCGACCAGGAGGCGGAAGCTGTGGTGGACGACATTCTGCTCGCGGGTATGACTGCCGAAGTGCGACAGACGTGTGGTCGAGCGAGACGGAAGATGCCAGAGCGAGCAAGGAGATCCCGCATGGACCTGCGCTGGGGTTGGAGCGATCGCAGTGAAGATGCGGTTGCGGATGATGGTGGGCTTCGGTCAAGAGCGACCGTCGAGTGTTGCCGAAATTCCCAACCAGCTCAAATACGCGGAACTTTTTTTCGGATGGGCCGGCGCAGTCGATGTGCCGAATACGTCGGGATTGCCGCGGAGATGGATGCGCCTTTCCCACGCGACGTGGCCGCTTGGAGTCGGTAGGTGACCAACGCCACGTCGAGCTTTCGGCCTCGATCCGATCCCTTCACTGTTATATCTCGAGCAGACCATCCGGTACCGTCCGCACCACGACGCAGACAGGAATGATCTAGTATTCCACCTCAAGCGATCGGGACTCAACGTCAGAATGCTCGCCGAGCCATCCGCCCAGGATGACGACCGGCTCTCGGTCACCGCCATCGCCGATGCCGAGCTCGACAGCACGGGAGCCGGCTCGCCGCCCTCGACGACGCTAGAGGAGCTCACACTATCAGAGCACGGCTACGAACACGCCAGTCCAGCTGCTCACGCACATGGCCAGGCACCAGACGCGCGTCCCACCGTGCCTGCAGATGCACCCCACCCAGCCCGCGCCGCGGCGGCATCTCGGAGCCAACTCGATGCCGCACTTGGCGGCGTCCTGGTCATCAGCGGTGGAAGCGGATACAACGACCTCGTCGGCGCCACTCCGGGTGCTACCTATGTCATGCCCATCTCGGACAACGGCGGCTCGTCGTCCGAGATCATCCGCGTGCTCGGCGGGCCCTCGATCGGCGACATCCGATCGCGTCTCAATCGGCTCATCCCGACGCCAGCACGTCACGATTCGGCCGCTGCGCCATCGAACGACGCGATCCACAAGCTCCTCGCGTACCGCCTTCCGTCGCACGGCTCGTCGCGCGAGATCAAGCAGGAGTGGATGGACATCCTCGAGGGTCGCCACCGACTGTGGCGCGGCATCGAGCCCGAGCGCAAGGAAGTCATCCGCGGCTTTCTCGTACACTTTGAGAGCGAGGTGCTGCGCCGCGCTCATCGCCACTTCAACTTCCGCGGCGGATCGATCGGCAACTTCTTCCTCGCCGCCGCGCAGAAGTTCTTCCGCTCCATTCAGAGCGCCATCTTTCTGTTTGCCGCCACCACCCAGATCGACACGTCGTCGTTTGCGAGCAAGGTGCTGCCAGTCATCAACACCAATCACACGGCTACCATCGCAGCCGAGCTGCAGGATGGAGACATCATCGTCGGGCAGTGCGAGATCTCGCATCCGTCGCCCAAGGCCTCGGATCGCGCTGCACCCCCGATGGAGAAGAGCGGCTCGCTCGCAAGTCAGCCGCCGGGCACTCCGTCGTCGGCGGTGTTAGATGCACGCGCGGCACAGACGCTGCTGGGCGATGGCGGCCCTTTGACACCCGGATTCGGTCCGCCGGCGCATTACCACGTGGCGGGGCCGTTTGAGTCGAACTACACGTCGATGAATGGCAGTGTCGATATGCTCCGAATGGGCACGTCGGAGAGCGAGGCGAGGCCGTCGTCAGCGGCGCGGCAGTACGGCGCATCGGCAACTCCGCTGCGGACTGGTGCCGGGCCGAGCCCGCTGTTTGCGCAGCTGGTGGACGAGCGTGCGGCGGCATATGCAGCGCAGGTGCGCAAAGGCCGCACGACGGTCGGCAACCTAAAGGACGGCCTGGACCCGGAAGACGACGACCAGGACTCGCAGGATGGCAACGATCCGACCGACTCGCCGCGCGACAGCAGTGCGGCCGAAGACGATCCCACCGACGCGAGGCACTCGGTGCCCGAGCTTGGATGGTCACACCAGCACGGTGCGGTGAAGAAGCTCGCCCGACCGGCGCCAAGGGAGAAGACGGGCAACATCATCTTTTCCAAGTCGGACGATGCGTCGGAGCCGGCACTGGCGTCGCCCATCCGTCGCATTCTGTACGTCAATGCGTATCGAAACGAGATCCATCCTGCGCCGAATCCGGCGTTTGTAGGCGCTTTGGGGCGGTGTCAGACGCTCATCTACTCGTGCGGCTCGCTGTGGACGAGCATCATCCCGTGTTTGGCTCTGCGCAGCATCGGCACTACCATCGCCACCTCGACAACGCTGCGCTACAAGGTGCTGCTGCTCAATACGATACATGACCGCGAAACTCGCGGGATGGACGCAGTGGATTTCGTAAGCGCCATCTGCGATTCGCTCAACCACTCGGACCAGCCAGAACGTGCCGACGCCCAAGCCTACACGCCCAACCAGTTCATCACGCATATCGTCCACTTCCCCACTGCAAGCATTGCTGTTGACACCCGCCGGCTAGGCGAGATGGGCATCACATGCATCCCTGCCGCCTCGACAACGTCCAAAAACGGCACACCCATCTTTGACCAGGACGCGCTCATCGCCGCTTTGCATCACATCACACGCCAGACTTAGATTCGTATCCTTGGGAAACCCATGCAATGTCGGAGCAATACCACTGTCTACAAAAGCCGAAAAGCGGGCGTGTGATTAGATGCACTTAGGACTGTTCGAGGGTGGCGAGGTAGTGTACGTCGTCGCAGTCGCGGATGCGCTTGGCGGCCTGTTCGGCGGTGAGATCGCGCTGGGGCTCGGCCATCATTTCGAAGCCGACGAGGAACTTGCGCACCGAGGCGGAGCGCAGCAGCGGCGGGTAGAAGTGGATGTGGAACTGGGCGAACTCGTCGTCCTCGCTGGTGGCCAGCTGTGTCGGCTGCTGGTGCACACCCATCGAGTAGGGGAAGGAGCACTTGAAGACATTGTCGAGCTTGCACGTCACCTGCGCGATGATGCGCGCCAGCGACACCACCTCCATCTCGGTCATCTGGAGCACGTTGCGGATCTGCCTCTGTGCCGGCACCACGAGCACCTCAAACGGCCACACCGCCCAGTACGGCACGATGGCCACAAAGTGGTCGTTGGCCATGATCACACGCGGCTGGCCGGGCGTGGTGAGCTCGAGCTTGGCGAGCGTGAGCAGCATCGAGGGCTTGCCGTGGTCGTCGCACGCGCCGAGGTTCACCTTGGGGTCCTGGTTGGCCGGATCCTGCGACCAGGCGCGCAGCGATGCGAGTTCCTTGCTCGGTTCTTCCGGGATGTAGTCGAGCGACCATACCTGACCGTGCGGATGCGGATTTGAGCAGCCCATGGCGGAGCCCTTGTTCTCAAAGATCTGGATGTACTTGACGAAAGGGTTTTCGGCGGGGATCTGCTTGTAGATCTTCTGCCAGCTCTGGATGATGGGCACAATGTGCTCGTCGGGCGAGAAGGGCGCTGTGCTGAGCTGTGCGAGCGTGAGGTTGTGCTGCGGGTTGAAGCAGATGACATAGCATCGGCCGCGCGCCGGCTGCGACTGGAGCAGCGGGTGCTGGTTCTTCTCCTCGGCTACCGCCTGCGGCATGAGAGCGGCATAGTCGTTCTCAAAGAAGAAGGTGGATGTGTAGTCGTCGTTGGTGGCGCCCGTGGCGCGCTTGTTGCCCGGGCATAGGTAGCACTTTTCGTCGTACGCGGGGAGCGATGTGCCCTGCGGCTTCTCCTCCTGGCCCTGCCACGGACGCTTGGTGCGGTGAGGCGAGCAGAGCACCCAGCTGCGCGTCAATGGGTTGTACCTGCGGTGCGGGTGTTCTGTTGCGTCGAAAGCGGGCAGCTCGTCGTCCGAGTCCGAAGCGCCGTTGGCAAGGCCATTTGCGTGGCCGTTTGTGTGTCCGTTGGCGTATCCGTTCGCATGCCCGTTGGCGTGTCCGTTGGCAAGTCCGTTTGCGTGACTGCTGCCGTTCGCAGTGGCTCCGTTCATTATGGAAGCAGATGTGATGTGCGCCCAAACCGAGTTGGTCGGATCAAGTACGAGGCTGGGTCTTGCGGATGTGGTGGTGAGCAAAGTCGGTGTGGTGAAGATGGGGAAGGCAGCAGGGATGTCGTGCGTTCTGATAAGCAGGGATGGTGCCGGAGCTGGGTGAGGCGCGCTGGTCTTCGTCGGACGTTAGGCGGTCAAAGTGGCACTTTTGGCGGTGGACCTCATGCAGAGGGATGCAGCTGCACCAACGCAGCCACAAAGCGGTCCAGGCGGCTGTCGGCTCCTTCGCGCTGACTTTGACTCGGCTGGTGCCTGGCTGTAGCTGGAGCGCGCGCTGTGGGGTGGAGGAGCCGTCGGGCAACGGCCTACACAGAGTGTGGGATTTGGATGATTTTGCTTTCGAGCATGACGTTGCCGTTGCTCTCCCGTCGCGCCCGCGCCAAAACCTCATTTTTTTCGAGCCTAGCCAGCTCGACCTGCTCGAGCTCGAGACCCTGACTTCCCTCAGCCTCGCCTACGCCCAGCTTCAACGCTCCCGTTCGACTTTGCCGTGAACCTATGCGCTGTGCAGTCACAATTCAGGCAGCTGAGGAATTTACCGCCGCGTCTGGGCGAAGTCCGATCCATGAATCCCGAACGGCGACGAGAACGCCGGACAGCCCTCCCCGAAAATATGCAGCCGCACACCGCACAGTTGGCAATTTTCCACCGACCAATTCCGAAGACCGGCAAATATCGACATCACCCGGTCACTCGCTGGCTCGACGCTCGATCCGCACTAACTTGCAGTAGCGCCTGCTTCCGCTCGGCTCGGAAAGATATCGGAGCATTTTGCATTCAAAGGGGTCCCCCACACAGCACCGCACAAAAGAACAGTCTCGGAGATCTCGCCGGTCTCCGCACTGTGCATTGGAGATTTTTCGAAGAGCGCGGTGTGATCTCGCTCATTCCTCCTTTCCGCTGATCGGCTGGGCTGGACGTGGAGTGTTGAGAAGTCCGACAATGCGCAGCATCATGTCGAACGTCAGTAGCAGCGGGATCAGGCAGAACGGAATGTAGTTCCTGCAAGCAACAACAGCATCAGCATCGATGCGTCGAATTGCGGACAGGCTTTGCAAGCACCGTGTACTTACTGTAGCAAAGCGCGAATCTGCGCCGAAGTCAGTCCGGCGCCGTCGTCTCCATAGAGAACGCTGAAGATGCACTGCAGAGTCGACGAGGCGGCTGTAGTCCACCATCACACACCAACGTCGGCCCGATCAGCAACGGTCGACATGGCTTTCGCACGAGGTTTCTACTTACCCAGAGTGCCGTAGCACACCATGAGGGGATATGTTCGCTTCTCATCTACCCAGCCAGCCCGAAAGAACCTGTCAGCACCGCATCGTCCGCGAAAACCACCACGCCGTACTCACCGTTCAGAAGGCCCCAGATGGCGACGAAGAAGCACGGGATCTGGAACACCGTCTCGCTCGCCAGCAGTACACGAAACCAGACGTGCGCCGACGACTGGGCAGCTGCAGCCAGCAGGAACGGATCCTTGGACGTCGTCAGGTAGTCCTGCACCACTTTTCGCAGCGGCGCCGGAAACACGCTCTGCGAGTACGGCGGATAGGTCAACTGCGCATCGATCGCCAACGACGCCAGCAGGTGGATGCCAAAGTACGACAGGTACAGCACATCCATAGGCCGCTCCGTCAGCGTCTTGCGTCGCTCCACCGCTGCCATGCTGCCTCGCGATCGTTCCATCTTGACACAAGCTTTTGAAGAAGGTTCACAATCGTGTGCAACTGCCAACGTTTGCGCTCTTCTCCAGTTGAACGCGTGCAGGTCCGCACTTCGGACCCTGACCTCAACCCGATCCCATCTGCTCGATCAAAATACAGATCGGGTCTCTTTCAACCCTCGGCATGCTAACGACACAGCCACGGCCTCACGCATAGTGACTTCTGCAGGCTGACAGGAACACGCAAAGCTGAACTGCGATTGGCATCAAAAGTTGGACGGCGTGTTGCGGGTATTCGACATGTTGGCCTCGATCTGTGTGTCGAGAAAGGCGTTGAGATCAAACGGCGACGGGGCTGGAGCCGTCGATGCGGGTGTCTTGGCCGCGAACGGCACCGATCCAGGACTGCTCGACATGGGCGCGATGTGCGCATTCACATACGGCAGTCCAGCCAGAAAGTCGGTCATGGTGCTGCCGAAAGTCGACAGATCGTCCGTGCCCGGCGTACCCCACGACGCCGCTGTGCTCGTTGTCGCCGTCGGCGCCGGCCCGTTCCAGGGCATATCCGCCACAATCGCCGCCACATTCATCGGCACCGTCGGAGCCGCGGCGGGCTCGAACACGCTCGAGAACCGATCGCGCTCCTGCTTGAGCTTCACCTCGTTCGTCGATCCGAGCCCGGGGATCATCTCAAACTCGGTGTACAGGCCCGAGAGCATCTTGCGCATCCTCGCCGCCTCGGCCTGCGTGTCCGGATGGCACTGGTACGTGCTGAAGGCATAGATCTTCTTGCCCGCCTTGGACAGCAGGTCCGCCGTGAGCTCGCGCAGCCCGGCCTTGTACGTAAGCTTGGCCATCTCGAGCGTGTAGTACGCGCCGCCCTTGGCCGAGCTGCGGAACGCAATCGAGCTGTAGTCCAGCAGGTTGACCGCTGCAAACGAAGGCGGCACCGAGATGGCTGCCAGCTGCGGACACAGCTCCGACATGCGGTCGATGGCGCTCAGCAGCAACGAGTCGAGTCGTTGACGCGCGCGTAGAAAGAGCGTGCTTTCGTGGTTGCCACTCTGCGTAGGTCGTTGTAGGCCGTGTGCATGCACCATGGCGTGTATGCAACGGTACTGGCTCCACAGCAGCAGATTGAGGAAAGCTTTGCGCACCAGGATCGAGATGATATCCTCGCTCACGTTGTCGTGCGGGATGAGCTCGCGCAGCGATGGCGCCTCCGCCTCGGCGCTGGCGGACGACTTCCATCGCAGCGCCTCGGGGATCTGCCTCTCGAAGCGCTCGAGCTGCTCGAGCACGTCCAAGATCGCCGACGGCGGAATGCCGAGTCGGCGCGACTTGGCAGCGCAGATGGTGAGGTTGTTGGTGCGCAGCACCGACGCCATGAGCGAGAGCTGATACGCCCATTGGTTGCCGATCGGCCCTCCCAGGTCGGCCATCATGGCGTCCGGGTCAATGTCCTCCTGGAGAAGCTGGTGCCGGTGGAAGAGGTCGAAGCTACGAATGATGTCGTTGACCGAGGCGACGGCCAAGATGAGCGGCATGCGTTCTTCGTTGACGTTGCACAGCACATGGCGGTCCGGGCTGCGCTGCTTGTTCCGCTGCGCCTTGACCATCGGATCGTCGCGCGAGCGGTTGAGGCCGTGGTAGGTGACCAGCCGAATCATCTTGGCGTGGCTCATGGGATGGACGAAGCCGGCATCGAGACTGGCCGTCGTTGCTTCTTCGACCGCCCTTGTGCGCGCCGGCACGTCAAAGGTGAGCAGGATTGCCTCGAGGACATCGAGCGCGACGGTGACGTCCTTTGTACAAGCCTGTGAGACGAGCTTTTCGAGGCGTCGAAAGATGCGAGCCTGGAGCTCGAAGCGGTTGGGAGCGTAGCCGAGCTGCACCACGCCGACGCATGCCACCGCCAGGATAAGGATATCGGACGGAGGGAATTTGTCCAGATCGGGTGCCGAAGGTGCGACGCCATCGATCTGGTTGAGGTAGCGCCTGTATCTGGGATAGAAGTGTTGCGGATGGAGGGCTGGATTGCACCAGTAGGTTGTGCGGAAGTGTGAGGCGATGGCATCGTCTAGGATGGGGCGGGTCAAGCCGCGCACTTGAAGCATATCTGGCTCTGTCGCAGCAGCAGCGACAAAAGGTGAATCCTGAGCGGGGCGAGAATCGGATCGGAGGTCGGCGAAGCGATCCTGCGCCGGTCGCTCGTCGTGAGCGTCGGACTTTTTGCGCTTCCTGCGAGCAGCGGCAGCTGCAGCTGCGGAGGCCTGAGCTGCTGCAGACGCCGACGTGGATGCCGAAGCAGAGGTGGAAGGATCGCCGGCAGAGGCTGGCTCCGTGTCGGAGTTGTCTGCGTTTGGGCGAGCGTCGTCGGTGATGATGCAGTCGTATCCTCGCGCGCAACAGAAGGAGCAGAGCGAGATGCCTTCTGCGTTGCGCTGATCCTTGTCGCACTTGACCTTCTTGCGACGACAAGGATCGCAAGAGGCGCGAGGCGTGCCGCGCTTTCCCATGTTGCTGTGATGGTCGCTTGCTGGGCCTGGCGCGGAAGAAGTGGGATGGCGAGAGGAAAGAGACGCGAGCAAGGAGCTGGAGTGGGCGACCTATTTAGGGCAGACTTGGCTCGACGGAAGTGCCGATGCCATCTCCTTGTCACAGGCTGAAGCGATGGGCGGATCTCGGCGACCTGAAGAGAACGTCGTTACGCCGAGCACACCATGGGTGCCTCGAGGCGGTGGGGCGTAGGGAAACGCGATGAAGGGCACAGGTTGCCGCCGACGAGACCAATGCACAGCCTCACGCGTGGACAGCAGACTGGCGCTCCACTCGACCCGAGCTTCTCTGACCGGCGGTGTGGGGCGTCAAATGGGGTGCATGGATGCTTCGATGCAGCTGAGACTCGTGGCAGATAACGAGTTTGCGATTCCTGCGCGTGGAGCGCCACGTGTTGCAGCAGCGGGTGGGCAGATAGCGGGTGGATGGCGATTCGCCGGCGGACAATGGGGGCTGGCGGGTGCGGCTGCGGATCGATGTGGGTTCGGTTTGAGGACGCCGATGAAGGCTGGGATGGCGGGAGTGGGGATGGAAAGCCCACTTTGCCGGTGATGATGCGGCAACCCTGAGAATTTCGAGACTAGCATAGGCGGATGCAGCTCTAGTGCGGCGCAGTCGAGCTCGGTGCGGATGCGCCGACGCAACGAGGCCGCATTGCGCGATACGCACTCGCGCTAGCCGCCGAACCCTGACCGAGCTCGTGTGATAGAGAGATCTAACAAATTTGGAGCTCGCGGAAATTGCGGGGTAAATGCCGGCACATTCATCCTTCTGCGCACCGGCCACGCCGCCTCCACCTGGTTCCTTCCCGGCGGCGACTAGCTCTCGCTCCTACCCTCTTACCCTCACGTACAATCGTCCACTCGCCTACATACACGGTCAACATGTCCAAGAGCCGCTCGCTTCCACCTGCACTCAAGCAGCTGCTGCAGCAGCCTACGTTTCCAGCACGAGCTTCGCGGCTGTCGGCATCCAAACAGCTGCCGGCCGGTCGATCGGCCAATCCCACACCGACGCCCAAGCTCACGGGCGTCAGCCAGCATTTCCAGAGCTTGCAGGCCGAGGCCAAGCAGAAGGGTCTGGGCTGGGGAGAATGGCTCTCGATCGCCACTGCCACGCTCTTCACCCTCAACAATCCCGGCAGCCTGCAGGCGCTCCATAAGTTTGCGGCGGGAGACAAGGCCATCAGCCTCGAGCACAGGAAGCAGGTGGCGCTGCTCATGCGCGAGACCGGCCTCAAATGCATCGGATTCATCGGCATCCCCAAGGTGATCAACAATCTCGCTGCGCTCAGAAAGGCGGTTGAGGAGGACGCGGAGCTGGTCAAGGCCCTCCCCACCGAACCGAGGAGGTAAGTTTGCTCGAACACCGCGTTGTCATACAACAAGGCTGACATTCGGTGCTTGACGATATAGACAGATCAAATCGGATCGAGTCGAAGCGGTGCACAAGGCTGCATACAGTCTGTGGGACGACATCTACACGCCTCACTCGGACAAGCTGCTCAAGATCCTCGGCACCTCGCATCCGGATCTACCCATCTTCATCGTCGAGTCCGAGTACGGCCCTCTCTTCTCGTCGCCGGCGTCGTTCACGCTGCCCTCGGATCCCGAGTCGGCGCGAGTGGAGCCAGAATGGGACGTCAACCGTCTGCGCACCTCGCTCGTGGCCATCTCGGCGCTTCGAGCCCAGGGCGGCGTGGGTCCGCAGGTGACCAGCCACGTCTGGGGCTTGCTCAAGGCCCGGGACTCGATCAAGCCCAATGATGCCGCCAAGGCCGGTCTCGAGTGGCTCACCACCGAGGAAGGCGCACTCTGGGTCGTTCGCACTGTCGACAGCGTACGTTCTGAACACGCCTTGCACAATTCCAGTCGAGTCGGTAACTGACAAAACCCTTTTGCTTTTTGTACAGATCTGTGAGGCAGTGGAAGGAGCAGAAGAGTTCGAGGGCATGGGCAAGGAGAGCAAGCTCTAGCCGTTGAAAGCACAACGGTTCATGCCCTGGGCTGGTAGAACCACCACGCTGTAATCGCACCGATGATAAACACCTCGAGCAGACCACCAGCCAAGCTGCCGCCGCCGGTGAGGAGGAGAAGGCTCCAGATGTAGCCCACGAGTCTGTCGAGCACCACACCGCTGGTGGAGAGCAGCAATCGCTGAGTCGATGGAAGCGTCTCGTATGGGTTGAACGACGAGAGCAGTTGTGGCGATGAGCCGGGCGGTGGCAGACGGAGCAGGGTGGTGATGGGTTTGTGGTCCGAGTGGGTGTACTGCATGATGCTGCGGTAGAACTCGACCTCTACGCCGTGCTGCGCATTCTGGTCTCGCGCGGTCGCAGATGCCCACAGGATGCGATCGGTCCAGCCGGGCACGCGCTTCTTGTTGAGCGTATGGCCCTCCAGCGCATCCGACGTGATGCCGGCGTTCTTCTTCTTGGTCTGCTTGCCCGGCCGCGAAACGACGTACTTGTAAGTCGGTGGAACGCCAGCTTGTGCCATGGGCAGCTCGGTGAGACCGTGGAACGCCTTGGGTGGCTGCGACAGACGCTGGTAGCTCAGCTGGTCGTACTCCGACAGTGTAGACCAGTCGCCCGCTTCGAGCGCCTTGAAGAGCGACTCTTTCGTCAGCTCCGAGGTGGCGCCGGCCTTTTCGTCGCCTTTGCGCGCGCGCTCCAGCTCGCTCTTGCCCAGCGCAATGCGGTGGTTGAGATCGCCAAACACAAACAGATGCGTCGTGTCGTACACCGTGTAGCTCTTGTCGTCCAGCGGAGCGGTCTTCTTTGCGCGCTTGTCGGACTGCGTCTCTTTCTCGTGCTGCTGCTTGAGTGCGTCCATGTCGTTGGGATTGAGCGGCTTGGAGCTTTGCTCCTGCAGGATGGGAAGCTTCTGTACCGACGTCGGCTCGAACACCATGCGCTGGACGATCTGCTGCCAGTCCTTGTTGCGGCGCAGGACGTTGTGATCGTGCGCAGCCAGATGCGCGCTCACAAAGGTGAGCACCTCGTCTGGGCCCTTGCCGTCGGCAGCGGCTACAACGATGCGCACGCCGACGCCACCCTTGTTGCCCATGACACCCGCCAGACCGGTGCCGACTTTGGCGGCGCGGATCTCCTTGACGCGATGCGCTGCACCGCGCGCGCTCGTGGCGGCTGCCTTGGACACCGAGAACGCCGCTCGCTCTCGGGCGTAGACGAAGAGCGCGATGCCCACCAGGTCGACCCTGCAGAGCAGCGGGTAGCCCTCCGGTCCTCCGCCCTCCTCGAGGCTAGCGTACGATGCCTGTGCCCGACACCACCGCCTGATGCGGACGCACCGTCCTGCGAATGTCGAGGTCCGTATTGTACAGAGCCACGTGGCCTGACGCTGCAAAGCCGGTGTGGAGCGGGATGAGCTCTTGGAAGCCTACGGCGTAGAAGTCGGGTGCCTCGCGCGGCAGCGATGGATGCGTAGACGGCGTCTTGGCATTGCTCGACTTGTACGCAGCTGCCTCGAGCACGTTGGCGTTGGTGACGGGTTTTGACGAGACGGGCTGCACGGGCCTCTGCTCCGCTGCGGGGATCAGCCAGGGAGTGAGGTCGTGTCGCGTGGTCTCTGCGCCTTGCAGGTTGGCGTTGTAGGAGGCGATCTGCACGCGCAGCCCGGATCCGCTCATCTTGACGTTGGCAGCGAGGACGTGGTGGAAGGATGGCAAGATCGAGAGAAGCCGTATCCTTGGAGCTTCTTGTGTCTAAGTAGCAGAAGTAAACGATGTAGTAGGCGAGAGGCAGAGCCGAGGCGTCATCGTCAGCGGCGTCGACGACGGACAAAAGAGCTCAAATCTATGCGGGGTACGCCAAGCGCATGCAGCTGAAAGCGGTCACCCTCGAAGCACCTCGACCTAACATCTTCGAATTTAATCGACGCTTCGAACACGGACCAACAAATCAGCTTTCCGCTTCCGGCTGCTATCCAAGAAGAAAGAAATAGAGGCACAGAGAGACGGCGACAAAGACGCGCAGAGAGCGTGGGGGAAGCAACTCGACTCGACTCGCCGGCCAACTACCTCTGGTCTCGACACGCCTCCATCATCTCTCTCGCTCTTCCGCACGACTTTTGCACCATGGCCTCTACCCAGCTCTCAGGGCAGACGGGCACCGTCTTCGCCGCGTGGACGCTGATGCTGCTCGCAGCCGCCTTCTCCGCACCCGCAGCTGCGGCTCTCGAGCTGCCCTCGTTCGTGCGCTCGACGCTCAACGTCAAGCAGCCCGTAGGCGCGACGGCGTACCAGGCGAATCAGCCGTACGATGGCATCGAAATTCCGCTCACTGGCCGCTTCGTCTTCCGACCCGCGCTGTTCTGGCTCGAGGGCGGTGTGCTCGGCTTCTGCGTGCTCTTCATGCTCATCCACCTCGTCGGCAAGACGCGCAACCGCCAGATGGCACAGCGATTCGCCACGGCTGCGGCTCCCGTGCTTCAGCAGGAGTTTGCCGTCGTCGCCGACAACGAAGGCAAGGGCAGCCTGCTGTGGAACGGCGGCAATGCGGCGTTCATGTTCGCCTCGGGTCGCCGTGGATGCGCGAGCCTTCAGGTGACGTTCGATATGGTGCCCCGACACGACCCGATGGAGATCGTATACACGCTGCTCAAGGATGTCGTGGTCGCTTCCACCTCGTCCTCCTTCCGCGATACGGTCACCTTTACCTTCACGCTACCTCCCACGTCGGACAACGTCTCGGGCGTGTTTGCGCTCGTCAACAAGAGCGCGCTGCAGCACACGCGCAGCGGCCGCTTCGACCTCACGTTTGCCAAGGTCAACGACACCGATGCCACCGTCACCTCGCGTGGGCTGTCCAAGCAGTGGGCGGTGATGAGCGAGGCTACGGACCTCACCGACGGCTTCCTCGGCGAGGCGGATCAGAAGGGTGTTGCGCAGCGCGCCAAGCTCGGCCTGGTCGACCTTCTCGAAGGCAAGGCGGGCCAGCTGCTCGACAGCCTCGTGCTGACCGACCAGCCTTTCTCGCGACCTACCAACGGCCCCATTGCGGCCGAGAAGCGCGAGCGCCTGCTCATCATCACGCTGCAGCTGCCCAAGTCGCACGCGAACGTGCGCAAGGCGATCGAGCTGCTCCAGTTCGGCTGCAACCTCGTCGACGCGCTCGACACGGGTGTGGTGAAGCTGCGCAACGAGACGCTCGCCAAGCTGCGCAAGACGCGCGCCCAGGTCGACAAGGAGCTGCACGACGAGGCCACCAAGGAACAGCGCGAGGCAGAACTCGAGGCGCGGGAAGAGGCAAAGCGCAAGGCCGAAAAGGAAAAGTTCGACAAGCTCTCGCCCGCCGAACAGGCAAAGCGCAGGGAGGTCGAGCGCAAGCGCGCCATGAAAAAGGGCGCCCAGAAGGTGCGCTCCGGTTGATCCTATCCTTCCCCTCCTCGATTGCGTTGCCGATTACAAGGCGGCGCTGACAACCCATGTACTTTTCCCAAGTTGCTGCGTCGCAATGGAACAATGAAGCGCAGTAATCGGACACGAGATATCTGATCTGTTGTGAGCGTGCTTTGATTGGATGATGCAGGAGTTGTGTGTCGTGCTATTTCGCCGCTTCTGCTGCCTTTGCCGCCTTTGCCTGTTGATTCGACGGTGGGTCAGCGATGTGTGTGTGATGCTGGTCATGCAAAGCCGACTTACCGCTTGTTTGGCACGCAGGGCTTCTGCGTCGGCCTCCTTGCGCTTGGCGATCGAGGTGTTGGACTCGTTGCGCTTGCCCTTGTTGGCGTCGGCCTGCTTCTTCTGGTTCTTGGCACGTGCCAGTTCACGCTGGTTGCCGCCTGCCCCCGTCCGAACGCATCAACTCATCAGCTAACGGATTCTAGAGGCGTTAAGGACGTTGTGATGGCACTTACGAGTCATTGCGAATGGTGTACTGGTCGGTGGAATACGGCTGAACAGCTCGTGCGAGCACAAAGCGTCGATGGTGACAAGCGATGAACCAAGTTGTTGCTTCCAGAGTCGAACCCTTCTTCCACGCGCCCACCACCGCCTGTTCCGAGTTCCATGCAATTTCACTTTTCCACCACGCGATTTTCCCACCGCCGCCGCCTGACCCTGATGCAATCTTGGTCCGTTGGCGAAGAGGCGCTTAGGCTCTTCGCAAGGCTCCGGGGGTCTTTCTCGCAACACACGTCAATGCATCACACGCACGGAACCATCTTGAACATCTGGCTGATCTTTAGGGAGATCTTTAGGAACGTAGAGGCTAGGGAAAACTAAGGATCGACGAGCCTGGTATCTAGAGGTGGCTCTGAGGAAGCTGGACGCCGGCAGGTTGGACGTGGGCAGCGAGGTCGAGGCCGAGCTTGTCCTGCACAAACTTGTTGCAGAAGGCGAACAGCTCTGCTGCAAGCTTGCCGTCCTTGTCCTGGGCCTGCTTGCTCTTGGAGCCCTTCTTGGCGACGGGCACGAGGTAGGCGCCGTTGAGACCGAGCTTGTCGACCTGGGGCGAGGTGCATGCATAGAGCTGGGTCAGAGCGCCGTCCTCGGGAGCAGTCACGATCTTGTTGTAAAGAGGCTGGACAAGGCTGATGATCTTGCCATACGATGCCACCGGTCCACGGAGGAGCTCGGTAGCAACGACACCGGGGTGGATCGAGAGATTGGTGATGCGCGCATCCGAGGGAAGCAGCTTGGCAAGCTCGTTGGCAATGAGGATGTTGCCGAGCTTGCTCTTGCCGTAGCGGTTCCAGGTGCCCTTGAACTCGGGCCAGTGCTTCTTGTTGACCGCCTCGAGGTCCTTGAAGCTCGTATCGGATGCAGCGCCCAGGTGGCCCATGCTCGAGACCTGGACGATGCGCACCGAGGGCGACTCGGGGCTGGCGTACTCGGGCAGCTTGGAGGTGTTGTAGAGCGTGGGCAGCAGCAGCATGGTGAAGAGGTAGTGGCCCACCACGTTGGTGCCCACCTGGATCTCGATGCCGTCCTTGGTGAATTCGTACGGCATCGCCATCACACCCGCATTGTTGAGCAGGATGTCCAGACGCTTCTCCTGCGCGAGGAAGTCGTCGGCAGCCTTGCGAACCGCGGCAAGCTCGGTGAGATCGAGCTGGAGAAAGTGGATGTCGGCGTTGGGCACCGCCTTCTTGATCTTTTCGATGGCATCGCGCGCCTTGGATTCGGTGCGCGACGCCATGTACACCTTGGCGCCATTTCGTGCGAGCTCGAGGCAGGAAGACCTGTGCAGAGCGATGGCAAAATGGAGTCAGCACGGTCTCCTCAAGAAGGCGGAATGAGGTTCCACTTACGCTCCGAGACCGGCGTTGCCGCCCGTCACGATGGCCACGCGGCCAGAGAGATTGGGGATGTCGGAAGCCTTGAACGACGGCATGTTTCTATCAATGTGGATGGGTGGCGAGGAAAGACCTGAGGAGCGAGAGCTCGGGAACTTGAAGTAGGTTGCCGGGCAAGATGCAAGCGCATGCACAGCGATCCACTCGAGAGGAAGATCTGCGTCGTCACCGCTGCACGAGGCGAGTTACCACACGCACGTTGTGAAAAGGCGCCAAAGTGGAGCATTTAGCCTCCGTGGAGTTCCAAGGCGGGGCACCGCTCCGAGAAACGGCACCGCACGGCACAGCACGCCTCGCATACACAAGATGAAATTCGACCGAGGTTGCCGCGCCAGTTGCAAGGCTTACGAGCTGCTTCATTGTGGGCAGGCTGTGCTGTCACTGCGCCTTTGGTTCATTTGACCCCGAGTCGGCTCGAGGATGATCGGCCCGAGCCTATCTTGAGCGAGGGGCCGAGCGAGGTCGAATGGAGAAGCCCCACACATGCATCGCGAAACAGCTTTGCTAAAAGAGTGTAGAAATCGAGCCGCGAAAAGGAACGAAAAATCACCATGCTCGACCTCGTTGCAGAACCACTCTTTGCAACTGCCAAAGCCGCAAAGCGACTCAGCCGATGTCTGTGATGGCAGCCGCTGCGCATGGGCTGGCCACGAGACCATCGCTTTCATGCTCGCAGAGCCTTGCCGAGCAGAGCTGAGTGCGCTGTTGCCGAGGCTGTGCTTTCCAATCATTCGTCCAGCTTTCCGAGCCGACTTGAGCTGCCTGTCGTAGAAGCTAGCGTGAAATCGTCGACTAACTAGAGTATGGACAGCGATGCCTAGCGGTGCGTACATCTTTGCTAGAACCTTCTGGGTACACACACGACCGCCTCAGCCCTTGCAGCGATCCCAACGCGAGCCACGTATGAATCCCTGCGAACGCGAGCACAACGAGCATCAAGGAAGCAATCGTGTTCATCCGTAACAACAAGACATGACAGTGAGCCGGAACAAGATTGAATGCATGCGTATCATCGCGGGATAAGGGCTGAGCTACCAAAGAGAAGAATGTGGCTCTCGCGCCTCAGAAATCGTGACGGTCTGCAAGGGGGTCGCGGATGCGGCTGGAGCGGTTGGGTGCGGCGGTGTCTGCGGTGCGCGAGTTGTCGTCAAAGCTGTAGTTGTCCGAGCCGTACGACTGCTGCGACGGGTGGCCGAGCGCATCGGCCTCTCGAGCCCAGCGGTCCTTCTTCTTGTTCTTGGACGAGTTGGAGCGGCCCCACTTGCTGCCGCCGTTCGACTCCTTTGCATCGTTGGCATAGCTGAGCGAGCTTCTGGACGAGGCCTCGGTGCCGATGCCGTAGCGCTCGGCGTAGCGGCTTCCGAGGCTGCGTCGCGAGCTGCTGCGCGACAGCGAGCCTCCACCACCGGCGCCGCCGTCGAGCAGAGCACCCGTGATGGGGTCGCGAGTCACGTTGCCCGGTCGACCGGCGTTCTGCCTCCTCTCCTCTGCGTACGGGTCGGATGGGTCCTCGCGCTCGGCGCGCGGGCTGTCGTCCACATTGTCCGCCCAAGGCGCCAGGAAGTGGCTGCCGGAACGCACGTTGCCCGTCTTGCGAGCCGACTCGGGGTCGCGGCGCGTCTCGCCCGTGATGGGGTCCACGATGACCTCCTGGTTCTTCCACTGCGTCGCACCGTCGCCGTATCGGTCGGACCAGCCGTTGGCAGTGCGCTTGACGCGGTAGTCCTTGACGAGTCCGTAGCGAATGGCCCACGAGGGCGAGTGTCGCGCGTTCTTGTTGTTTCGGATGTTCTGGATCCAAAAGTTGTGCGCGTGACCAGGGATGTACCCGCAGATGGTGCAGATGATGTTGATCACCAGATCCAGACCCACGCCGAAGCGGATGAGCACGGCAAGCGGAGGCAGCAGCCAACCGCACACCATGATCACACCATGAAAGGCGTGGTGCTTCCTGACCGGACCTTTGCCTTTAGCCATCGTTCCGAAGTGCGCAGTCGAGTGGTTGCGACAGAAGTCCTGCGATGTAGATGAAGGTGGGGAAGGCGGGGCGGTAGGGTCAAGGTCGACGCGGACAGGGTCGAGAGCGCGGCCGGCCAAGTGGGCCAAATCCAACTGCGGAGCGGTAGCGTTCCAGTCAGCCCAAAGCAATTAAGCCTGGGCTGGATCCAGACCCCGCGCCGCGCGGGCCGAGGCGAGGCGCCCAACTCTCGCTCCCACTCAACTTCTGTTGGGAAGTTAGGGTCTCTCGCTCTTCCAGCCACGAGCCAGACGCGCGCATCCGGTCATCGGGGGGATGGCACAGCCTGCTCGAGGTGCGAATTCCCCTTGAATGTTAGGCCTTGACCTCACAGATCTCACATTTCTCAAATTTGTGTTCCGGACCGACGATGCAAAGCTGGCAGAGGATCACGTCAATTGGCGAGCAGGTCCGGATGTCCGTGCAGAGTGGAGGAGGCGTTGCCGCACTGTCGCTCAAGACTGATGAACGCTTTGATATCTTCCTTTCCCTTGCCCCCTCATCCACAACCGCTTCATCACCTGATCATCGACCATGGCGCTCCCTCCCTCGCTGCAGGCCCTTTCGATCGGGTCGCTCACCGCGCCCAACACGCTCGAGCTCTTCGTCGACTACCTCTGCCCCTTCTCAGCCAAGCAGATCAAAGGCGTGCACGACTACCTGCTTCCGCTCGTTGTTGGTGATTCGGCGCAGTACAAGGATCAGGTGCGCATCGTCGTGCGTCCTTACCCGCAGCCATGGCACTCGAGCTCGACGCTGCTTCACGAGTCGGCGCTTGCCGTCGCCAAGATCGCACTTACCGATCCGGCCATCACCTCGAAGCCGGACCGTAATGCATTCTGGCTCTACTCGCTCGAGCTCATGAAGGAACAGGGTCGATTCTTCGACGGCCCTGCTCGTGGAAAGGCTCCCGATCAGATTCGTGGTGAGCTGGCGACACTCGCGATCGAGACCGTCGGAGAGGCACCCAAGAAGCGCAAGCAGGACGCAATCCACCGAGATCTCCAGGGAACCCCCCTCGGCCAGTCGATCAAGAACCTCATCCGCGTTGAGAAGGAGGGCAATGGCGGAAGCGCCGTCGTCCCCGAGCTCAAGTACTGCGTAAGTGAAGCTCCCGCTTTCATAACATTAATGACGTGCTGAACCTTGGTTTCTGTCTCGCCGGCGTCTACAGGTCAAGCTCGGCCGTCAGAACGGTATCCACGTCACACCAACTTGCCGTAAGTGTCTGATGCGTGGCTTACTAGCTCGGCACGTGTTCGCCTTGGAATGGGCATTTTGCTGACCCTCGCTACGTTTCTGCTTCGTCTCGCTTCAACTTCAGTCTGGAACGGTCTGGTGGAAGGCAGCATCTCGTCGTCCTTCGACGAAGCCGCGTGGAAGGACTTCCTCGCTCAGCAGCTCAGCTGAAGCACTCATACGGGCCCGACATTGTGGCACGACAATCCCTCGAGCTTTCTGCGATCCCGCTCATCTTCAATGCAAAGCAGTCTCAAAAAGCTCTTTCCCATCAGTTGATTTGTCATTGTAGAAGCAGGTGAAAGTTGTAAAGGTAGAAAGATGAAGCAACAAAACGGCAGGCAGCCGAGTCATGGTCCAAGTCGAAGTCTAGGAATCTAGTGTCTAGCGCTGGGCACGGGCGGGGACAGCGGCAGGAGCGGCGGGCTTCTTGCCAGGCAGATCACGCTCCTCGATAAAGAAGAGAGCCAGGAAGGCGAAGAAACCTGCGGCGGCGATGGCGATAAAGACGGTGTGCATCGACTGCTCGTACGCTCCAATGGCAGCCTGGCGCAGCGGCTTGCTGAGCTCCTTGATCGCACCTGCATCCTGGCGGATGAGCTGGATGACTTTGCGCGGGATGTCGGTCTTTTCCAGGTTCTTCTGCAGGCTGTTCTGCAGGATGGCGCTCGAAAGCGAGATACCCAGCACCGAACCAGTCGCACGGAAGAGGTACGTCACACCCGTAGCCGCCGCCATATCCTTGGGGTCCACCGAGGCAATCAGAGCCACAAGCGTGATGGTGAGAATCGAACCGTACGCCGCACCACCAAAGGGCATGGTGGCCCAGTAAAACACCTCCGAGGTGCCGCGGTGCCAGAAGCACATCATGAGCGGGCCGAGGAAGCCAAACAGACCGCCGAGCAGGAGCATCTTGCGGTATCGACCCGTGCGCGCCATGATGAGTCCACTGCCCAGACTGCAGCTCGAAGCAATGATGGCGTTGGGGATGAGGTGGAGACCTGCGTACGACGACGCCGTCTGCTCGACCGACTGGAAGTACGTCGGCACGTTGAAGATGATGCCGAACTGCGACATGGTGATGAACCAGCATGCGATGGCGACAAAGCCGGGCGTGCGGTTGAACAGCACCGACATGGGCATCAGCGGCTCGCGCGCCACGTAGCGCTCGATCAACACGAACAGCACCAGCACCGCACCACCGCCGATGAGCGAGCCAAGCACAAGCTTGTCCGACCACTCGCGCTCGTTGCCGCCCAGGCTCAGACCGACGAGGATCAGCGTGACCGAAGTGACGAGCGAGAGCGAGCCGAGTGCATCGATGCGCTTGATCTTCTCGATCATGCTACCGGGACCGGCGGGGATGTCGATCTTCCACGAGACAACCGCGAAGTGAACGGCACACAGAGGCACCTGGACGAGGAACGCCCACCTCCATCCGAGGCCGCCATCGGCGAGCGCACCACCGAGGGGTCCTCCGAGTGCAGCGCCGGTGGCGTAGACCAGGTTGCCGAGCCCTTGCCACGTACCACGAGCCTTTAGGCTCACCAGATCGCTCGTGACGAGCGTAGCCATGGTGGTAAGACCGCCACCACCGATACCGGCGATAGCACGTGCGGCACACAGCTGCCAGAAGGTCTGGCTGAGACCGCAGAGGAGCGAACCGATGAGGAAGACGACCGATGCGAAGAGCGTGGCAGCCTTGCGACCAAAGATGTCCGAGGCACGACCGTAGAGCGGCTGGAAGGCGGTCTGGGTGAGCAGATAGCTGGTTCCGAGCCAGCCGACCTCCTTGCTCACGCGGAATTCGGAGCCGACCGAGTTCATGATCGTGGCGACGATGGTGCCGTCGAGCGCGGCGAGGAAGCTGCCGATCCACATGGCGCCCATGATGACCCAGATGTCGGCGCGGAGGGGAGGCTCTTCAGGCTCCTCGGCGATAGCACCTCCGATACCGGACACGGAGAAGTGGCTCTGATCGAGCGGGACGAAGGCGGACGAGTTGGGATCGACACCGTGCGCGGCGCCCTGGATGGCGCTGAAGGCCGACTCCTGTGCGATGGCATCCTCCTCCTCGGCGGTAAGGTCAGGGCGACCGATACTGGCGGCGAAGCTTGGACGGTGACGCGAGACGGACGGCTGTCGCTGCTGCGTGCCCAGCAAAGGCGTGCGCTCGGATTGGGTTGGCGCCATGGTGAAGTGGGCGGCGCTGGTGCTGATGGGTAGATGGTGGTGGCTGGGAAGCAAGATGTCGCCTGCTGCCTTGGGTCAAGTGATACGGACACGAGGATCGGCTCAAGTGAGAGCACAATGATCTGCGCACACGAATCAACCGCGGGCCAACCCGGCGCGAAAAAACTTCTGAAGCAGGCGTTCGAGGCGGCCTACCCTCGCATTGCAGGCCCAATCACAGACGTAACGAGCCCAACCACAGGAACGACAAGCCCAAGTTCATGCTGTTGCAAGAGCCAAAGAGACTGCGCGATAAGGCGACCATGCGAGTATGGCAGCTGCCGAATCTTTTTTATTTTTTCATGACGGGGATTCCAAAGTTTCGGCTGGTCGTCGGAGTGTGACGAAACTGCAAATCCAGGCGGGATGCGTAGCGAGCTCAAGCCACCCTTGTCGTTGTTGAAGCTTCGAGGCGTGGCGAGGCGTGGGGCAGCGATACGACAGAAGCCAGTTCCGAACGAACCGTGCAGCCGTGCAGCCGTGCAGCTGGGCACATGCACGGACACGAGGCCAAGGGTGGCAGAAGCAACCAATGACGGGCGCTCTGCACACTCTCGACAAGTCTCAGCGATAAGAGTGCAGCGTGCATCCGAGCCCCGCCCACACGTCAGACATCCGCTGCTTTTTCCCACCGCGGCAACATCCGACGATGCACGGACGCACTCCTCAAGTCGCCGCTACACGCGATAAAATCGAGATCTTGCTGCATCGGGAGAACAAAATCGGGGCCCTCCGATGCGGCTCTCAAAACTCCACATCATGTCAGTGATCCTGCGGTACACGCCCGCCACACGGGGATAGAGCGCGGCAATGCAGATCAGATGGACGCTTCTTTTTTCGCCGGTGTTCGGCGATGATGCCATCGGATGATGCAACGGTGCGGAAATACGAAGCTGTGCTTCTCTTCGCATATCCCCGAGCAGTCTAGGAAGAAGCGAGCACGTCGCGTCGGTCAGCGAACAAGTGAGATGCACCAGTGCGCTATATAAACAACACCATCACAGATCTTTGAATGCGCCTACTTTCAGACCATCCATAACCAAAGCAGAATCATCACATCATGAGCGGCACACACAAGTTCTACGCTCTGCCCGAGTTCTCGGCTCGCAAGGGCTTCGAGTCGCTCAGCATCAAGGAGGGCGCAATCCCCAAGCCGGAGTACAACGAGGTGCTCATCAAGGTGCACGCCGTCTCGCTCAACTACCGCGACCTGATCATCACAATGAACGGCTACCCACTCGAGCTCAAGCACGACGAGCTGATCCCTGCCTCGGACGGTGCGGGCGAGATCGTGTCCGTGGGCAGCAAGGTGTCCAAGTGGAAGAAGGGTGACCGAGTCATGGGCATCTTCACCCAGGCCCACCAGAGCGGCTCGACTCCGTCCAAGGAGGAAAACAAGACTGCGCTCGGTGGTGCCGTGAACGGTATGCTGGCGCAGTACGTTGCTCTGCCGGACACCGGCGTGGTGCGTGTTCCGTCGCATCTTTCGTACGAGGAGGCTGCCACGCTGCCGTGTGCGGCGCTGACTGCGTACAATGCGCTGTACGGTATCCCGAGCCAGCAGCTGCGTGCAGGCGACACGGTGGTGGCTCAGGGCACGGGCGGCGTGAGTGTATTTGCACTCCAGCTCGCCGTGGCCGCGGGCGCCAAGGTGGTCATCACCTCGTCGTCGGACGACAAGCTCAATAAGGCTGTCGAGCTAATCCCCCAGGGTCTCCGCCATCTCGTCACCACGGTCAACTACAAGACCAACCCCGACTGGGACAAGGTGGTGCTGGATGTGACCAAGGGCAATGGCGCCGATCATGTGGTCGAGGTGGGTGGACCCGGTACGCTCGAGAAGGCGTTTGGGTCGATCAAGCGCGGCGGCGTGATTTCGACGATCGGCTTTGTGGCCCAGGGTGAAACGCCCAACGTGCCCTACCTCGCCCTCACCACGGGCGCCTTCTTCAAGGGAATCCTCGTCGGCTCGCGCGAGCAGTTTGAGCACATGAACCAGATCATCGAGGACCACAGCATCAAGCCGCTCGTCGACAAGGTGTTCCCCTTCGAACAGGCGCAGGAGGCGTATGCGTACCAGTGGAGCCAGGCCCACGTCGGCAAGGTGGTCATCCGTGTCGCTTAGAAGATAGACTAAACGAAGCCCGTCCCCGAATGCAACGTTATGCTCACTCTCAGGCAGCCTGGTGACATCAATCTGTGCGTCTGATCGGCAGCCACAATCGTACGAGTTGGCACGCTTGACTGAGCAGAAGTGAGACCACAAACGCAGAGAGGGCGAGTTTGGACCGGGTTGACTGGATTGCATTTCGGTAAACTACTGAGAGGAGTGGGAGGAGTCTGCCTTGGGCGCTACGATGTCACCATGCTTTTGCTCGGGCGCCGAGGATTGGGCGGACTGCTGTTTGAGCTGCTCTTCATGGGCCGTGTTCTTCTTGATGTTCTCAGCGTTCTGAGCATACTTTCTGCAGCGAGGTGTGACCAAAAGCAAGCGTGTTAAGCTACAGCTCATCGACAGTCGGGACGGCTGCAAACACTCACCCTTTCAGGAAAGCGGTCTCCTTCTGCACGGCATCAAAGTTGACCGTGCCGTCTGGGTTCTTGAGAATGTGCACCATGGTGAAATGTAGGCGGAGGACGAAAAGGATGGTGGTAGGAGGCAAGGCTCGAGACGTCGACCCGAGAGTCGGTTAAGACCAAGCTCAGTGGGGGACCATCAAAGTAACCGGCGGCCTACGCAGGTCGAGGGCAGCAGCGTCACGGCGCAGCGTTAGGCTCGTTGCAAAGGTGTTAGACTCAGCCTCGCCATCCGACAGAGGTCGGGGCTGTGCAGTTGTAGCGAGACAGCCAGCCAGCCTAACGCAGAACGGAGGCTCAGCCTGTCGGGTGCCGGTTTGGACAGCGCAACGGGGGCTCGAGCGCGTAACTCAGCCATCCATCCTCGCGCTCGACCCCCACGCTAGCTCAAGGGTAAAAGCCAAGCGAGACGGACACCTCTGCTCCGGCCGTAGCTCAGCCATACGATAGCTCAGCCACAACCATGCAGGGCAGTCGGCCTCCACAAAAAAAGAGTCGAAAATCGAGGCGAAAATTCAGAGTTGGACGTTGCAAAGCGCTGTCTGATGACCGCACCTTTTCCGGATCGGTCTCTGCAAAGGCGCATTTGAATTGAATTGGATTTATCGCATTTTCCAAGGCAAGCGGTCGAGAGCCCTCTCCCTCTCCCGCACTGAGACGCGCGCGCTCGCTTACCGATTTCAGGGCCCATCCGCACCTCGCACAGATCGACGGCTGCTCTTCACCGCCCTGCCCTTCCCTTCCCTCCCTAGCCCAGCCCGGCCCCTTAATCGCGCGGGTCCCACTGCCCTCCGCCCGCTCCTCTCCACCACATCCATCGTCTTTGACTTGCTTCAGCTGCTTATATCTGGTGCACAAGTCGACAAAGACAGCTCTCACTCCACAACATACACCCTCCCCCTGGCTCGCAAGCACCATCATGCGATCCTCCTGGCTCTCCACCGCCTCGGCCGTGCTCGTGTGCGCTGCTGCGCTCGCCAACTCGGCCAAGCTCCCCGCCCCCGTCGAGCAGATCCACTACGACCAGTCGGGCAACCTCGTCTGGAACGAAGATGCCGACGCGAGTCCCGCCGTCCCTTCGCTCGGCCGTCCCGACTTTTCCGGCCTCAGCCTCAGCGACATCGCTGCTGCCGCTGCTCCCGCCAAGCAGGCCGCCCAGGACGTCTACGCCGACTCGATGAAGTACGCCGACGACGTTCTCTCCTGGGCTGAGCACGAGATCGAGCGCATCGAGGACAAGGTCCAGGAAGTCGTCGCCGGCACTCACAAGGAGATCAAGGACTGGATCCACACCGGCAAGGTCCTCGTCGATGGCCTCGAGTTCGAGCGCCTCACCCACCCCGCCTTCCCCGAGTACTCGCTCCGCCTCAACGCCAAGTCCGAGTCCTTCTGCGACCAGGACGTCGTCCAGCACAGCGGCTACCTCGACATCTCGGACTCCAAGCATCTCTGGTTCATCTTCTTCGAGTCGCGCAGCAAGCCCAAGTCCGACCCCGTCGTCCTCTGGCTCAACGGCGGTCCCGGCTGCTCCTCCTCCACCGGTCTCCTCTTCGAGCTCGGCCCCTGCCGCGTCACCGACGAGGGCCGCGCCGTCAAGAACAACCCGCACTCGTGGAACAACAACGCAAACCTCCTCTTCCTCGACCAGCCCGTCGACGTCGGTTACTCCTACTCGGACAACGATTCGGTCAACAACTCACCCGCCGCTGCCGAGGACGTCTACGCCTTCCTCCAGCTCTTCTTCACCAAGTTCCCCGAGTACTCCAAGCTCCCCTTCACCGCCTCGGGCGAGTCGTACGCAGGCACCTACCTGCCCAACATCGCCTCCACCATCTACAAGAAGAACAACAACCTCGCTCTCTCCCGCTACGCCAACCCCGAGCTCGCTCCCAAGCACATCAACCTCGACACCGTCATGATCGGCAACGGTCTCAGCTCGCCCCAGTACCAGTTCCCCTCCGTCCCCACCTACGCCTGCGGCGCCGAGAACAAGTATGCGCTCTTTGACCCTTCCAGCTCCACCTGCGCCACGCTCGAGCAGCAGGCCACCACATGCAAGTCGCTCATCGAGTCGTGCCAGAAGTACAACTCGCGCCTCACCTGCACGCCCGCCGCGCTCTACTGCTGGAGCCGCCTCTACGGCCCCGCACAGGAGACCGGCAGGAACCTGTACGATGTGCGCAAGAAGTGCGACCGCGAGAAGGACGGCCCGCTCTGCTACAAGGACATGGAGTACATCGAGACGCTCCTCAACACGCCCAGCATCAAGAAGAACCTCGGCGTGCCCGAGTCGGTGACCTTCCAGTCGTGCAACATGAACATTAACCAGGCCTTCCTCCTCCAGGGCGACTCGATGCACGACTCGGCCGCCCTCCTGCCCGAGCTCATCGAGGACGGCATCCGCGTCCTCATCTACGCCGGCGAGGCCGACTTCATGTGCAACTACATGGGCAACCTCGAGTGGATGCAGAACCTCCAGACCAGCTACCTCGACGACTTTAACATTGGCACTGCCCAGGACTGGATCGTCAACGGCAAGAAGGCCGGCTCCGTACGCAAGGGCGGCAAGGGCGCCGGTTCCGTCGCCTTTGTCAGGGTCGCAGAGGCCGGTCACATGGTCCCCTACGACCAGCCCGAGAACGCGTTGGACATGATCAACAAGTGGCTCGCCAACAAGCCTCTTGCTTGATCACCTCCTCGTCTTTGACGGAGCGATCCGCGGTCCAAAGCTGTAGATTCGCACTTGCATAGCTGGGAGATGAATGACAACGCCAATGTTTCAACGAGATCGATCAAGCGTGAGGCTCAGAACGGAGCAGTGCGGCTGCAGCAGGTATGCGGCTTCACTTCCGCTTTGCTGCAGATCAGAAGAGGCGAGGAGTTCACCTTTGAAGACAAATTTGAAATTGCGAACGGCAAGCGTGGAGGAAAGAAGTGTCGAGCGACATGTCGACAGGCGTGCGTGTGTGCGGTGAGAGAAACAGAAAGCCGAAACTGGAACGTTTGAGGTGCGATGCATTCACCACGGGATGGTGAGATGAAAGTGCCCACGTCGTACTTCGGCAATGGCGACACTGCTGAACTGACCACAGGACGATGACCATCGACTTTGGAAACGGCGAAACTGCTGTTCTCCACATTGAAGAGAAAAGCAGTGTCCCCATTGCCGAAGTCGATCGTCATGGTCCTGTGGTTAGTGGAGCGAGGAGGTATTGCAGAGCGAGGAGATGTTGTCGAGCGAGGAGATGTTGCCGAGCGAGGAGATGCTGCAAAGGGGAGAGGGCCGAGGAGGTTTTAGGAAAGGTGGGTGAAGGGCGAGGGTAGCGGAGACGGGAGTGAGAGGGGCTCTCTTTTTATGCTTTCGCGGCCCTGCTTATTCCGCACCTCCGCGATTGCGCCTGTGCTCGTACAGCGGAGTCTTTGCGAAACTTGAGAAGAGCGGCACGTACAGCAGTAACGTGCGCACACCTGCCACGGCGCGCCAGGAGCAGCACATTGCCTGCGTCACTGCGGCTGCTAGATTCTGTCGGAGCTGTATCTCTGCGCTGGCAGGCGCCGCATCTCACACGGGTCACCAGCGCGCTCGCATCGAAGAGGTTTGCAGTCGGAACGGCCTGTGATTGGTGATTGAGGCCGACGTATCTCCAAGTTTGTGCGGACCGAAGCGCAGTCCGCACAAATGCGATCCAGACGAGCTGTCACAAAGCGTAGCGCTTCCGATCAATGCGCTCTGGTGCGCTGCGCCCGGCTGAGTCGAGCCAGCGCTTAGTAGCTGAGCGTCGCTCAAATTCGGTTCGCGTGCTGCGCATCCACGCGCAACGACGAAATCGCTCTGCGCAGGTGACTCGAATCAGAGCCATCCAGAGCCATCCAGCCTCCAAGTGCGGTGCCTGCAAGCGATCCGCCCCATCAGACTCACTCAATGAGATTCGGAAGATCAAGCCTTCAGGTTTATGCAAGGCAGAAGGTTTCGGCATGAAGGAGGCGTGGTGACGGAATGGAATGAAGCGGCTGGCACGGCGATTTTCGACGACCCGCACACTTGTCACCCTGAACCCCTTTCTCATCTCAGTCGGACGGCTCAAGAAGTTCTTGTTCACACGTTCGTGAGCCTATCGACGGAAACAAAGATTGTAAAAACACATTGATTGCAAAAGGCGATGGGCACGTTGGACCCCTCGAGCATCCCGGCGCAAGAGTCGTGCCTATCGAGCGCATCTGCATGTGTTGATGTAGGAAAGGGGGAAGACAGCGTGCACGTCGTGCGTCGCTGCCAGATGAAACAGTAAGACTATTGTGAACCCGATCGGAACAATGCATGTCGAGGACACGGTCAGAGCGGCGCATCCAACAAGGGCGTCGAACGTTGCAGCGACCGAAGTGCAGGACGGCTCGTGCTAGGGCGAGAAACGAACGCGGCGCACGCCACGCTTCCTAGAAGTCCTGATGGGGACTTCTCCCAGATCGTCCGTGTCGTACCCGTTGTTGTGGGAGCTGCCGTTCTTGTCTGCTTCAACGGCAGAGTGACCGCTCCAGTCTGCGTTGAGTCGAGCGTTGAATCGAGAGATGTCGTCGAACGAAGTGTTTCCACGGCGAATGAAGGTCATTGACGACGTATAGGTGTACTCGAGAATTCTGACGCCGTTTCTGATCCTCATTTCGAGGTCCTTGACGTAGACCAGCTCGTTGGTGAAATGATACGGGGTTGCGTATCCAGGGGAGCTCGAATTTGGTGAGACGGAGAAGGAAGCAGTACTGCCGTCACTGCAGAAATGCATGACAACCTTGGGCCTCCCCCTTCTCGGAATATTGGGACGAGTGATTTTGGCGACAAAGCTCATCTTCTTCCCGTCTTCGAGGTTCGAGTATCCGTACATCCACGAGTGCGGCGCATCAACGACCTTGTTGGTGAGCTCGGTTTCCGTCAGCCTGAAAGCGGTAGCAGCCTCGGAATCCGTTCGGTGAGCAACATTGGGTGCGGCAAGTGGTCCGTTGCGTTGCTCCTCGATCTGAATCAGGCCCCCGAGGTTCCTTGGGATGCTCTGCGCATGTTCCTCGATGTTCAAGATGTTGCCTACGGCGGCCTGGGAGAGACCGTGCTTCTCGAGAAATGGCTGAAAAGTGTTTTCGATCTGGGCGCCGTCAGCGCCGTACCCGCTGTTGTGGGAGCCGTCGTCCTTGTCTTGTTCAAACTGGAGAGTGTCGATACCGAGCCCACTCCACTCTGCGTTGATCCGAGCGTTGAAACGAGAGATTTTGTCGAAGGAAGTCTCGCCAGGTCGGAGGAGCTGGATGGTCGAGTCCGGGGTAAACTTGAGAGCAATTTCATTGTTGACGTACGTGGTGACAAGGTCCTTGACGTAGATCAGCGAGCCTACTTCGAAGACCATGTGTCTGACCACATATTCGTAGAGCTTGGTCGTGTTTTCGACGTAGAAAAGAATCATGTTCGCATCTCCCCGGCCGAGTTTGACGTGAACGCAGGTGTGCTGGACAGGGAAGGTACTGTTGCTCCTAATCTCGTGGATCTGTCCAACAAAGCTCTTCGTAGCTCCCGCATAGGAATCAAAGCCCGTGAGAGTCCATGAGTGCGGGACAGTGACATCCTTGCTGGTTATATCCGTGCCAGGCAGCCCAAAGATCGTTTCGGCTTTGGCAGTGTCGGCCTGACCGGCCTCGCGTTTGACGACCGTTCCACCGCTTCGCTGCTGGCCCTCGATGAACTCGTTCAAGATCCTGGCGAGGCGCTTCGCATTTGCCTCGACTACCACGGCATTGGCAACTGCGGCCTCCGAGAGCCCATACTTTGACAGGAAGCGACGAAGCCTGATCGCGCCTGGTCGAGCGCCGCCAGCGAGTCGGGAGGCCACGGGAGCCATTGAGCCTGAGGACTCCTGATGAGCGAAAGCTTGTGTATTCATGCACAAAGAGTCAGTGCATGCAGCTATCGGAGACGAGCTGATGAGATAGGACTTACAGGTCTTGCGGAAGGAGGAGTACCGAGATGTCGAGGGTTGCTAAAGCCGTTGGAGGAGTCGCGAATGTTCGCGAGCGCTGATGAGGGAAGAAACAAAGTGGGGGCACGCCTGATGTCGCTTCTTTTATGCTTTCGGGTCCCAGCTTGTTCCGCACCTATACCCGCACTCATGTCGGTCTGTTGTACCTGCTTCCGCCGATCATCGTGCGGATAGCGTGCAGCGCGGCTGCTTTCGCACAGTGTACCCGTATCCGCTGTATCGACATGACAGCAGCAGCGCACCTGAGAGCAAACAAGACGAGATTCTTCCGCAACACGCCTGCTCGGGTACACTCACAGCCGACCGTGCGGAACCAGAGACGGTATCGGCGACGACTCAGCGTACCCACGCCTTTTCGGAGCGGATCGATCTGATGTCTAATCTCCTCTCACTGACGGAGAGTCTGAGCTTAAGCTTTTTGCACGTGGGAAGGTCCGGCTTGAAGCCCTGCTACCGATGCCGAGCCCCACACGTACATGTGTTCGGCAATGCTCCATGTGGTTGCCGGCCGTCTGCGAGCGGGTGCAAGACTCGTTCCGCATTTTTTTGCGGGAGTGGAGTGCGGATGTCAAAAACCGCGAGTGACAAGCTGGCGACGCCACATCACGCGCTGAGCGCTGAGCTCTGCCCGCAATGCCAACTCCTACTGCGGACCTTCGACATCTCACACTTTCCGAGGTATGGCATTCTCGCTCGCTCGACTCAGATCGGCCCGACTTCCTTGTATTCGGCGCTACAACAAGCTGCGATGAAGTTGACCACAAAATCTGAGTTTTGCGCCATGTCGAAAAAATAGCGACACAAAAATGTATGAAATCATATGGATATGCATCTACGCTGTGCTAAGCATGCGGATGAGGATTCTACGAGGCTGTGCCGTTATGCGGCTTGTTGGGATTGTATCAGGGGAAGTCCTGGATGATCTGGGCGATCTCGGGCTGGGCGAGGCCACGGTACTCGAGATGCTTGCGCTGGAACTCGGCAGCCTTGTCCTCCGAGGTGGCGCGCTTGTCGGCAAAGGCGCCGTTCTGAGCCACAAGGCCGTTGTCGAAGAACGTGAAGGGCTCGCGGCTGGAGAGGCTGGGGATGCGGCCGAGGAGGAACTCCATGTGGCGGTAGGCAGCGCTGGGCTGGTACTGCGGCACCATGTGGCCACTGAGGTCGATGGTGACAAAGGTGAGCTTTCGCTCGGTGCGCGTCTTGCCCATGATGCCCGAAGCGGCGAGGGTTGCCTCCTGGAAGTCGTTGTGGAAGGGAACGTAGAAGTCGTCGGTGATGGGCTGCTGGAAACCCTGCTGACCGCCCCAGGTCATGTTCTGGATCGAAAGCAGAGTGCCGTTCATGAGCAGCACCATGTCGAGCATACCGTGACCAATCACCGTCCTCTCGACGCGGTCAATGACGCCCGGAAGCACAGTGGTCGAGCTGAGGTGGCCCTTCTCCGCACCAGCGTCGAGGCCGCTCTTGGTGGTAAAGACGTTCTGGGTCGAGCACTCGGACCAGGGGTAGTCGACGGGCGCGTTGATGGCCTTCTTGACGTCGGTTCGGTTGAAGTAGAGCGAGGCACCAGGAGGCAGGTAGTCGCCCGAACCAGGTCCTCCGTTGATGTCCCAGAGAATCGGGCACGTAGTGGCCACTTGGTAAATGTCAAAGCAAGGATTGACGTCGAAAATGTTCTCGTACACAAAATCGAAGATATCGCACTCGTCCGTGGTGGGATGAGGGTCCGGGAACTTGCCCTTGGGCGGGAAAGTGAGGTGCTTGTTCATGTAGGCCGTGTAGCCGCACTTGTCGTCCATGTCGCGGATCTGCTGCTTGATCGTGTCGTTGAAGGGGAAGAGACCGCCCCAGTAATCGACAAATGCGGCGGTGGGAACCTGCTCGGTGATCGAGTCGGCGTTGATGGAAGGGTCGTAGATCATGATGCCGGACACGTTGAAGTACTCCTTGTTCTTCTCGTCGAGCATGCTCGAGGCGATGTTGGGCACATACTGACCGGCGTAGCTCTCGCCCGTGATGTAGATGGATCGGTTGTGCAGGTCAAACGTGTCGGCAAAGTTGCGGTAGAAGCCCTTGAACTGCTCGGCGAGCTCGGCCTCGGTCGAAATGTTGGGTTTTCCCTGCGAAAAACCCGTACCCACGGGTTGTTCGACCCAAACCATGTTGGTCAGATTCTGCCACGTCCACGGATTCGGTACGGGCTTGTACGTGCCGTATTGCCAGAGCCAGGGGCCGTTTTCCTGCGACAGACCCTCGAGCGACGAGCAGCCGGGACCACCGTTCATCCAGATGCTGATCTCATTGCTCGCCTGCGGGTTCTTGGAGGGGAAGTACCAGAAGTACAGCTTGCGCGTCTCGTTGGGGTCCTTGCTGATGGGCATGAGACCGGCGTACGACTCGCCAATGTCAAAGTCGATCTCGGGCACGCCCGTGCCGTTGACCGCGAACGGCTTGGTCTTGTCGTTGAGGTGGATGGGCTCACCCGTCACCGCCGAGGCGGAAAACTTGTTGGCCATCAGGCGCGAGTTGCGCTCAGCAACGCGCTGGTGCACATCCTTGTAGTTCGAGTCGAGCTTGCCGACGTGCTGCAGGCCACGCGCGCAGGTCTCGTAGACCGCGACAGTGGCGAGCAAGAGAGCGGAGGGAAGCAGCTTCATCTTGCGGCGTTCTAGGTCTATTCGCCACGGAAAAGAAGGTCAGATGAAGGAAAGGCAAGCGGGCGAAAGCCAAAAGTCTAGGGGTATATATCTTTTAGTCGCGTCTGGGCATTGTATGCGCCTTCTCTAGGGTACAGTTCAGCGCATGCACAGTGAGGAGGGGGAAGGGCAACCGAGCTTGATTTGGAAGCCTTCGAGGGGCGGAGCGGTGCATATACCGCCGTGCATACGGTTAGGGGACCCGTCATAACCGACCGGCACCGCCACCGTGGATGTCAGGGTTCCGTCAAAGCGAGCGGCTGCCGAGCTAGTTGAGACGCTCCGAGGAGGCAGTTTTCCGAACCCAAGAAGCTCGGATGCTTTGGCTTCCAACCGCCGCGGCGAACCGTGCACGATAAGGGGGCCAGCGACAAGCACAACCCGGGCTAGACCGGTTGACGTTGTTGCAGAGAATCAGAGGCCGGTGTGGCAAGGCATGCACAGTTGCTGCTATATGCTAGTCGCTGCTCTTTTTGGGGGGTCACACGATGCTCAGCGACCTCGCCTGTGTATACAGCAGCGGCTCGGTTGGACAAGGTGGAGGGCAGCCCATGCAAATCAAGGGAAGCCGATAGACAAGGATCTGCATGAATTGACACTTCGACATTCAATCTGGGAGCAGCGAAAGCGCGCGATGCAGGAGTGGCTGCCGAACTGCGCAGCGGCGGAAAAAAAAAAAGTCGCCCCACCAGCATTCATTTCGGCGCTAGCAGCTTAGGCGAGTGCGGAGGCCGCCGACCCGGCGAAATCATCCTCGCACAATCGAACCAACCGCAGGCAACGCCTTGGAGTCATGCCCGGCGGCAATGCAGTCTTGCCCATCCCACCAAAGCTTCCTTCTTCGGCTCGTTCGGTTCATGACCCTCCGCAGGCCGCACCACATGACAATTTGGCTTTGCCGTACCACTTCATCCAACGCTCGGAAGCTTCTCTTCCGCGTCTATTTCAATCAAGGTTTCATCGCACACGTATGAGCGTACACGCAGAAGTCTGTCTATCGTCGGCAACGTCTCGCTGATGCTTTCAGTCAGCCCAATCGGGCGTCACCATTGTCCAGACATCCCGATGGGACGCTCCAGTGTCCGCCCCGCTACCGTTCCGAAACTTTCAACCCAACGTACACTACGCTGACTACGCACGAATCGCGTAAAAACATTCCAATAAAGACATCCCTATGATTCCCAATACTATCCCTGAAGCGTACATATCACGGGTGTGCAGAACGAGGCTCAAGCTCAAGCTCGGCATCCATGGCGCGCTGGAGGTCCATCTGAATGCCGCTATGGTCGGCGTTGAGCTGCTGAGCCGAGACGGAGCTGGGCGGCGGACCTGCGTGGCGCTTTGCGGCGGCGCTGATCGCCTCGAGGTTGGACACGGTGGGCTTGAAGTGGAGCATGCCGCTCTCCCACTCCCACCACCGCTGCATCTCCTCGAGGTTGTCCTCGACCGCCTTGCATTTGGCCGTCTCGATGGTGAGCCGCGTGTCGTAGCGCAGTGCCGCGGGGGCCTTGCGTGCAAAGATGGCCTGGTCCGTCGGATGCATCGTAACGTACACCGAGCGCAGCTTTCGCTTGCGTGTCACGAGCGCGTACAGACTCGCCTCGTGCGCCGCACTTGCCGCCGTACCTCCGCTGCCGAGCGACGAGGAGAGCGCCGAGTCGGTCGTGCCCGATACGCTGGCGCTGAACGGGTTGGAGCGGTAGCGCGAGTCGCCGTGACGGCGACGTCGCTTGCGGTTCTCCAGCTCGCGGTACGTGCCCGAGCTCGACGACGACGTGCCGAAGCGGAAGCCCGATCCAGCGCCTTCGATGGCGGTGGCGCTGCTGGTGGCTGCCGCTGCCGCTGCTTCCTCCTCGGGCGTCGGAATGTCGAGCACAGCGCACAGCGTCTCCACCACGCCCACGGGGTGGCCCTCGACGTGCGGCTGCCACAGCGACCAGCGGAAGTGGCGCAGGCTGGGAAGCTGCCCTCCCAGTCCTCCCACTGCCCTCGCCTCGGACGGGAAGAGCATGCAGCCCGAAATGTGCAGCGTGCGCAGCGTCGCGAACGCAGGCGATGGGATCAGCACGCCTGGCAGCGGCCACAGGCTCTGCGAGCGTGTGTCGTCGGCCGGGAACTCGGGGCTCGAGATGCCGTGCATCTTCTGGTGGTAGCTCAGGCGCTCGCGTCGCGTTGTCTTGATGGGATGGCCGAACAGCAGCGGTGAGCTCCAGTACGGCGGCGGTGGTCCGAGCGACAGACTCTTGAGCTTGCCCATGTTGCACATTGCGCGGCGCCCGCAGATGCTGCGTTCCAGCACGCCGTCGAGCGCCAGGTCCTTGAGGCGGGGCGTCAGCATCATGACTGCGCGCAGACTCTGCAGGATGGAGCCGAGCGTCATTTCGGAGAGCAGCCGATCCTCCTCGTTGCGCCGTTGCTGATTCTCCTTCTGCAGGCTGGCAAATTCGTTGCCGTCGTCGAGCCCGTCGAGCGGCTCGTCCAAGAGGCCGGTACGAAGCGCCGAATCGAAGCCAAACATGCCGCCGCGTGAGCCCATGACGCTGTTGCCTGCACCTGCGCGCTCGTTGCCGTTGGCAAAGTTGTGTTCGCCTCCCCACAGATCCGCCTGGTCTTCGGGCTTCTGCTGCTCGGGCTCGACGAACTCGGGCAGGGCGAATGTCGAGGGTGCGGATGCGGTGTGGCTCTGACCTGACGGACCGGAACGCGCAGGCTGGCCTTCGTGCACGATCGACATGTCCATGCGCGATGTAGAGGCCTCCATCTCCGAGTCGTAGTCGCTGCCCTCGCTGTAAGAGTCGGCTTCGGATTCGGTGTCGCTGCCAGAGTCCGATAGGCCGTCGAGGTCGCCATGGCGTCTGCCGTTCCAAATTTCCTCCCTCTCCGGAGGCGGTGCACCGCCGACGAGGAGATGGCTGGCGCCCGAGCGAGCAAAGAGGGTGGGATGGGTGAAGTGGTTCTTGGTGTGGAGCTCGGGCCGCGGTCGCAGCGCTCGCCATGTGCGGAGCTTGGGGTCGCGCGCCGAGTCGGCCTGCCACACCCGGCGGGCGACGATGCGGGCGCGCGCCCTTGACTTGGCCAAGAGCCAGACTACCCACCACTCTACCTTCTGATCGCCGACTTTGGCGAGTTCGGACCAGTTCTGAGAGCGCCAAGCAGGTTTCTTGACGCCCATCTCTGCAAAGCAACGATCGCGCTCGGCGTCGATTTCGTCGAGGTCGAGCTCTTCTGAGTAGATAGGTTCGTCGTTGTCGACGACGCGAGCGGTGTTGGGCTGAACAGCGGTCTGGACGTCGGCCCAATCGAGCGGGTCGTTGTCGGTGCCAGGGATCCTAGTCTCTGCGCCCTGGGCGGCGAAGGGGGTGACCATATCGGTATCGAGAAGGCTCGGGCCGGAGTCACTCTTGGTGGGGCGCCTTGACGGCGGCGAATTGGACCGAGGTGAGGCGGTTGATGATGACGAGGCTGATGTCGGACTGGACGAGGACGTGCGCGCGCGTGCAGCCGTAAGGGAGAGGCGCTTGAGCTCGAGGAAGAAAGCGCGTTTTGCGACCTCGCGGAAGTGCTTGACGAGATCGCGACCGTCCCAGAGGCGGAGGACCCACTCATCGATGCCGATCCAATGCCAGCCGCGCGAGTCGGGGTCACCGGAGCCGGGCGCATCAATGTGAATGCCGCGCGGCGCGCGAGAAGGGTCGATGGTGCGGATGTTGGCCTGGACGTTCTGTGCGGCCCATTGTGCGATCCTCTTCTCGAATGCGGGCGAAAGAAGATTGGGGGGAGCGATGCCCTGTGCGAGACACTTGCGCACGTCGTCGATGGTGGCGAGGTCGGTGTTGAGGCTGTATGCGCTCTGGCTTCCGCCTAGGCCAAAGTTGAGCGCATTGGTGGGGATGCTCTCGCCTTGGTAGGTATGTCCGACCCAGAGGTGCTTTACGAGACGGCCGAGCGCGGGTCTGTTGGTGAGCGTGCGGGCGAAGAGCGAAAGACTGATGGGATCCGAGAGGCGCGGGCCCTTGTAGAGGATGGATGCGATGTAGGGATAGTGCTGGGGCGAGAGGAGGAGAAGCTTGAGGGTTGCGCGAACATCGAGATGCGGTGCGGAGGAGCGAGCCTTGAGGCGATTGACATCAAAGTCGGACGGCTCGCGGAACTCGTCGGTGCGGAGAGGTGGAAGGCTGCAGGCAAGGTAAAGGATGTGGTCGACGATCTCGTCCGGAAGCTGCACCCTCATCGCCGCCGAGCTGCTGTGGCTGACAGCGCAGCGTGCCACGACAGTTTGCAGAAGAACACGGTGGTGGGCTCGATTCGGTGAGTCGTGTTCGCCTCGATCGGTGTGTCGGCGGTGCCAGAGCTCGGATGGTGAGGTTGAACCGAGGCGCAGCGAGCGGGCCTTGACGAGTCAGTCGAACGAGCGTGGTGCGGCGCGCAGATGGGGATGTGTGCGACGAATCGGATGGTGGCCGAAAAGAAGGACGAAGACGAGATGATGGTTGATGGAGTGGGCGGATCAGGGATGCAAGGCGGGGGCGAGGTTGCAGTTGGTTGGGTTGGGTTGGATTGGGTTTGGGCGAGTCCAAAAATCAAAGTGGAGCCACCGCGCCTTGGCTGGGCGTCGGGGCTGAGAGCGCGACGACGACGGCTCGCTACCGGCGTCGACTCTCTCTCGCCCCGACCGGGCGTTGAAATTGTGGACCTGACTCGCGGGCGTTGGTGTGCCTGCTTGCCTGTCTCATGCTGAGGCAGCGGATCAACCGGCAACGACACACACACACACACACACACACACACACACACACACACACACAGACGACGAAATTCAAATTTCTGGAGGGGCGGGCTGCCCGCGCCCTTTGTCTCGAGTCGCGTGCGTGGGTGCATCCGGGGTCGCAGACAGCGGGCTGGCTGGGAGAAGCAGCGTGGAACCGGAAGAGCCAAGCCAAAGCTCGCTTCGTCTCTGCATCGCAATCTGCTTCCAACGCTCCAATCGTCACGGCTCAAAGTGATCCGAAGCTCCGTCGAGCCCTTGCCGTTGCTCGCAGCGTGGTGGACGGCACCCATCGGCGGTGGGGCTGCCGAAATGACCGACTAAAAAACCAGGCCAGCCGCTTCGGCAGATCCGATGCGATGCGGTCTAGTGCAGTGAGCGATGTCGAATGTGCAGCAGAGTTCCAGAGGGCGAGCGAGGCTCACCCTTTCCATTGGCTGTCGGCCCAGTAGACTGCTGCAGAGCCGTTTAGGCTTGCAGCCAAGCAGCCAGCTGATTCGCTCGGCAAGGGCGGCGACGGAATCTAATCTAGTCGAGTCGCGCGATTGGCCCCAAGTTCGCCCGTCTCTTCAACCCGCCCAAGGGTGGCAAAAATCCAATCACTGCGACGTGCTCCGCCTCCACTTGTCGACTTGATGCTTATCCTACTCGGCCGCCTTCCGACGGTCTGTATGGACGCACACCACGCTGTCTCGCAGCTTGCGGCTCGTAGCGACGTGCCTCAAGAGAAGAGTCGTTGCTGCCGCTGGTACGGACAACAATGCGGATCCCTTCAGCCCGTAGTGGGGTTTGGCTTTTTTCGGAAAAGCCTCCTCCGTGCCACTCGAAATGTTAAAGACCACAAGCAGGGCAGCAGCTCGCTGCCATGATCTGGTCCCTGAGCAATTCATGCGCGGGGGCGGCTCCTGCGCGCCAAAGCAAGCCAGAGCCGCTAGAACCTCTTCGAGCCCAAGCGAACAGACCTAACGTAGCGTACTCTCTCGATCCACACGCTCCCGCGAATAGCCGACGGTAGCAGACTGCCGCCCACAGCGTTCGCGCCTTGGATCCCATGGGCGGAACAGTGAATCGGCTCTGGTACTTCCGTACTCCCGACTGTCGGCTGCAGCGAGTGCGTGGAGCGGGCCGACTAAAAAAGGCTTGGCAGCCTCCCCCAACCCAAAAATTCACTTCGGGCTCCGGGCACACTGGGCACAAGCTCACCGGCAACGTTCGACAGACCAATCAACATCCTGTATAGCGCCATCCTGTATCGATTCGCTGCATCTGGGTCATCTTCTAGTGTTCCTGCGTACTGTAGCTGCTGTGTTCCTGATCGACCCCCCCCCCCCCCCCCCCCCCCCCCCCCCCCCCCCCCCCCCCCCCCCCCCCCCCCCCCCC